ATACACACTGCAGCCTTCCTGTCAACTTGCCCTACCAGGTAATGCCAATGACAATCAGCAGCAACAAGGGAGGGCGCGCCACAAGGGCTGCCCTGTTGTCGAATGTGCAAAGAAGAATGGGTTTCTGGGGTGGCTTGTGCTCTTCTACTGTGTGATAGCACATAATTGCGCTGCTTGGCTCCCCCTCCCTTGGCTTAAAGGGCTTGAGAGGGAGGCCTGTGAGGAGGAGGGAGGGGAGGGAGGGAGGGATCTGCGCCGTTGCAGAACGGATGGAGCCTGTTGGGAGGTTTATCAGGACCTTCGTTGGCAGTCCTAACGTTGAACTCTGGGCAAAATTTGAAAGTTGAAGGGAAAAGGCGGTGTTGCATATAGGACTTGGCATCTCGGATCTTCTGTTTTGAGTATTGTATTTACATATCGGCGTTGTTTGAAGATGGGGGACTCGGTGTGCTTGGTGTGGTAGGGGATTTTGGTTTGATTTGCTGTTCTCCCCCTTGTATTCACATGACATGACAGTTGGAACTTGAAACGAAATGTCTGACTTTTGCCGATGATGATCCATTTGCTGCTCCAGTCAACGGAGATAGTATGCAAAATGACGTCTGGAGTAGGGATGTTTCCCGCTCGTGACGGGGCAAATCTATTGCTCCATTCTGTCAGGCATGAAAAGATTTGAGGGGAAATGTCATATCTGATAGGCGATGTCGGAGTTTAGGAATGTTGCGGCGAATGACGATGGGCAAAAAAGAAACAAAAAGGGAAAAAAAGGGAAAAAATACAAGAAGAAGATGCACGGTTTCCCGCGTTTCATGTTGTTCTGTCGGGCTGAGCTAAAGTCAAAGTCCCAGAGTCCCCATATTTTGTGTTTTGTTCTGCGGAGATGAAAGAAGGAGTGGAAATCATTTGGGGGTGGATGGAGGGGAAAGAAAGATCGCCAGTTCTTGTGTGACATGTTTTGTTCGTTTTGACGGGGTTCTTCAAGGTGGAAACAAAAGGGCAAAGATGCCGAATAGAAAGGAAAAGGAGGATACCTTATGAACTGCAACTACAAAATGTACTAGAAGAGGGGAGGGGAGGGGGTGTGGTTCGAAAGACTTTACGTCCGAATTAGATATTGCCCTGTTTGGCTAAGAGGGTGAGAGAAAGCTGTCTGAAACGAAAGCTTTGCTGTGCGGCTCTAGCGGAAGGTTGAGAAGGGAGGAAGTTGAGTTTTTTTGGGCAAGCAACAAGTTGTGGGGAAAAAGAGGGGGGTTGTTTTTGTTCGCAGAGATACTTTGGAGGCTGCGTGATGGCCCAGCGATTGGGAGGTACCTACTTTGGTGAAGTTGAGTGTTCAGCCAGCTCCATGGCGTATGATTTGGAGAAATTGTACTTTCGGCTGTACGTATAGAAGTAGCTGTGCGAAGAAGAGAGGGGAGACGAGAGAGGATAAGGTACTTGGCCCTTGGACACGTGGGTATCAAATGTCAATGCCAAAGGGGGGGGTTGAGGAGCAATATCGCACAGCCAACTTTTTTGCTCGGCGAAAGACGAAGAGAGGGGGCATAACATCAACAGAGGCTTCATTCGGGGCAACAAGTTACGACGACGTTTTTGATGCCTCTGTTTGGCCAAATGCCCGGTTCCGCGCTTAGACGGGCAACGTAAGCACTCAACAGGTATTAATTAGCCTTTCTCCCAGATTCATGCAATTCCCTTTCATTCAATGCTTGCAACAATGCGTGCTTCGGGGGGAATGCAGAGGCAAAAGAATGCCAACCGATGATGTCAAGCCGTCGCCATCGGCTGCGCGTTATTGATGGGGGTGAGATCAAAGCCCGGAGATGCCTCCGTGTGCTAAGGTGCAGGCTCCGAACGATGGGGGATGGACATTGGAGATTAGAGAGGCCCGACGACGAGCTAAGGCAGTTTTCTGAGGAAGGCCTGCAGAGTAGTAGTATTCCCGTCGCTTTCATGGGCGAAGAGGGAAAAGCCATTGGCTTGTAAAAGCATAAAGAGGCCCAGTTGTTGTCCTGTCCAATTCTCTCCCCTTGGCTACTACATGCTGGGTATTAACCCCGTAGGTGGAAGGCGTGCCGTGATGATCCCCGTCAAACCTAGTACTAAGTTGACTTGGAGATGACAAGGAAGCGTGGGGAAGAAAACTAGTATGCAGTACTGCGAAAAAAAAAAAAATGGACAGTAGCCGGCATGGATTGGATACTCTCTGCATGGACTATTACTGTAGAGGCCCATCCAAACAAGCGGCGGAGGGAGCGGGAACGACATTGTCGAGGTGGGATGAATTGGCGAAGGGGGGATGAGATCTACAGTGCATTCTGCGCTTACTCCGGCAATCAGATAAAATGAACAACCAAAGGCAGCTTCTCATTACAGAGACGCCACGAGAGAAAGGGCAAAAAAGCAATCTAGTAGTACGCAAGGTTCTCGAATTACAGGTAAGGTAGTAAAAGTAAGCATCGCATGTACCGTTGGAGATTCGAGGTTCCATGGACCAAAACAGCAACGGGGCGTGAACATGATATTATTAATTGGGGCGGGTGGCCGTAGAATTGAAAAGGACAAAAAAGGACAAAAAAGAACGAATCATCATTTCCAGGTACAAGCTGGGCTGAGGCCGAACAAGTACCGTTTCCGCAGCGGTACCTTCAGTACTTTGGGTTGCTGCTCTCCAGCTCTTATGACTGGACCTCCTTTCGTTCTTACCTAGTACTTAGTACCTAGTAGTGGCATGGATGGAAGAGGAAGTAATACATACCTTACACGTTGTTTGTGTCCAGACAATGTGTAGATTGGATTGTTCCCCCCAAATTTCTTTCTCTTCTCCAATTTCACACATGAAAATGTCAAATTGACAGCTTTGTAGGTGTTAGTTACATAGCTGTAGGTACGAGTACGGGTCAGCTGAATGAGCAACTGGAATGCAAAGAGCCAAATTGAATTGAAAGCCTGGCCAAGCCCCATAGCGGTAAAACGCGCCGGGGCCCGAAACGAAAGCCTCATTTGCAACTCAGCTGAGCTTCAGCTGCCCTTCTCAAGGTAGAGTAATCTCGAACCAACAACACGAGTTGATACCTACTGGCAGTAGTACCAACCTGTCTGGTAGTAGTGATATTTCGGATGGACTTCGTATAGGTTCGTAAGGAAAGCTTCAATTGCCATTCCCTCATTCACTCATTTAAACGCCCTCCCTCGTTCGATTCAACGTTGCATAGGTACTCACGAATACAAGTACATCATGTACAGCAGGCAATCCTTGTAATCCCGCAATCCCGCAACCTTTCAGGGCTGAACCCGCCGGACATGACCTCACCATCACAAGGCAAGATCCACGATATCCCTACATGCAATGCCGAACAAGGGGGGACAAGGGTGGGGAAAGGGGAGTGCAACAAACAACAACAAAACAAACAAACAAACAAACAAACCAGAACCAGCCCAATGAGTACGTAAAAGGGGGCGTGTCAATCCCCAAGCAACAAGAAACAAACAAAAAAAAAGAAGTCCACAGCGGAAACTGCGGAAGAAGACAACTCCCAAGTGAATTAAGTAGATAGTAGTAGTACCATCGAAACCCGGGATCGCGAGATATCCGTGGCCCCGTCAATAACACAAATCATGAAACCAGGAAAAAGGGGGTGGAGGGAGGGGGCGTGTAGTTGTAAGCTGTGGGGGAAAATAGAAACGCCAACTTCTCACCTCTTTCGTTGCCTTTTTTCTCGAATCGTTCTTCCTGATTCGAAGCGGTCTTTTACGGATAACCGCTGCCGTGGTCCGGCACGCCGGTTCTCTTAGCCCTTCTCTCCTTTTCCCATATCTACAAATTCCAATGTCAATTACACCTACACGTACTCGTACCTTCACGTACGTACACGTGAAAGTAGACAAATTTTAGTGAGACTAAAGAAAAAACAGGGATAATCCATGAAACGGGATCGTATCTCGCCCGTGGATACGTGCTTCTTCGAAAGAGCGAAGCAGCCTTCGAACGAATTCCCTCTACTGGTAATGTGGAACGGAAACAAAGCAGCAACCTCAACCCCGAAGGCTACGGAGTAGTATTACTTGTCGAACTCCGTCTTGGTTTATCTATAGCAGCATCCCAAGTTTAACTAATAATACAGAGTAAAAAAAGCTACCTAGTGTTTCTTTACTTTCGTGATGAGAAATAGAAGCAATTTGAGGAGACTGGATGTATATGGCAATAGGAGCAGAAACATCAGCTTTATGTAACCTGAAGCAGCAGTTGAGATTTCCAAGGCATTATTAAAACTATGCAACTAAAGCACATGTAAGCCATATTAGACCAAAGATTGTAGGAGATACCAAAGGTTTGTCCCATCCCCCAAGCATCAATTCCCATTTCCAGTAGTAATTATCTCACCCGTCCTTTCAATACGCAAAGAGCTCTCTACTGGTAAAGGGCAACGGAAACAAGCAGCACCTCGACCACCGCACCTCTGGAAGCTACGGAGTATTACTTACTAGTATAGTCCTACAAACTAGATACTGCCCGCACATACCGGAGCTTTGTAGGCTGTCTATGCCTAGGCAGCTGACATTCAATGTTCTTCCTCTCCGGACGAACTTCCTTGGCCAAGGCCGAAACGTCGAATTCTGTTTTCAACTGAAGCAGCAACCAATGTTACTGAAACTGACTAAAGCACAGATTGAGCCATTTGGATTTTGGGGGGGTGTAAGAGATATCAAAGGCTTGCCCATCTCCTAAGCGATTCTCACCCCCCCATGATGATTCTTCTCACCTGTCCTTCGAATGCGCAAAGAGACCCGCGACATGGAGAATAAAGCACAGTAACTTAACTAGTATAAACAATGCCGCTCATTCAGTTATAGTGTACCTTGGTATATTACATTGACAATAAAATCCCATCCTCATCACCACTAAAGGAAAAGCTCGTCCCCCGTCCCGAGGGCGAGGTAAACTTGCCCCCCTCTTTTCCCCCTCCTTTCCACCACTACCTTTCATCTTCACCACAAATCTAGGACGCTGTCTGCTGATATATCATCTGGAAAAGTCTCATCTCTTTCCGCATTTTAAGAACAAAGAAGATCAAAAATCCTTCTAGTCTTCCTCATCTTCTTCTTCCTCTCTTCCGTCTCCTTCCTCGGGCCCCCCCTTTTCACTAAATCTTTCGAGTTCTGAAAATGCTATCATGCAACACAAACACAAAAGTAAAAGGGTAGTAAGACAAACAAAGCAATATAGAACAAAATTAAAGCTTTCGAATAAATTACTCGCCAGATAGGACAGAGAGAAGAAAGAGCACCATAGTGCCGAAATTCGAGAATGGAGAAAGATAAAACAGAACAGAACAAGCTGTGAGCAACAAGCTGTGAGCAACAAGCTGTGAGGCAGTATAAGTAGGGGGGGGGGCCAAAGAATAGGAGCAAATCATCAATCCACGCCGTCGTCGTTGACTTCGGAGCTCGGGCTCACCACCCGGCTGCTGTGGCCGCTGCCGCTGCCCTGGCGCAGCATCCCGCTGGCGCCGCCGCGACCCCACGGCCGAGTGTTGGTCACCACGCTCATCGCGACTCGTTCGGCTTCGCGCCGGCTAGCGGCCGTCTGCTGCTGCTGCTGCTGCTGCTGGTGGGAGCTGCTGTGGTAAGGGCTCGGCTCCTCCTCGTCCGTCTCCAGCAAGTCATCGTCCGGTGGTGACGCCGCCGCGTGGCCTCGCGGGCTTAGCCTCCGCATGGGCACGTCTTGCGAGCCATCGGCGTACAGATTCGGGTCTCTACCCAGAATGCGGTCCGCCTTGCTCGGGGCCCTCCTCGCGCCTCCTCCGTTGACGCCGTTGAGGGGTCCGCGGCCGTGGTAGTTGCCCGTGACGTCCGCGGTCGGCGACGGCATGTCCCCTCCGTATCCCCAGCCCGCGTTCACCTCTCGCTGGCGCTGCTCCTCGCGCGCATTCTTCAGCCTCTCGCGCTCCGCGACCCATTTCGGGTTCGGCTCCCAGCTCCAGCCGTCGCCGGTCGTGTTGCAGATGGGGAAGAACCACAGCAGCGGCGTCGGGCCAAAGAGGTGCAGCAGGTTGCGCTTCCAGCCGAGGTCAAACGCGTTGGGCAGCTTCTCCGAGTCCTGCTCGTCGAGGTACTCCTCGTAGCGCTTGCGGCTCTGGTACCGCTCCAGTTCCTCGTACGACATGTGCGCGCGCGGCGGCGTCGGCTCGTGCTGCGACCGCCGCTCCTCGCCCTCTTCCCGGGTCGTGATGCCCGGCAGCGCGGTGGCGTGAAAGTCGACAAACTGCCTCGCCTGCGGGATCCCGTTGGCGAGGCCCTGGGCCTGGTGAAGCGTCCTCTTGACCGTCGACAGGTACCGCGTCTTCTCGAGACACTCAATCGTCGTCTGGTTCCTGCACGCCAGCATAATGTGCCACGTCGTAAAGGCGCCGACCACGAGCCCGATGATGCCGCTCATGACGGCCAGCATGATGAAGTTGATGGGCAGCAGCGTGTCGAGATACTTGTTGTCGTCCATCACCTCCGTCCAGAACCAGGTGCCGCTGACGGCGAAGCAGTAGAAGGAGAAGATGGTGGTGTAGATGAGAAAGAGGAGGAAGGGCTTGTAGTTGCGCAGCCCGATGCACGACGCCAGCCAGGGGCAGTGGTGGTCCATCTTGAGGACGCATCGTCGGCACGTCGAGCAGTGGTGCGTGCGGTCCGGCTTGCGGGCCTGGCACTTCTTGCAGAACCGGATCTCGCCGTTGCTCTTGACCGTGAAGGACGTCGCCGTGCGGTGCTGGTTGCCGCTGGTCGGGAGGAGGCCGTAGCCGTCGTTGTTGGTCGTCGACCCGGGATCGGTGAAGACGGCCGTCGTGTACGACCAGTTGAGCAGCAGATAGAGCGCGACGCCAATGGCAGAGGATGTCGAGCCTGTAAGCCCCCTTGGTCAGCTCAAGCCCGTGCGAGCAATACAACGTTTCCGTCCAGTAGAAGAAGCGCAGACAGCCTCGTCACCCTGCCTCTTCCTTCCCCCCCCTTTTACTCTTGCTTTTTCTTACCTATCCAGCGGGTGCCGTCACTCTGGCTCCCAATGCTCACCACCACCCAGCACGCCCACGACGTCAAGCCATAGACAAATGCCAGCGGAAAGTACTTCGCCGTCATGCAGCACGCGCGCTCGAACCGGCGCGCCCATCGGAACGCCATGCTGGGATTGTCGCTGAACGACTCGTCTTCCATGAAGAAAATCCGCAGCCCGGTTCCCCCTTTCGTCCGTCCACTGGTTTGCGATCTCGTATGTCCAAGTTCGATGCTTCTCCGAGTTTTGTCGTCGCTCGTTCGGTTGCGGTTCTCGTTTGTCCTTCTTCTCTCTTTTTTTCCCCGTATCGGTATCGGTCAGGGTCAGTGAACCACGCGGCTCGGCAATCGAGATTGGCTGTGGTTTGTCGCCTCGCGCATTGGATGCCGCCTCGCTCTAATCGGTCGGGCCAGATGGTGCTGAGCAAACACGCCTGTACATGATCTGTTTGATTCGGAGGATTCGTAACACCCGCAGAGGACAGACGGAGTAGAGTTGCCTGCCGTGAGCTTAGGTCATCCAGGGGCGCAAGTTGGTTTCGGGATACTTCCCGAGTCGCCGGCTGAGCCTCGCGCGCTTTACCCCGTACGGGCATCGGCATGTTCTGGAAGCCAGTACTTGTATGTACTTCATACCCTGGACGACAACTTGAAAGTGTTGCTCTTTTGACTCACAACCAAGAAAAATTACTGAATAAGAGTAGAGTAGACATTTGTTTGCTATTTCCGCCATTTGTCTCGTTCTCCATAATAATCGCCCGCCATCCTTTGCACGTCTTGTCCTAACCGCCGACTACAGACTCAACCCCATCTTCAGTCTTTTCCCAAAAAAGGGGGGATATTCATCAATCCCCTTCCATCGCAATGCAGAAAGCCGTAGCCACAACTACCAGTAAACCTCATCCGACACGGCACTGACGGGATACTTTGTCTTGTTAACGGTGGCCTCTCCACGCAGCTTCTGCTTGACCTGCTCCGACGTCTTGAAGATGATGCTTCCATCCTGATACCGAGTTCTCTCCACGTCCACAAGGCCTGCCGTCAGCTGGTCCATAAAGGTCTCGTAGTGCTCCGTGTCTTGAATGCGGCACCTGGAACTTCGGGACTCAGCGTGCGAAGTGATGCCCGCCAGAGTTTTGAAAATTCGAAGACAGTATGGGCATCTGTAGCTCTTGTTTCCATGGACTGGCGATCGAAGATGGCCAACGAGCCCTCTCGCCGTCTTGAATGTTTTCCTAGGCGACGTCAGTAGTTGCAACAGACTCCAGCCACTCTAGACAAATCGTTCTTACCCGCACAGGCGTTTAGGGCAGTTGTATTTATCAGTGTAAATGCAGTAGTAGCGGGCGGCATTGAATGACGGGCAGTCTGGGTCATCAGGGTCCATTCCCGCAGTGATGGTTCTCACTCCCGATCCAAAGGCTGGGCGAGCAGTCTGAACTGGGCTTGGGGTCTCTTCATCATGGCCGTAGTTGTCCTCTCTGCTACCAAGGGTACCGGGATTCAAAAGCCGGATGGGAAGTTGAATGGTATTCGGGGTCTTTTGCTCCACGACAGCAACGGATGTTGTCTCAGCCTTGATGGCAGGTCGGAACGGAAGCTGGAGCACATGCTGGGTCTCAATGTTGCCATCGCTATTGCCGTTGCTCGGTTTCGACTTGCCCCATGAGGTGGTCTCGGAAAGCTGAATGTCACCCCCTTTGGTACCTGACAGGCCTGGAAACTCTTCTTGAACCAACTTGAACGAGGCCGGCTCCTCTTCAATGTGCCAGCCCGAGATTGCTTGTCCAGCATTAGCCGACGGCATATACTTGGTATAGTTACCTTTGACGGGTTCCTTTGTCAACTCCTGCAGTCGTCGAGGGAACTCGAGCTTTTCCTCTCGGAGCTGATCGAGTACGGCGGTATCAATGCGGTTGCAAAACCCCCGCTCGATATGGTCAATGAGAGCACCGAGGCGCTTGAACGGTCCCTGACCACAGCCGGGACACTCTAGGTTCTGCTCAAGAGGATGCTCCTTTTATCAAGTTTCCCAAGGTCAACAAAGACTCTGTCATGGCCAAGCTGCGACTGACTCACCACCTGCATGTGTTTCATCTCTCCCTCCAGGGTGTGGAAATCACGGCCGCATAACTTGCAATGGATGTGGTCCTCCTTGTTTTCGTTCCGCATGTACCTCTTGTGCTTGACCAGGTCTTCGTAGACGGAAAAGGGCTTCTGGCAATGCTTGCAGAACCAAGGGCCCTCGGAGAAGGGATGGGAATCCATTGCGTCCATTGCGTCCATTGAGTCCTTGGGCCAGGACTCGCTCGGCGTTGCTGGCTTCGAGCTCTCAGAGAAACTTGGATGGAAAGAATATCAAGGGCATCCAGATAGAACGAGATCGAATTGGAAGAGTAGATGAAAAGATGCAGAGCAGCTTCGAGGGACGCGGATGCTATCAAGCAGGAAAGAGTTTGGCCTGAGGCAGCCTTAGAATCGAGTCTCGAGGGCAGGAGCGCAGCTGCAGTGAATCACGGTGCAGACACACAGGCGTTTTCTGGCGCAATGATTCAGCCTAATACAGTTGAGCTGAACAATAGCAAGGCCTTTATTGCCTGGGCAACTCAATAGACAGAGAAGAGCACCTCGTATGAAGGCACGTGGCTGATGGGTTGTTGCTGCCTCAATGGTACCATTCATTGGACACTGGTCGGAGCAGGGCACAACAACTTGGAAGTGTGTGCGTCTTCGAGCTATCGTGAAGCCTGAAAGGCCACATGTGCCTTGACCTTTCGTCTACGAGAATTGACAAGTTATCAAGATGGACTGGAGCCACGTCTCATGCTGATCTGTGCCACGAAACCAGCGCGAGGTCATCTACTCATCGCCATCGGAGTCACCATAACCACTTCCGACTTCATCTCCTTCAAAGTCAGCGGCCCCCATACCGTCTTCCTCGTCAAAGCCATTCTCGTTCTCAGCATTGTCTTCATCATCACCGTCCTCGTCCTCGTCCTCGTCCTCGTCATCACTACCAGCTTCAGAGTCCTCGCTCTGGTCCATCCTATCAAGTATGCTGACCTCTTCCGCCTCCGCATCCACATCCACTCCTGCGTCTGCGTCTGCGTCCGCATCTGCATCTGCATCATTTGTTGCGACGGTAGACTGCTCTTCTGTATCAACGCCCATTTTGGCGCGAGGGCGGACTCTCACGTTGTACACCTGGCTCTTCTTCTTCTTGGATGGCTCGCGTCCCCGGAGCAGCGTAAGCTCTTCTTTTGTGAGGTGCAGGTTAGGCAGCGGCAGATGAAATGTGGCCGAGGTTGACCGAACAGGCGTCTGGTCACCGCATTGCAGCGTCGGGGCAAAGTCCTCCTTGGTCAGTCGTCGACCAAACTGGATCGCCACGAGCTTCGTCTTCATGATGGCCTTGACTTTTGCCCACAGTCCTCCGTGATACCACCCACTGCTGACATCCCAAGTCGAACGCACCTCTGCATTGTCCAGCAGCTCCCGGAGCAAGGGATCCGTGATATCACACACCTGCCACACCTTGCCATCGGTATGGTACGTCTCTCCGTCGAAGATGTGGCTGGCTGACAACTCTTGGACAAACTCCTTTGTCCGGCCCATCTGCACTCTCCGTAGGGATTGCCAAGTCTGGTCCTTCTTTGCTCTCTTCTGCTTAGGAAGCTTGAACATGAGGGTCTGGTAGATGCGGTACTTGGGATCAGTTCTCGGATCGATTCCGTACGGCACGACCCCGTCTCGCCACGGCCCGCCCTTGAACTGGTACGCCGTATAGTTGAGGTACTTTTTCAGCTCGTTCCAGTTCCGAAGCTTGCCAGCAAGGTGGTTCAGCAGAGACCGGCGAGTCCAGACCGGCCGATCTTCGAATGCCTCCTCGAGCTGAGCGATAACTTCCACCATGCGGGGATCTGTCATGTCGGGTGGGATTTGGGGTCCCGTGGGGGCGGGATCTTCTGTCCCTATAAAGTGACCGACTTGCTTGACGGCAGTCGTGTTGACCGTTCCGCCATCTTCCGTCAGCCGAACGTACGGGTTCTGCGAGTAGAAGTAGTTGAACGGCAAGCTCATGTGAGTGAAGATTGGTGGTGGTATGATGTCCACATTGGGGCCCTGGTCGATGCCAGGGGTAAACTTGAACTGCTTGATCTTGTCGACTACAGCCATGGTCAGTTGATACGTCGCCTTTCAATGAGAGCAAACACAGATGGAAGGGAATGAGAATAGTAATACCGTCTCCGGGAAGAACTTGATCGACATATCTCCGCGCGAACGACGACTTGTCCATGTCCCAGTAAAAGTCAGCCAGGCCTCTGAAGCGATGCGTGTGCTTGATCAAGCCGACGGCCTCGACATGATATCTGCCAACATTGTCCTCTAGCTTTCGCCTCAGAAGCCTCGGATCATCGCGACGTGCTACGGATTGGACGTTTTCTGAGGGTAAAGCTGAGGTGTCGGTGTCTTGAAGCTCCATGTCTCCTTGCCAGGGCTCGTCCGTTCCGCGTTTGCGCTTCCTCCCCGTCCGCTTAGGGACAGTGACCTTGAGGACGACATTGTGAGACCTTGCGTTATGTGACATGATGGGCGGGCAGAACGGCTCTTCTGGGTTTATGTATAGCGGTATTGAGTTTCTGAGAGGATCCAGGACCTATAAAAGGCATCCCTATGAGCAAGACACACGGCGTGAAGAGCAGAGACAGCACATGCGAGCTATGGCGCAACAACTTACATGCCGCAGAGAAGGCGCCCTGCCAAACGCTCTGACAGCCCGGTCAACATCTTCGACGACGGCCGGGATCTCGACGGCCGTGAGCTCCCTTGGCGGTATGACATATCGCGGCGCGCCGTCTCGAGCCGTGCCTCTGGCGATGCCTCCCGAACTGACGCTGCCGCCGTCCCCTTGGCGAGGCGTGTCCATGGCGGACGTATCTCTGGCGGCGCCCAAGGATCGTGACTAGTATGGTATCCCAGCTTTGAAGCTTATCTCACGACCTGCAGCTTCAGCAGCTTCTGGATGAATGCCGAAAGAAGAAAAGAGACCCCAGACCCCTGCATCTAGCTGCTGGAAAAGCTCCCGCTGGCGAAACACTCTGAATGAAACGCCTGGAGCTACTAGGTACGAGTACTTGTTGCTCGTGCACAGTGCGGCTCCGTTGCACGCGGCAGCCGCTAAAGGAGGCCCCAGGTTAGGAGGTACGTAATTTACGCATCACGCGCTTGTTGGGGCGGTGTTTGGAAGTTGGCCGTCCGCACTTCCGATTGGTCAGTGGAACCCATATTACGGTGCGGTAATCTTTGGAGCACCGTATAGGAAGACCCTGTTGTTGTCAGGGAGCTTGGGCACTGCAATCATGGCCTGGCACAGAGAGTCCGGGGCCGTGAAGACGACAATCCCTGGTGGGATCAAATCAAATCAGAGCAAATCAAAGCAAATTTGAAAGGTGTCCTGCCATTGAGCGAGCGGCACATTGCCTGCTGTGCCGTTGCTGTTGCGATCAGCCGAGTCGACTCAATGCCCACCTAGCAACCAGCAACCGGCAACCAGCACAGCACAGCACAGGGTCAACAGCACTGTCGACCGGACGGCGATAGTGAGCCCAGTCCAGGTGCTAATCGCCATAGCGACCCTCAATTACAGCCCAGCCCCTACAGGCGCAGCGCAGCCCCCCCCAACCGGGCCCCAACTCCACTGGCCGGATCGCTGAGCAGGTCCCCGGCCGCCGCTGCCAGCATCCAATCGAACTGTGCTGGAACTCTGCAAAGCTCCAGGCAGGCTCAGGTGAGGTTCCACGTTCCACGACTCGACCTGGACTCTTCAGCAACCTGAACCGCAACTCCCCCGCGTCCACGCCTCTCGACGGCTAACCTCCAAGCTGCTATTGCTTGCCGTCTGCTAGTGGTAGCTCCAGCCAGCCCTCTGCTCCCCGAACCCGAGCGCGCTGCCAGCTTCCAGCCCGCCGCTGACGCTCTCTACTCGTCTCCGTCTACATCTCTATCCCGGCTCCTCGTGCGATTACTCTCGCGGGCGACAGCAGCATCACGGGCGGAATCAACGGCCAGCCATCGCCTCTCGACGCCGACACTGCGCGACCAGCCGACAATTGGTCACCCCGACGCAATCCCTCGTCCAGTCCAGACGCAGCTCCTTGGCCCGACTGCCATCGCACCACAGCGACCCCCTGCCTCTTTGCTGCTCCCGACCAGCTCCCTGAGACCCGCGTTCCTGCGTCTGAACGAGCCTCGCTGTCCCTCCCACGTCGAAGCAGCCGCCGCCTACCACAAGCCGTCGAGGGAATCAAAAAGAGCCATCGCCTCTGCCCATCGCCATCTCCCTCTGCAAACACGCGCCTCTCGTGCTCCGACGCCGTCGTTTGCCCCCGGCATAGCTGGCGTTGCCCCCCCTTCGCCTAGGCTCGCCTCACCCTCCGCTCCGCATCCCGACTGTGTTGCCTTACTACCCCACTGCGGCTACGGAGTTGGCTGGACGGCCTCCGGTCTTCGATATAGTTTATCCCTGAGCAGCGTTGCCAGTCACGATGAAGCGATTCAGCCAGAGAGTGGTAAGTCCCCCATCCCTTGATGCTTGCTGTGCGCTCGCGCCAAGCGCTGCTGGCGTGCCCCCTTTGCCCAAGCTGTTTGGCAGCTTCTGATGCGAATCGTCAACCAGCTCTCGCGAGGCAAAGATGCCACCAAGTCCTCCAAGAAGAATAAGGATTCCAAGGATGGAACTTCGTCCCCCTCGTCCCGAGACTCCAACCAGTCGCCGAATCTGACCCCGTCGTCGTCGACATCGACCCTCAACGACCTCCGCAACAAGCCGCTGCCGCAAGGCACAGGCCATGGCAATGATCACGGCGGTGCCGGCCAGCCCTCCGGCCCTGCTGGCGGTTCTCAACAGAGCCTCGCCGACCGCTTTGCGTCTATTGGCAGCAGCGCCAGCCCCAACGGCGCCAATGCAGCTGGCAGAGGGCCTCCCACTGTCGTCATCAGCCCGACACCTGGTGTAAGTATCTGCTCGACCTTTCGCAGGCAGCTCGCAACTCTTCATGCTAACTATCCACCTTCTGCTAGCACATCCCTCCGCCTGGTGCCACCGAGACGATGCCCCATGAGCTGGCACCCCCCAAGGCTGGCCAGAAGTCACTCATGATCAACCGCATGGACAACCGAGATGCCATTCCGGAGGGTTTGCGGACGCCGAAGCGACAGCACTCCTCCCGGTTCGACATCTCCGCCCACCGCGAGCTGGAAAAGCTCCCGGGCTTCCACGAAGTGCCGCCTAACAGGCGCCAGGAGCTGTTTATGCAGAAGATTGATCAGTGCAACGTCATCTTTGACTTCAATGACGCTAGCGGTGACATGAAGGCCAAGGAGATCAAGCGGCTAGCTCTTCACGAGCTGCTGGACTACGTTGCCAACAATAGGCAGGTTATCACGGAGCCCATGTATCCCAGAGTCGTCGACATGTTCAGCAAGAATCTTTTCAGACCAATCCCGCCACCGCTGAACCCCCAAGGCGAGGCTTTCGATCCGGAGGAGGACGAGCCCGTTCTGGAGGTCGCCTGGCCGCACATTCAGGTCGTCTACGAATTCTTCTTGCGCTTCATCGAAAGCCAAGACTTCAACACTAACATTGCTAAAGCCTACATCGACCACAGCTTTGTGCTGCAGCTGCTGGATCTTTTTGATTCTGAGGACCCTAGAGAGCGAGACTTTTTGAAGACGACACTGCACCGCATCTACGGCAAATTCCTCAACCTGCGGTCGTTCATCAGGCGGTCAATCAACAACGTCTTCTTCCAGTTCACCTACGAAACCGAGAGGTTCAACGGCATCGCCGAGCTTTTGGAGATTTTGGGCTCCATTATCAATGGTTTCGCCTTGCCTCTGAAGGAGGAGCACAAGATCTTCTTGACGCGAGTTCTGCTGCCCCTGCACAAGCCCAAGAGCCTGAGCATGTACCACCCCCAGCTCGCATATTGTATTGTCCAGTTCCTGGAAAAGGATGCATCCCTCACCGAAGATGTAAGGAGAACCCCTTTCCAACCGTGTTGCGACTATACTAACTGAAAACGCTACGTAGGTGGTTCTCGGGCTGCTACGCTACTGGCCAAAGGTGAACAGCACCAAGGAAGTCATGTTCCTAAACGAGGTTGAAGACATCTTTGAAGTCATGGACCCGGCCGAATTCGCCAAGGTCCAGGAGCCTCTGTTCCACCAGCTTGCTAAGTCCGTGGCCAGCCCTCACTTCCAGGTCGCAGAGCGGGCGTTGTACTTCTGGAACAACGAATACTTTTGTAATCTTGTCAGTGACAATGTGGAGATTATCCTCCCCATCATGTTTGCGCCTCTCTACGAGAACTCTAAGGGTCACTGGAATAGGTATGTGGACGACGACGTTTACTGCTCGGAATCGAGTGGCAGGTTTACGGAAACTAACGCGCGCGCAGAACAATTCACGGCATGGTTTACAACGCAATGAAGCTTTTCATGGAGATTAACCCTCAGCTCTTTGACGATTGTTCCCATGACTATACGGAGCAGCAGAACAGCGCAGCCGCTCGAGAAGCACTGCGGGAGCGAAAATGGGCCGCCCTATCCCAACAAGCCGAGGAGCGGAGAGCGTCCATGGGGCTCAGCTCCGGTGCGGCGCCTGGAAGGGCTCAGGGAGGGCACCTCCCGCCATTGGCAGAGGTTGATCCCGCCGCTGAAGACAACCAGAAGCGCCTCGACTCGCTAAAGCTCCAAGATGCCACCAGTCAACAAAACACCCATGAGCGACAAGCCTCGGTAGGGTCTACTCGCAGCAGATAACCATGGTGTGATCAACGAGCCTCTTCTCTGAAAGCTAACGGCTGCTGGCCTTTACCCTCTTCTTCTTCCTCTGTCCATCCAAGGGCCCTCCGCTTTCGCTGTCGTTCTCTTGGCCAGCATGAGTCTGCCACAGAGACTTCTCTACAAGTACCGTTATGCTAGGTGCCCGAGGGGCTTTCCAGCCCTTCAGTAGTTTTCTTTTTCGGGGGGATTTTGGATGGCAGATCAACGTCAGGGCTGGAGCTGGGGCCATAGGGGAAATTGCTTCTAGGGGTCTGCGAAGGGGGCTGTGTTCAAGTAATGTTGATGATTCTTGTCTCTTTTCTTTTCTTTTTTCGTCTTTCCACGTGTCATCTGCATAGGCAGAGTTTGCAAAACACCGATATTGAGCAGGATTCGTGTACAAGGGGGGTCGATCCAATAATTATTATTCTTTTTGCTCCCTTTTCTTTCTCTTATTTGACTAGATTCAGCATTTCTTCTAAAAAAAAGACGTGAGAAGGGGAAAGCACGCACAGTGAGCAAAAGTGCACTACAAATACGAGGGCAGAGGAGAGAGAAGGGCGAGAAGTGGTTGTTATACATCAAGACAGTACTAGGCATGGTGAAAAAGACAGGAAAGCCTTCGTTTCCAATTTCTTTTGTATCTTCTTATCAAAACAGACAGGCAGAGGGGGATTTGTGGCGTGAACGGGCAGGACTTTGGGGCTTTTTCAGTTGATGGAACTGGGGGGTCAAATTGTAAGTTGCTTGGATTGTTTTAGCACTTTTCCTTGCTTTGAATAGACCATTTGCTTTTGTACTCGAATTACTGTTTCACTTCCAGCTTCTAATGAACTCCAGCTGAACGTAGGATGTATCTAGTCTTTGCTCTGCTGGAGTCAACTCGTAGAGTCCTAACCAGCCCGAGCTCGTCACGTCTAAAACATCACATCTTTTACAAAACTTCAAAAGAACCCTATTCGCCGACAATATGACCTAAAACGCCCCGCAAACGTAAATTTTGGTATCCGTCGAAAATATCAAGGTAGACAAGGTAGAGTTAGCACTTTCAATACTGCCCTCGATAGCCACCGCGGCCGTACCCGCCTCTTCCACGACCCCTATACCCGCTGCTGCCGTTGCCGCGTCCATATTGGTTGTTGTGCTGAGGCGGCTGAGAAGGAGGCGGCGGCGGCGGCGGCGGCGGTACAGATGCTGTAGGGAGTTGATTCATGCTCATCAAGTGAGCCATCAACGGGAAAGGAGGTGCCCAGCCGCCGTCCTGAGGGATGCCGTACGGCGGAGGGGGCGCCGTGCCGGGAGCAGCCCACTGCGGTGGGAATCCTCCCATGGGCGGAGGCAGTGGTGGTGGAACGGGAAACGGGAATGCCAAGGGGTTGGGAGGCGGAGGGTGTGGAAATGGAATGGGTGGCATAGGAGGAGGTTGAGGAGGGTGAGAAGAGCCATCGCCATACTGACGAGAGTCGGCTTGCTCGTTGCCGCCGTGTCTCCTGTGCGAACTTCGACTGCGGCTGTCACGGCCGGGGCTGCCGCCTTGATCCCGACCACGAGAGCGGCTGGGGCTTCGACTGTAGCTTCGGCTGCGACTTCGACTTCGACTGCGGCTGTCGCTATAGGACCGATCCCGTTGTCGGCTGCGACTTGGGGAGCGCGAAGACAGCCTGGGCCGTTTGAAAGAAGGCGGCGACGAGCTCCGGGATCGCCCCCGAGAAATGCTTCTCGATGTCGACCTGGGCCACGACTTGGACGCGGACCGTGAGCGCTCCCCGGATTGCTTCTTCCGCCTCTCCCTCATGCGCTCGCAGAACTGGCGAGACCAGCCGTAGTAGCTGTCTCCTCCGATCACCTCGCCCGTGATTTCGTCCAGAATGATGCGCTCTCCCATTTCACTGTAGCCCGTGTGTACGTCGTCGCTCGGCTCGCTTTCCTTGGAGTATATGTAGTCTGCGTCCTTCAACAGCGTCTTGACGGCATCCACGACTCGCCTATCGGCCGGGCCCGCCGCCAGTTGAATGGGCCGGATCTGGTCAGGAATCATGGGCCTGGAGGAATTCGGGGTGATGTGAGGTAACCAGGTTCCGGCAGGCAGATCGTACCATGGGATGGAAGGGTCTCCGTGGAAGGAGGGCAGGATGTATGGGGCGTCCTTGGCGAGCTTGAGCGAGGTCTCGGAGAGCTCGAGGTTCACAGCAGTGATCTCGGCAGAGCCATTGGCCAGAGCTGTGCGGAGCTGAGCAATCACGTCTGGTGCGAAATAGGCCTTCTCCTCCCACAGATCGATCAGGGCGCCGAGCTTCTTCTTGTGCTTGGGGCAGTTGTCGAAGGCCGCCGCGTTCCCCATCATGGAGGGCAGGACTCCCGCCCACGCCTCTCCCACCTTGCGGCTGCCCTGGCGCACAGTCTGGTGGTGGAGGACATCATTGACAATGTACAAGAGATGCAGCCTCCGCCTCTTGGCGCTGGGGCGCTTCCCGTCAGCCTCCACGACCAGGTTCTTCGACAACACGGCCCAGTACTTGCCCAGGGCAGTGCAACGCGCCGTGGACGGCACAATGTTGTCGACGATCCAAGCCTTGCATTTCTGCCCAGCGAGTTTTAGCAATTTGAGCGCGCATGTGAGCGCATGTGACGAAGCGCCTGCGAGCAGTGAATGGGTCAAACCTGGACGTTCTGGCGAGAGCACTGGACGATGGCCTTGTCTAGCAGCGAGAAGAAGTCGTCGACGGCGGCGCGGTTCAGCGAGGTCGGGTCGGCGCGGAAGAGAGTCGCCGACAGTGTCGCCTTGGTGATGGCCAGCTCAGGCGAGGCCATGGCGGGTGGGAGAGGAGGCCCCAATAGGGTGCAGGATGCTTGGGTTGATCTGCCACGGCTTACGGATATGAAGTGATTGAAGGTTGGCCGAGAGAGCTTGAGGCTGTTCACGACATGCAAGTTTGTCGCATCTCGCGGGAAAACCTCGGAAGTGCGGCCTTAGCTCGAGAGCTTCGGAACAAGCTCCATGATGGGTGGGCTGATGGGATTGCCGGAGCTTGGATGAATGAAAAGAAGAGTGTACGTGATGGCTTCGCTGCAGATAATTGGAATGACCCAAGATCAGGGTTGGAAAGAAAGGGAAGGTCTGATCTTCAAGCCTGGATGATTGCTCATAAGGGGAGGCAGCGAAGACGAGACACCAAAGAAGCAGCCCTCTATGGAAAAGTATGACATAGGGATGGCCTCATTTCAGGGTCCAGTCGTACCACACACCATATACCCATTCTGTGTGTGAATCCCATCACTCAAGGAGCTGCACTCGCAATCTTTGTACTCGTTTTTGCCAATGTTCAGTCCATTTCTCTCATTCGAGCGAACTTTTACAAGCAGTTATTATTTTTGCCATCAGTGGGCGGAGCGACGACTACTTAACCCTGCCAAGGGCGTTACTATATGTTACACCATGATAATATACAAGGCCAGCATGGATTCCCAGCATAAACAGCAATAAGATGAGCTCCTCTTTTTCACCCTTCTTTTTTCATGCCCTCCCTCTCTTTCTTTAGCTGAACCTGTCCCCTTTCCGGGCTCGATACGGCACATCGCTCTCGTATTTGCTTTTCTCGGTTATCCGCTGGGACTCTGTCGCCGGGGCATGCCTCGTTGCCGCAGGATCGCTGCCTGCCTCTTGGCTCGGCGAACCAGCGTTGTCGGTCCTTGCAGGGCCACCGTTGCCCGCCCCAGAGCCTGCAGAGGCCATGGCCAGCTCATTCTCCAGGGCCTTGTTCGCTGCAATCTTCTTGTGGTGCGCCTCGAGCTTGGCCTGGCGATCAGCCCGGATTTGCTGCTTGGCGAAGACGTATGCGCCGGCACCGGCTGCGCGTGACAGATCAGCTGAGGGAGCTGGACAAAGGAGAGCGAAGCGTCTGCCTACCAACACAAAGGGAGCCCCATCCCAGCCTGAGGTGAAGGCGAGCGGAAAACAGCCTGTGGTTAGCAACCGTTGTTTGTTGAAAGCAGTGACATGCGGGTGTGGCGGGCTAGTACCAGAAGGATTTCGCCTGTATAGAGCGAGAGTCAGTCGAATGCTCGGTATCCAGAGCCGGACGGAGCAGCACCTACAGTGTTCATCGTGGCGGTAGAGAAGAATAATTCCTGGATTGAGGTGATTTGTTTCGGTGAGCTTCGGCTGTCAAAATATATCGCGGCAGTGGAGATGGGAGTTGATGCTAGGAGAAAGCTTGACAGCCAAGTCGTCCGATCGAAAAGCTTAGCCGGCGGCGATGCGCCTGTACGCGCGATTGGCCCGGCGCTGCGGCGCTGCTGCCAGTGGTCTCGGCACGGCTCTTCAGTGGCCTGGGCGCCGGATCCCAGCGCGCAGCCGCCTGTGGCTCACACTGTACAGGGGCATCCTTGCCGAGATCCAATTTGCAGCGCCAAATTAAACAGGCCCAGCCATTTCCTGGATATGACATAGATCATCCGCACCCTCTAAAGACACGCAAGCACCAGCCTCGACGCCAGAAGCTTTTGCACCGCAGCAGCTGCAGGAGAGGCGCCCCTTTTCGCGTGAGCCCTTCGTCGTCGACCAGAAGGGGTTCATACTTGAGCTGTCCTGCGAACCGTCCGGCTGCGTCAGCGATGCTCTTGTGTCGCATCTCACGCTCGACACCGTCTGAATAGTCCAAGTCCGGCCTCGTCACCGCGATCTCAATCCGCCCCTCCATAATCAACCCCCCCTCTCGGACCGCACCGATTCTCACCGGGCACGCGAGGACTCGACACTTTCTTCACCTCTCAATCCGTCACTGGCTGCTCTGCGAGGCACCTGTCACACCTCTTGGTGCGCGTATGGTCTTGTAGAGGAACCGAAGCCGTGGGTGTAATGGGTGATTTTGCCCAGAACCCCACCGATCAGAAACCATGTCTTCCCCCAACATAGAGCAGACAGAAGGCAGCGGGCCTGATGACTCTTCCATTGTGAGTTGTCCTCCGCAGCAGGAACAGGTCTGGGATACTGATGCCTTGTCCTCACCACCAGAGGCCCGTTTCCTCCCTCCTTGCTCGATTCGAGAATATGAACAAGGCCGGCCCGGCGCAACCTCAGCCTGCTTCCGCTCCCAGTGCTGCTCCAGTGCCCCCTCAGTCGCGCAACGCCTCGCCTGGGCCAAAGCCGGAACGGCTGAAGAGCCTTAAGCCAGCGCAAGAGACCCCGATGGCTCCCGCTAAACCGCCGAACCTGAAAGACCGAGCTGCTGCAACGGCTTCCCCAGCGAACCGAGATCGAGGGCCCCCGGCGCCACCGCCTCCTCTCTCGACGCGGCCGCCTCCGCCTGCTGTGACGAAACCCCCGGTGTCCATTCACCCGCCTGCAGTTACGGTTCAGCCTCCACAGTCGCCCCCCAAAGCCGCGCTGAATAGCCTTCCGGGGGAGCAATCGCCCTTCCTCGACCCCGTCACCGTATCTTCTGCCACGTCGAGTCGATCCCCTACGCCGCTTAGGATATCAAGTCGACCGCTTACTCCAACTGGCAGTGGTGGTGGTAGTGGTACTGGGACGCCTCGATCTCCAAAGCAAGGGAATACGAAGGCTCCGTCGCCGCCGCCTCCTAGGCGATCAGGCGAGCTCAAGCGAGAGAAGGAATGGAAGCCTGCGCCGCCACCGCCGCCGGCCCCGCGATCAGAGAAGGCGCTGATGAGAGCAAATACCGTGATGGAGACGAGAGGCAGACCGGTGACGAAGAGAGCCAACCGTTCTCAAGAGTCGTCCCCTTTCGACGGCGCATCGAGAAACCCCGAGCCCAAGTTTGGAGACAACCCGCCAGAGCTGCCGTTGCGACCTAGGCCACAGCAACAGAGCGATGCGCCAAGTAGGACAAAGCAGCTCGCGGGAGCATTCGAGCAGCCAGCCACAACCCTCCGCCCTTCCATGTCTGTGCGGAAACCAGCACGAGAGGGAGAGCTCAATGGCTTTGCCAGGGCTCCGATGACCCCTCAACTGACCGGCGACGCTCGCCCTGCCTTGCCAGCAAGGCCCCAAACCACCGACATACCCCCTCAACCACCAGCAAATAACGGAATGAAGCCACCTCCTAAACCTCCGCGGCCAGCGGGGCCCAGCAGCACGCAGACCGTTGCCGCTTCATCTGTTTCCCAGCCACAGCCTTCAGTACCTAACGCGAACCGAGTCGTTTCCAATCCGCTGGCCCAACAAGCACCCCTAAAGGCACAAGGACGGACCAAAACAATGGACTTTGGGGCAGCAGAACATGCCGCTTCGGACGTTCGTGCCCCCTCAGCACCGGCTGCAGCCCCAGTAGTAAATCAACCCACGGCACCCATTGTAAATGAGGGAGTCGCATCAAGATCTGAGCCCCCAACTCAAATCACAGCGTACCCCGACAGCTCAAGCATCAACCGGCGGCCTCCCTACATCAAGAAGGGTTGTTATGACATCCAGCCAAAGTATGATCCTCGCCTATTTGACGTTTGCGGGCAGTATGTCTGCACCACCGGCCCCTTGACCCGAGTATGGAGCCTTCTGGACGGAGAACAGATTGTCAGTCTGGCGCATACGGAGGGTGTCAAGGCCACCGCTGTGTCTTTTAAGCCATGTGCGGATCCTGATCATGAAGGCTCCAAGGTGTGGATCGGGACCAACCTGGGAGAGATTATGGAGGTTGAGATCCCGACACAGCGCATACTGATTTGCAAAGCGGGTGTTCATGGCAAGTCGGAAGTCACAAAGATATATCGACATCTTAACGAGATGTGGACTGCCGACGAAGGCGGCAATCTCCACGTCTGGGGTCCCGACGCCGACGGAGAACCAAATTTGAACAACTACCCGCACCAGACATTCAAGATACCCAAGGGCGAAACCTTCTCGATGGTTGTGGGGGACGAGCTCTGGCAAGCGACTGGAAAGCAGCTACGGGTGTTTGCTCCCACGCGAGACAATCGCACCCCATTCCAGGTCCTTGTGAGACCAGTCACGGTAGAAGGAGCTGGAGACATCACCTCAGGAACGCTGCTGAAGAGCTACCCCGGCAAGGTCTTCCTGGGGCACGCTGACGGAAAAATCAGCATCTTCTCTACATCCGACTATTCTTGCAAGACGATTGTCAACGTCACCACCTGGAAGATCAATACGATGGCCGGCGTTGGCCAGTACCTTTGGGCAGGATACAACACTGGAAAGGTGTGTGTCTACGACGTTGCTCAGACGCCGTGGGTGGTGTTGAAGGAATGGCAGGCGCACGACAACACCGTTCTCAAGATGAAGGTAGATTTTGCCAGCGCGTATCAGCTAGACCAGTTACAGGTCGTCTCCCTGGGTGCAGATAGCCGTGTCAAGGTGTGGGACGGCCTGCTGCAGGATGACTGGCTTGAAGACGAGATGAAGTCCAAAGACACGACATATTGCGACTTTGAAGAGATCAAAGCGCTCATCTTTACGTGGAACGCCGGTGCTTCCACCCCTCATAGTCTCCGGTACTCTGACGGCGACGCCACCTTTTTCCAGAACCTCTTGCAATCGAGCGGCTCTCCCGACATCTTGGTGTTTAGTTTCCAAGAGCTGGTAGATTTGGAGGACAAGAAAGCGACTGCAAAGCGGCTGCTCAAGTCGAAGAAGAAGGAGGGCCCAGACCAGGAGCGAATGAGCCACCAGTACCGAGACTGGCGGGACTTTTTGGTCAAGACGCTGGACGATTACATGCCGGCAGATCACTTGTATCATCTCCTTCACACTGCACCCATGGTGGGACTCTTTACTTGCGTCTTCGTCAAGTCAACGCTGGGGGGCAGGATCACGCAAGTCAGGGGCGCAGAGGTGAAGCGAGGCATGGGAGGTCTGCATGGCAACAAGGGCGCAGTTGCTGTTCGGTTCCAGGTGGACGACACGTCTCTCTGCTTCGTCAACTGCCATTTGGCGGCCGGCCAAACGCAGGCCAGCTCCCGGCATAACGATGCAGCAGCCATACTCGAGGCCAGCCTGTTCCCAGAGGAGCGCGATTCCGAGGTTCGGATCAACACATACAGCGGTGGTGGAGACGGCTCCCTGATTCTCGACCACGAGCTTTGCATTCTCAACGGCGATCTCAACTACCGCATCGACACCATGTCGCGGGACACGGTAGTCAAGGCCGTCGAGCAAAACAATCTGGCCAAGCTCCTTGAGCGAGACCAGCTGCTTGTTGCACGCCGCCGCAACCCAGCTCTACGACTGCGAGCATTCGAAGAACTGCCCATCACCTTTGCACCGACGTACAAGTACGATGTGGGAACCGACACGTACGACACCAGTGAGAAGCGAAGGAGCCCTGCGTGGTGTGATCGCTTACTGTTCCGAGGACGCGGTAGAGTACAGCAGTTAGACTATAGACGACATGAGGTGAGGGTGAGCGATCACCGGCCGGTCACTGGAGATTTCCGACTTTGGGTCAAGAAGATTCGGCCAAAGGAACGGGCGGCAGCATGGATGCAGTGCCAGCAAGGGTTTGAAGACGTACGGCAAAAGGAGTTGGCAGAGGACAAGTAAGTGGTCTCCATCCTGGCACGCACACAACGGCGTTTTCTGACATGAGATGAACACAGACTTTATTATCTGACAGAAATCTGCGGGTTTGACGTGGCAACGAGCCGGCAACTAATACAAGAAAGAGCATCACGAAGACCATAATGACGACCCAGCAGAAGCAGGGCAGGGCACTAATTTGGATTCCCTTTCAATCTATGTAACGCATCATATGTCGGGAGGGACAGCACAGTCGAGGGCGCTGACAGGCGTTGGCGGTAATCAAAGAGAAAAGATTGGGCAGAGGCGAACGCTCGAAATAAGTCCCAAGGGAATCGGGAGAAATGGACGATGGGCCCAGGGATGCGTTTTCCCCTTTTGCTTGCTTGTGGTTTTCGGTTTTTTTCAAAGGCGCAAGTGAAAGAAAAGCGAGACGTTTCATCGATGAAAAGGGTCATGAGTTTTTTCTGTTATAGAAAAGCCGGGGCATATCACAATAGTTCTTATAGCGAATTGTACTTGGAGTGTGTGTGTGTTCCGGAAAGGAGCATCGGAGGAGCGGACTCGATGGATCTAAGGTAGTTTGGCTTTTCCTGGATCTTGGGGGGGTTATGGTGTAACTTAGAGGTAGATGAGGTGTATATTTTCAATCCTTTTCTTTGGCTGTTGATGTTGTGATTTCATAAGGAATTCGGATTGAGGCTTGATGTTTCTACATGACCTAGCAGGAGGAGGTTGACGATATATTGGTCTATTAGAGTACGGAATAACATTGCTGCTTGACGGTTCGTAGGTCGGTGGCATGTTGGGTTTATCAATGCCTCTGTTATAAGACATTGCGAGTGGTATTCACCTGGAAGAGATTCATGGGGCATATTAAAGAGTTTCTATTCTGCATCGTACCGTATCTTACCTTAGGGTAGCACAAGCTTCGACTTGTACTCGTATATCAGGACAAAGGGGCGATAAGCAAAGCGAATTTTCCGATCCCTCGCATCGTGCTTTCGTACCAAGCCTTTTTTTTGTTCAAGAAATGTAATGCATGGGGGAAAAGTGTACATTGGACGATGCACAGGTCATCAGTTTTGTGAGCAGATTGACTCTTGCATTAGGTAGATTACAAGACAGGATGGTTAGAGACAGTATCAATATTTCATCAATAGGAGAGACGATGTGTAATAGCCGCAGATACTAACAGTTGCCCTGTCAGCAGAAGAACGAATACGAAAAAGAAGCTGGAGGGGGAAAAAGGGAAGAAAAAGCGCGTATTTCAGCTGTCCGGGTGGAAATTAAGTCCCCCGGGGCGGTCGGGTTCCGGGACGCATCATTATTTCAGCAGCCAAGTTACTAAGTCTAGTAGCCCGCTATAACCATTCATCAAAAAACCTGGAGGGTTTCTCTCTCCTCTTCATCTCATCGTTCATTGTATCCCTTTCATGACATCCATCGCTTCCTCATTCACTTTGGCTCTGTTTAGAATCTAGAACTTCATTCTAAGGCAATTCGAATCCTTCTCGTTGATAAGCCGACACAGGAGGCGGGCAGCAGATACCCAACGGCTTAGGGAAAAAAAAGGGGCGTTGAGACTCGTCTCTAATTGGCGATAAAGGCTTCCTTCATCGGCACTCGAACTTCATTCACTCTCTGTTCAACGACTGGCGGCTGCGCGCGTTGCTGTTTTCATTTCAACTTGCAGCACCACAACGACATCAGAGAGACTTCATCAGATCCCGGCTGTCGCTTTAGAGAAACAAATACAGACACAATGGCTGCAGCAACGTCATCATCACAGGGGCCCAGAAAGACGCCCATCCCGGCGCCCACGCCCGACAGCAAGCCGGCGCCCAAGCCGGAGCTCACGCCCGAGCAGCAGGCCAAGTACGAGGCTCTTCTGGAAAAGGCAAAGGCCTTCGACGAGGTCAAGTGCGACAAGGAAAAGGACAAGTCGGGCCCTCTGACGGACCGCGAGCGGGCGTGGCTGACGCGCGAGTGCCTGCTGCGCTACCTGCGCGCGACCAAGTGGTCCGTCGACGACGCGGCCAAGCGGCTGCTGTCGACGCTGGCCTGGCGCCGCGAGTACGGCATCGACGACTTCACGCCCGAGCACATCTCGCCCGAGCAGGAGACGGGCAAGCAGATCATCCTGGGCTTCGACCGCCAGGGCAGGCCGTGCCAGTACCTCAACCCGGGCCGCCAGAACACCGACAGCAGCCCCCGCCAGATCCAGCACCTCTTCTACATGGTCGAGAGGGTCGTCGACATGATGCCGCCCGGCGTCGAGATGCTCAGCCTCATGATCAACTTCAAGCCCAGCAAGCAGCGCCAGAACACCAGCGTGCCCGTGTCCACTGCCAGAGAGGTCTTGCACATCCTGCAGAACCACTATCCCGAGAGGCTGGGCAAGGCGCTCATTATCAATGGTAAGTCTTGATGCGCTGTGATTTGCATGTGTGTTGTGTAATTGCACAACAGCAGCAATCCTCCCTTTTCATCGAAGCGGATCCCTTCTTCCTTTCTAGCCGCTTCCGCCTGGGCATCAATCAGGATACGAGAACCCAAGAGCTTCGACTAACACAATCTGCCGTTTCATAGTACCGTGGCTCGTCCAGGGCTTCTTCAAAATCATCACCCCCTTCATTGACCCCGTCACACGTGAGAAGTTAAAATTCAACGAGGACATGAAGCAGTATGTGCCAGCCGAGCAGCTGTGGAGCTCCGACTGGAACGGCGACCTGGACTTTGAGTATGATCACGAGACGTACTGGCCGGCCCTCAACGAGCTGTGCAAGCAGAAGCGAGAGCAGAGGCTGGCGCGATGGGCGGCTGCTGGAAAGGCCGTGGGCGAATCAGAGGAGTATCTCTCCGGCGGCACCGACGTGAGCGTCACGGGGTTCAAGTACACGGCCAACGACGACAAGGGCGTTGCGGACAAGGCACAGGGAGAGGAGCCAGAGACGAGCGTGTTGGCGGAGAAGCTGGCGGGGGCAAACCTCGAGGAGCAGACGGCAGAGGCTCAGGCATAAACGACGAGAGCTTCCCCGCTCTCACTTCGGTGAGACGAGCGGCCGTATTGCCTAGAAGAGATGTGTTAATATGGGTAGAAGAAGAGTTGTCGGTTAGACGTGTCATGCTGCTTTATTCTGAACCATCATCGTGTTGTTGGCAGCTGGGTTTCTGGGATTATCATACATTAGCAGCAGGTGGCATTACACATGACCGCATAATACATAGATGGACACGGGAGAAAGGACCACACTTCCTGCGCTTTTCAGGGCGTCTACACACTCACTCGCGCATACCATCGGGCATGATTCGTTCACCGGCCAAGGCAATCCGGGGTGTGTGTTTGCAGGCGGGCTGAGATTAGGGCCAACGCATCGAAGCTATACCCGGCCGAGAAGCCTCAGTCAGGATTCGCAGACTGCATATCGACTTACATGCAGACGGCCACCGGGACCGTAGTTTCCGCATGTACGTAATAGAGGTCTGTGTCGGTGCTGCTGGCGTCAAAACGGCGTTTATGAGATGCTAGTATTGTCACCCTGGCTTGCCATAGGCCTAGCAGGACGTCGTTTGGGAGCGTTCGTGTAATACGATTCGCTGATCCGAGATCTCGGGTTTACCACGTTTGCGGGCGAGTGGCAAAGGTGAAGTACCTATATATAAGTACTCTGACTCGTTCGCGTTCTCAAGAGATGCGTTACTGGGGAGCTTGTCTGCTATGTAGATAAGCAAAGCGCGCATAGCAACAAGCATCATCCACCTAGACGCCCAACGGACGACTTCAGCAGCACTCGATCATCGCTCACTGATGCCAACTTGCATGGCGGGGCTCACATGAGCCGCACGGCCCAAGGTGCGTCCGATATGTACGTTATATGTAGGCCCAGATGTTGGGTCAGCTCACATCTACTAGACGACATTGCAGAGGGCTCAAATCAAGAGACGCCGCATTGCAAACGCGCGGCATGGAGACCTGACCCGAGGTCGTACAGAGACGGTGAGACTCTGCGCCAGCTCTCCATTGACCCAATTTGTGGGCGTGAACATTGTCGCGCGGGTCTTGTGAAGTGTAGCGTGGTGTTGCGTTGCGTTGCGTTTGCCTTGCCTTTGCGTTGGGCGATACCGAACGAAGCGCAACCAATGACAGTCAGCCGCTTACTTCGACGTAATATCAAGCATCCATGAGGCTCTTACCAAGCGCCGGCCGAGACGCTGCTCTTCGTCGAGGTCTGCATAGACAAGTATAAGTTGCTTGTATTACAGCATGGAAGTCGTCCCGTGTAGCGCTGACACTGGCCACTGCTGCAAAGGCAACGAGGCCCAACATGTCTTCTCCCCTGGCCTGGGCCTCCTAACCCGACTTGGCCTATATCCGCTCGTTGGCCGAGCATGGTTTGTGGGCTAAAGGATGCAGCTGCTGAAGAACTGGCCTCAATTGCCAGTAGTAGTAGTGTTAGCATCGAACTCTTGCTTCAGGCAGCGGAGGCGAAGATGACGACGCGCTACTAGTTGCAAAGTAGCTACTTTGCGGCCACTGTCCGTGGCGCCTGGCGGCTATGCGCCACTCGAACGCAGGCAACGCGCCGTCATGCTGCGTACTTGAGATCGGTAGGGCTTATTTTGGACCTCTCTGACTCTGTTCACTTGAGAAATATGCCTTCCCGAGCCGGGGCCTCTCACTCCTGGCCTCTCAGTCTCGCCCTCTTCCGTCCCAGCTGCCGTTTGGAGGTTGACTTAGCTTATCCTCTAGTCGCCACCCGTAGGCAGAAGTTGATCTTCTCGAGCGCTGTGAAAAACATACTGTTGTTTGAACTTTTGAAATCAAGCAAGGGAGAAAGGGAGCAAAGGAAATCTGTCGACGTTGGGCATTTATGTATGAATCAATGGGCAGAGCCGCGGCCATGTTGTTGGTCCCAACCGGTCCAAGTCATCACATATACCATGCATCTTGGCCGATCCGGGAGCCACGCTCCTGGTGGCGTTAGACGGATGATCGTCTCGTCTAAGTGTGCATCGTAAATCCGTTCGGGCAAGCCAGCCGCCGGTGCATGTGCCTCGAGCCCGTCTCGAAAACGGTCGCTGGGAGACTTGCGTATCTTCTTCTTCAAGATTAGCCCAGATATCCTTAGAATAATTTGCCATCTTGCATGCTTAAATAACCCTGGCTGCTGCTGCCTCTTTGACATCAGCTTCCATGAACAGATCATCAACGACTCCCCTTCCCGGATGACGCACACCTATCCTGTCGTCCATTCACACGAGGTACCTTACCTGGTTAAATAGTCGGCTATTCGTTGTCAGCCAAACCTCGATCGCACTGGGCCCGTTCAGAGATGACAATGGCGCTTGGGTCCATCGTTCACTCCTTTAGTAGGATGAATCTTCCTCCTATATTCAGCACCGCCGTTGCCAATACATCTTCCTTCAATGCGTCATCCTTCACTGCTACCATCGTGGCTGAGAACGGTGAGGCTGGGAGCAGCAGTTCGAACATCCCATTTCCTGCTGGCGGCATAATGGATACCATTCTCACCACTGCCGGCCATGCCTCGCCTCTCACCCAGCTTCTTCACTTCCTTTATAGGCTCCTGGGCACACAGTTTGGGCTTGACCCGTCGATGGTGCTGGCCGTATTGGGATTCGTTTGGGGCGCTTTCAAGATCGGATCGCAGATTCATAGCTTTATCCAGCGCTTCTTGGACGATTATCTTATGTGCGCCATGTACATTTCTGAAGATGACCACATATACTCGCACTTGATGAAGTGGCTATCTCACCAGCCTAGCATCAAGAACAGCCAGTATCTCATGGCCCAGACCGTTTGGAAGAGTGCATGGGAGGAAGAAGAAGAGCTGGAAGGTGCTCTGTACTGGACGGATGGTGGCGAAGTCGATGGTGGCAATCGAATGTATCTGAACTTCGCCAACCATGCAGCTAGATCGGTACGTATCTGATCTTCCCTTGGCAACGATGTGAGCTGATTGAAACTAATGGGATCTTGCGTACAGAGTCCTAGATTTGTTCCTGCCATGGGGTCGACATCATTCTGGCACAAGGGGACGTATTTCCGCGTACACCGGAAGAAGGAGTCGTTTGTCAGTACTCGTTCATGGGGAGGCCCGATGAAAGATCTCGAGGAAGTCAAGATCTCATGCTTCGGTCGTTCAATAGGTGAGTACCCCATGTCCGTTATTCTTATTGGTCGGACCAGGCTGATGAGGCTTTGCGCAGATCCAATCAAGCAGCTGCTTTCGGAGGCCAAGGCTCTGTACTACAATGACACTCGTCAGAAGACGACCATCTATCGTCCCAGGGTCAAGGAGCAACGGAGAGACCACAACATGTGGCAACAAGTGGCACGGCGCCCTGTCAGACCTATGTCGACAGTTGTGCTCGATTCGAGCGAAAAGCATGAAATCCTGGCCGACATCAACGAGTATTTGCACCCTTGGACGCCGCGATGGTATGCGTCTCGAGGTATTCCCCTGAGGAGAGGCTATCTCTTTCATGGGCCGCCAGGTACTGGAAAAACAAGCTTCTCCTTTGCATTAGCGGGCGTGTTTGGCATCGACATATACGTCATTAGCCTTCAGGATGCCGGCGTCAACGAAGAGGACCTAGCCACCTTGTTCACTAAACTGCCACGAAGGTGCATCGTCCTTCTCGAGGATATTGACACTGCGGGGCTGCGACGCGATCTCAGCTCGGAGAGTGAAAATACGACAGAGGACAAGAAAGATGAAGACAAGGGCCAGAAAGACGGAAAGAAGAAGCACAAGAGTAAAGCTGATGCCAGTGAAAGTGAGCCGGAGAGCGAAGTTGAGATAAAATCCAAGAAGAGAGGATCAAGAAAGAAGGATTTCGGCAGGAAGGCTCCCCTCGCTCTGGATGGAATATCCTTGTCGGGCCTTCTCAATGCCATCGACGGTGTTGCATCTCACGAAGGCCGGGTCCTGATTATGACAACTAACAAGCCGGAGGCGCTCGACGAGGCATTGATCCGCCCTGGTAGAGTAGACGTCCAGGTTAAATTCAGCAACGCTAGCAGCGTTCAGGCTGGAGAGTTATTCCATCGGATGTATGAGACACATCGCCAGGAAGAGCTGACCAAGACAGCAAAGGTGGAGGAGGCGGCAGAGAAGTCAAACGCACAGTTAGCCGCGCAGCACGATACCGAAGAGTTGGATGGAATCACCGCTGAAGAGATGAAGACAATCGCAGAAGAGTTTGGCCGCCGGATCCCAGAAGGTGTTCTATCGCCTGCGGAGATCCAGGGGTTCCTCCTCAAGCGCAAGAAGTGCCCGCGCCGAGCATTGGAGGAGGTATCAGACTGGGTCGCAGCGACCCTGAGGCAGAAGGAAGCGAACTCGAAGGTCTTGACCGTGCAGTAATCTGCGCTGATCTGATTCGAGAGCTGTGCTGCCGTCATGGGACAGAATTGAAGCTGGTGCATTGGTCATTGTCATTCCGGTGGTTCTCCAGTCGTGGGCTTTTTGATAGAGTTGGTGCATATGTTTTGCATATTCCTTGCATACGCCGTTTTCGATAGCTTTTTCTGTTCTCAATTGTAATAATAATAATCCATTTGGCTGAATCGAAAGGTGTTTCTATGAAGTTTATGTGCTTGTGTAAAGAAGAAATCTGCTCTACAAAGGAAGGTTGAGGGAGGGAGATGAAACCTAGAACCTTGGAAGGTACGGAGTAGCCCGGCGGGCAGGTACGTCCAAACAAGTACTTTCCCACAGTCAGCAGCCAACCCCACGTCGAGAGCTCACTCCTACCTTAAGAGGACTTGGCTTGTCCTTCGTACATACATCATCATCTCGCTGCCGCATCTCGTCCTCTTTCGCCCAGCAAACGCCTCTATTTCGCACAGACGAAAGACAGAAATGCGCCGCTATTCCGCACGGTAATCGCCATGTCGTCTCTACCCCCAAACGCCGCCAGCGGCAAGGAATCCGGCCTGCGCGTGCCCAGCAATGGCAAGACCATCTACCACCGCCCCATCAATCGCACCAAGACGTCGGAGCTGAGCCAGGCCAGCTTTGCCTTTCTGTTCTCCGAGATGGTAGCATATGCGCAGAAGCGCGTAAAGGGGATCCAGGAGCTCGAGCACAGGTTCGTCTATCTGCCCGTCTTGTCGCGTTCCTCTTTCCGTCCTGGGATCCCCAACCTCGATTCTGCGGCTGCGAACTGACATATCATGCTATCCTCTAGGCTCAATGTCCAGGGCCACTCCATCGGCATCAAGCTTCTCGACCTCCTCCTCTACCGCGAACCCCCGCGCACGCAGCTACGACCCCAGAACATCGTTGCCCTCCTCCACTTTATCAAGCAGAACGTATGGCTGCACCTCTTCGGCAGGCAAGCCGACAGGTTGGAAAAGTCAACAGACGCCGAAAAGCCTGACGAATACATGATCATCGACAACGAGCCGCTTGTCAACCAGTATATCAGCGTGCCGCGGGAGATGAGCCAACTCAACTGCGCAGCCTTTGTAGCAGGAGTGGTGGAAGGGGTGTGTGATGGCGCGGATTTTCCTGCACGGGTTACGGCGCACACGGTTGGAGAGGGCGAGATGTGGCCTGGAAAGACGGTATTCCTGGTCAAGTTTAGAAGCGAGGTGGTGGAAAGAGAAGCTTTCTTGGCAAAGAGCTGATTCAGCATGCGATATGATGCTTGATCGGGAAGAGGGAGTTGGGACAAGGTTACGTGTACATGGGACGGAGTTTTTGGAGTTGAGGATCACAATTTAGCAACTGTTTGTTTACTGGATATGCCAGTCGAAGGCTATTTCATGTTTTATGCGAGATTCGGCGTTTACGTGGGTATGAGCGATATGATTTGTGAAAAGAGGCGTGAGACAAAAACACCAGTACCGTAGTGACATGAAGCTGAAGGAATGCCCGTCCACCGAAACGCCGTCATAAGTATATGGCTTCTGTCAACCAAAAGCATAAGAGCACCGTCCATTTCCCTTCTCCGACAGAGGAAGATCCATTCACCGCGGAAGTCCTTTCTGCATCTTGCTAGGCCCCGCAGCTTTGCTCTCTGGCCCGGGACCCTTCCTCATTAGATCCGACAAGCCCAGGTCCTTCCACGCGGGCTCCTTGACACGCTGCGTGGCGCGCTGGATCCCAAAGGCGGCATGCTGGTCGGGAACAACATCGTCCTCGTCCTCGGGGTTGATGGGCCGGTGCTGAGGCGGGACGTAGATTTCGTCGTCCGGCAGCTTGTCCTTGCAGAAGTCCTCGAAGAGATCTGCGTCACCAGAGCGGTGCATGTGCACGTAGGTGAAGCACGAGTCTTTGTTCTGACCGGGACAATGCGTGTCAGTTGAGTCATTGCCTGGATAGGGGGGTCTGAGCTAAGTGAAAAGACACGTACCATGATAAAGTGCTGACGATGATGAACTGTTACGGCTTGTGTGTCGGTTGTAACCAAATGTTGATGTTGTTGTCAAGGCTGGAATCTCAAGTACAAGTTGAAGTTGACATGAACGGCCGTTGTGGGGCAGTGTGCGCAGAGCCGCAGTTCCAAACAGTGCTGTAAGGGGCCCCCCGGATATAGATGACTTCACACAACGGGACGTTTGTCTTCAAACAAACAGGAGAATAACGTGAGATTTGATGACTTGCAGTACTCAGTATATGTCACTTCACAGGAAGATGTGTGTTGGAATCTATGGCTTTGGGCGTCTGGCAGGCCCAAAATTGAAACGGGCAAGGTTGTTTGACTGAAGCTGAGCGTCTATGCAACTGCAACAGCACCCGTCTCAACCGCTGGGAGAGGATGAATATATGTTTGTGAAGCTTTAAACTTACCTTGTGTGTTGGGTAAAGCTAAATAGTTCTTTTATCTACCATTTGATATACGGTCGTCCAGTATACTTTATAGGTGGCCATGTTGATATTACCTACACAAGGTTGCTTACACCAATTGTACGTTCTTGACAAGCTCGAATGCCGTTGCAGGTAAACTCAGAGCTGCACACCATGTCAATTTCCATCCGTGAACGATCCACAATCTTGTCCCAATTTTCTTTCTATTGCAGTTGTTACAAGACGCAGTATTCTGACATTCTGAGATTGCATATCACGATACAACTGGACGTGCTCCTTCATCTTCCAAGGTTCTCTGCATTCACCATTCACCAAGTCCAGGCTTGATGACTCAGCTTGCCTTGTGCATGGGGTGCAGCTCTGGCGGGGAGGCGGCTGCTGTCAGGCCTCGGTGACGTTTTACAGGCCATCTTTGTCACCTACGGGCTCCCCCGCCTGCCTGAAGCTCGACCCCACCAACAGCCGCTCACCCAAGCAAACAAACATCACGGCCTCTCACCACCTCGATCTCGTATCTTCCCTTTCCAACTTCTATCCTGCGTCCTCCGTCAATTATTCCAGCTCTAGCACTCAGCTCTCCGCCAGAACTGCTCGATTCCGGCTCCAGCTTCATCATCACGCGCCTGCGAGCTTCAAGTGGATGCGCTGACCCGGCATCACTTCGCCCTCTGAAAGACAGCGAGGAGCAGCATCATGGCTACCGCCTCCGGCGCTCAGGTCTCGCCGCAGGCCATAATAGGCCATGTCCAGAAGCTGAGCGATGCGGACCCCGACTTCCGCTTCATGTCCCTCAACGACCTGCTGCAGCTGCTCACCACTGCACGAGACGACTTCCTCCAGCACGACTACAACATTGCTGCAAGGACTGTTGATGGCATCATCAAGACGCTGGACGATCAGAATGGAGAGGTGCAGAACCTAGCCATCAAGTGGTCTGTTCAACCTCGAACCTTGCGACCTTGAGTAAAGGCTTGGAGTAGCTGACAACCTATGGTCTTGTAGCCTTGGGCCGCTTGTTGGCAAAATCCCGACCCCCATCATCGCCCCGATGATCGATAAGCTGTCGTCACTGAAGCTCAAGAACTCTGTGGACACCGCCGTGCCTTCATTGGCGCTGCGTGCCGTCATCACCGCGCTTCCTCGACCGATCCCAGGTATCCCCAGCTCTGTTGGTGTTCAAGAGGCATACAACGCTGTCAGCCGCGTGCTGATTCCACGGCTCATTGGGCCTGGACCTCTGACGCGAGTTCCGTCAGCGCCCCGAATCAACCTTCCTCCCGTCCCGGCAGGGCTGCTTCAGGACGATAACGGCGTCAACGCGGAGGCGGTCGATGTCCTAGTAGAGGTCGTCAGGTGTTTTGGACCATTGCTACAGCAGGTTGAAGTTGAAGCAATGCAGGAGGTCGTCTTGCAGCTGCTGCAGGGGGACAAGGCTTCATCTGTGGTCAAGAAGAGGGCTGTGGTGGCTATCTCTATGCTCGCAGTCTATCTCACAGATGCCCACTTGGAGGACGTCATCAATCGGATAACAGCCGGTCTGTCCGAACCCAACATTCCGCCTGTCACGCGTCGTCTCTACATCTCTATATTGGGCAGCATGGCTCGGTCAATCCCTCCCAGGTTTGGCGTACACCTTCCCAAGACCATGCCCTTTATCCTCGATGCTCTGTCTGAGAAAGAGCTAGAAGAGCACCTGGAAAAGATTAGCGACGGGGATGACTTGGGACAGGAGTTCAATGAGATCCGCGAGACGGCGCTAGTCGCCCTCGAGGCATTCTTGGCTTCATGTCCGCAGGAGATGCGGCCCTTCACGGACGCCACCCTCACCTCTTGCTTGCGATATCTCAAGTACGATCCCAATTACGCGGTGGATGACGAGGAGGAGATGGATGTAGATGACGAGGAAGAGGAAGACGAGGATGATGAGTTTGAAGACGACGACGGCTTCGAGGACGACGATGACGACGCAAGCTGGAAGGTCCGTCGCTGTGCCGCGAAGGCGATTTACACGCTCATCTCCACCCGTGGCAGCGGCGATCTACTCGACAATGGTGTCCTGTACAACCAGGCAGCTCCGACTCTCGTCAAGCGCATCGAAGAGAGAGAGGAAAACGTTCGTCTGGAGGTCATATCCGCTCTGTCGCTCCTCATTCGCAAGACTGGCGAGGGCCTTCACACCGTAGATCTGTCTCGTGACGAGTATGAGCCCGAGTTGGTCTCGCAGATGCCTCTCAGCCGCAAGAGGAGAAGGCAGAGCAGCGTCGGGGGAACGAGCGCTGCCAAGTTCATGGCGGGCTCCGGCATCACATCTCTTCCTGCCGAGAAGATTCCCTCCCAGGGCCCACGGGCGGACCTCTCCAAACTGACTCCCGCCATTGTCAAGGCCGCGACCAAGCAGCTCAAGGGAAAGACCGTTCCCACGAAGCAGGCCGTCATCAGCATGCTGGATGACCTGGTGTCTGTTCAGCACGGTAGCCTTGTCGAGTTTTTCCCCGAAATCATTGGCCCCATTGTCGATGCTGTCAAGGCCCCGAGCACCAGCGCAATTTCGTCTTCTCTCGCGGCCGCAGGAGGCTCGGCATCCGCCACCCCAAGCACCCTTCGCGTTGCCTCGTTGAAGCTCATAAGCGATATCGCGAAGACGCATTCGTCCTCGGTGCTGCAGCCATATTTGAGCAAGGTTGTTGCCGGTGTTACGTCGGCAGTCCATGACCGGTTCTACAAGATTTCAAGCGAGGCCATTCGCACATCAGAAGAGCTTGTCAAGGCCATTACTCCCCCGCGGTCGCGTAACGGTGGCGCAAAGTTCAAGGACGACCTGGACAAACTCTACGAAGTCATCATAGACCGTGGCTCTGCCAACGACGTCGACGCAGAGGTTCGGCAGCGTGCGATTCATGCCCTTGGGATCCTCATCGCCCGGACCTCCAGCGAGGAAGGATCCGGCCTCTTGTCGCCTGAGAAGCGCACCGCCGCCCTGAACATTATCCAGGAGAGGCTGAAGAACGAGACGACTCGCCTTGCTGCGGTGCGTGCCGTAGATAATGTTGCGGCGTTCGCTGTGTCTCCCGACCAGCTAGACAAACAATGGATTCAAGATGTCGCACTTGAGCTCTCGGCCCAGCTGCGCAAAGCCAATCGGTCTCTGCGCGGCTCCAGCATCCAGGCTCTCAAGCACCTTGTGCTCTCCAAAGCCACTGAGGGCAAGCTAGAACCAGCTACGATCCAGGGCATCGTGTCAGCGGTGCTGCCCGCCATCAAGAACAGCGATACGCATCTCCTTGGTCCAACCTTGATCATCCTGGGCAGCATGGTGAAAGATCACGCAAGCTTGATTGTCAACGAAGAGATGATTGGCGCGCTCTGCCAGCTGCTGAAATCGCACTTTGCTAATATCGTCCTCGATCAGCTGCTCGACTTGATCAGCCGCGTCGGCGAGAGTGGCGCTGGCGAGCCTCTTATGCAGGGCCTCCTCAAGGACGTGAGCGTCCAGGGCGACCCGATTGTCGTGGGCAAGGTGATAGGGACCCTTCTCGTGACGGGCGGTACCTCGGCGGGCGTTTCTCTCGACAGCTTCGTCGCGGAGCTCCATGGCAGCACAAAGCGGGGAGACGACGCCGGTATAAGCCTTGCGCTGGCGGTGCTGGGAGAGTCTGGAATGAGGCTGGGGGCCAAGTCGCCTCTCAAACCTCAATTGTTCCTGGAGCAGTTTCACTCGGAGCCGGACAAGGTGTCGCTGGCTGCTGCCATTGCACTCGGCAGAGCTGGGTCCGGGAATGTGCCCGAGTATCTGCCAGTGATTCTCAAGACGATGGAGAGCGGAGGCAACACGCAATACTTGCTGATTCAATCGATCAAGGAGATTCTGCAGTCGATCCCGGCTCAGTCTACCGATCTCCAGACTTATGCCACGGCAGTCTGGGACCAGCTCATTGGGGCATCGCAGAGTGCTGACAACAAGATTATCTGCGCCGAGTGTGTCGGCCGCCTTGCGACTCTGGATCCGGTCACCTTTATGCCCAAACTACAGGTAAGTCTTTGCACGAGTCACAATCCACAACTGACAAACCCGCTCGGGGGGCGGACTGCATGCAAGCAAGCAAGCAAACATGTGGGCTAATGTTACGTAGACTCTCTTGAAGGACAAGTCACCAGGGATTCGTGCCATGGCAGTGCAGGCTGTCAGGTACACGCTTCCCGAGAGCGATGAGACGTTTGATGCAATGCTACGAAACGTCCTCGTTGAGATGCTCCTGGTCATGCTGCAGGATTCCGATATGGAAATCCGACGACTGGCGATGACGACGCTAAACTCGGCAGCCCACAACAAGCCGGACCTCATCCTGCCCCATCTGGGCGAACTGCTGCCTTTTGTTCTCAGCGAATCGGTGATCAAGAAGGAGCTCATCCGAGAGGTCCAGCTGGGTCCTTTCAAGCACAAGGTCGACGACGGCTTGGAAGTTCGCAAGGCAAGTAGATGGTTACATGACGACACCCAGCTGTGCATGTTGGCTAACATGGTGTGGTGCAGAGCGCGTACGAGACGCTTTACGCGCTGATGGAGACGGCCTTTACGCGGATCAACAATATCGACTTTTACGACCGAGTCATTGCCGGCCTCAAGGACGACAACGACATTCGTCAGCTGTGCAACCTGATGGTGACCAAGCTGATTGTCATCGACCCCGACGAGACGGCTCGACGGCTCGACTCGATTGCCGAGGCGTACCGCGGTGTTCTCTCCATCAAGCTCAAGGATAATGCCGTCAAGCAGGATGTGGAGAAGCAAGAGGAAACCAACAAGAGCATCCTGAGGGTGACGCTCCTCCTTGGAGACAAGATGAAGGCGATGACTGGAAATGCCGGGGCGGCGACCAGCAACACGGCGGCAACGGGGGCTTGGACGGCCTACTGGGAGTGGGCGAACAAGGAGTTTGATCGGCAACTAAAGAGCCTGCGGGAGGAAAGCAGCCAGCTCCACACGAGGACTCTGTGAGGAGAGTGGGTGCAGACAGGGTGAGCAGGCCAATGGGAGAGGGACGGACTTTGTTTGAAGAGTGATGCGGTGTAACCATGGCATTCTGCCTGCCTTACCGACACACGCTGGCGACCCGTCTAAATATGCACGTTGGTAGAAGGGCCCAAGGCTTTACGAAGTATGGGGACTATGGCAGCGGTATGAAGACATTCTTGTATGAAGTAGTTAGTCTAGCAGCACAGTAGTAGCATTGGAAGGGGCAAAAAAGACTCATTCCTGCAGAGATATCCAGGGTCTAGTCTACACAGTACAGTAGTTGTAGTTGATAGCCGCGGCCGGGTATGGGTCAGCACATGTACCTAGCATACAAGTTTGCAGTAAGATCATGTACCTGCTTCATACGGACCCCGTGCTATTGGGTGACCCGGCTGGTGGTGAGGTTCCGCTTTGTTGACAGGGCGATGCTACATACATACTACCTACATATCATCGGACGAAGAGAGAGAGAGACTGCTGACAGAAGGTGACGGAGTTGACCCTCCTGCCTGTCTGCGGGCCAGGGCAAGCGGCAGGACTCGGCAGGCTCCATATTCGTCGACGCACGCACGCAGGCGGTTTGCTGGGAACTGGGGCCGACCTGCAGCTTTCGGTATAGGAAATGATGTTGGTGGTATGGTAGCACGGCCTTTTACATGTGAAACGGGCCTTTGCTCAAACCCGCATTGAAGGGCATAACATACATATAGAGAACGAAGAAACGGATTGTTTAGTTTTGGCAGAAAGTAAGGGTATTTCTTATCGGTTATGTATGATTATGCATACCACTGTAGTATTTGGTAAAAAAGGTGAAAGGATAAATGTTCTCATAGATACACGAGGTAACGTCGAAGCGAGATGCGGGGAACCGAAACTTCAAATTGATACTACTTGTTTTGGCACCATTGCAGGGCGTTTTACGAGTATACCTTATACCGGACTAGGTAGGGATCCCAATACAGTCATGTCTCTTCTTTTCGGTGTTGGTTTGATATTAGTTTGTGATTTTACCGTTCTTCTGTTGGGTTTGTAGGTACTGTATGGAGCGATGTAGCATTAATCATGATGGTGTATGGGTTTCTTTCTGTCTTTGCACTACATATTCCTTTCGGGGAAACTCTACCTGTAAGAGAATGTCCGTTTGAAGCTATTTATCCCAGTGTCTTGGAATGTCTGTGCTTTTTGCGTTTGGAGGGATGGGGGAGGCATCGTATCGCGTTTTAGGACTCTTTGAATCCCCCCAAAGGCAAGTACTATAAAGAAAAAGTTGCTTGTAACGTGGTATTGTGAACGCTTTTGATTTGTTACGAGGTACGAACGCTCATTAGTGTGTGCTGACGGCGTCTTGAGACACGGCTCTTGTTTCTTTGGATCGTGGTCGATATTAGTTTATCTTGCCTTTTTTTTGGTGTGTGTGTGTGTGTGTCTATCTGAGAAAGATTTGCGGGATTGCCGGATCGAGAAGGCCAAGGGCGGGAAGACGCGAGCCGAAGGGCATCATATTATATTACTACCTGGTTGAGCTAGTCAAGAGGCGAGAAGGTAGGGGTGAGGGGGGCAGCTAACATCACGAGTTGAGCATGTCGGCGGCTACGGAGCGTTTATCCTTGTACGAGTACTACCTCTATATGATGATGTCTTGTGTGTATATCACACCGAGTACTAGGTAATAAGGATGGAGACTTTGGAGAAGATGCATGGGACTACGTAATACTAAGCACTCAAGGCAAGAACAGGGCTCGGGCAACAATGTCCATCCCTACCCCAGGTACGGAGTAGGCACCGCCTCACATGCACCGGAATGCACGCTGTCTTGATCATTGTAAGCACCGGGGGCCCGGTTAGTACTATGACACAATAACGAGGGCAAGGCAGGGCAAAGAAAGAGGGGGAATTCCAGGCACTGCAGCAGCGAGAAGAGCAAAGAAAGGCAGAATTGACGAAAGAGTACTGATGATAAGTTACATGTCATGTCAAGTTGGCCCATTGTTCGAATCCATGCTCGAAGAGGGTATTGGGCCTGCGGAGTTCTGGTGGCGAGCAGGGGTTCCCGGGGTTTTGGTCATGACTGATGGGAGGTGAGAAAGATAACGGGAGCTTTGGCTCGATGGTCATTACTCATTCATTCATTCAATCCAATTCAATTTCACATGGGAACGCTCAAGAGTTTGGGACGGACGGCTGGACGGATGGGATTCATGCAGGTCGTGCCTTAGGAGGGGAACTAGGGCAACGACTATACTAGCAGTCTAGTAAACATGCAGTATTAGAGAAGTGATTGCATTTCGGAGTGTGACAATACAGAAAAACAAAGATGGGGTCGCAACAATGAATGGGGCCGGGGGGGTTGAGTGGCTTGTCCTGTCCGTGTGTTCACCAGCACCAGCACCAGCCGGCGTTGCGCCCGCTTTCCGGTCCATCTTTTCTTGGGGGTCCCCTCCTCCCTGGTTGCTGCTGTTGTTGGTTGCGGCATGTGAGTTTCTGTCTGTCTGTCTGGAGTTGGATGGATGGATGGGGTCGAGCGGGAGGGCATCCGATGCGATGCGGGTTCGATCAAGGTGAGGCACCACTGGGTATAAGAATGAGGGTGGGCGCACGTTTGGACTGGCCTTCTTTTGTTTCCTGTTCTTGTTTCTACTTCATCTTCATCTCCCTCTACACAATTGACTGTGGAATCTCTTTGTGATAACATATATCTTGCCTTGCTCCGTTACCTCAACTACATCAACACCAAGCAACACTTACACACACACACACACAATACACATCAACACCAACACACAGAACTCACAACAAACACACAAAATGGCCCGCCGAACCATCTACCTCGACGCCCTCAACGACGCCGCCCCCGGAAGCGGCCCCGCCGGCGACTCCAGCGCCATCCTCACCTTTTTCAAGGGCGTCGTGCGCGAGGCCCAGGCCTGGATCTCGCGCGGCGGGCCCGGCGTCAAGGCGCCCACGATTGAGAAGCACATTTCTTGAGTCTGCTTCTTTTACTCTGATGGAAAGAAGAAGAACACGATACAGAGAAAAAAAGAATAAAAAAGAAAATCATGATATCCCCCGACGATTGGCTGTTCTCGGCGAACTTGTCTGGTCTTTACAACCTCCACACAAGGCAGACCTGGTCTGGCCTTGGTCCGACCGGATACACAAAAGAAACAAGCAATACCGGAGCACATCACTGCCATCCGTCTCTCTCATTTCCTCATCTTTGCGGGCCATCTTTCTGGCCAGGAGTTCACAAGGCGTACGGTTCGGTGGTTGGCGAGAGCTCTTTTCGCATCAGTATGATTCATAGGCGAGGCTCGGTCACAGATTTTACGATTTTCCAGTCATTTTCTGTCTTTTTCCCCTTTCCCCTGTCTTTTTGGGGTTTGGAAGCATCACATGGCATCTTTCAGGCACTGGAGCTTTTCTGTCGTTTCGGATCAAATTGAGTGGGATTTCTGTTTGGGTGGTCGTATGAAAGCTGAGAATATGCATTCAGCGAACTTTTGATTTTAGGATACTCCATACACGGCAATGACATGAAACAGAATGAAACCATCTCTTGTCTCTCCCATACTCAAAGAAGATTCAGAATTCAATGTGAAGTGGCAAGTAAGCGCCCGAGACCAAGGCTCACATGTGCCGGATGAATCCTCCGTTCCCTGCGTCCTGATTGCTGCCGCGCGATCCTGGAGGATCCAAGGAATGCGACATCCGTCCGGCACATGTGAGAACAAGGCAGACACGGCTATTCCATGCGCAGCATTGGGATGCTTCGCCAAGATCAGGCTATGCCTCTCGTTGAAAGGAATCCCCGAGTTGCGAAACCCCGAGAGTCCATGCATGACGCTTGGACGCTGGGTACCGGAGCTGGATTGAGGTGTCAATCGGCACATCATTTGTTTCGTACAGTTCGACAATGTCGTCGAGGCAGCTTGCCTCGTACCTGTTCTGCAGTGATGCATTCACTTAAGTTCACAGACCTCGTCTCCGATTTGTGAGAATGACACCGCCTCTTGTTGCAGCACGCAGCACATCATGTTGCCACGGCTCAGCCATTGGTCGTATTTGTCCGGTATGTTCTGGGAAGGATGCGGTCTCAAGTAGCAAAGAGTGCGGTTACATCGGGCTCCGATGACGCTTCCGCATCAGAGTGCTCGTCCGAACTCTTGTCCACCGGCACAAGGGCCAGCCTCTTCTTCCTCTTCATGACTCGCTTATGCGCGGCGCTCTTGATGTGCCTCTGCCAGGCCTGCTCCGTCACACAGACCGTCTGGCATATCTCGCACGTCTTCTTCGACGGTGTCTCCCTGGGCGGAGGCTCAGACACTCGCGTGAGCACCTCGCGGGCCACGTCTGATAGCTCGATGGGTGTCGGCCTGGGCTCACCAGCGAGGAACTTGGCGGTAATTTCGGCGGCGGGCTCAACCACGTTGGCCTTGAACTGCGAGACGTCGGTGCTGTCGACCAAGTATAAGCTGCTAACGGCGCCGGGGCCTTGCTCCTTCAGGCGTGGAATCTGCTTCAGCCTGATCCATCGGGTCTGGTAGTTGGCGTACCGGCGCGTTGCCGCCTTCATATCCTCCAATCCGCTGGCCTTGAGCTTTTCGAGTTCGGCTGGGTCCTTGCCCTCTTCTTTGGCAGACATGTATGGCTCAAACTGCTTGTAACCAATCGACTGCCATATGCCCTTTGTCATGTCCAGGATTTGTCCTTCAGCGGCCTTGCGCCGTTTCATGTCGAACAGCTCCTGGACCTCATCCAACAGCCCGGCGCCGAGCATCTTGTCCACTCGGCTGTCCAGTCTCGCAGTGAGGGTCTCGCGCTCTGAGTAGACCCAGAAGAGCAACTTCTCCCAGGGCTGGCTGGTCCCTGATTCCTGAGCGGCTGCAGCTTTGCGCCGTTCCTGCTCGGCATACAGCTCGGATGCCGGTCTGCCCGTATGCAGATAAATCTCGAGCGATCGCTGGATCTTGCGTCTGTCGTTCGGGTGCCACCTCTCCGCCATGATCGGGTCAACCTTCTTCAGCTCTTCCAGCAGCACGTCTGTGGGCTGCTCCAGAATGGGAAATGATAGAGAGGGATCCGCCTTCACATCATCGAGGATGACGTCTTTGAAGAGAAGGGGGTCAACATAGTATTGAGTCCCGCCCACGAGAATGGGCAAGTTTCCACGGCTGCGGATTTCGCGAATCACCTTGGTGGCTTCGGTCTTGAAGTCTTCTACGTCCCACGGAGCGTCGTCCAGCGGAATGTGGCCCAGGAGATGGTGCGGGATGCCGTGGCGCTCCTCCTGGGTGATTTTGTTTGTGATGATGGGCAGACCATCGTAAAGCTGCATGGCATCAGAGTTGATAATCTCGCCCTTGAACCGCCTTGCCAGTTCTACGGCCAGCTGTGTCATGTACGCCGTCAGAACAACTCGTCATCTCGTGCAGTCGGGATCAAGAGAGGCTAACCTCGGATTTGCCCGTGCCTGTCGAGCCTAGGACAACCAGCAACGGTTCGGCTGGAGGTGCGTGAGCGGCCATGGTCGATACATGGCGCAGCAGTCTTGCTCCCCAGCCAAGCAGCATTCGGCAGCACAGAGACTTCCTCTTCACGCTGTGGAACAGGTCGAAGAATTTCCAAGAGAACAGTCATCACATCGGCCATCGCTCCCCACTTCATCAACCAGCTGCTTGATCCAGAAAAATCCCCTCCAAGCTCCAACCAAGTGGCTCCCACTGGTTGGCTCACTGATTCCTAGTGCTGTGGAGGGCCAAAAGGTTAGGTTGGGGTTGCAGAATCGGCATCCCTGCAGACGCCAGTCGAGGCCACGCTTCTTGAACGTGCGGGTCACGTGCCACCCCGTTTTGGCTTCGGGACACATCGACATTTCGGCGCTTGAAGCCAGATCGCAACCTTCTCCAGCTTCCCTTCGCCATCATCCACCTCTTCTTCTGCCCCCGAGCTCGCCGCAGCTCGACTGTTTCCTCTTCTTCATCCGTCTCTCCCTTGGATGAATTAGTTTCTTCTCCTTCTCAGGTTTTCCTCCTCCAGCCGCCGCCATGAGTTCTCGTGAGTCCTGCCTCTTTGATTCCCCCACCATCGCCTCCGGCCGGATTGTGACGCGCGCGTGCTCGCCACGGGCTCGAATCGCGCAATTGACTCTCAATGGCAGGCTGCTAACGTGGACGATGCCTCTGCAGTACGTTTCCTTGATCTGGTTAAGCCGTTCGTGCCGTTCCTCCCCGAGGTTCAGCAGCCGGAGACCAAGATCCCCTTCAACCAGAAGATGATGTGGACGGCATTGACGCTCCTCATCTTCCTGGTCATGAGCCAGATGCCTCTGTACGGCATCGTCTCCTCAGACAACTCGGACCCTCTATACTGGCTGCGAATGGTCATGGCGAGTAACCGAGGCACGCTGATGGAGCTGGGCATCACCCCCATCATCTCCTCGGGCATGGTCTTCCAGCTCCTCGCCGGTACCCACCTCATTGACGTCAACCTCGACCTCAAGTCGGATCGCGAGCTTTACCAGACTGCGCAGAAGCTCTTTGCCTTCATCCTGTCTGCCGGTACCGCCACCGTCTACGTCTTCACCGGCCTCTACGGATCTCCCTCCGATCTCGGTGCTGGCATTGTCTTCCTGCTCATTCTCCAGCTGGTCGTTGCTGGCATGATTGTCATTCTGCTCGATGAGCTTCTGCAGAAGGGTTACGGCCTGGGCAGCGGCATCTCGCTCTTCATTGCCACCAACATTTGCGAGTCCATCATGTGGAAGGCCTTTTCTCCCACCACCATCAACACCGGTCGTGGCCCCGAGTTCGAGGGTGCCGTCATCGCTCTCTTCCACCTGCTGATGACCTGGCCCAACAAGCAGCGTGCTCTCCAGGAGGCCTTCTACAGGCAGAACCTGCCCAACATCATGAACCTCCTCGCCACCATCCTGGTCTTTGTTGCTATCATCTACCTCCAGGGCTTCCGCGTCGAGATCCCCGTCAAGTCCAACCGCCAGCGTGGTGCCCGAGGCTCGTACCCCGTTCGCCTGTTCTACACCTCCAACATGCCCATCATGCTGCAGTCGGCCCTCTCCTCCAACGTCTTCCTGATCAGCCAGATGCTCTACTCTCGCTTCTCCGAGAACCTCCTGGTCCGTCTCTTTGGCGTGTGGGAGGCCAAGGACGGCACCTCTCAGCTCCACGCGGTCTCTGGTCTTGTCTACTACATGTCGCCTCCCCTCAACTTCAAGGATGCTCTCCTCGACCCGATCCACACCGCCGTCTACATCATCTACATGCTCGGTGCCTGCGCCCTCTTCTCCAAGACCTGGATTGAGGTCTCTGGCTCCAGCCCGCGCGACGTTGCCAAGCAGCTCAAGGACCAGGGTCTCGTCATGGCCGGACACCGCGACCAGAGCATGTACAAGGAGCTCAAGCGCATCATCCCCACTGCCGCTGCCTTTGGCGGTGCCTGCATTGGTGCCCTGTCCGTTGCCAGCGACCTCATGGGCGCTCTCGGCTCCGGTACCGGTACCCTTCTCGCTGTTACGTATGTTCCTCCCTTTACTTGAAATCCACAGTTGTGTCACGAAACTAACAGAGATTTTGATAGCATCATCTACGGCTACTTCGAAATTGCTGCCAAGGAGGGTGATCTTGCCGGCATGAAGGGCATGATCATGGGTTAACGGGAACCATATGGGGGCGGGGAAGGCTATGATTCTCTAATAAAATCGCTTTGATTTCCACTGTTCTGGTCAAACCTTGACTTGCATGGAAATTCTAGCCATGTACCAACAGGGGGATATCACGGGAGGGGGACAAGGAGTATGAACCAAAAATATTTAAATGGAATGTACGATTGTTTTACTACCACACGGGGAGTTTGCCTGGCGAGGTGCAATTCGGACTGGACGTTATAAGGACATGCGGCGTTGTGTTTACGTTGGGCTCCTTGTCTACGCATACCTAGGTAGGTAGGCTGTGTTTATGGATTCGAGCGCACATGGGGCATATCAGCAGTGGTGTATCCTCCGATTGGGTGATTCAGAGCTCAATTGATGCTTATGAGGCTACCAAATACAGACCTCTTGCGCCAGAGTATACCAGCGAGCAGTAGTATCTCTGATGTCCGGGCGTTCTATACCAAGGTACCAGAGAGAGCTTCAAGGTTCTCGATGGCTTTGGGGATTTGCGGGGAAGCTGCGTCGGTGGCTACGTAGTATCGAAATCGAGCCCGAACCCAAGTGGCAGCACTACCAAACAGGGAGAGCGGCAAAGCGGGAAGCGGCACTTGGTAACTGAGGCTAGCAGCGTCCATGGATACCTGGAAATGGGCTAACAAATGGGATGGTGTCATGCAACGCCTACCATGTTATTACTGTCGTCATCGCCTCTCGACCAGCTCGAGATTTTTCGATGCTCCTCGTATGGCAGCCGACGGGTGATGTGTTCAATGGACCTGCTATTTAAGAATCAGCGTTACCTGGACAGGACGCAATCCCTTCCGTTGTTCGAGACCATCATTCCCAAGTCGCACTCCCTACCCTGCTGCCGAAATGCCAGCAAGAAACAACCGCTTCCACACGCGGGAGCCCTTCCAACATGACGCCAAATTGACGCTGCGACACGCCGAGGGGCCCTTTCGCTTCCTCAACCCAACAAGAGCCCATTTCGACCACTCTGCGTTCTCAGCTCCGGAGCTGCCCTCCGACGAGACAAAGACACCACACGAGAGCGGCGACGATGCAGAAGCTCCTCCTCCTCCTACTACTGTAACTGCTCGGCACGACGAGTCGAAAAAGGAAGCAGCCGATTCCAAAAACGTGCCCGCGAAAAATGTCAGGTTCCTGTGGCGATCGCGAGACAACCGAAAGGGCCGGCACGCTCTGCTCGTTCAGCGGCCGCAACCTGGGGAGGACGCGCCTTTCATGACGCCGAGACGGACGACGCATCCTCGAGAGATCCTAAAGACGGTCATCAAGACGTTTGTGTGCTATCCGATCTGGGACATTTCCTGGCTCGTGGCCTTTATCTTTACGTGGGGGAGCGTAGTCTGGGTCATCAACGTACGTACACCAGCAGAAATTGAAGAGAGTGGCAAACTGATGTACTTACTATGGTAGGGCTTCTTCGTCTGGCTCCCCGTGGAGGACCCCTCGACCGAGTTCGACCACGAGACCACGACCGGCGCCGGCGTGACGGCCTTTATCGGCGCCATTGTCTTTTTCGAGGTCGGGTCCATCCTGCTCATCTTTGAGGCCATCAACGCCAACCGATCGGGCTGCTTCGGCTGGGCTGTCGAACAGCTGGTCGAGAAGAATGAGGGCGGCGGTAAACCCCGGCTCCAAGTCGTTGCGAACCGCCACCACTGCCACCACCATCACCAGAACCGACGCAATTTCGTGGGCAAGCCTTCATCCGCCACCAAGCTCGAAGCGCAGCCGACTTCTGATTCGAGCCAGGGCGAGGAGGAGAAGAACTGGCAGTGGTTCCCTTCCTGGCATGACCTGCGCACGCATTACATCCACGAGCTGGGCTTTCTCGCCGGTGTAGCTCAGTTCTTGGGCGCTACCATCTTTGGAGTCTCTGGCTTCACGGCGTTGCCCGGCATTCAGAACCATCTCACGCCGCAATGGAGGCTCAACGCCGCGTACTGGATCCCGCAGGTCATTGGAGGCAGTGGCTTCATCGTCAGCAGCACGTTGTACATGCTGGAGACACAGCAGAAGTGGTGGAAGCCCGCGCCCCAGCTGCTGGGGTGGCAGATTGCGTTTTGGAATCTCATTGGGGCGATTGGGTTCACGCTCTCGGGCGCGTTGGGGATGGCGGCCAACAACTCGGGGGCGCAGTACGAGGCTGGGCTGGCTACGTTCTGGTAAGTCTCTAGATGTGTGTGTTTACATTCTGGTGGAATTATTTGCTGACTTTGTCTGGTTGCTGTTTAGGGGGTCATGGGCTTTTTTGATTGGGAGTTATCTGCAGCTGTGTGAGAGTTTGAACAAGCACCCGGTGACAGAAGTTTCGACTATGAAGGACTTTGGACCGAAGGAATAGGAGCTGCCTTGAAAAGAGCCGCGAAGAAAGCCATGTTGCACGGAGATGTTTGCAAGGAGATGCTGATACTTCACGAACGAAGCGATACCTTGCATCCGAGATTTCTGGACGTAAATGAATGAATTTCGCAAACCAAGTTATGATACCATTTGTCTCAGATAGCACTTTGGACAGCGAGGCAGTTCAGCCATGAAAGCATGCAGTAATAATACTCGGAAGATTGCCGCGTCACACATGTCGAGGGCAAGACCTGCCGCCGTGATCGACGCCCCGAAAAACATTCCGTTAGTCCAATGCATGTCGGCGTTTAAAAGCTGTGTCCCAATGTCTCAGTTCAGACGGTAAGTAGGGCCTGATTTCAGGTCCATACATATCTCGAGTACGTGGATCAGCGTGCCGAGAGACGGTGAGGCTGCACAATTTGGAGTTCAAAGGGCTTGTGTGCCCGTCTACAGTAGGTACCGAACCCAGCATCGCGGGTGCTTGTATTACAGAGTTGGCTAAGGGCATATAGACCGGTTTCTTGCATGTACGGTATTCACACTCGACCCTTGTTTGCTACGGAGAGCTAAGCACAATAACTGCCTATGGAATACGGGGTCCTACTTTGTACATTCAGGATATATGCGATGGGCAATCTACCAAGTCCTTGATGCTCTCTGAGTTTGAGCTACGAAGTAGAACGTGCAAGGGCGTGAAAATCCTCAGTACTTCCAGCTTCGTGCTGTTTTATGAAGAGGCGCGTTAAAGCAAGTCGGGAAGAAGACCAATCGGAGAGGATTCAATATCAACTGCTGAGAGATTGAAAAGACGAGACATTGCTTGGCGTGGCACTGGGTTGGGAGATGGTTTGACGGAGCCGACGACCAAAGTCCGTTTCCGCTTACAAGCACGGAGCATGGAGTAATATCTTACCAGTCAACCTGTTGCAGTTTTCATCTGCAGACCGTGTTATGGCTCAACGCTGGGTAGGCATTCTATAGGTAAGCAAATGAGTAGTAGTGGGAATTGAGACAATCATGCTCATCACACTATCCGCGCCATCGCGAGGACAAGCCGAAATGGCATTCCTTTTTTTTTTCTTTTCCCCAAGCCGCGATCAGATACGAGGCCGATCCAAGATTCAATAAAAAGCTCGGATGAGAGATCCGTGGGAGCTTGGGCCTCCCTCCCTGCGTCCACGCGAGCGCGCGAGTCCCTCAGGTACCGGTACAGCCACCTGCCAGACTGGCGGCCGATACGAAAAGCGACGGTAGGCAGCAAATCAGCGGCTCTCGAGAGTCCGGGATGGCGTGCGAGCCGGGATGCCATGCCATGCAGGCAATGTCGGAATAGTGCAGTAGCGATAACTCGGAGCTGCTCTCGTGGTTGGTCGGCTGCTGGTGAGCGGCGAGGTAGAGGGCAAGTACCACAGCAGGAAAGACAAGAAGAAAGCTGAGAGATGACGTTGAAGAGACACCAATTGACCATAAGTAACTTCATCCGTGTTGACAGCTTGGTTGCAGCCGTGTAGCCTTGTCCTCCACACAGTCGCACCGAATCCTGTCAATGGCATTAGTAAGGAGGCTCCGCCATAGCGGTGAGTCAGTCGTCAAGTCACCTCGGGTGAGGCAACAGAACAGATGGCGATGGGAGGCTAGGAGGAGTCTGCGGACCCAAGGGGGAAGGTCGAGAGGGGCGGCTGTGGAGTTGGACCAGTGGATGGCCTTTGTTAGCGTGGGTGAGGATATTGAAGAAGAAGAAGAGACGAAGAACGGAATGATGCTAGTAGTATTCACGTGCAAGGCAGAGGTGACTGCTTTTATTCGGCGGTGGTATGGTTGATGATGGCGGTAGAATACCAGTATCCGTGCCGTATGATGGACAATCTTTAAGCTATTTTGCAGAGCTAAGATATTGCATTCTAGAGAGTCGAGAGGGCGGAGCATGTGGCACCGAGAGAGGAACGTTTGTAAAGCCAGGTGCATCGCATCGCGCAGAAGGCTGGTGACTCAGTGAATCAAAGGGTGAGTCGACGCTACCAGATGCAATGCCAATTATACGTAGAAATGCGGGCGACGGATGCAGCTGCTGATCGGCCTGCCAATGGCCGAGCCAAGATGCGAGATTCCCGATGTCATCACAGACGGCCGAACTGCAGTACAAGGGACAGCAAGATTCGCAAAAGCTTCAAGCACATACCCCGAGGGTATTGATCCTGGTAATCATGCGTGATCATACGCAGAATGCTTCACGACAAGGCAATTCTGACTTTGTGACCAAATGGCAGCCCCCCTTCGTCTCGCCCGCTGGCAACCTTGTGTTGGTCGTAGGTAATGCAGGTAGCCGTTCATCGTCCAAACTCTCAATACGGAGCTCAAGCCTACCTCAGGCCTAGTGGGAGGATAAGCCGGCGTCCAATCGCCCCGAAGGAGTTAGCAGGCAAGCCTCATGTTTCCTTGCCTTTCACAGCCGCGACTTGATATCCATGGATGTCTGAGTCTGCTCGTGTGGCACCACTTACAAAGTACCAAAGCGAACCGCAGCCGTCATCACCTTATATGCTCATCATGTGCTGCTTGGCGAAGAGAAACAGCTTCAGCGCATCGCACTAATGCAGCTGCTGCCGTGTGACTCTTGTTCCAACACTCCAACACTCGGCCGCCGCTTTTTGACTCTGAACTGGATCGTCATCCGTGCCGTTGGGCTAGTGAGTGACTGGTTGGAGTGCGAAGGATATGGCGGGGGAGCACAAACATCGATAGTTGCCGTGTGTGCTCGCATACTTAGAGGGGATGATGCCTTCAAGCCGTTCAAACAAGATCATCATCATCATCGTCATCCGCACCTTTCTTGATGGTGGTAGCAAGAGGTACATCCGGAGTACCTTACCTTATCCACCTACGCCAAACGCTGCATGTACTCCGCATGTTAGCACACATTAGCACGTACATTGCAGAGCATCGAATCTCAGATACCAAGGTAAGGCCCGGTATATCATCATATCATATGTCAAAACTGTCCTGCACGAGAGGGAAAAGATGCAAGTGCACGTTGGAGAAACTCAAGAAAAAAGTCCCTTCCTCCGCCATCCCTCCCCACCGAATCGCGCGGAAGCTGCAATAGACGCTCCCTGTCCGCCTCTTTCCCCACCGATAACAGCTGCCATGCCGTGTTAGTCTGGCCGGTACGAGCAAGAGCAAGCCCATGGCAGCCGCGATTACCTTTCCAGGCCTGCACGGGCGCAGGTACCAGTACTCGCTCCTGGTCTTGCCTCCACTCCGGCGTACCTTGCCTTGCGCAGCAGCATGCCAGGACACCTGAAGCCCACCCGCGGTACCGCCGCCAGGGAGAGCTAGCAGCGCTGCTCCACCGCAAAGAAGCCAGTCTTGGGACTAAGCACACCGCGTACCTGTACATCCCGTCATACTTACCTTACCTTTGCCTTGCCTTGCCTTACCTTAACCTGTCCGGCGCTCGTCGCCTCCGAATCTTTCTTCCGCTTTTCTCTTCCATCCTCTCCTGCTCGGCCCTCGATCTTCGCTGATTGTCCCTTCTTTCTGCCTGTGCAGTCGTCGACGCTATGAGTGTCTAGAGAGCAACGACGAAAGCTCACGCGCCAGGAACGGAGACGAGACTGTTGGTCCTCGTCCGGGTCCCCTATTATCTTCTTTTCCATATCCTCTTACACCGCGCCTCTGCCCCGCGAATCCGCCCGTCTCTGCGCAGCTTCAACGCCGCCGGGAACCGCCAGGGCGCCGCCCTCCTGCTTCAAGCCTCGGGCTGATCCAGATCATCTTCACCAGTATCGCTACGACTTTTCCTCTACCTGCTTGCTGGGCAGCTTTTGCCGCTCTAGCCGGGACCAGCCATCATGGGCTTCGCTCAGTGCTCATGGCCGGTCTGGCGAGTCGATGACTTCACCTCGTGCTTCCAGAAAAAGTAGGTTTTTTTTGCCCTTGGCCCTCGACTCGCGTCATTGCTGCTGCGCGCTCCGCTCTACTGCCACGAACAATCCGGCTAATGGTCACTCCTCGAAATAGCTACCTCGCCGTCCTCTTCCCATTAATAGTAATTGGCATTTCTTTCTTGCATCTGGCTTTATCCAACATTGGCCGTCTTCGCAGTGGCAAGAGCAAGGGTTATAGCTCCATCTCGGCCGACGATAACGTGCCCAATCACACCGACATCCCGTCGTACGAACAACCTGAAGACAGCGATGACGACTCCGACGACCTCGAGATCAACGGCGGCCGCTTGGCTCTGGCCAAGGTGACTTCCAGGGGCTCCATCGTGCAGGCCGACACTCCTACCGGTCAGCGCCTCTCGCAGTTTGTCGAGGAGCTTGCCCTCGCTGGGCTGGTCGCCATCAACGCCTATGCTCTCGTCACTGGTGCTTTTGGCCCTGACACCCGTCTGGTGGCCATTGCCGGCCTGACGACATGGTTGTACACCTTGATCCTGGCCACACTGCGAGTCGCCCTGGGCACCTCCAAGTGGCGGATCCCTCGCATCTGGAACCACACCGCCACCATCTACGGCTGCAATTGGGTCCTCACCGTCTTCCTCTTCCGTTCCGCCATCATCCACCCTTACTCCAAGCTTTCCCAGAGTCTTATTTCCGCGGATTTTGCCCTCAACACTCTGCTATTCGCCATTGCTGCTTGCACTAGAAAGGGCAACAAGACGGTTGTGTTGGAGTGGGAAGATGGAATTGAACCTTCCCGCGAACCCCTCGCCAGTCTCTTCTCGATTGCCAGCTTCTCCTGGGTCGATGCCATCGTCTGGCAAGGTTGGAGGAGGCCCCTGGAATTGGAGGACGTTTGGAACCTCCTGCCCAAGGACAAGGCTGCCGCCGTTATTGCCAACTACAGACTTGCGAAGAAGACGACTGCCCTCTCGTGGCACTTGCTCAAGTATTTCCGCAGGCAACTGTTCATGCAGTGTTTGCTCGCGGCCATCGCCGGCGTCTTCACCTTTGCTCCCACCTTGCTCCTCAAGGCCATCCTGCAGTATGTGGAGCATCCCGAGTTTGCGCCCGTCAGCGTCCTCTGGCTCTTCGTAATTGCTCTTCCCGTTCTTGACACCATCCGTTCGTACTGCGATGGTATGGCTCTTTGGATTGGCCGCAAGATCTGTATCAATGTCCGTGCTATCATGGTCGGAGATATCTACGCCAAGGCACTGCGCCGTAAAGCTGCCGCCGGCAAGGACAAGGTTTTACTCAGCGAGAAGGCCAAATCGAACAATGAGCAAGATGCCGAATCTGGCGGCAAAGGCTTCGTCGGCAGACTCAAGCACGCTCTTGGGTTTGGTGGTAAGAAGCAGAAGAATGCCGTCGCCTCGGGCGATGCCGAAGCTGCCAATGCGGTCTCCAAGGCGAGCGAGGAAAAGATTGGAGCTGATGAGCAGGCCAATCTGGGAACTATCATCAACCTCATGTCCGTCGACAGCTTCAAGATTGCCGAAATCACCGCCTACCTGCATTTCTTGGTCGCTTCAGCCCCGACGCAGCTAACAGTTTCCATCTTCCTGCTGTGGCAGCTCATGGGTTTGAGCGCCATTCCGGGCATCGTCGTCATGGCCTTCCTCTTGCCCGTCAACTACATGCTGGCTCGCGGCTTCAACCAGACTTCCAAGAACATTATGGCTGCTACTGACAAGCGCATCAATGTGACGAGTGAGCTCCTCCAGAATATTCGCATCATCAAATTCTTCGCCTGGGAGCGCCGCTTCGGCAAGATTGTCGATGAGAAGCGCCAAGCCGAGCTCAAAGCTCTGCGCTCTCGATTCCTCCTGTGGGCTCTCGCGGTCGCCATCTGGAACTCGGTCCCCGTGCTCATCACCTTCTTCTCTTTCCTAGTCTATACCCTGATTGAGAAGAAACCCCTGTATCCCTCGGTTGCGTTCACGGCCATTTCGCTCTTTATGCTTCTCCGCGTCCCGCTCGATCTCATTGGTGATATGTTTGCTCACGTCCAGGAAGCTAAGGTCTCCATTGATCGAGTGGAAGAATACCTCATGGAGGAGGAGACGGAGAAGTACGAGCAGCTTGGACTAGACAATGTGGACGAAACCGGCAAGAAACGCATCGGCTTCAGGGATGCCACCCTGATCTGGGGTGGCAAGGAAACCGTGGCTGAAGATGGCTCCAAGGCATTCCGGCTTCTTGATCTCGACATTGACTTCAAGATCGGCAAGCTCAACATCATCGCTGGCCCAACTGGTTCCGGCAAGACATCCATGCTCATGGGGCTTCTTGGCGAGATGACGCTCGTGGAAGGCAAGGTGTTCTGCCCTGGCGGTCGCAGCCGTGAAGACGTTCGCCCCGATCCCGAGACAGGACTCGCCGATACCATTGCATACGTCGCCCAAGCTGCATGGCTATTCAACGCTAATATCAAGGAGAACATCATCTTTGCTGCGCCCTATGATGAACAGAGATACAACGATGTCATCATCGCTTGCGCTCTCCAGCGCGATTTCGAGATTCTTGACAACGGAGACGAAACGTTAGTCGGCGAAAAGGGTATAAGTCTCTCTGGTGGCCAGAAGCAGCGCATTTCCCTGGCCCGCGCCCTCTACTCGAATTCGGCTCATATCCTCCTGGACGACTGCCTCAGCGCCGTTGACTCGCATACCGCCCAGTGGATCTTCACCAACTGTATTAACGGTCCCTTGATGAAAGGCCGCACCTGCATCCTCGTTACGCACAATGTGCAGCTCTGTGTCCCTTCGTCCGATTACGTTGTCTTGCTTGAAAACGGCAGGGTCACTGCCCAGGGGCCCTCGCAGGAGGTCATCGCCTCGGGCAAGCTTGGTGAGGAAATCCAGCGTTCTCGACCCGTCTCCCATGAAGCTTCTCGTATGCCATCACGCGTACCCTCAAGTGTCGGCGATGAAGAGACCATGCTCAACGGCAACGGCGACGCCTCCGGCGCTGCGAACGGCGCCAAGCAGGACAAGAAAGTGGAATCGTCCAAGATCTCTTCAGAAGAGACAGTGGCCACGGGAGCCGTAAAATGGTCGGTTTTGAAGGCCTACCTGTCTTCGATGGGGCCCTGGTGGTTCTGGCTTGTCGCCTTGTTTGTGTTTGGCATACAACAACTCTCGACCGTCGCCACCAACGTTTGGGTGCGAGAGTGGGCCAATCAATATATCGAAGAAGAGACGGCCAACGTCTCTTACAGCACCTTTTCTCACGTCTACGGCGCCGCATCTTTCCTCAAAGGATCTTGGGCCTCCGTCGCCACTCTGGGCAATGATGTGCAATCCTTTGTTAAGCCAGCTCCGGACATCCTAGACGTTCCGCAGGATTTCCTCCAGGCTCGTCCGACTGCAGTGCCACAGGTCAATGTCGCCTACTACCTCGGTGGACTTGCCATCATTGGGGCTCTTGGCGCCATAGCCGCCCTGGTCCGGGACGTATGGATCTTCTTTGGGTCTTTGACTGCATCCAAGAGCATCCACGACCGATTCATCAACTCTGTGACGCGAGCCAAGTTCAAGTTCTTCGACGTGACCCCTCACGGTCGGCTCATGAACCGCTTCAGCAAGGACCTTGAGGCTGTGGATCAGGAAATCGCGCCCACGGCCATTGGTATGATGACTTGCGGTCTCTCTCTCATGGTGACGGTTGTGCTCATTGCGATCATCACTCCCCGTTTCCTCATTGCTGCCGTCTTCATTGCTATTCTCTTCTACATTGTTGCGGCTTTCTATCTACGCGCGTCTCGCGCCCTGAAGCGCCTGGAGTCAGTCCAGCGCAGCCCGCTCTTTCAGCAATTCAGCGAGACTCTCAGCGGCATGACGACGATCAGAGCGTACGGTGACGAAAGACGCTTCATTCGCGACAATCTGACCAAAATCAACTTGCAGAGCCGGCCTTTCATCTATCTTTGGGCCTGTAACAGATGGCTCGCGTTTCGGGCTGATTTACTCGGCAACCTGGTGTCTTTCTTCGCAGGCGTCTTCATCATCAAGAACCTGGGTAAGATTGATGCCGGTGCAGCAGGTATCTCCTTGAGCTATGCGTTGAACTTTACGGAGAACGTTCTGTGGCTCGTTCGCCAATACGGCATGAACGAGCAAAACATGAACGCCATGGAACGGGTCAAGGAATATCTAGATGTCGAACAAGAAGCCCCAGCAATCATTGAGGATAGCCGGCCCCCGGAGAACTGGCCCGCTGAGGGTGGTGTCGAGTTTGTTAACTACACTGCTCGTTACCGTGCTGAGCTGGATCCGGTCCTCAAAGGAATCTCTCTCAAGATCAACCCCAAGGAAAAGGTTGGAATCGTGGGACGGACTGGCGCAGGCAAAAGTTCGTTGACACTGGCCATTTTCCGTGCCCTGGAAGCCGATTCGGGAAGCATCATCATCGACGGCATTGATATCAGCAAGATTGGTCTCCAGGATCTCCGAGAAAACATCACCATTGTTCCCCAGGATCCCACACTCTTCATGGGCACCATTCGAACGAACCTTGATCCGTTCGATCAGTATACGGACGAGCAAGTGTTTGAGGCTCTGAGGCGCGTGCAACTTATTGGAGAGGACGAGGCGGTCCGCCCCACCACGCCTACCGTTCAGGTCACTGCCGAAGGGGAGAGCTCAGCAGCCTCCTCTGGCACTCGTACCCCATCAGTCGCCACAAACAAGAACATCTTCCTGGACTTGTCCTCTCCCGTATCCGAATCCGGCTCCAACCTGTCCCAGGGTCAGCGACAGCTTCTGTGCTTGGCACGAGCGATGCTGAAGAAGCCAACCGTCCTGGTCATGGACGAGGCTACAGCATCCATCGATTACAACACGGATTCAAAAATTCAGAAGACCATCCGGGAACTCACTGGAACCGTCATCACAATTGCACATCGTCTTCAGACTATCGTGGACTACGACAAGGTCCTCGTGCTAGACAAGGGAGAGGTGGTCGAGTTTGACCACCCATGGGAGCTGATCAACCGAAAGGACGGAACATTCAGGAGCATGTGTCAGACTAGTGGCGACATGGATACCTTACTCCTGGCTGCCATGAAGAAATGGGATTCGGGACGTGAGGAACGAGAAGCTCAGAGTTAGAGACAAAGACGCGCACAGGAGGAGACAGAGGCGCCGATGAAAAGAATTACGAGACCAACTAATAGTGTTATTGGTACGGCAAAAGTATCAAAAAAGGGGGGATGAGAAGGCAGCCTATAGAACACAACGAAGTACATTAGGTGTCGAGAGGACAGACACACCAAACATGATGTATGAGCATGACTAGTATTTATCTTTATGCTTGGATAGTACATAGAAGTATTATTGAAAGCTTTCATTTACTTGTGCATCAGTAGCGGTTCAAATCGTAGATTGTCGTCAAGATTTGAGTGACGTATCCGATGGTCGAATATCGGAGTAGGAATTTGAATCAGCTGCAGATTGCAAGGGAAGAGAGGAACAGGAGACCAGATTGCATCTTGCACGCCAGACTCTGCGTCAGTTTGTCAATCCCCCCCAATTGAGGCTGTTGCAATTTCTGTCCAGTTGTTTCCCTCTGTAGCAGGCACGGTCAAGCAAGGCCCCCATATAACAAACCAAACCCGCCCCACCACCCCCTTTTTTTTTTCTGGCAGTCTCCCCTCTACCTATTTTGCAAACTACTGCCGACATTCATACTCTTGATGCCTAGAGTATCCCTTTCTTGTAACTTATATCCAAGCCCGTACTTGCTCCCACCAGACGAAGAACCGTTTTCATTTGCAGGCGAGGGCGAGTACGAAAACGAAGCGGTGCGGGCGGCGCAGAGCTGCTGCAGCGAGGCGTCCGTCATGGAGCCTAGCCATTGGGTCGAGGAGTTTCCGGCTCTGACGTTCTTGGCATTGATCAAGTCACCGGCGGTCGTGACGATGACTTGCTGGCTATCCTCTTGGGCGGAGACGTCGTCAAAGACGTGCAGTCCTCGCCGGGATGCCTGTGCGGCGGCGGCCAGGTTGCAGACTTGGAGGCACTGTCTGGCTGTGACGAGTTCCTTGAGTAGTTGGGTTCGATCTTCTTCCAGCTGTTGCTGCTGCTGCTGCTGCTGCTGCTGTGGTAGGAGTGAGATGACCTCGGTGTTGCGCGGCGGCGGCTTTACTGGGGTTGCTGCTGCGAGCTGTTTCTGCAGCTCGGTCATCGTGACAAGTATTCTGCCCCTGGCATCACTGAGAGCCAGGGCGGTCTTGTTGGCACAAAATTCCTCTTCTGCCTGATCGCGCTGCTGCTGCTGCTGCTGCGGTGGAAGATCGTTTTGCAGGCTTTGCAGGTGGGCTATCGCGCTCTCGCATATGGCGAGGCATTGCTGGACGCTTCTCCGTCTCTCCTCTTCCATCTGCGCTGTGCTGCTGCTTTCATCGGCAGCAGCAGCAGCAGTAGCGTCGGGGTCCTGTTCCTGTCGGAGGAGGCTCGCAATGCCGGCAAGCTTTTGGTCAATGTCACGCAGATGCGCTTCGAGATCGGCTGTTGTTTCCTGGATCATCTCGTTGTGCTGATCCATTGCTTCGCGAGTGACCTGCGCAGTTTGCCTTTTGTAAAACCAGTGTTAGTTGTAAAGAACATAAGAAGAAGTCCGACATGTGAAGAGATTATGCTTGTAGCGAGGGACCGGGACGAACATGTTGAGGCTCCCGAGAGCTACCGCAATGGTGGCTTTGTAGCCAGCCAGCATATCCTTGAAGTCTCTGACATCGCCGCCCATGTATCTGATCCGGGTCCAGTCGCGGAAGCTTGTACGCGAGCCACCGGAGGAATGCCTGGTGCATTTCAGAATGACGGCCTTGAAATCTTGACAGATTTGGTGGCAGCGGAGTACTGGGTTCTTGAGCATCGACACCACTGGGCCCTCATCGGATGTGACTACGCCTCTGAGAGACTCGAGGACCTGTATAAGCGACTCAAGCTCAGAGCGGAGCTCGCGTATTGTCCGCTCATGGTTTCGAAAAGACTGAACGGTATCATGTAGAGACTTGCTGGAGTCGAGGGCGCCCGTGAGGATGCGGAAGACACCAGAGGATATGGTAAGAGGATCCATACTCGCCATAGTTCAAGTAGTCCAGACGGTTACGATGTTCATTTGGTAGATAATGGATCGATAATTTCGGAGTATCTGTTTGGATGAGTTGATGGATAGGCAAGTGAATATAGGCAGTACATCCTCTTGCTTCGACCTGCATCACTCAGCCTCCATCATGAGGCTGTGGAACATGCCCACCTGGCGCGCGGCAAATTCTCCGCCAAGCGAGAAGCAGAACATGTGGCATCGCGCCTCTTCGGTATAAACGCTGTTGTGCCATTGGCTAGCCAGTCGCTGCTCCAACTAACATAATCCCGTGGGCAGAGAGCGGCTACTTGGAAGTAAGACATTTGTACGAAAAGTATTATGTCTTGATGTGTTGTTGGTCGTAAAGTCACCTGGACAATGGTGGCAGATTCAGAAGGGCATGGGTAGGTGACAATGGTGGTGGGGTAACTCAAGGCAGAAGGCGAAGCCGTCTCATGGTCAAAAGGTCAGCGGAGGTGAGCTGGCGAGAAGTCTTAACGAAGAGTCAATAATTGATCAATTCTTTCGTGTTTGTCCATTGAAGGAATTGTTGAGCTACTCTGGAGAGACAATTCGCCAGTATCGGCCCAGTGGTATCAGCCCAGCGGTGTTGTGACTATGCTCCTATTGTCTGGTCGTTTGTTGTATGTATGCCGTCTATCCAAGAGGCAGCCCACGGCGTCGAGCAGCGCTATAGTCCGTACTCAACAAATACCTTGGAAAAGGAACACGTTGATGCAATGCTTCAAGCGGTCTCGCCTCGTCTCGCCCTCGTTTCATCTGGAAGCCTGTGAAATGCCGCGGAGCCACGACGGCGTCGAGTCGGGCGTTTCCGCTTCGGGCATCATGCCACGAGCAAGTGGAGGCGGTGCTGAAGAATCACCGGCGGCGACGTAAGCCAGCGAGACGAGCTTCTAGTGTAATACATGGTGCCATTCAGCCGCAGCTTGTTGTTGTCGTTAGCAACAAAGAGACGCAGCTTTCGACGCAGTCCTGCATCCATCTCCATAGGGCACCTACGCCTGTCTGCCCAGCGAGCCGCCTAGCGGACAGATAAAGCCGGGGTGAAGCCACGTCTTTGCCTCTGCTGGGTTCGTGTGAAGAGTTGGAGGGATTGGAATAGAGTCCAAAGAGAACAATATCTTGGTCTATTCGGGTGAAGGATCGAGAGTTGAAAGACAGAACAGAAGAAGAGACTCGGCTGGGAAAGAAAGAACAGGCCAGGAGCCACCGCTGCACCTGAAGCTTACGTACCTGCCTCTCTCACCGGTTTTAAGCTTCTTTTTCCCTTATCGATTCCTAGCCTAAAACCCCCCTCAACACCATCTTTTTTTCATTCTTCATCCTCCTCGTGTTCTTCGCCTCTCATCATACCTGATCCTCTGCTCTTCTTTTCATCTTTCTGTTTCATTCCCGTGCCTATACTCCATCATCATCATCATCATCATGGGAAAGCCAGACTTTCTCCCTCCTCCGTCTCCGGCTGCCGGCCCTGCATCGCCCTTGGCCGAGGCTGCAGGCTCCATCTCTCTCAACCCAACGTCGGCCACCTTTTCCGCAGCAACGCTGGGCAACCATCGCCAGACGTACTTTGACGACGACCCTACCGAGCTTGCCGCCGACGATCTGCCTCCGCTGTATGACGAGCACGAGAACGATGCTGTGCCCTTCATCGACCCTCTGGCCCCCACCACGGGCCCCGGAGCCGGCGGCCTGACCATCGAGCCCTTCAAGCGTGATGCTCGCTCAGACACCGTCTATTACCTGGATCCCCGCCTCGACTCTGACCCCAAGTTCCTCTACGACAACCTCGTCCAGCTCGCTCAGCTGCCGCCCAGGCCCTTTGCGCAGATCCGCGGCACTCACACGGAGACTCGCCGCAGGTCGGATGACAAGACGGAGCAGGTCACCGTGGTGGACTTTGACATTGAGATTGAGCTCACACACCTGCTCTACGTCAACATCCGGGACCCTGCAAACGGCGCCTGGCGACAGCTGCACGGCGTTGGCAACCTGGAAAAGGTCCGTCGCGGCACCGTCTTCCCCACTCGCGCACCGGGCTTCGGCGGCAGCGGCGGCATTCTCGAGAACGGCGAGCCCTCCGTCGAGGAGTGGTGCCACCGCTTCTGTGCGAGCCGTGCCGGCCTCAAGAACCTGGTGCTCGAGCGCCGCGTCACCGGCTGGGACTGGGACTATCTGAAGAAGCAGTTGGAGCGCCTAGTCCACGACACCAACTATCGCGGACACACGAGCATCACTTTCCCGGTGCGGAACTCGCGCGTGGAGATTTACAATGCCTGCCGTGTAAATCAGATGCGCTTGACCAAGTGGATCGAGGTCATGTTTATGCTGACGCTCCTGTTCCTCGTCGCCTGGCCGTATCTGTTCTTCCGCACCAAGCGCTGGGAGACGGTGTATGCCGAATGGGCCATGAGCCGTGACGAGGCGGACGGCACGGGCTGCGTGGAGCGTCGCTATGCTTCCATGAGCGAGGCCCAATGGTACCAGATGTGGGCGAGAGCCATCCAGAAAGCCGTCCTGGAACGCAGGCAAGGGCATCTCGACCAGGGCGACGTGGAGAGGGCCGACCAGCCTGCTGACCAGGCCGGTGGCTTTGCCGGCATGGTGCAGGCCGGCGTCGAGGCCATGGGCGTCGTCAACCGATCGTTTGGGTGGGGAGGCGACAGCGGCAACAGCCAGCCCCGGCGCTTCAAGTTTGGAAGACGGTGAAGGCACTTGCGTGTGTAGCTCGCGGCGAACAACATGATGGTCCTCTAGATGCGCTATACATTGGATACCGCAATCACTTTTTTTTCTTCACTCAACACATGGAAAGTCTTGCTTTGGTAAAGGAGTTTTGGAGTTATAGGGTAGCATTTGATGTTCAAGTGAAGCGTTTGCCGAGCTGTTCCTCATGTACAATCTTTAGCATGTTAGCTGATCTTGTTCCGGTCATGATATGATTATATATATACATACCTAAGCGTCTACTCGTATGCTCATCCAATTTATATTATGATTGGTTTATAGCAATTGGTTCTCGTGCTTACCAGCACTTCCATCATGTATTACAAAGTGCTTGGATGTCACTTACATACAATCGCGACCTCGCATCCCCCACAGACAGCCTTCTGCCCCTCCAACCAATTGTCTGTTTGCCCCCCGCCCTGCCAATCAGCCGGACGTGGCTGACCAGCCCATCACTAAGCACCGACTTTCCACCCCATCCAAACTCTCAAAACTCATTACATCTTCATCTCTACCTCTTCGCATAACACACATCACACCTCAACACTCGTCCTCTACAGCAACACGAAAAACTCATCATCTACAGAACTTTTCAGTAAAACAAGAAGTTGCTTCAATCAGTAGCTCAGTCCATCACACGCCCTCCCCCCGGCCCGCACCGGATAGAAAGCTGCAAAAAAAGTTTTGTTTGCTGGAAGCTTGCCCTGCAACTGCCACGTTGAAAATGAGAAGGGGGGTTTGAAGGGAAAAGAAAAAAAGACACATATACGCAACTCGCGTCTTTCATTGATAATGGACGTTTCCAATCCGAGGAGGATACTGGCTGTTAGCCTTGAGGGCTCGGAGCATCATCTGAGTCGAGTTATTAAAGGTATGTGGCTGATGTCGCTTGTGTAATGTGCAAAACGTTGAGATGCGTCTTTTGTGGCGAGGTGCGTGAACTGGAGGAGGATGTCGTTGGTGGCACATGGTCTTTTCACTTGAACTATATGGTGAGATGGGCTGCAACTCATCTCTATATGTGCTACTCTTATGGGTCGTGGCCATCATTCATACATCATACTCACATCTACGTCAATTCAAACTCGTCTTCTCACCCTCAGTCATAACACATCGTGCAAGTCCCACAACTGACATCGCCAACCAGATCTCACCGGCTCATCACCAGAGCCAGCATCAACATCCCTAGCCGGCACAACGCACGACCTCGACCTCAAGACCTCCTACTACACCGCCTCCGTCCCCATCTGGCTGGACATTATCGCCTCCCCGTCAGAGTGGGCCTCATCCTTCCTCTCCGACGAGGCCCGCGAGGTCCTCGCCGTCCTGGGCGGCCTTGTCCTCGTCTTCGCCATACCGACTGCAAGTCCCGCAGCTTTGACTGCGGATAACGATCTCCCGAGCCTCATTCGACACGTGGGCAGTGTCCTTCAGAAAGGCCTCGGTGGCTGGGACTGGGATGGTGTTCGGCTGGCGGTCGGCATTGGTGAAGGCGAGGCCGATGAGTGGGATGAGCTGTGCTCTGAGTTTGGGATGGAGTTTGTGCAGCTGAAGAGTGGGCAAAAGGAGAAGAACGAGTATGGAGGTATGTTGGCTTCCTGAAGCATCTTTTCAACTGGTGGCACTGGTGGATACGGCATCACCGCCGCGACATAAACGCTGACTGCAGGCCCTTACAACAGAAAAGACGGGCATATCCCGTGTCATGGAAGCCCTTGAATCAAACGACTGGGAGCAGCTCAACGACGGCCCGCTCTCCGATTTTGGCGAGACGCGGTCCGATGATGACGACGGAGCGGATTTCGACCCCGAGAGCCTGGACTTTGGCATGGATCGTTCCGACTTTGAAGGGCTGCGTATGGCGATATGGGACACAGGCCGTCTCGACGAGACTGAGAAGAACGACTCCGCTTCCGCAAAGCGAGACGAGGCAGACCAGTCCAAGGTGTCAGACGTCAGCGCTGGCTCGGCTGCTGCTGCTGCTGTTGCTGCTGCTGACAAAGATGGCGAGGCGCAGGATGATCGCGAGCTCGACGACGAGGATGTCGCCAAGGTGGAAAAGATGATGAGGAAGCTTCAGGCGGCGAGGGAAATGGGCGAGGGCATGGGCGAGGCGCAGAGGAGGCGGCTGGCAGCCAAAGCCGTCGAAGAGGTGATGCGCGAGCTTTGAAGATCCCAACGAACACATGGTTTTTTTCTCTGGCTGCTCCTCGCTACTGTTTCCTGTCTTGTTTTCCATACGCAGGCCAGACGTATCATAGCCCCAGAGTTCTCATCCCAGCTCTCATGTTAGCTCAGCATATGTGTTTCGTGGCATTCCTAATGCATGCGCTTTGTAAATCAGTTTCCTACCAGGCGAGCCCCCTAGACGTTTGTGCTCGTTCTTCGTGACGGGTGAACTTGTCAGTACTGAATCTGGCGTATTCCAAGAGGTTCCACCCCTTCCGCGGAATCTTTGCAGCCTGTGACACCAGACAGCAACGGCGGTATGTGATCCCCTGCATACGCCGTACTCTACGATACAGCTTCCAGCATCCAGTATCTCGTACGAAGTAGTGGGTGGCGATGGCAATGCACATGATCCCGTGCCCAGCAGCAAGGGACCACCGTTAGCATCATGTATCATGCCAAAGCATGAGGAAAAAAAAGATGAGACATACCCGACGCCTTGCATACGATACAACCAGGCGTCTCGGCAGGACGTTTTGTTGTTTTAGTACGCACCCGCATCTGAGTACCAGCAGTGTCCAAAAGCTCTTAGCATCGTGTTTCTGCCGCTGTCTGTGCCAGAATCCCGTGCATATAGTATACCTATTTACGCGTCTGGGCCCATCATCTAACGCGGTTTATCCCATTCAAGGGGCGTCTGCATGATGTTTGGCAACCAGAAGCTTCAGATGAGATTGAGATTGATAAGCTTTTTGCCGTTGGTTGTGTGATGACATCAACTGGCTCAGTCATAGCCCTAATAAGGCCCCCATGTGGTTGAAGCAAGCCGAGAGAGCTAGGCTTAAGCTTCAAGTCAGGCCATGCTAGTATTCGGTATCAGGAGTGAGTTCCAGTCTCATCGTGATGGGGTTTCCCTGCGTAGGAAGTGGAGCGGGATAGGTAGGCCACAAAGTCATATTCTCCGGGCAGACCCGTTTTCCCAGCCTGGCTCGTCGAGGTGAGACACGTAGCATGCGGATGGGCGATGCTGCACACAAAAGCCTCTGCTGCAGACGTAAACAGGGCCGCGGCAAACCAGGAAGCCAGAGGATTGCGGCAGTATGAAACATCACACGACTGACCGTTGCAGTATGTATACATAGCAACATCCTGTTGGATTGCCGCTGTCTGATTCATGTGCCCAGTGCCTCACAGAGCTGCCATAGACTCCATACACGGGCGAAGCACCCATCGCTGCGTCACTCGAGTCAGCGCAGACTGTTGATCCTTTGGCACTTGAGGAGAAAGCCCAGGTGGACTCCGCCGCGTCTAAGTGCTGATGTCCTATTCCGAATGTTGGCAAGCCCGACTACGCAGCTCCAGTCGGCCCTAGCTGGCGGGATCCAGTTTGCTGGAGGTTCGAGTCAAGCCGACGATGGCATGGGAACCATAGCACTCCGTACAACTTATGATCAGCAAAGACGTCAGGTTTGTTCCCCGACCGTCGAAAATGCAAAAGGACCCTTTGGTATTCCCTGCCGTGCTGCCAGGCTAAGTAGTCGCGCTTGAACATCTGAGTAGACATTCCGATAGTTGCTGGTCTCGGGTGAATGCCTTGAACCCTTTCTACTCCCCTACCTTCAGTCCACCGAGGCCCAGAAGTGGCAAGAGAAGCCAGGCAACCTGCGACAATAACAGTCTCATCGCTTCTAAAGCTTCGAAAATCTTCCCTTCTTCCAAGCATAAGACAGCTTGGCCGACGGCTGAAATCGCCGCAGGCCGCGACGTCTGCGAAGGGACATCTGACACAATACATCATCGATGCCCAGGGGCGTTTCCGGGGAAAGAAAGAACCCTTCCCCCCAGAATATGTGCTCAGAAATTGGGTTGTACTTTGTACTTGGTACTCCATCCGGAATCTTTCTCACTGTCTGGGCTCCACAGGGGTGTTCAGGTCTGGTCATCGCCAGCCGCCCAAAGATGAGAAGGCTGATGTGAATTTGTCCGTTTGTCGGCTCGATCTCGTCGGGTTCAACGGGACAGGTAAATCTGACACGAGGTGGAAGGACGAGGGCTATTCTCGTACATACATACCCGTTAGCATGGAGAGAGTGTTTATTCGCCAGTCTCATCCCAGCATGCAGTCAAAGACATGCGGGAAGTCAAACCGGCGGCAAGGTTTCATTCTAGGAATCCCCCGATATGCCGCAAGACAATTGTGTTCAAGAAGGGATGTCGCTGGGATTGGTGTGGAGATGGAAAGCCGTGCTTGTGAAGGATCGATCGGAGGCGGAATGGCCCTCCAGATGGAATAGTAGATGGACTGGAGAGGCCAGGGAATGCTTGGTAGTACATATGGAGCCTCAGCCGCGCTGGAGCTGCCCTTCCTGCTTGGAAGCAGCTGCACAGCGGCTTGCATGTGCATGTGCATGAGCATGAGCACGTCGCTGCTCGATGCAATGATCTCTCCCTATCGTCCTTTGGGCCTAGGACAATTCCTAGTGGGTTGCCTGTGGTGGTTGGGCGGAGCGCTCCCGGCTACTGGTTGGCCGTGGCTGACGCTGAGCGACGCCAAGTCAGTGAAGTGACAGGGTTCCTAACATCCCGGTCGGTCCTAGTCAGGGGTAAGGAGGCAGTGGAGCGTCGTTGAGCTTCTCTGGGTCCCATCGGGCATGCTGCACTGTGTTTGCAGCTCTTGCGTCCTGTACTGTGCGCCCAAGACAAGCATTGGTCCGTCGTGTTCAACGGCGATGCTGCCTCTTTCTCCAGAAGCTTGCAAACTAAACGCGTGCTTCAATTCGAGAGAGCATGCCCATAGAATTTGCCACCACGTGTATCGTATCGTATCGATCACGTATCATTATCAACATGGTGTTCATGGGCCTTTGACCCGGCTGCTACCCTGAACGCCTCTGCGATAGGGAGACGGACATCCTGGCTCTCTTCTGCGGTCTTGCCGTCGAGTTTTGTCATCTCTCACACCGGCCGGGAGAGATGGTGCCACTGATGACTAGCACTGCTCCGTGCCTGCAGCTCGCGAGTAGGGTGTCGGTCGTGGATGATGCACTGGCGGCCGTAGTATTTCGTAGACCGGCAATAACAGGAGGATGAGCCTGGTGCCCCGTGCTGGTGCTACTCCACGCTTGGCAGCCGGAATGCCTGCCACACTCGATACCGTCCTGCCGCGATCATCGGCGGCGAAAGGGAAGCGAAGTGGACGTGTTTCGAAAAGGGGAGCGTCTCTGTTTTGAGGGTTTCCCCAGTCGCCGGCCCCTCGCCTGACGTTGCTGGAGCCGACTGGCAAGGGCCGGGATGCATGTGGTTAAGGGGCACGCTGCATGTCCAAATGCGACTCGCGCCATCGTCACATCGCGCTCTTCTGCAGGAACAACAGCCGGTCTCCTTTTCTGGCCGCAACTATGCCCACATGCACGAGAGTTCTAGTAATAGTAGTACTTCTCGGTGATCTGTCTGTCCCATCAACTCGCAGTGGACTCGCAGTTGTCGTTCATCCTGTTCTTCGCACAAAGCACGAGTAATCCTGGAGAGGCAACGTGAGAGCACGGATCATGTAAGTCTTGCTTTTACACTAGTACCATGATGATTTGAATCGTTGGATATGCCATTGTGTTGTAGATGACTTGAGTTGTCGTGGTATCTCGGCGTATTTCGCACGCACGAGGCAGTACTCCGTAGCAGACTACCTCGTCTCACACCGAGAGCCTGGTAGTAAACCGCCCTCGCCGCTCACATCATAGCCTTCAAATGATGTCACCCACCATCGGTTGACAGTCATTAGTGTGAACCTGCCGCCATCTGGCTTATCATTAGCTGGACGCGTTGAATTGAGCCGAGGTGGGCACGACGGACAAACTCTTTGCACAGACGTACATACTACTATGAGCATGTCCGAGAATGTAGCGCCATGCATGCGTTAGGGTCGATAAGTGCGGTACTAGTAGTTGTATGGGGTTGAAGCTAAGACTTCATCCATCTGCCTGCGTCTGTACGAAGTGTTCCTACTCGTACGGAGCGGCTAGCAGTTCCACCATTGCTCCTTGGCGTTTGGACTTGCAAGCAACACCAGGTACAAGTGATGGCGCTGCATCGGCCAGGTAGAAGCTGTTGAGTTCGTCGGTCCGTTGTTACTGTCCCATCCTTTGCGAACCGCGTCCAGCTCGAGCCACAGAGGATGTACAAGATGGCATATGGGGTGCTAGTAGATCGAGCTGACGGCAGGACTAATTACGTACCAGACGCTAGAATCTCGCGGTGCAACTCGAACAACGAGCCACGGGAAGGGCAGAGCGGTGATGGCACGGTACAGTATGTAGGACCTTGCCCGGAAAGGGCACACCAGATTCCTGTCAGTCGCTGGACCAAGTGCCGCGAAGACAAGTCCGTCTGTGTGTGCTTGTGTCTCGTCCTTGTCCTCGTACTACCAGTAGCGGTGCTCGTAGTACTCGTAGTAGTACATGTGGTGGCACCTGCTGGCCTGGGTTTGCTGGTACGAGCGCAGTGCTTCTCCGTACCACGGCAAGACACGGAATCGCTCATACTACAGTACACCATCGTGGCCTTGGGCTATTCCGGATGGACGCCCTCATGTCGAGCTCTGAGTCGGCCGGTGTTCAGGCTGTGGGGGCGATGGGTCAAGCAAGGCTCGTGAGTGATGATCTCCGGGGGCTAGACCGCTAGACCTGCGAGCACGAAGAGACGCAGTAGCGCTGCAAGGCGCTGGTTCTTGCGATGCTCTTTTCTGCTTCTCGTCCTTTTGCCCAGTTGACGCAGCGGATAAATGTCTGGTCTGGGAAGCCTTGTGGACAAACACCAAGCTGATTGGTAGCGGAGACCACAAAGCAAACCACCCATGGTCTGCATGCAACCATCAACGGCGGTTCCTTGTCTCGCCCAAGGCACGCATCCTCGCCCTTGGGTCAACGCGCTTGTTGCGTGGGAGTTTGGCGTTGCCAGCGACAAAAGGGGAAGAGAGGGATAGGGGACAGGACATGGAGGCCGGCCAGTGGGACATCAAATCAACCTGGTGCCACAAGCCGGCACAACGTGCGAGTAAGATCGTGCATACTCGTAGACTTGCCTCTCAGAGACGGGACTGTGACTGGGTGTTCCCGCACAAGTGCTTCGTACAGCTCTGTCGACTGATGGGCGCCAGACAACGGCCAGTGGGTGGCGTTGAGCTGTGCCGTATGGCTTGCCGAATACCCAAGGGCGGTAATCGCCCGTCCTGAAGCTACACATCATACAAGGCTCTCTGCCAGAGAGCGACTGCTTTCGCTTCGGATGGGGAGGTCTTGGCTGACGTGCCACTGGATTTTTGTCAGGCCTACCTACCTAGGTATGCACTCCGTACGACGTCGGGTCAGCAGCTGTACGTTCCGTCGAAAAGAGGCACCTGGATCAAGCGAAACTCAGCAGGTGGTCTCCTTTATCTATTAGTACCTTCACTCTTGTCGAGTCCTTCAGCTCGGCTGGCAACCTTGTCGCCTGCCATTGTCGCTAGCGGCTTCTCGACCACAGTTCTCGTGCATACAAGGGCTCGCTCCTGGTTGCTGCATGCTCTGGAGGAGGCCAAGGGCCGTACCTGCATACTCGTACATACGGCTAGTGGTTTGGAGGTTAGCTGGATGGAGCAGACTGGCTGGTGCCTCGAATCATGCGCAGACGCCCGCTCAGTCGAGCTACCTATTTGCCTATCTGTTCATCCATGGATGCTGCTGGCACTTGTCCGAAGCATTGTGGGCGTCTGAGGTCGCCGACACCAAGCAAAAGAGGAAAAGAAGAGCGGCGACTGCATTCTGCGGCACGAGAAAGCGCCTGAAGAACAGCCGATCGCCTCGAACGGCTCAACGTGGATGGCCTGTTGTTCGAGGGATGTTGACGAGGATGAGCAGGGCAGCATCTGCCATGGTACGGAGTTAGACGTTTGGAGGTTTTATCGTTCCAGATTGCTCTTGCTGTTGGAAGCACGTGTAAGCAGAGAAGACAGGAGATGCTCCGTCCGTGCCTGCCCAGAACTGGAGTTCCTCAATCACCCAGAGAAACTACCTCGCCCACAGCAACTGCCGACTCGCTTCGGGTTAGCTAATCACTGCATGTCAGCACTCAATGGACAGTTCTGAGGTTATCTACCTACATGTACCTTACCTACAGGAGCTAAGGTAGGTTACAGTATCAAGAGCAGTATCGGAGCATTCATTGCATCTGTATGGTCTTGCATGTCCTCAAAAGTGCTTGCAGGCTCTAGGCGCAGCACAGTAACCCCCCCCTTCAAGACGACACGATAACGAGGCCTGGCTCTGGTACCTGCATGCTGCGCGTGTCTGCACGGAGGGCCGAAGCAGGCGAGCCTGTACCTGCAGCTCTCGCCTCTCGAGTCCTTGGAGCGCGAACCCGCGGCCAACCACTGCACCTATCCCCGTACTGTGTCCGCACTGTCGCTGCAGGCGCCTGCCGGGTACAGCTGCTAGCGCTGCTGCTTCGAGAACCGATTCTGCCGCCGGATTGTGCGAATGCTGCAGCTAACGGGCTGGCCAGGGTTGACAGGCAGAGGCGACAGGGCTCGATTGGAGTGGCCAGCCCCCAGGCCCGAGTCTCGCCAGAGGAACGGGACAGGCGAGTACCTGCGCGCGACCTCGACCAGAGCTGGACCAGGCCCGATGACGCCGTTGGCCGGCCGCGAGGCTCTTGTCCCCCGCCCGTACCCTCCTCCTCAGCACCCTGGCGCCAACGGATGTCCAGAGCAGGCAAACGCTCTGATCAGCTGGCGTCGAGCGGCGGATGCAGGGCCCGAGCCAGTACCTGTACGAGGGCGGACTGAACAGTGCGAGCCCGACGGTAGTGTGGGCGGGACTGTTGGCTAGCACCCTCCTAGCGCATCCTGTTCCTGTCTGTTCCTGTTCCTGTTGCCGTTCCTGGACCTGGTCCCCTGGTCCCCCTGTGCCTGGCCACGCCTCCGAGTACACCCTGCCGAAGCGGTACCTGAGCGGTACCTCTGTGCCTCGGTCTGTTGTCGTCCTCACGCACTCCCTTCACACGATACAGGCGCAGTGCAGACATCAATCCGCCAAGTACCCGAGAGGAGCCCAGCCGGCAGCCTGTACTTTGCCCGTCCGAGCCTGCATGTCAAGCCCTGTGCAGGTCGGCATGTTCTTCGTACCCGGCCGATGGAGGCCTTGTTTGCCCTGAGGTGTTGTCCTGCATGCATGTACTCCGTACAGTACCTTGGAAGAACCCGACCGACTGTCGAGGGACGGTACAGTAGCAGCGCCCCAGCCACAAGCCCGTACCGTACATGACCTCCATCGAGCTCCTGCAGCCACTAGCATCCCAAAGCGGCTGCGATCCCTTCAAGCCCACCATTCACCACCCGCTGCCAGCGAGCCACTCCCACTGGCTGCCACTGGGCTCAACCACTGGCAGCGCCCAGCGTGTGCCCCCAGGCCGCCAGGGGACCCCCTCCCCAACCCACCGCCGCTCGCCTTTTTCTTCCCTCCGCCTCCTGTCCCCCGTTTCCCTCCTCCGTCTCCCCCATCGCCATCCTCGCGGCCATTGTCTCCTCCTTTTTTCCCTTTCTCGTGTGTTCTTCTTTCTTCACGTCACTCTCTTAATCTTCGGCCATTTCGGTTCCCGTCACTCTTTCCGGGACCATTCCATTCTTTCGGCTTCATCTCCCAAAGGCCTGTCAATCGTTGCTGGGTAGACTCCGCTATTTCCATTCGACCTCGCCTTTGTTCCTTGCAAGGGTCCCAGACCACGTTCTTTTCTTTCTGGAACTCGACGCCGTTCTCTTTCTTGGTTATACTCCCTGTCCTTGCCTACCTTAGTTGAAAGCATCAATCATCAGTCGCCAAATACTCACCTGTTATACGAACTCCCCGAGCGCCCATCGCCGCCGCTTCACTCACCCTCATTCTTTCTGAGCCCAACGCTACTCAGCCCTGATTCCGTCGAGAGGGGTTGGCAATCGTGTTGCTACGCCTCGTCTGATTGGGACCAATTACTTCCTCAGGACTCGTCCTAAGCAAACATCTCATCCGAATACAACTAACACGACAATCGATCACGAACGATATACGACCTTGACGCGTACTCATCGTCATGGCTACGGAGATCGAGCAGCCGCTGGCTTTGACGGCGACAGTGGGCACGCCAACCGCTCCTAGCCCAACTGGATCTGCCATTCACCACTCCACGACAGCATCTTCAGACGGTACCCCCGGATCTGCCACAAGGCCCCTTCCTTCTCCTACCAGTGCCAATGGCCAGGCCAATGCTTCGCGCCGCCCGCCGCGCAAAAGCACCCTCACGCAGCAGCAAAAGAACCAGAAGCGGCAGAGGGCCACGCAGGACCAATTGACAACTCTGGAGATGGAATTCAACAAGAACCCGACTCCCACAGCCAGTGTCCGCGACAGAATAGCCGAGGAGATCAACATGACGGAGCGCTCTGTTCAGATTTGGTTCCAGAATAGGTACATATGCTACAACCGATGTTCATCACCGTGGGCGATTTCAGGGGCTGACATTGCTATAGGCGAGCCAAGATCAAGATGTTGGCCAAGAAGAGCCTCGAGACCGGTGAAGACATCGATTCGATCCCCGAGTCGATGCGACAATACCTCGCGATGCAGGCAATGGAATCTGGTAAAGGCTTTGCTGGCAGCTACATGGGACGCACTGGCCTCCTCCCCTTTGGTGGCGGTAACATGCTCTTTGGTGGCGATCAGAGCGCGCAGGGCAAAGTTTGTACGTCGACCCCAAGTCTTCTTCTTCTACCTTGAGTATCTGGTGGCCGCGCAAAGTACTGACCTCTGTCCAGTGATTCATCACCTCACCTGTCGCTCGCTGAGCATCGGCAAATGGACGCGCGTAGGCCAGAACACCATGGATCTCATCATCTTCTACTCCCCGGACAAGTGCACCATGACCTACTACATTAACAACGAGCAGGCTGGGTACAAGATCGAGTATCCCTTCTCGCACATCAAGAACATCTGGCTGGAGAACGCGGACAATGACATGAACAAGTTGGCGGGCATCTTCATTGAGCTCAACCAGCCGCCTTACTTCATGATGGATGCCACCTCGTCAACGACGGGATTTGACTATGTCAGTGACTTCACCGAGGATCAACAGGCCTCTCAATGCTTGCTGCATCATCTGGGCGGCAACCCCAAGGTGCTGGCCAACCAGCTGGCCAAGCTCGTTTCTCTGGAATCGTTCATGAACCGCCACAACCCTCACAGCATCCGACAGGTTCACGCGTATGCCGACCCCCATGCCATCTCTGCTTCGGCGCCAGTGTCTCCCACAGCTCGACCTTCATCGCAGCCCAGCTTTGGTGCGCCTCCCATGGCCATGGCTCAGCAGCAATGGCAAATGGCCAACATGCATTCTGCGGCCAGCATGCGGCCCCAGGGCCACAAGCGACAGCGTAGTCGCTCTGTTCCCGGCCCCATTGACTTCGCCATGTTCCAGAACCAGCCGATGCCGTCTTTCTACATCCAGCCTCCTGGCGAGATGGCTACGCAGCACAACCCCAACATCTACGCGCCAGTGCCGCAGCAACCCAACGTGGCACACAATCTGAGGATTGACACGCAAGCAGGCTTTGGCCTGGACATGCGACAATACCCAATGTCAGCCACGACTGCGTCGCCTTCCGAGTTCCCCCCGAGCCCGGGCTTCTTCCCTCCTGGCCCCGAGACCGCTCCCTTGGCCCCGTCGAATTACAGCACTCCCTATGGTAACGCGTACCTGTCGCCCATGGTGAGCGCTGAAGCCAACATGCCCACAGCCATCTCTCCGCTCCCCTTCAACGGCCCCACCGAGCCATCGATCGTCGAGCACTCCCCTCCCATGTCGATGATGGGTCGTCCTGGATCCTCGGACATGTACCTGGGCCAGGATGGCTCGTGCGCTGTTTCGGATGATGGCGCCAGCTTGAACGAGATGTATTCGAAGCACTCCATCAACATGCCACTGCACGAGCACTCGCCCGGGAGCTATGTGCAGCACTCACAGGCTGATATCGATATGGATCAGCTTGTCCACTTTGACGCCGTTGATCCTGCCAGCCTGTCGCCGGAAACGATGCATCGATGATGTGACAACGATACTTGGTGACGTTTCTGGCTGCGTGCTTCTTTTGGCCGTTTCGGCGCCCATGGTGTTGTTTGGAATCCATCATTACAGCGGGAGGGCGTTCTTTGGTGAACTTATACCATTGGGATCTACATGCTATCTCGGTTACAAGGCATCTTGGAACTCATCTCGCGACACATCCATTTCTGCCACATCTTCCACTCCCCTTCGTTTTTTTTGTTAGCTGCCACCGGCGGCATAATACGCTTGGCTTGAGCTACTTACATGCCATCACAAATGCGGCCATGACGAATCTGCATGACGGTATCATTCTTTAACATCGGTCATGCATGTCCGGTACAGCGATCGTACGAGTCATTTTTGCGCGTGGAGATTTTGCTCAGTCATCTTCTTTTGTTCATCTACTGCCCGCGCATTTATCTCTTGTCTGCTTGGTGAAATCAGTGGTTGGATGCACCACATCCATCTACTCCATTGTCTGCTTCTTCATTTCCCTTTTCCTTCGTTGTTGCCTATTGTCCGCCTCCTCTTCCGGCCACCCGATGCGTAACTGCCTGGGATATACACAGCCATGTCGCATCCAACGGAGCCTAATTTCCTTGTTGGCGCATATCATTAGCTATGGGAGTTGTTGTTTCTTCTTTGTACTTTCATACCCACCTTGACATGGGTTGCAGCCCCGGAGGTGGTGGCCCTGTCAGATGGTGTTTTTCCTTGTTCTTTCGCATTTCTGTTTTCTTGGCTTTCTAATGGAAATACCGAGATGTCATAGGGATATATGGTGTAAGAGGTGGGAGACTTGTTTAAAAGTAAGGTATAGTGATGTGGCGGGGGTGTCTAAGAAGCGAGGAGGTAAAGACCTCCTCGAGAGTCGATGGCGAGGGAGAAGCATCGCACTCTTTCGACTATTGGGTAGCTGTAGAGTTACCGGGAACTGGCATCGCATGATTGCCAGCTGTAAGCCTTGCAATAGTACTCTTTTGATGTTCAGACAATTGGTGCTGGCCCTTTGTGTATAGACTGGTGTATCCTATTGGTGATACTCTGTACCCAAGTAGGTAGGTTGGTAGGTAATAGAGAAGAATTTTGGACTATCACGATATCACTCGACCTTGTGCTACTCAAGCACTGCGCTTTGCCACCACCAGGAGGGTAACACTGCTTGGTAAGTGGGAGTGAGGATCAGTGGCTGAGGCTGAATGGACGTGCCATGTTGATACCATGATCTCCAAGGTCCACACTGTTGACACATATCTGGGCCGTTGAGCGCTTGACGTGCCAATCACAAGGTACTTTGTCCCAGAGAGGGAAATCTGGGGTGACGTGGATTAATACGAGTGAAACTTGTGATACCCCGGTGCTTACAGCTGCGATGATGCATTGATTCCATAGGCATTTTGTTTACCTAAGGAAATTATTTCTGATGAAGCTGGCGCACTTGTAAAGTTGACCCTGTCTACATAGGTACCTAGATAGGATCGAGCAAGCGTTCTCAGATACTACATGTATTAGTACTACTGGTAAGGTATAATATCCCGTGGGGTCTCCGCAATTTGAAATCGAAGCTTAAACCGACATGAATCGCGACCAGACCCAGAGACAAGGCTTGAAGAGGCTGCGGTGGTACGTACGGCAGAAGGGGTTACATGTGAGGGATCTACCAGGAGCTGTTTGGCAGGGGAAGCAAAGCCTCGTTGGGCCTCGTAATGCGGGTGCGTCATGTAAGCCGTGGCTCGTCTGCAGGCGTCGAATCAGAGGGCAGGCGAACATTTACATGGGCATGTACTAGCAGACGGCCTACGAGTATTTTTAGCATCCTTGTGTGAAGAAGTGTTACAGCATGCTCTTTGATTTGGTGTACTACACGAGACGCATGCTTGAGGCGTATACCTATGCTAAGGCATGTGCTGCGGCTAACGGGTCAAGTCCATCGAAACTCAAGGCAAGGCAAGCATCGGTCGGATGATTTGGGGCCGCTGCAGGTGTGACGTCTTGCCAAGTCGGTCGAGCCTTCTGGCTGCGAGGATGCGAGGCTTGTGCCCAATCCTGCAGCCGGGATTTTGAGCGTCTTTGCCCTCAGCTTGATTCTCCTCCATTCACATTCCCAAGCATCTATGCCCTCGTAATCAATATCTTATCCGGCATCTCTTTTGATATGGCTTTCGTTCCGGACCCATGCTAAGAGACAGTTTTGCTCTCATCATCCTTTCGACGATTAGCCCCCAGCCTAAGCCGTCGCGATGCATCGTCCGCGGGCCCAGCCGCCTCCGCCAGAGGACCGCGGCCACGCAGACGCCGATGACACTGAGCGAGAGATTGTAGTCACAGAAACCGGTCGAGATGACGCTGAATCCAACACTTTGCTGTCGGCCGAGGGCATCCCGCCCAGAGTTGCCGGCCCCAGACGCTCTCACACAGAGCCCGTTGTGTCACTTACCATGTCGCAAGGGCCGGAGAGACCCCAATCAAGACCGACATCGAGGCCACGATTCCAGGAGCATCTTGAATCGATCCACGGCCCATCCGAGTCGAACATGGCTCAGGACAGGGACCTGAGCGAGGGACTCTTATCTACCGCACCGACACCCGTTAAACCATCCTCGATCCACGCTGTCAAGGAATTCGGGCGGAATAGGGCCGGCAACGGAAAGGGGAAGAAGAGGCACTGGATGCTTAGTTCTGAGTGGAAAGATCACGCCGCAGCATATGCTCAGAATGTCTTCCAGAAGGTCGTCATGGAGACCATTCTTCGTCGCAAACCGCTTCTACCTACCAAAGATGGGCGTCATATCCCCCTCAATCCCATGAGCGTTGATCCAGGCGGCCTGATAGACGAACGCAGCAACAAACCGTATATAAACAACTTCATTCGCTCCAGTCGCTATACAGTCTGCAACTTTTTCCCGAAGCAGCTGGTTTTCCAGTTCAGCAAGCTAGGGAACTTTTATCTTCTTGTGATGGGCATCCTTCAGGCAGTCCCTGGTCTGAGCACTGTCGGCAGATGGACGACCATTGCTCCGCTCGCTGGCTTCGTCGCCTTCAGCATGGCCAAGGAAGGGTACGACGATTACAGGCGATATCAGCTCGACAAGTCAGAGAACCGCAGCATGACTTGGGTACTGGCACACGGCGTGAGAGAAGGGAGAGAGAGGCCTCGAATGTCGGGATGGAGGAATGCCTTGAAGAGAAGACGAAGGAGCGGCAGGAAAAGGCTTGGAGCGGATGACGAGGACATAATCGTGCAGGATATCCAAGAGGGAGCCCTTGCCAGTCTGGACGAGACGAACGATTGGATGTATGTTCAATGGCAGCACGTACAGGTTGGAGATATTGTGCGCCTCCGCCGCGACGAACCGGTGCCTGCAGACATAGTGATGCTTCATGCCACGGGGCCAAACGGCGTTGCTTACATTGAGACAATGGCCCTGGATGGCGAGACTAATCTCAAAGCCAAGCAAGCCTGCCCTCTCCTTGCGGAGAGATGCGGAACCGTCGACGAGCTCCGATCAGTTCAGGCCACAGTGGTATCCGAAGACCCGAATCTCGACCTATACAGCTACAACGGAAGGGTCACTGTCGACGGTGAAACCGTACCCCTGTCGATGAACAATGTCGTCTATCGCGGTTCTACGTTGCGAAACACCACAATGGCCATTGGACTCGTGATTAACTCGGGAGAAGAATGCAAGATTCGCATGAACGCGAACAAAAATATCCACGCAAAGAAACCAGCCATGCATTCTACGATCAACAAGATGGTCCTGTTCCAGATCGCGATTGTCATCTCCCTGGCTGTTGGATTTACCATTGGATACTACACCTGGGAGAACAAGACAGAGGACAAGTCGTTTTATATTGTCCGCAGCGGCGTTTACGACGGAAGAGTATCGTTCAAGCAGATTTTCTTTGGGTTTCTCATCATGTTCAACACCTTGATTCCGCTGTCTCTATACATCAGCTTGGAAGTGATCAAGATTGGTCAGCTCTTCCTGCTGCAGGATGTGGACATGTATGACCCAGTCACGGACACTCCCATGGTGGCGAACACTACGACCATCTTGGAGAACCTTGGTCAGGTCAGCTATGTGTTTTCCGACAAGACAGGCACGCTGACAGAGAACCTGATGCGGTTCCGAAAAATGAGCGTTGCTGGCGTGATAGGACTCCACAACATGGATGCTCAAGGGGACGAGGCGGCTGCCCCGAACAAGAGTGACCGAGCAAAGGGAAAGCAGCCCATTTCAAGTACGCACGCAATGATGGCATCGACACAGGGCCAGGGCGACAATGAGACAACCACTCTGGGTCCGTCAAGGCGTGCCTCGACTGCTTCTCATCTGCGGACAAAGACCGTGGCCAATTCACACAATGAAGCTTCGTATGTGAGAACCGAAGAGCTGCTCGAGTATATCCGTCGTCGGCCCAACACCCCCTTTTCTGAGAAGGCAAAGCAGTTCTTGCTTTGCATAGCCCTCTGCCACACATGCCTGCCCGAGACCAACGAAAGCGGAGAAATTGAGTACCAGGCCGCATCTCCTGATGAGCTGGCCCTGGTCGAGGCGGCACGGGACCTGGGCTATATACTCATTGACCGGCCGGCTCAGTCCATCAAGCTGCAGATGCAGGATGCAGATGGTGTACTGCAAACAGAAACTTACCAAGCGCTGGATGTGATCGAGTTCAGTAGCAAAAGGAAGCGAATGTCCATCATCGTTCGCATGCCTGACAACCGGATTTGCGTCTTCTGTAAAGGCGCGGACAACGTCGTCATGGCGCGCCTAAGGCTTCGTCAAGTGGCTGAGCAGAAGGCGAAAGATGCTACTCGTCGGGCCAGCGTGAGAAAAACAACCGAGCAGGACAAGGCAATTAAGCGCATGAGCTCTCAAATCAGCAGGAGGGACTCACAACACAATAGCTTCAGACTTGCTCGAAGCAAATCGACGGTTGGACTCGAAGGCTTGAGAAACAGCATCAACTTGAGGCGTTCTATGGACCTCAACCAGCTCTCCCAGGCAGAAGGGGTAGCCTCATGGCTGCACAGGCGAAATACAGAGGAGATGGTGTCTCCCAGGACTTCGACGGACGCGCAGCGGAACTCTAGGAGAAGCTTGGGCCGTATGCCGTCGTTTGACCAGAGGGACTACATGGGAGATGACGACGAGAGGATAGACGAAACAGTGGCTGCAGATGAGGCGACGATATTTGAAAGATGCTTCCAGCATGTAGATGATTTTGCGGCCGAGGGCCTTCGAACACTGTTATACGCCTACCGATACATCGACGAGGAAGCCTACGCAGAGTGGAAAGCCGCATATAAGGAAGCGGAGACGAGCCTAGTTGACCGCCAGGAGCGCATTGAAATAGCGGCTGAGCAGATTGAAGAGCAGTTCGAACTTGCCGGCGCCACAGCTATAGAAGACAAGCTCCAGGACGGGGTCCCGGAGACAATCGACAAGTTGAGGCGTGCAAACGTCAAGGTGTGGATGCTCACTGGCGACAAGAGGGAGACTGCCATCAACATCGGGCATTCGGCGCGAGTCTGCAGGCCATTCTCCGAGATATACATCCTGGACGCCTCTAAGGGCAAGCTACAGGATGCTCTGATGACGACGCTGACCGAGGTTGCGCGGGGGATGGTGCCTCACTCTGTTGTGGTTGTGGACGGACAGACGCTGGCCGAGATTGATGCTGATGAGGACCTTGCTGCCTTGTTCTACAACCTGGTCGTACGGATCGACTCTGTCATCTGCTGCAGAGCATCGCCCTCCCAAAAGGCGAACCTGGTCAAGTCGATAAGGAAATTTGTTCCCAAGAGCATGACTCTGGCTATTGGTGACGGCGCCAACGACATTGGCATGATTCAAGCTTCACACGTGGGCATTGGCATCTCCGGCCGCGAGGGTCTTCAAGCAGCGAGAATAGCCGACTATTCCATTGCCCAGTTTCGGTTTCTGCAGAAATTGCTGTTTGTGCATGGCCGATGGAACTACCTCCGGACTGGCAAGTATGTCTTGGCCACGTTCTGGAAGGAGACCTTCTTCTACCTTATCCAAGCGCAATTCCAGCGGCTCAACGGCTACACAGGCACGTCCCTATACGAGTCGTGGAGCCTCACGCTCTTCAACGGTGCGTTTACCTCACTGCCGGTGATTTTGCTGGGGATCTTCGACAAGGACTTGCGGCCGGAGACGCTACTGTCGGTGCCGGAGCTGTACACCTTTGGGCAGCAGAGGAAAGGGTTCAACTTGCTGCAGTATCTGGGCTGGATGACCATGGCTGTTGCGGAAAGCGTAGTGGTGTTTTACTTTGCGCTGGAGGCGTTTGACAAGATTCTGTTCACCGAAGATAATGGGCTGTATGCGATGGGAACGATATGCTTCAGCGTTGGCGTCATCTTCATCAACGTGAAGCTGCTGTAAGTGATCCGCACGACACGTCTTTTCCCTTCCTCTCTTCTTGCACAGAACGAGGAGCCTACAACTGATACGGACTATCTCTTCTAGGATACTCGAGTTCCACAGCAAATCTCTGATCCCGCTCCTCGGTCTTGCCATTGAACTCACCGGCTGGTTCATCTGGAACCTGGCCCTTTCGGCCGTCTATCAGCCAACGGTCAGTCCAATGACAGTTAGAGACGACTTCATACAAGACTTTGGGCGCCGACTCTCTTGGTGGACGACGTTGCTTCTTGGACTGGTTACACCCCTTATCATGGAGTTGGCTGTGCAGGCCATCCGTCGAGTGTACTGGCCCACTGATCAGGATTTGATGCAGCGCGTAGAGAAGGACGCCAACTCGAAGGAGATCCTGAAGAGATACGCTGCGGACGGAGCTGCGGACCTGGAAGCTGGGAATACACGCACACAAGGCATTGAGCTGGAGGAATTGGGACTGCGAATTGCTCAGAGAGAGGAAGGCGCAACGCTATTGGCTGACCATGATGGGGGGGTAGAAAGAAGTCGGAGTGCTGCTGTACAGCCTGTGAGCGCAGTTCCGAGGAGCAGCTTGGGGGATCTGGGGCAGAGAAGGTCGGTGAGAGTGAGCCATGACGATTATCGGCCGCCGAGGTTTACGCCGCCGGCGGAGGAGAGAGAGAATCCGCTGGAGAGCGTTGAGACGAGGAGGTGAGGCAGAAGCTCCCTAGATGAAAGGGGAGATGAACTTGGCAGAGAGATGAGATGAGGATCCTCTGTCTTTACGATTTCACGACTTTGAGAATATACTGTAGAGTTTTTGGCATAGCGGTTTCTCTCGTGGGAAATTCATGGCTGAACGTGTGCTTTTGGCTCTGATGGATGATATGAGATATGAGATATGAAAGCATGGTTAGGTTGTCAGCTAGCTCTAGTAGAATATCGAGTTACCTTTTAGAATTACGACGGGAAAAGTTAGGCCGTTATGATATACCGTTACCTTTGCCTAAGATATCTACGATGACAGCAACAGCGGTGAAGCGTGTCTTGACCTCTTACAGTTTTCAAGACAGACTCCAGAGGGGGATACGAAGCCCGAACAACACGAACACGAACACGAAAAGCATCCTCAGCACCTCCCTCATCACCCGCGGCTCTCATCCACCCTCACCAAGGCCTTGCCGCTCGCATGCATATTCCGCCCAGCCTAGCGAACGCCTCCACTGACGACCTCTAATCGCCAGACGCTTGTCCCTGATGAAAGCGGGCGTGGCCCCCAACCCAGCCGGGCCGGCGATGCGCTGGCGGTCCTTCGAGCGAGGGGCTCCTATCATGGGCACGCCCCCACCAGAGACAGCCTTGCGCCGCTCAGTCAGCGGGATGCGGGCCGGCGTTCGTTGCGCCTCATCTGCCAGACGGCGCGCTGGAAGCTGGGGCACGGAGGTAGATAGGCGAGTGGACGTGGAGGGACTGGTGGCCGAGGGTATCGATGACGGCGTCGAAGGGAACGGAGCGGAAGCGGCTGGCGAGATGGGCAGAGAGTTCGATGTGCTCGTCGTCTTGCTGGTGTTGGGTATAGTTGATGACCTGGTCGGCCCCGAGGCGCTCGACCATTCGGGCGTTTCTGCCGCGGCTGATGCCGACGACTAAGGCCCTCGGGACCGAACAGTCCAGCGGGCTATCTGCACGACCATGATGCCCGATGCCGCCGCTGGCCGCGTTGACGAGGATACGGTCGCCGGGCTTGGCACCGGACTCGGCGAGGAGCTGGTGAGCCGTCATGGCGGTCAGGAGGCAGCCGGTCAGGAGGCAGCTGGCCGCCTCGGAGAAGGGGGGGGGGGGGCCGAGGGGGGCTTGCGGACGGCGAAGCGGGCCGAGGTGGCAATGTATTCGGCCAGGGTGCCGGTTCCGGTCGGGAGGGCGTGGCTGGCGGGCAGCATGACCATGGCTTTGTTGCCTTTGCGGACGCGAGTCTAGGTGCTTTTTGTATGGGTGGTGCTGCCGGAAATCACATCTGTGTTGGTATCTTCGCCGTTGCTGGCCTCAACGTGAATGTCATACGTCCTGGACGATGCCAGAGCGGTCTATTTCCAGTAATCCGCATGCCTTGCTGCGCGGGAAAGCAGGTATGAGAACCATGTGGAGGATGGCACCGACGTTGAGGTCTGCGAAAGCAACCTGAATGAGGACCCATTCATCTCGACGAACAGCTTCAGGGGGACAACACTGGGAAGGGCCGGGATGATGCGAGGGATAAGACGTCGGAGGGGGAGTCGCGCCCAGGGAGAATGTCCAGGCTGACAATGTTGTGCCCATGACGTTGATGTTTGTTTGCAGTTGCCGCTGTCTGATATAAGGGCGGAGAGCTCATCGTGAGTTTCAACTTGCATCCTTCGCCTTCTCTGAAGGGAGGTCGTAACCGGTGGCGGGCAGTTGTGTAAACAGACAGCGAGAGAGCGAGAGATGAACGAGCTATCAGCATTGGAACCACATGGTCAGCTTGGTCTTGGTCACGGCCAAGGCTTGGGCTGAATGAGGATGAAAAAAGCTTACTGAAGAGGTTGCAGCAACTTGCTGCCAGCTCGTATGTGGTGTTACTTACGAGGTAGAGAGCAACCCCTTCGGAAATCCTCTACCGTTCTTGCTGTTCTCGTACTTCCTCTTCCTCTTCTGTTCTCGCCATCTTGTTCACCCCAAACTGCAACAGCCTATTACCACAATTGTGTAAGCTATTGTTGTGAGGTGGCTTCGAAAGTCTCAGAAATGGCTTGGTGGGCTGGGGCAAAGGGGCGGTACAAGCCACCACATGCAGTCGACGCAACGTTCTTTTCTGTCATCACGAGTCACATTCAATCTAGGGCGCGTGCCGCTGAAGCCACTGGAGGCTGAAGGTATTAGCTGCAGTAATAATAGAGGTTCAAAAAGGGTAAACGGCAGCGGCTTGTTAAGCTTAAACTGAGGTCGCTGGGAACCAGGTAGCAGTGAGAGTGTCTTTGACTCCTTGGTAGGGAAAGCTGCAAGGTATTAGGGAATCCGCTCTGCATCCATGTCGCTGTGCGAGTACTTGCATCTATACTCACCGCACCATTGCTGTGGGTTATAGGAGATGGGCTTCTGTGGGTCATTGGCTTCTCGAACGTAATTCTGTGCCTGAGAGCCCAGATACTACGCCGGAGCAGGCTCCGGCATTGGAGCATTGGAGCCTGGAACTTGCCGTTTGTCACTCTTGGAGACGAGGGGTTTCGGATTCTCAAGAGCCTGAAACTGCGTTCTGGACGGTATAATTTTGCTGCCTATCAGGCATCAAGAATCACCGTCATAAACCCAGTCAACGACTATCTCGCAGCAGGCACCGCAATTGCACTGGCAGTTAGATCTGATATGGTTCGTACATCTCGCCTAAGCGGGTGAACTGTGTTCGCGGTTTAAGTGCCGGTGAATGCTTGAAAACTCCGCCATAAGGCCCGAGAAGGGGAACTCGAGTAAGCGCGCCGGGCGACGGACCACGCACGGTGACGACTCGGTATTGAAATGCCGAAACAGACGGGCATAGGGTTTGAATGTTCCAGAACACTCGGGCGGTATTGTTTGCACATCCAGCGCTCTGGCTATGTCAGGTGTTAGCCGGCTCCGAGGATTCACGTCGGGCTCGTCGAGAGCTAAGAAAAGACCGATTAATTTCGGCTGCAGCATCCCTATCGGGGACTCTGCCGTGATCCCTCGGCCTTTCCAGCTGTCACAGACGTCATCGAGTTCTCGGAACAAACCACGCATGTACCCAATTTGCCTGTCAGTCAGTAGGTAGGTGTGGTAAGGTAGGTGGTGGTAGCAATAATGGCTTGTGCTCGGGCAGCATTCCAACTTGTGCAGCGGCAGCTCTTGGTTCCGGGCATTTTATGCATCAATGTCCCAATCAGAACCACACTCTGGGCCGCATAGATATGATGTAGCCCTTTGTAATCGTAGCAAGTCGAGTCGACACCAATCCCGTGCGCCATGTTTGCCCGCAAAAGGGCCCAAGCCAAGGCCAAAGCATTAGCAGCCGAGTCTGGTGATGTGACTTAGTTAGTCCAGTCCTCCGCAGGCCATGGACGTAGTACGGACGTTGCGGACTTGCGCAGCGGATTCGTGTGGGTTTATCCGACTCTCGGACGACGGCAAGGACCCGAACCCCGGGCCGCCTCGATGGAAGCGTTGGAGACCAGCAGCCGCGCGCCCACATGCTGGGACTCATCAACTGTCGACACTGGCTGGCGGGTTGGCGGGCTTCCTGGAGGAGCGCTGGCGCCACGCCGGTTTCTGAGAGGCGTCGATAGAGGGGTCGTAGCAGCGTGCTTGGGCGACGTCAAAGCCGACAAACGAGCCCTTACTGTTGGTCAGAGTCCAGAGTCCAATCGGAGTCGCCCTGAAAAGGGTCGACTGGCGCAAGAGCATCGAAGAGTCATCCCGCGCTGATCTCGGCCCACGTCCCATCGCCTGTAAACGATGGAAACGAGTAGTCGTTGAAAGTCTGGAGAGTCAAACTTGGTCACACGGCCAGGCCAAGTTTTCTTTAGACAAAGGCTGCGATGGCTCGGCCGATGCTCCCTTTGTCACTCTCATCGTTCGGATCCGATCCGGCTCCTAAAGGTTCCGATGCAGCATCCAACGCTCTCAGGTCGGCCGTGAATCCATGAACGAGATACACCATAGCATCGCCGAGCATTCCTCAACGAGCAGGAGCGCAGCAGCCGGCCGGTGAAGTCTTCCTCAAAGGGCCTAACCGGAGGCCTTGCTGGAAATGAATGCTTCGTGAAGTGACCCAAGCCACGGCCACGTATCCCGCGTATTGCCTTGTTCACGTCGCAGCTCCCACAAACAGACGAAGGACCATCAATACGCGCGGCGTCTAACCACTAGCACGGCCTTCATCAAAGCAATCTTGCTCCTGTTGCTCCTGAAATCAAGGCCTGAGTCATCAGTGTTGTAGCCTAGCCCTTCAGCTGCGCACTGCCACGCCTTGGGTATCGCCAAATCCCGTGTCCCCCTGCAGACCCTCGGGACTTTTCGACGTCTGTCTGATAATTTCTCGGGGTGTCAATGGTGATCCGTCACAAACGCAGGTCCGGAAGAAATGAGCCATGACGACGTCTGGATTAGACTTTTCGGCTTACACGTACTCTTGATGCTCTTGTTGTTTTTAGAGAGGAACCGCAGGATAGGGCAGGGCCAAAAGAGGGTTGGTTGAGTCACCCACGCACCACAAAAAAGCCCATCTCCACCGTACTCCGTACCTGAGGCAGGTTGTCGTTAATTGGAAGTTATACGACTGGTCGGTCGTATGGGAATCAAGTAGGTAATCCAGCCAAGGTACATAGAGGAGCGGTAACGGGTACGGTACACACACAGTAAGATAGCCAGAGGCAGGGCTGTTGTGCATGAAGCGAGCGAGAGTGGCCGTAATGGAGCAAACAGGTTGTACGGAGTTGAGGCTTGTATTGAGTGCAATTCAATGGAAGCGTCAGTTCTCGCAGAGATCAAGGGTAAGGTAATTTGGCTGCCTGAGGCAGTCCCTTACCTCGTAGCATTAACCTTCAAGTACCTGACATGTACAGGAGAACCTGAAGTCAGGTATCAGTAAGAAGAAGCAGGTACGTGGGTGTATATAGCTGCCTCGTGCCTGCTGATCGCCTGCGGAAACAAAAGCGAGCGAGAGGAAGGAATGAAGGAGAGGAAAAAAAGCTCAATTCCGCTTCCTTCCCTTCTTAAGACAACCTTATTACCTTGACTTGTCTTACTACTGTATCATTAATCAATTCATAGTCCGTCTTTTCTTTTTCTTGTCCTTTTCACCACCATCATCGTCTTCCGCAGAAGACTCTTCTGTTCTGTTCTTCTCTTCTACAAGGTATTCGCCCATCATCTCTTTTGATACTCGGCCTCAATCGCCCTACTTTTACACCTCCGGCCCCCGCTGCCAAGTTCGCCGCTGACCAACCAGCCGCGGGCTTCAGCCAGCTGCTCTGGAATTTTCTCTCCGCGGCCTCCGTCTAGGCATAACGGCAGCGATAGCCGAGTACGCGAACCTCGATTCCGTTGCAAAGGATTGACGGCAGTGATCCGACAACCCGCTGCTGAGAGCTCACACCACGTCTGGAGAGGCCCTGTATTTGTTCTGCAGCTGCTTGTACTTCGCACGAGTGCCGCCCACAGGCACACAAGGCCACTGATACTACAACGCACACGATCACACGCACGCTGCCGCCTCCCACCAGCTCGGTATAGCCCGCTGCCGCATTATAAATTGCCTTGTACCTGGCGTCAGAACCGCTAGGCCCTGACGTCGGTCGCGCGCGCACGAACGGAATAACGGACATACAGCCAGCCACCTTGTGGCAGCTCTGGCGCTCAGCCAGTCTATCACTACCACCTTGTCTCCAAGCCCACGACTCTTCTCTCCGCAATTGGCACCCTCACGGTGCTGCGGATCATTCCAGCAGGAAGCGGAAAGAGAGGGTCTTCCAGCAAGGCTGCGGTAAAAGGACCACGGCTTGCGGAAGCAATTCGCAGAACATTGAGCAGCCTCCCGTTGCCGCCACCGCCGTCTCCGCCACCCGGATACCTGACCGAACACTGTCGTCTACTTAGCTGTGCCATCGAGCCCTGTTTCTAAAAACTAACCCACGGCGTCTTGCCTCGCATCCGACAACGCACGGGTTTTGAGTCTGGTATCTCATTTCTTGGTCCCCAGCTTCATCTCCACCACCGCCCTCCTTCAATACGCGTATCGGGAACGGCCACCTAGGTCCGTTGTCCGGCTCCCTGGCTTGTCCGGACAGAAGAGAACTCTCCGGTTGCACTTTGTTCAGCACGCAGGGTTGAGTCTTCGTCCGTACCCCCGTCACTTCAGCTTTTCTCAGAGGGCTTCCCGCCATCAGCTCTTCGTTGCTCGATCATTTACTGCGACTCCTGACACCGACGTGCTGCTTCACACAGCCTCTTGCCCCTGTCTCGCAAAAAGCAGCTTTGTCAGGCAGCACCCTTTCTTCTTCTTGGTTCGCTATATCTGTTTTCTTCGTCGTGCTGTCTTCACGCGCTGTTGGAAACTCTTTCTCGTTCGCATTCGTCTGTGCCTGGAGCACTCGAGAGCTGTTTTATCTTCTTTTTGCTTTCCCCTTCCCTCCTTTTCTTTCTGCTTGGCTTACCCCGTGTGGATTATTTTTCCCTTTTTACCGCTCTCATCGTCAGACTTCGGGGTTTGGCTACGACCCGATCTTTAACACCCCACGTTCTCCCCGCTGGTGACATGTGAAATCACCGGCGCAAACTTGGACATGTCGTCAAACGCTTCACCAGGACCTCACAAACACCCCAGAATACTGGCTTGTGTATTGTGTCAGCATCGCAAAATAAAGTGCGACAGGAATTCACCATGTTCCAACTGTATCAAGGTGCGCAATCCATTCCTTTTCTTCTTGGCTTGGTAGCTCGTAGCTACCCGGACTTACTCGCATGTGCTGTCAGCTGCTCTTCTTCCCAGCTTTGGCATTCAGCCTCAAGCCTGCCGTGAACATCTTTGAGGCGGAAATGGAAAGAAATCAGCGGCTTTCAGCTCGTTGCGTACCAACTGTATCATAAATCGCAAGAAGCTCACATTGCCTCAGGCCAATGTCACCTGCACGCCCAGCACCCCGGCGCCAGCTCGCAAACGCCGGCGCCCAAACCAAGATCTCCAGGAACGTCTCGCACGATGCGAGGAACTGCTCAAGCAGTATGCAAGTGGATCGGTGCCGATACCTGCTCCCTCTACTGCTCAAAGGCCGTTACCACCTTTACCAGCAACGCCCTCCAACCCCAACTTGCCAGCTTCCGAGGCTCCCGTCGCCACGCCCGCCAGCCTCGATTCTACGCAGTCTCGTAATCCAGGCGCTCTCATGGTCAAGGAAGATGGCAACGTCCGTTTCATGGACAGCTACATTTGGGCTAGTGTGTACGACGAGGTGAGTGAAGCCATAACATGTGCGCTGGTCGATATGAGCCCTGGTCCGAGCCGAGGGTCATGAGAGCAGCCCCCCCGCTTTTCCATAACTTCTTTTCGTTGATATTCTTGTTGGCATTGCTCTGCAATGGATGCTGATTTGAAGGGGGAATACAGCTCCAGAAAATGCGAGATATTGTAGAGACGGATGATCCAGAAGAATCGAGTCTCTTGGGCTCGGACGAGCTCACTCCAGACAACAATGCAGACCTCGTGCTTTCTGCCGACGTGTTCAATACGAACATCGACGACCTTCAGCCCGACCCTATTCACGTTTTCCGGCTCTGGCAGCTCTACCTCGACCGCGTCAACCCCCTGTTCAAAGTCATCCACGTGCCGACTCTCCAGCCTTTGATAATGGAAGCAGCGACTAATATGAGCGCCCTGCCTCTGCACCAACAAGCTCTTCTTTTCTCCATCTTCGCCATGGCGAGTGTTTCGATGACTTCTGCGGAGAGCATACAAACAATCGGCATGTCTCGCGAGGCCGCGATCCAGAGATTCAACACAGGCACCAAAGCATGCTTGATCAAATACAGCTTTCTCAAAAATTACAACATGACGACGTTGCAAGCCATCGTGTTGTACCTGGTAAGTCTATCAATGCTTGACACCCCACCCTGATCTTGCCACTTGGACATTGCCGTCTGATACGCCTCCAGATTTCTCTAGAAGGGCGGTATGACAGACATGCGCAATGGGTCATCAGCGGAGTCATTATGCGTATAGCCCAGAAGATGGGGTATCACCGAGACGGCTCGCAACTCAACTTGACCCCTTTCGAAACCGAGATGCGCAGGCGTATTTGGTGGCAGATCATGATGCTGGATGCCAAATGTGCCATGATGTCTGGCCTCAGCCAGTCGTGGATGAATGCCAGCTGGGACACCCGGAAGCCCTCGAATCTGAACGATGCGGACCTTTTCCCCGGCTCGACTGAGCCAGTCGTCGAGCGTGATGGCCCTACGGAAATGGCCTTCAGCATTGTCCTCGCAGAAATATTTCGATTCAAGATGGAAACAGACGGCTCCAACGAATCCCGCGACTTTGAAGCTGCCATAATGGGCCAGACGCTCAACGACAGCGCGGATCCAGAAAACAACACCAAAGCGATTTTCGAAAAATTCCGAAAAAAGGCTGAGAAATTGGAAGAAAGACTGATGGAGATTGAAAAGAACATGATCGACGTAAGGGCAGGCAATGCCCACGTTGCGGCGCTTGCCATTCGGCCAATGCTCACTCATAGGTTGTCGGAGATGCTTGTGCCCATCCAAGAACAGCCAGAGTGGGGAACTGAAATATTCGGCCCCAAAGACAATTTCTTCAAAGTGCTGCTGATGATGATGGAGCATAAGATGGAGGCACACGAGCGGATGGTTGCCGCCGGCTTCCAGTGGTTCATGAGGTTCCACTTCCAGCTCGATGCTTTCGCAGTCTTCACGGGTCTGCTTCACGATCGGCCGGTGGGAACGCTGGCGGACCGCGCCTGGGAGGTTATGCGCAAGATTTATGCCAATCACCAAGAGTTCTCCGACATGACCATCAAGCCGCATGCAGCCCAGGCTCAATTTGTGCTCAAAGCCTGGCGGGCGCGGGAGCTTGCCTATGCCCAGAATGGGCAGGTGATTGAGACTCCGAGCTTCATCAGCCAACTCAGGGAATTGGTGCCGTGCAACGATTCCAAGTCGTCCGGGCAGTCTGTGACGTCTCCCACGACGACGGTGACACCCCAGCAACAGCCACTCATGGGGTTTAACCAATTCCTTGGGGGATATCTTGATGTTTCCACCGTGAACTGGGAAATGTTTGGGGAATTCCTACCGAATAGCGGAGAGCAACTTTCCACCTCCATGTTCGATGGATATTCTATGGGCAACCTCAATATGGGCAACATGGGCTAGGGGCCACCTTGACCTAATCCCGATTCACATTTTGGACAAACAGGGGGCGGCGACAAAGACAACAGGGCGTCTGTATGCATGAGCGTTGGGAGTTGGCCGGAATGCGGGGTGCATGGTTGATTGGAGAACAGGTTTGCTTGGACCAAAGTGCCGGACCTCTGCATCGGGAGCACCCTTTTCCTTTTTCCTCTCGGAGGTTTTATTTTTCTCACTGCTTTCATCTCCTCTAAATGCTTCCATCACGGGCGTTTGGCGTCGACATAGAGTCGGTCTCCTCTCTGCGATTGGCATGGATTGCCACAAACATAATCATGCTTCTGTTCTAGTGTCGATATATGTAAATGTCGACACGATTGCTTGTACTATCAAATGGAACCACTCCTACGGCTGTGTATTTAATACCTTTGCGTATTTCTCTCTTTTTCAACAGCACATTCGCCCGTGGATAAGTCTCAGACTTGCCACTGTGTGATTGACATTGACGAATCATAGGATGTGGGAGGATGTGATTGTGCACAAGAGGAGGGGATTCGCATATACTAGGTATATAAAGCTCTATTCTTGTGCTCAAATCTAGCAGCTTCTGCTCCTTGAGAGCTGAACTTGGTCATACACAAATTTGAATATGAGCAGTGACTCGACCGATGCTGAGTAAAAACATTCAAGCTGTAGCACACTGAGGGCTAGTCAGCCCATCGTTGCGATGCCGTGCTTGGTTTGAGCATCATCGTCTCGTCTCGTAAGTTATAGCGTTGGGCGACTGAATCGATGCTATTGGGTATACTATGTTAGCAAAGGCCTTTGAGAGGAGAGAACGTCTCAGGCTGTTGTGCGGCATACCAGACGGAAAGGTAGGCAACATGTGCTACTTTTTCCCACCAGATCGTGATTTACCACCTGACTGCTTCTTCTTGCTAAACGGATTCCAGTCAGATGGTAGCTTCTTAATGATGGGGCTGATGGTCGTGGCGATCAGGGCCCGGAGAGGAAGCAAAATGCGTCGCAAAAAGGAAGCGCAATTTCGAAACGCAAAGGAGAGAAAAGCAAAGATGTACGGCTGGACGAAGGAGGCGAATAGGCTGATGCAGAAGACGACGAGGAAGAGTGGCCAGAAGAACTGGATGATTGTAAAGGCGTCTCTGAAGAAGTTGTTCATGGCGGCAAGGAGGGAACGGATGAAGGGGAACGAAGGGGGGGGAGGGCGCGAGAAGATGTAGGGGATGGTGAAGGGGAAGAGGGGTTTGGTGAGGAGGGGGGTTGTTGAGCGGATGAAGTAGCCGGCGAAGAACATGTTGGACTTGAATTTTCTCTTGGTCGGTGGTTTTGATGGCTGGAGAGATGTGGGTTGTCAAGGCTTGGGGAGAGTTTGGGTGGAAGGGTGGAGGGCGGTGGGAGTTGGGAGATTTATGGGATGGAATTGTGTTTTCTTCTGGACCTTTGAGAATTCAGTTGACAGAGATGAAAGAAGAATAAGATGAAAGCGGCTTTTCCTAGATTTTTTTGAAGTCTAATGATTATTGGGGAGACTTTGAACAGTTTCGCCAGTTACGATGTCGTCTAGGGGAGAGTTCAACAAAGAAAACGGTACATATAATTATAGAAACAAGTCTTCAGCACAAGCCAGGATGGCAGCATCCGACACAAAGACGATGTTCATTATTGAACAAGCTGAGTCACAATGCCACAGAAGAGAGCAAATCACAAGTCGCAAATCAGACGAGGGTGCGTATTCACTCTGTTAGAGGGTTTACCACGACGATGATGATGTATCCGAGACCCCTATAACCCTTGATAGAACAACAATAAAACAGACGTCTTTTGACCCCTGACGTCGTGCCCTTTCCCTTAGCAGGCGTAGAAAACCAGTAAACTCAATCCCATTATCCGCCAGATCCCTGATTAAAAACAAAAGAAAGCCAGTCATTTATCGGTACATCATCGTAAAATATCGTCGAAGGTGGTGGGCGATGTTTTGGTTTCGCCAGAGCATGGGAGAACTTTCAAGTTACTCCTCCTTGCGCTTGACAATGAGAGGCTCCTTTCCCTTGCCCTTGTAGGAAGAAGCAGAGGCAGAGTCCTCGGCAGAGTCCTCGTTGAGCTCGGGCTGCTCGAGCATCTGGACTTCAGGCTGCTCGGGGAACTGCTCAAAAGCTTCAGGGAGGTGCTCCTGGAAGCGACCACCGTGGAAGCGACAGGTGCCGGGTCCGTAGGCAGGCTCGGGCTTGCGAACCTCGACGAGGCCGTCGGCATGCTGGAGGATAGTGGTGTCTTGGTACAGATTGGTGGTGGTTTCGAGGTCGTTTTCGTCGCGGCGCCAGCCAGAAGACTCGCCGACTTCGTCGACGCAAAAGACGGGGAAGCGGCCATCAGCGGCGTCGATGCAGGTAGCCTCGTCGCCTTGGCCCTCCTCGAGCTCGCGGCGGAGTGCGTCACGACGCTCCTGGCGCTTCTCGCGGCAGCGGGCGATGCCCATGGCGATGGCGCAGGGGATGACCATCATGAGGAAGAGGCCCATGATGCCAAAGGCGATGGCTAGATAGAAGCCGCGGTTGTTGTGGGTGGGTTTGTCGGCGGACTCAGCCATGTTGATGAAGATTGATTGATCTTTGTTGTAAGGTTTTAGTCGGAGGAGTCCGGGGAGGAGGACAAAGTGGAAGAGGATGAAGTAGGGCAGGACGGGATGGAGGCACCGTCTTGGGAGGAGGAATGGCAGGAAGATGGCGAGGATGACGAGGAAGGCCATGGTGTTGCTTTGGAGAGCCCAAGGAGAAGAGACTCTGGTGAATGGGGATGAAGAGCCTGAAGAGCTTGAAGTTCAGGGAGAGAAGAGAGGGCAGCAGAGGTGAAATAGGAGGAGATGACTGGAAGAGAGGAGGACAGCCCTCGATGGCGATGAAGATGATGACGATGGGATGGAAGGGCTACAGATGGAAAGAGAGGCGAGATGGACGATGATGCATAAGCTAATAATGTTGGAGATGGGCAATGAAGAAGAGGGATAGATGAAGACCAGATGGAAGAGGGAGAGGAAGAGGGGGAAGATGGGGAAAACAAATCGAGCTCGGCAACGTACCTTTTCTGCAGCAGCCTTTACGGTGGAAAGAGATAAGATTGCTTGATGAGCAGGAGACGAGGAAGCGTTCAACTCAAGGTCAGATGAAGGAACTGCGTGACGATTGTTGCAAAAGAAGTGCGAAAAACACGAAAACACGTCTCTCGAAAAGGGAACGAAGGTGAAGATGGAAGAAATTTCGAAAACTGGGAGTTCGGTGGGCGCCAGGCTTTCTGCCAGCTGCTGGCTCGAGGGGGGGGGGATGACGATGGGAAAGGCGAGTGACTGTGTCGAAGCGTTGCCAGCTGTTGTCGTCGAGTGGCCACTCAGAGTCGTCCTTTTGCCTGAGGCCCCTTGTGCTTTTTCTTTTCTTTTCTTGTCAACACTTGGGATTCTCGTGGCGTACTGGGACGAGACTGAGGAAGTGGACTTGACTCTGATAGCCTGGAGGCGATTTACGGAAGAAAGAAAGGTGGGTGTGCTGTGCTGTGCATTTTGCTGCATCACTGCTGGTTTGGATACGTGCTGTGGTTTGCTTCGAGGAGGCAGCTGAGATTACTCACAGTCTCTTTTCCATCTGTTCTATCTAGGACGTCTACTCAAACACCTACCGCACTCACCAGAAACTCTTCATCCTCGCTTTGATTCATCAGCAAAGCAGGAAGTTTGCATCGCCTCCGTCTCAGTCCCTATTCAGAGCTACAGCCGCCAAAAAGCAACCATGGCCTCGATCTGGGCGATGGCGAGCCGCATCCCCATGCCAGAAGAGATCCGCGTCGTCCACTACGGCAACGCATATGCCTGTCTGCGACGAATCCTCCGTCTGCCAGAGTGCCGCGTCGTCTTTGCCTTCTGCGTCTGGGTGCTTCTCCTTTTCCTGGCGGCTTGTCACTACAAACGCTTCACGTTGACCCCTTTCTTTCGAATGCTCAACAGGAACTTTGTCTAAAGGTCTGTCTTGGCTCTGGCGGACACGTCCTTTGCTGCATTGCTGCATGGCAAGGGACTCTTTATTCCGTCCAAGGTATGGCAGTCTCTCAGCGTCTGAATGTTCGACTTGGCAAGTAGGCCATGGCCATTGACTTTGATAGGTGGTGCATAAGGTACCTTACAGACATTCTAGGCCATACGAATCCGAATCCGACTACGAGTCACGTTTCTTTGACTTTGACAACCCCAATGATACAAAGCAAGCACGATCGTATCTCGACCCCTTTTTCTTCATCCTTTAACAACATAATGCCATTTGGTAGGTCGACAAATTCCCCGAGCAATGTTGTATTTATATGACTTCGCCATATCAACGTTAATCATTCAACACCAGTTCCTTTGTCTTTTCGACAATGCCGTTCCCATTCGTGCCCTTCTCGTTTGCAAGCCTCGCCGCCCTCTCACTCAGGCTCTCGCTGTTCTCCGGGTCGTAAAAGGGTCGCTCGCCATGGACAGCCGTCCGCTTTCCTTCCCTCAGCTCTGTGTCGTAATGACCTGGAACGGCCTTGTGGGCAATGATTCTGTTATCCCAGAAAGCAACCGCTCCAGGCGTCCATTTCCAGCGAACCGTCAGGTCGTCTGCGTTGGACAGGTGCTCGCGGAGAAAGGCCAGGATGTGGTGAGACTCCTGGGCGTTGAGCTCCTGGATGCGATCGACGAAATGAGGGTTGTAGAAGAGAGACTTGAGACGGGTTACCGGGTGAGTCCGGACCAAAGGATGGGCTGTGACGATGGGGGCTCTGTGTGGTGTACCCCCTCCGTTGATGGAGGCGAGATAGGTTTTCTACGGACATTCCTGCGTTAGTCCAATCTTGTTGCTATACCACAATCAAGGTCATATACATACGTCTGACGAGTGGACGCCGTGCAAGCCTTCAATGGCCCTCTGGAAAGCAGGACTCAATGCATCATACAGGCCGGTCTGGCTGGTGAAGATGGTGTCTCCGCCGCTGGGAGACGTCTTGACCATGCGGAGCAGTGTGTACGAGGGCGGATTCAGCTCAAAGGAGTGGTCTCCATGCCATTCTGAGCTGAAGTTGCCATGGCCTCGGATGTTTCTGCACGAAGGACGTTAATAACCAACTGACTGTTCGAATAGACAAACGAGGACCTACCCGCCACGACCAATGATGGTTACATGTCTAGGATCTTGTTGGTTGGGGTCTCTATCTTGCTATCCACTGGTTAGTTGTCCATATCTGCGTTGCTCGACCTCTCCATGTTGGGTTGCTGACATACAATACCATAGTACGATGCCAGCGCATGCTGCTGATCGAGAGTGATGTCCTGATCACGAAAGAAAACGACGCCCCTCTACAACGAACGATGTTAGCAAGTCGTTCCCTGGAGATTGGGTGCCGTGCCACCACCGCATCAGGGACACAGCAACACGGTTCTTTCTTCCTCTTATCCTTCATGCGCACCTCTGCTACAAGCAATGCGAGCTCGTCCTTTTGCTGGTCGGTGAGCTTGCTTAGCTGAACACCCTTGAGCTCCGTCCCGATGAGCGGAGTGACTTCCTCGACGGCTGTGGCCCATCTCAGAAGGGACGTCTTTTCCGGGTCTGCAAAGAAAGCGCGGTCACGGGCGGGGACAAACTCCTTGAGCTCGGGATGAGGCGGCTTGTAGGCCAATACGCGGGGACTGATTGTGCTGGTGAGGGTGAGGGTGGCCATTGTGAGTGGTGATGTTTTGATATCTCGTCTTACACCTTGGCTGACGTTCTTGTCGTCAGATATGGCCGCAGGATACTACCGAATCCCTTTTGATGGCCTTGACCTCACAGAAGAAAGGCAATATATACCATTTCAAGCATTTGGTGATTTGTCAAGGCCTAATCCGGTTCGAACATATAAGCTCGAAACTCAATGCCCTGAAAGTGCGACTCTGCTTATACAGCGCTGCCGAAGGATGCCGCATTCCTTCAGCTAAAGGCGTATCGCCATGCCAACCCGCGATGGCGACAGCTGCGCCCTACCGTCCTGCATATGCGACATCGACACCAACTTGTGATATCCAGAGAGCGCAGGGTAAGCACCCACCAATGATTCGTCCCGAGAACCCCGCGAACTGCAACATCTGGCATCTGATATCTCCAGCATTGCGGTACCGGCGATCTCACCCAGATGTTGTGCTGATAAGACGCATGACGCGGGGAAGCGGCGTGTAAACGGATCACCATTGGGAGCATCGCGATATGGAATCAAACAACTGCATTCGTCAGTTGTCAGCTCCCCTAGGCCAGATCAGGGCAATGATACCATTATACGGTCGCAAACGCCATCACGGCGAGCTGAAGCAGTGCGACTCGGCACGTCGGGGGACGGCAGCTTTTTGCGGCTTGCGGGCGACAATTTGCGACGCTATACGCGGTTGCAGCGCCTGTTCGCATATGATACCATTTCCAAGTCGAAGACGTGCTCTTTATGTTAAAGACTGCATCGTTGAATTGATATGCGGGAAAGCTGTCTGTGAAGCCGTAATGCTCGCAGTCCTGGAAAGATGCAGCTGCAGCACGGGGGGAGGAGCATGAGACGAGAGTGAAGAAGCCTGGAGATGGGTTCTTATATATACGACTCGACAAACGGCGATTTGATCTCGAGATGTAATGGCACGTTGCTACTCCTGCTTCATTTCCGGCTTCAAAATCCTCCTGTGTATGAGCGGCAACAATGGCAATTGAACCACCATCACCAACAGCAGCAGCAACGGCTGAGCTGACCGAGAAAGAATCGCCCCCATACGACGCCGCGAGCTCCAATTCCAACACCAATTCAGAATCCAGGAATTACGCCGAGTCCTACCCTAACAACGAGAAACCACCGGTTGTAGTGGTGGACAAGGAGGATCGAGATGAGGCTTCTTCCAGTTCCCTCAACGATGTCTTCGACGTCAAGGCGATCGACCCTGTCCTGGCCCGGAAGATGGCCCTCGTCAACAGTGCAATTGACGAGATTGGCATGACGGGGTTCCAGTGGAAGCTGTTCTTCCTCAATGGATTTGGATATGCCGTCGACTCGGTATGGCGTCACAGTCCAGCTGTTCTCCGCAGCCGTTCGCCTTGCTGCATTGACTGACATTGGACGAACTTGACTCTCTCTTTCTATAGCTTTTAGTCGTCTGTCAATCTATCGCGAACCCAGCTGTCCAGCAGGAATATGGGCTGCCTGACGCTCACGTTTCCGGCATCCCCCTGGCTTCGCAGGTCGGCCTCCTCGTGGGCGCTGGCATCTGGGGCTTCTCTGCCGACATTATTGGTAGGAAGCTGGCCTTCAACACGAGTCTCTTGTCATGCGCCGTCTTTGTGCTCATTGCAGGCGGCATGCCCTCTTATATATCCTTTGCTGCGATGTGAGCCCCTTCTGTCCGCCTTCTCACGATGTTGCCCTTGCTAGATGGCCGAGCAGTGACTGACTACGTGTGTCGCTGTGTAAACCAGTGTTGCCATCTACTCCGCCGGTGCCGGCGGCAACTACGTCCTCGACGCGACGAACCTCATCGAATTCCTGCCCACCACCCATTCCTGGCTCGTCACGTTCATGGCCGTCTGGTGGGCCGTCGGATACACAATCACGGGCCTCCTCGCGTGGGCCTTCATGGCCAACTTCAGCTGCGCCCCCGAGGCGACGCCCGAAACATGCCGACGAGCCGACAACATGGGCTGGCGATACCTTCACTTCACCTGCGGCGGCCTGGTCCTGATCATGGCCATTGCTCGAATCGCCTTTATCCGCATGACGCAGACGCCGCGGTGGCTGATTTCGCAAAACCGCGATGACGAGGTCATCAAGACGCTCAACGACATCTCCATCAAGGCCGGTAGGTCGCACAGCTTGACGCTGGAGAGACTGCAGGCAGAAGGCATCGTGCTGCACACGGAGCAATCCGTCTGGTCACCGCTCCGGCTGAAGATGCACTTCAAGGGCCTCTTCCAGACGCGGCGGCTCGCCTGGTCGACTGCCGTGATTCTGGCCAACTGGTTCGTCATCGGGATGGTGTCTCCGCTGTACAGCGTCTTCCTGCCATTCTATCTCCAGTCGCGGGGCGCCGAGGTTGGTGACGGCTCGACTTATGCTACATGGAGAGATTATGCCATCAATCAGGTGGCAGGCCTCGTCGGTCCCGTCATTGCGGCGATTCTGATTGAGACCAAGTTCTTTGGACGCAGAGGCACTCTGGCCGTCGGAGCGCTGGTGACGATGGTACTGCAGTTTGGGTACACGCAGATCAAGACGCCAGCTCAGAACGTTGGAGTGTCTGCCGCCATTTCGGCCGCATCGTGAGTTGTATTCGTAATGGATTCCCTTGAACAGAATGCTGACGGTCCAACTCTTCTGTGTAGCAACATTTACTACGGCACGATTTATGCATATACCCCTGAGATCCTGCCATCTGCGCACCGCGCAACGGGCTACGGCCTCTGCGTCATCCTCAACAGAGTCGGTGGCATTCTAGGCGTGCTTGTGGGAAGCTATGCAAACGTGGAGACGACGGCTCCTCTGTTTGTCTGCGCGGCGTTGTTTGGACTGCTTGTGATTTTGAGTCTCATCCTGCCGTTTGAGTCCAGGGGCAAGCGAAGTCAGTAAGAGGTACGGAACAATAAAACGTGCCTCTTGTCTCCTTTCTTTTTCCGTCTGACGAGAAGGAATGTGAGAAATGCGCTCCGTTGATGAGAAGAGAAAGTCGCACAGATGAAATGCGCAATGTGACCACGAATCATTTCAGCTGGCAAAGCCCCTTGTTTCCGATATCGTATCGGTCAGTCCAAGAAGTTGTGACTTGTTTTGTCGGCAAGGCTGGTTATCCTCGGCCAAGCGTCCCGAAGCGGAACCGGGTAGTCTATCGATCGCAAACCGGCAAACGGAATCCGGAGGTCCCACGGGGGGGGGCCCCATGTCATTTGTCTCCCGAAGATAGAACTTGCATCTCGGCTTAGGAAAATGCGGGACAAAAAATAGGATGCTGACTCGGGGGAGGACGCGATATGATCGAGAATCTCCGGACCGGCGACCGGAGAAAAGAGATAGTAGTAGTATAACGTTATGAGAACTCGGCAGCTTGGCTCTTACATCAGGCTTGACAAGGGGGAAGATCTGGGGTATAGTGCGTTTGTACTGAAGGTTAACTGTATGCGATATGATCGAATGATTACTTGATGGTGGCGAACTTTTCCCACTGCGAGTTACTCCGTAGCTATAAGGGGGTCTTATGGATTAGATCCCTTGACGAGATGACGAGCGCAGATGCCTGCAATTATGAACACGGTTGGATTTGGCATGGTGAGCTGCGTACGAAAGGACGAAATGAAAGACGATGTTGATGAAGTTCCAATTTATATACTACGGAGCCCTAAATCAAGGACCCAAAAATAAACAATCAAACGCTTTATCCTAACAAAAATGCCTTATCCGCTCCCAAATCACGTCCCTCTCTCGACTTTTGTTTCCATTTCGATGCCTATGCTGATCCGAGAGCCTTATCCAAAGCCGAAATCAAAAGGGGAACTGCAAAAATTTCACGCCTCATTAGCCAAACCATCCGGTATAGTAAAAATTGAAGGGAAGTGGGAAAAAGAGAACTGACTGTGAGCTTCCTCAAAGATGAGCATCGGGCGGAGTCGCACCGTCTGGGTGCCGCATGTGCCGACGTTGACGCCCAGGGACCTCATGTTCTTGACGAGGGAGGCGGGGTCCTTTGTATCGAAGGCGATGTATGTTCTACAAGTTTGACAGATTGTGTTAGTATTCAAGGGAGTGCTGTATGTGTGGTTGGATGAAGTGAGAGGCTTACCCTTGGCCTTTGCCGCGGAGGTTCTTGATGAGCTCGGGGTATTTCGTGGCGAGGCGCTCGAGTTCGTTGTAGAGAGCGACACCGACGCGGGCCTGCAAAATTTCGATGATTAAATTCTGCTTATTTGGAGCTCCGGCGGGGGGGAGGGAATGGTGCTTACGCATTGGTTGACGAGATCCTTGGAGAGAATCTCCTCGACAACGGCCTTGCTCATGAGGACGCGAGCTGGGTCACCGATCCAGCTAATGGAGTTTCATCAAGTCAGCATTTCTACTTCGTTCCCAATTTCACTTTCGAAAGTTCTCATCGTGAATGTATATATAAGAACTCACGTGTTGAACTGGCGGTAAGCCTTGTCGGGCACCAGTCTGGGGTTGCCGAAGTAGTAGCCCGCGGTCTGGGCCTTCTTGGAAAAGGTCACGATGTCGGGAGGCGACGTCAGGTTCCAGTGCTGGTGGCCCCAGAACTTGCCGGTAGCGCCGAAGCCGGTCTGGACCTCGTCGACAATCATGGTGACGTTGTGCTTCTGGGTAATGTCACGGAGGCCCTGGAAGAAGGCAGGGGAGGCGTGGTTGTCGCCTCCTTCGCTCTGGATGGGCTCGACGATCAAGCCAGCAACGGGGAATTGCCTATCGTCAAAACCCAAATCAGTGTTCCGTTTAGATTCATCAGTTCACACACAAAGATTCTCAAGACTCACCATGAAGTGATGAGCTCCTCCACCTTCTCAAGGCACCTCTTCTCCTCCGCCGCATTCTCAGCGGCAAACTTGTCGAGCGGATACTTGAGCGCCGGGAACGGCGCCTGCGGCCAGTCGAACGAGGGAATGTCCAGCTTGTGCACGGCCTTTGACCGCGTGGCGCTCAAGCTGCCGAAGCCGCGGCCGTGGAACGAGTTGGCGAAGCTCAGGATGGCCAGGTCGGGCGACCCCGGCTTGGCGTTGTTGAGGCACGAGCTGATGTCGCTGGCGGACCAGTCGACGCCCTCGCCGCGCTGGTTGCGGCGGTGCAGCATGAAGGCGGCCTTGAAGGCGAGCTCGTTGGCTTCGGAGCCGGACTGCGCGGTGAAGATCTTGTCGCAGCCGGCGGGGGCGACCCTCAGCAGGCCGTTCTTGAGCGAGTCGTGCCAGTGGCTCGAGGGGAAGTTGCCCAGGGCCGGGCGGTTGACCAGCGCGGAGACCATCTCGGGGGACTGGGCGGCCTTGATGAGGCCCGGGTTGTTGTAGCCTACGGGGATGGAGGCGATTTGGGAGTAGACGTCCAGGAACTGGTTGCCGTCCACGTCGACGATGCTTTTCTGCATGTTAGTTTTGCCCTGTTTGTGAGAATTGAGGATGATAAAGTTGCTGTACGTACTAGTTGCCCGAGCTCTTGTCATAGTCGGCCACAAAGTAGAAAGCCCGGTTATCAAAGAATGAGCCAACCTTCTCGGCCTCGGCCTTGGAGCGAGGTCCAGGGATCTCGGTGGTCACCTTTGGCTCGAGCACGGCAGACATTGTGAACAAGATGAAACAAAGGCTATAAGTTTGAAAAGACTTTGTATGAGGGTGATGCTTGTGAGTGAGAGGAACAGCTCAAGAAAGGGAAGTATGGAAAAACAAAAGCTTCTTATAGTTTTGATAAGTTAGTTTCGCCTCATATGAGATAGATACTAGTACGTACCCCGGAACTGCGATTGCCGGCTTGACGAGTGTGGCGGATGCGGGGATCCAGTGCTAGTCAGTGGTTGGACAACGAGAAAGGAAGCAGAAAAGGATTGGAGACGAGATAAGTAGAAGCGATAGAGGTTGACCGGCCCGGTTCCGGTCCCGGGCCGGATCCACCGAATCGATTCCGGGAGCCCGGGACAAAAGAAGAGAAAGATGGAACTCGGTAATGGGAATTGATACGTTGTTGAAGTGACCATGTGATGGAGTTTCTGAGGTCATATGAGATGCGAAATCTGGTGTTTGAGAGTAGGTAATAGATTGATGTTGTTGGTGTTTTATGCGGCAAAGAGCTGGCGATGTCGCTCTGCTCCACTCATTCTTATCATCGACCGGCTATTGCATGTCCGAGTTATATGAGCAGTGTTGCATTCAGAATTACTCTTGACTGGGATAAAAAGTCGGCTGTAATACCTTCGTGTACTAGATGGGCGACAAAGGCACACGTTGAATGGCGGACCACCTCACAATCATCAGCCGCTTCATGGGGGTTACAAGCAAGGGTGTTGCCTCTTTGATCACAGAGAGTTGACTGCCGGTGTGTCAATAAGCCCAAATTGTGATGGACGCTGCCGCCTGTATTGCTGAGCTGCGTGAGTGAGAAAAGAAGGGCATAAATCCCATCACTCTGCTGAACAAGCCATCTCACATATCTTTGACCCTGGGCTCGATGACAGCGTCTGCCGTTTCCGTGTGAGAACAATCTTAATTGGTATTATACACTAAACACAAAGGTCAAAGAATTCGTATGTCAAACCAAGTGTCTGCCCAGGAAAGATCCGATATATCCCTGCCTAGCTCTGACGATCAAGTCGACTGTGCGATGGACCCACGATCCGCAACAACGACTCCGATGCGCCTGTCCATTTTGCCAAGTTTCCACCATCTAATATCGCTGTTCTGAGCGAATGCAAAAAGAAATCAGAGTAAAAGATCAAATGTTCCTCCTTTGGTACGCCGTCGGTTGATCGCGTCGGGGTAGCGATTCGAACACTCCTTCAGCATCCATATATGCGCTGGTGCGGCATCGAGCTCTTCATAGCCGCATTACCCGAGCTCAGCTTGATTTTCCCCCCTCTTGTCCTCGTCAATGCCATCTCTTCCTGGAAACTCACTCGCTTCGTTCCACTCAACAGGCTTGCATCGCGACGTGTATAATCTTCTCGCAGCCCATCTCCTCATTTCTTGCCCATTAGGTTCCGTAAATAGTCGCGCCGCCTCTGTCTCTGTGCAATCGGTTGCTCGATGCCGTACGCCGCCAACTCGAAAGGATCAGACGCCTCTTCAAGCTTATCAATCTTCCTGCGCCTCAGCCACAACCAGAAGAGAACTAATAGTAACGATCCGAGTAGAAGAAGTCTAGGCCAAGAGGAAAAGGGAGCAGACGGTCAGTAAGTCGTGCTACCGGGAGGGGGAAATAAAAGGGAAATGGCCGATCGAGGCCTAAGAGACGGGGCAAGGGAACTCACCCTGTTGTGATGACAACCGCAATTAGAATTCCCGACTGAGAAGCCGGCTTCTCGCATGTGTTGCTCTCCTGGGTCTCTTTGCAGCGCACGGCGAGAATGTGGGTGAGAGCGCCCACGTTCTCAATTGAGCGTCTCAATGCACCTGCAATCATCTCGTGCGCCATCTCGACGCTTTTCTCGGTTTCGATCACTGATGACGAGGAGGAGGAGAGGATGCGGATGACGACTAGTAGTAGGCTGAGCGGGACGGGGAAAGCTGCAAGTTGCGGATCAGGATGCAACATCCATCCCTCGAACCACCGCCCAGGGCGGCGTATGTATATACATAACTCGCTCCCTCGTCGAGAATCAGCGCCATCATCATCCATTCCGCACGGCCAGGACGAGGCGTCTGTGCGGCGGAGGTTTCAGATTTGCATTCCCCGCGGCCCCTGGGAAATGAAACGAAGCACCAGTCAGGCTAATCAAAGCCCGGCTGTGCCTGGCTTCGCCCCCGCGATGACGGACACTTTTGGGGGTAGCCCCCGGGCTGGTTCGTCGTTCTGGTATGGCGAGTTCCGTGTGGAGGATCGCCCCGACACGACTTGAGGCGCCAATGACACGCGCTTTTAGCCGCCAGGGTTGCGGTGTCGAGCGTATAAGAGGTGTTTGGTATGAGAGCCCTTCAAACCGTCTGCACTGACGCCGCGCGGTTGCCTTGTCGCATGACCCGTTTTACAATGGCTGGGAGAAGTGTGAGGTACTAGTACAATGAAGAAGCATCCTGAAGAATTGTACCAGAGTAAGCAAAGCAAATCGCCAGGTGTAAAGAGTGCGCGAACCGCCAAGACTGTCGTAATTGAGAGATACGAGATGCTACTCTCCGAGTGGCACTTGTTCCGTCTTTGTGCAAGGCTGTCGCACCAGAGGAGCAGAGAGCACTAACCTGGTATGACTCGAGAAGCCGGACTCTGATTTTGGCGCTCAGGCCAGAAATCCAGTTCCGAGCCTTGACCCATTGGAGTACCTTTCTTCGACGGTACGGAGTACTATCCCTGCGCGTCTTTGCTTCTGCAGACACGATGATGATGCAGAACGTTTGCTGAAACAGGCTGAGATCACAAGGGTCCCTTGTTGGTTCCCTCTTTCAGCCATGTCCGGAATCGATGTTTGTTCCAAATTCGTTGCCAAAGAAAGCTGTAAAGTCGTCCAGACTCTGCGGAAATGAAGCAAAGTGGCCGTCTACGCCAAAGAATGGCGTGCTTGGGGGCATCATCATACCCTCTTCCTTTGGAACCTGTGCCATTGGCCGAGGCGGTTCCGGCTCTGGGGGAGCTGTTGACACTGCTTTGCCTTGAACGCTTCCATCGACGGACTCTGACATGGCCGTGGGCGCGTCGTTCTTCCACAGCTGCTCCCATTTCTTAAACTTTGCGTACTCCGACTCGCTCACCATGGAGCTGGCTGTCTGCTCCTGTGCGTTCATGTTGGCAATCGCTTGCTCAAAAGCCTCAATCAGCGACATTTCGGAGTGCGCCGATAGACTGCCAGTTGACATTTCCTTTAGCATTGACAGCCCATCCCGCAGAGCCTGCCTGAACATGTACGTCTTCTGGGAGAGGCATTGCGTCGTAACCACCATGAGAGCTGCCCGACAAGAGCTGAACTCAGTGTAAGAGGCGCGAGCCAGACCAATTGTGTTTCGCAGACAGCGACACGTGTCTATGACGGACAGAGCAGCCTCGACGCAATCCGCCACCAAGGTTGCGCGTGTGCCTTTCTTGCTCAGCGATGCACTCGATGGAGCATTCGCAGACGTGGCCGGGCTGCTGCCGTCCCTCAAGCCTGCCTCGGGGAAGATGAAGACGCGGCCGACGAACATGCGGACAAGACAGTATTCCAACTGCAGATGCATATGCTTGCGAGAAATCTTGGACTGAGATGTGAACTCCTTGCAGAATATGTCCACCGGGAGAGCATCCCACCAGGACTTGAGCTCACGGTGCAACTGCGCGAGCCGCTTCAGTCCTTCGGGCACCTCATGCTTGGGCAGAGACCTCAGGATCGTTCTAGGAAACACCAATTAGCAGTCCGACATGACCTGAACCAGCGTGTGAGTAGTTACATTTCACGAGACAATTTACTCAGCTGTTGGTTGAGCTCAAACGTTGCCAGAATATGCGCGGTATCGGTTTGTGAGGTGGAGGACCACAAGTCGGGATGGTGGACGGGAAAATCAGCATCCACGTCAGTACCGGATATGGACGTCGGTCTGCCATGGAAGATTCCAACACGCCTGTAGATATTGGTTAGCTCACCGAACACTCCCGCCAATATCCGAGGTATCGTACTTTTCGATGGTGTACACGGTCCACCAAACTCGGTTCCTCGTTTCAACGACATCTGCATCTCGATTCTCGACGGTGTACTTTCTATGCATGCCGTTCTGAATCGCGAGCTTGAGGGCCAAATTGAGATAGATGTAGGCCAATCCGGACGCATCGACGGGAAGCGTGTATATACCGAGCAACAAACAAGCCTGGACACACTCGAGCGATGAGACCGTGATGACGTCTGAGAGCAGCCGGGCTGCTTGTTGATAGAATAGCACGCCAACTGCGTCTTCCGTGAATGCATCGGACCCCTTTTCTGTGGGATTCTCAACACCATCTACCAGAGACTCGAGGTAGGCGAACTGCGTTCCAATGGCGAGGATGGCAAAGATGATGCACACCACGCCCACATCTCGCCGAGTGAAGGCGGCGGCATTTTCATAAGCAAGGTCAAGCTTGGCTCTCAGCCAATTCTGTTCAACAAAAAAATAGTTGGTCTGCGCGTGTTTGAAGAAGGAATAAACGAGAAAGTCGGCAATGGGTCTCGGTGGCAGAAGCGACAATAAGCCCATTGCATCTGAGTGCGATTGCAGCTCCTCGGCCCGGTAGTATTCCTTGAACGTCGTTGCGGATTTGGACGGATACTTCATGAACAGGTCAGCAGGATTGATCAATATGAACAGCCAGGGCTGCATTTACATTGGAAGAGTCGTTTGGGACACTCTGGTCTATCCACTTCTTGATGCGCATGGAAAAGTTCCAGTGCGAAAACTCTCCAGAGTAATCTGGCCCTCATGTTAGCATCTTTACTTGACGATAAAAAGACAAGATGGGGACTCATACGAGTGACATTGCCGTGAAGGGGCTGGATGTCAAACTTCTCATCCACGCCGTCAAATTCCGAGCTTTGGGATGAGATGTCTGCCGGTCGAGGCGAGTTCCGCCGCTTCTCTACACCCTGGGCCAGACCTTTGAGAGTCTCGAGGTCCAAAGCATCCTTGCTGCCGACATAGCCTTGGACGATTCTCTCGAGATACTCGAGCCGCTTTGCCTGCTCAGCTGAGATGTTCTCGGAAGCGCGGCGTCTGTGAGATGAGTTAGTCTGAACGGAACATGCCCCCTTTCTCTTGACTTTCACTTGGACAAGTTCTACCTTGCTACTGCTCCAGGCCGTGAACCAGAGCCAGCCTGAGATTCCGTGTCGACTGAAGCTCTGCTGGTGAAGTCGCATTGGCGGCCCAGCCGGAAGCACCGCCGACAGGGCACGCCCCCATCACACCTTTCCTTCTGGCGGCGACAGCCATCGCAGCTACACAAGGAGATATCGCGTTAGATGAGAGATCCGTGCGTCGGCAGTTTGAGTCCACATACGCTCGAGCAGCTCGCTTCCTCTCCCGGTCTATGTGGCGAGTCGACTTGGGAGACGGCTGCTGGTTATCCATTGGGGGAATCGCGGCGATGGCATCCATGGAGCGACAATCCGAGATGCCGCAGGGTTTTTGATTCGACGAGATGAAGCCCCATCACCTTTTGGAGAAGATGAACAAGGGTGGAGATTGAGATCCGGTGACTTATCGTGAACCCCAAAGACGGCTGGACTTGCTGCTAGCTCGGTCTGACTAAGCGGTGAGGCGAACCACCAAGCCGAGGTCGGGGAGGCTTTGGGCTGACCTCGATGGATTCCCCAGACAGAAGGAAGCTCGAATTCTTTGGCAGTTGGGGTTGGAGAATGCGGGGACGACCTTTAGTACGAGGTGAGCTGGTGGCGGCGTTGTTTGGCGCGGATTCAGGTCTTGATGACTTGCAGGAGCTATAGAAGGGGCAACTACATACATGTATCGTGACAGCTCCTCCCAGTTGCTGAGTTTTGGTCCATGGGATGGGAGATAAGCTCAACCTACCTACAGAGTACAGCGTCAAGTATGCGGAGGTGAGCAGAGCTTTCGTAGGTTGAGTTGTCTCAAAGGCTAACCGGGTGAAAGCGTCCGCTGCATCTTCAAACTACTGCTGCACCAATTGTCTGCAATCATCTACACACAGCTTCTGCTCATTCTCGCCTGGCCTTGCCATCGGCCTCGTTCCATGTTCCAGAATGCCACAAGAACAACCAGATGACTGCACCAGATTACCCGCACGGTCAAGATTCGGCATCCCCAGTCCGGCCCAGTTGCGCATCTTCGGAACATTATCGACGCCCTAGACTCGATTGGAATATCTGAATAGTCATCAGGCTATCCGTCTCTCCCCGGATCGCCACAGGCTTCCACCTGTTTCCTGCCAGCAACGAACAGCCAATACCTTCTGCATGATCAAAAATCACCTCCAAAGTTGATGACCGATGACTCCTTTACGTGTAATTGTCAACAGAGCACATATAAGATATTGAATCCCGATCAGCCTGTTCCGCCTCAGTATCCGCTTTTCCGCGATCTAAAGCCTTGGAGAAGTCCTGTCACAAGGAATCAGGCCGCAGACAAGATGCCCAAGCCGAAACGATCCTCAGACACGCCCTTGTTTGTCAACTACCAAGGCCCGAACCTCAACCCTGATGCGCAGGTCCGGCGGCGCATCCGGCAACAGGCAATGAGAGATGCCGCCATGGCCCGGAGACAGAGGGGGGACTACGGCAAGCACAACATGAGGCAGTATCCGGTCTTCGTGCAGCCTCCCGATGGCCATCCACCCGATGACTGCGAGGATAATGGAGACCCGAGAAGCACAAAAGACTTCCGGCCTTCCTCTCTTTCTGCCCCGTTTGCCTTCCAAGACCCCCTGATGCCCAAGCAATTCTCCATCCTTCTCAACCTCATGCCACTCACCGGCCTCCGTCTCGGCGTCGGCACGCTCTCGCACTACTTGTACGAACCAACGCAACCAAAGGACCATGTTCTCACGGCACAGGCCTCAAGCCAGAGGCTCTTGTCCTTTATCCCGAGTCGATATGGGCACGTATCGTTGCTCCGCCATGCAACGGACTGTGTCATTGCAAAGCTGCAGTACGAATCACAGCCAGTGGAGCATAGATCACCTAAAAGCGATCTCAAGGCGTTACTGCACTATCAGAAAGCACTCAAGGCGCTACAACAGGCCTTGCTGGATGAGAAGGAGTGGGCGAAGCCGGAGACATTATGTGCTACGCAGTTGTTGGGCATCTTTGAGGTCTGTATCTCTTCTATATAGCGCCGCCCTGGCTCTAGCATTCAAAGTACATCTACTCACGGCACCCATAGGCACTCAATGGAAATGAAAAGGAAAACTCGTGGATGCATCACGTCGGCGGTGCGGCTCGGCTCGTAGAGGCTCGAGGCGCGCACATGTTCCAGTCCGAGTTCGAAAAGGCTCTATTCCTGGCGCACATTGGGCCAACAGTACGTAGAGAGTCAAGCCAGCCGAAACATTCATAGGAGCTGAAGTCTGACGTGATTTCCACTCTTTTAGGTAATGTCGGCATTCTTGAATAACACGCCTTGCTTCCTGGAACAAGCCCAATGGCAAGCCGTCATCCGAGAAGCCGTCAGCGAAGACACGACGCTCACAAACGACAAGGAGTTCGCGCTCGCACTATGGGGCGGCCTGATTGAGATGCCACGACTGTTCAACAACACAACCGAGCTGCTGCTCTCCTCCTGTCCGCCCTCACAGGAAGCGATTGACGACCTCACGGAACGTCTATTGGCGAAGCGCAAGAATCTCATTGTATGGCTGGGTTGGATACGGGGGAAGCCAATAGCGCAAGGCGCCGGGCTTCGCGAAGATGAATACGGCGTGCTGGTCTTTCCCACCGACTTTGACTACAGGCAACTGGGCCCCTGGTGCCTCACGCGACTCGCTTTGCGGGGGACGTATGCAGTCTGTCGAATGGTCAAGTCACGGCTTTTGTACGCCATTTCCCCTTTCAAGTTCCATGACCTAGAAACCGAGGCACAGGACATTGCCCATCGCATTCTCAATCTGAAGGAAGAGATGGCGGCATCCAAAGACTCGCCTCTGGTATGGAGCCAGTTCATGGCTCAGGGCAGCTGGATTGCCAAAGGCATTGTTGAAACGAAGGATATGTGGGCCGAAGAGGAGGATGGACATCAAGGCATGCTCAGCAAATGCAAATTTGAGAAGTGGAACGAAGCAATAGGGAGGAAGATATCCTGATATAGACGACTTGCTTTTGGCTTGATATTTATTTCGACCACTGGAACATCATGTGTATAAACACTCATTTCATTTCGCATGAATCATGAATCCTGAATTGCCTCGTTTCCCTTCCATTCATATACCCATTAATCGCAAGTGAGGGTGTCGCAGTTGCCACGAGGGTCGTTGCAGCTGGGGTCGTTGGGCTCGACGCAGAAAGTGGTGGGATCGACTCCAAATCCTCCAAAGTGGTTGCAGACTTGGTCGCCGGGGCAGTCCTTTATCACTGTTAACATCATGATACCAAGGAGTCAATTGGGAGACTTCAATGAGACATACGTTGCACGTGTTGCAAGCGCTGGCCAGAGCAGCAGTGAGGGCGAGGAGGGCGGCGTAGACCTTCATTCTGTTGGTTTACGGGTGGGTTGTTTGACTTGTTGGGCGTTGAAGGCTGTTGATAGACGGAATGGTTGGGATCTCTTTCGAAGAGTCGTTCCAAGAGGGTGTTCGAGACACGTATTTATATCCTTTGCGGTCTTTGTCATCGAGCAGGCTGGCCGTCTAAGAATCCACTCTGACATCTGCAATCGATCCCATTGATACAACCTGAACCCATGTGCCTTGCGTCGAACCACTCGCTAGGCCAACCTACGGGTGCATATTGGCTGACCACCTCTCGATGCCAGTTCCATCTACCGGCTCACCGTCTTCCGTTTGCTGGGGAGCCCTGTTTCTCATCCCCGTTGACTACAACGACACAATGTAACTGACCATCTACATATGTTCCTCTCGGTATCTGGAGTGAAACCCTGATCTACTTGGTGTAGCCCTCAGAGCCAGCACCTGAACCATATTATTCATCGCTCTGCTGTCAATTATGCTCTACGTGCAGAACATTTCTGACAGCACTTGTAGCAATTAGTATCTCAATGTACAGTTGACCAATAGTCAACTCCGATACGACATGGCACCCACAGCCCGGACCCCAAATCGAGGAGTAAGAGTACCGATGAGGTTGCACCGGACGACATGAAAGACGGGGATCGGCAAGACCCGACGACCCGGACCGACTGAGCGAACGCCGTACCATTGGTGGCCTTGATATTTCGCGTATTAGACGACTTCGTTTATTTATAGCGTTCTCGTTTACTTGTATTGGCTATCACTACGTACCAATACTATCTTCTTTCCATGGGGTAACGACATCAAATCCACCTTACGAACAATCCTTATTCCAATTTCGGAATGTGTCATGGCAAGCGACCTGACACTTGCAGAAGAAAGGAGACCAGAGAAGCTTTTAAGCATAATAAAAAGCGTTCGATACCAATAGTTCTCTAAGCCTCTCTATCAGAAGTCAATGGTAGGATCCTTAAGATACATAAAAACATGTGTTATTTCCTCGTAACTGACCAACCCTCCAGCACTCTGGCTCGAGTTTGCCTTCCACTTATCCGTGGTAATCCTCGTCATCTATCACTTCATCTGACCAAAGAAGCCTCAATCTTCAGTTGACAATTGAAGCCCCAGGTTTCTTAGCTTCATCTACCTGCCTATTTCGTAGTTTGTCTACCCAGGTATTACAGCATACATTGCCGTCTGCTGCAGTAAGCTTACTTGGCCAGCGGTTATACTCCGTATTTCGCAGTCTATTCCCGTGCCTCGAGTGGATTGCTTGAATTGCTTTAGCGGTCAAAGCCATTCGAATAATCTAGACTAGTAATAGTTTTGAAGGTGCATTCGATGTTGGGTTTCTAGCCAGGTTTATTGCTGAGCATGGAACGTTATGACCTGCCGATGCCGAGGCCAATACCCGATCCATACAAATTATTTGTATACCGTCGATGCAGATGCACAGGAGAGCGATCACGCTGGCATGCCCACCTGCTTTTGCTTGGATAGAACTGATGACAATACTACTCCAGCATCTTCGGGTGTGCGGCAAGGTCACGGGAGAGCCATTACCGTAGAAGGATAGATTGAACAACGAATGATAGTTCATCATCTATGAATTCTTAATTCATCTTCAAGAACTTACGTATAAAAAGTGGTACTATCTAAATATTCTTTCTTTGGCGATGAGTGAATGGGACGTGAGTGAATGGGACGTAGGGCCTTGGAACAAGACATTGTCTTGACTTGGGAACCAGGTTCTACATTGTCATTGACACACAGACACTTTTCTTCACTAATCTCGCGGCATTCAAGTGTATTACATAATGTTGATGAGACTGCGAGACCTTGCGTTCCGAGGTGAGTGTCTGTACATATGCATGCCCTCCCTTTCAATGCCTCCTTTAAACTCACTGTCGCCCTACAGAATGGCACTCATCACTGACTCTTTAGGTAATAAGTTGATGGAAACAAGCTAGATAAAGTATAACCAAACTACCAGAGTCATAACATTACATATTTCTCCAACTTACCCATGTTTCTACATCTTCTCGTAGCATATTTGGTTGTCTTGTAGCAGTCAAGGTCAAACTTTTCCGAGGTCCCTTTTACTGCCTTCTAGATAGCTACGTTTATCCGACTTACTACTTCAATCCGATGGTATTACGCGTTGCTCATGGCTCGCTTCAGCAGTCTGCTCTCCCTTGCATTGGTCTCACAAACATTGAACTCACCGACACATGTTCGCTGGCATCCATTCTCCCTCCCGTAGACCTCCCAGTTTCTGTTGGCCTCCCGGCTTTTATAGGCCTCCCCAAATGACGTCAAAGTGTTTGTTTGCGGCCATGAACCGTTACAGGTCCGCTTTGCTTGTCGGAAACAGACATATCTTCTTAGAATATGTGAAAGTATCATGAGCTTCTCCGACTTGATTCACCAGTTTGGTGACACTCGTGTAGCCCTACTGACGCTGGCCTTGTGGCTTGCCAGCCGGTATTGGCTAGGTCTGTAAGGGGTGATTTCGAGACATATTTGTTTATGCCTGAGATGGCCTCGTCAGTACTTATATCACTCCCTCCTAATCTTGGGCGCTTTCCGCACCGGCTATATGAACTCGATGCAAACCAGATTTGACCCATCAAGCAACAAGACCTTACCACATACGCATCGTCTTTGTAGATCTCACAGCTTATACTTTGCCATTCTATCATGACACAAATCACTGGACTCGGTGAGCTCAGACCGCGAAATGGTTCGGGTGTGAACTGGGAGATTGGATCGTTACTCGACTATGTCAGGCGATCCGAGTTCGTTCCCCCTCCCAACACATTCGTGGTACTGGTCTGTCGCCATGGTGCGGTCGAAGGCCTGACAGCCAAGATTCATCGCAAAAGACAGAAAGAAAAGTTCAGCCGGTGGAAGAGGAAGAGTGAGTGTAATCAAGATCCTCGAGCCATAGCCACCTATCATGCTGACACCCTGGATAGATGTCGCCATCAAAGCGACAGACGACCTTCGACTCAACGCGGTCATCTCTGCTGCCGAGAAGGCTGAGTCATATGACAACCTCATCATCATTGCAAGCGGATTCGTGAGCCACTTTGGTTTTGACGTCGGCTCCAGTATCATGGACTTGAAGGTATACCGGTGCGGAAGCTATCACAATCATGAAGAATACCTTTACCTCGATGGCACCTCAACCTTTCACGGGCAACCTCTCCGATCATGGGAATCCAAGCACCATGAGGCCAAGTTCTGGCTTGGACCCGGCGTCGTGCTGGACCTCGGCTCCCAAATCGGCCAGCTGGGCAACTTGTCGGACGACGACTTGTCTTCCATGTCAGACTTTGACCAGGAAAAAGTCCGATCCAACATTGAAATGATGATTGATGTGAAGATGGAGGACAGCTGGTGGGACAAGTTCAGAGACTGTATTTCCGCCATTGTCGACGTCCTCGCAAGAGCCGCTGGGTTCGCCCACGTCGGCTACATCAAAATGACTGCCGGGGGAATGTTTGTGCAGTACAAGTTTGTCGGGTTTGCGCTCTACACAGGTACAGTAGCAGCAGCAGCAGCAGCAGCAGTGGCCGGGAGTGCAGTCTCGGCGGGAACCGCATTGCTGGTCGCTCCAGGGGTGTCAGCGGCCATTTACTTCATTCCCTGGGAGTCCGTCTTCGATTGGTTGAAGAGCGTTGTTTCGTGGCTCACGGCGGGCATCAAGAAGGTCTGGGAAAAGGTCAAGGATTGGCTGGCTGCGTTTGCGAGCAAGATACGAGATACGCTGGGGCTTGATGGATGGTCCGCACAAGTTCTCGGCATGAGAGTGATGGATTTGGACTGGACTGCCTGCCATGGCTAGTGACCAAGTTGCCCTGGCTGTTCATCACGCATGACAGAATAGATGTTCAAGATGGCATCAGAGGAATCAATGGCCGTTGCTTTTGCTGTTAGGGTATAGCCAGGGGGGAGATAATCACAAAGCAAGGACAAAGTCGCCCTCATGATGAACTTGCTACGGCGTGAAGTTCTTGTACGTCGCTAGGTAGCATCATCAGTATCACCTCTGTGAATGAGCCACCGCCGTGAGAAGATGTCCGAATACTCACCACCAATACGCCATCTCTGTGTAAAGTCGTGCTGCACACGGCTCAGAGCTTCAAGGTCCTCAGTCGTAAACGTTCCTCCTTCACACAAGCCCACATCATGTGCAACCAGCAACTGCCCGGCTCGGCACGTTACAGAAAGCCCAATGAGCGACATCTCCTCGACGCCCTTCTTTGGCACAATGTCGTTCATGGATCTGCATGTGTCGACTGCCATTCGACGAGACGATTCGATAGCTAGTTTATCCGCCATACTGACGGCGTCTTGCGATGCTTTTGAGTGATGAAATGTGTGAAGTTCAAATAGGAAGCTTGTGTGCGTCAGGTTTGATGTTGGTGTCAAAAGTCAGGGATAGCAATTGCACATACCTTAGTGCGAGTGCAATGCTGTCGCAGAACATGAAGGAATTGGGCCCAGCGGCTCGTATCAGAGCGTAGCAGACGCTTCGTAGACGTGATTCAGCTACATTATACGAGTTTGCTGGGGAGCTTCCCTTTCTTTCATCTTTGATGTAATGGATGGCCTCTCGGACGACTCCTGCGACGTGGAACAGCACGTCAAAGTTGGATGAGGTACCACAAATCTCCTCAAACTTCCCATCGTTGCTACGGCAGCTCACTGCCACTGCATGTAAGATACTCTCTTTCGGCGTCCGTTCGCTCGTAGCAGGCGTCGGTAATGCTATTAGGCTGTAGATGCAATCAGGCATGTAGCTCTACAATCGACCTAATCTGTTGCAAAAGACATACCAATCCAGGATAACAACTGCTTTCCGACAAATAGTTGCCTTGTCCGTTGCTCTGTCGGCATCAACCCCAGCAATGCAAAGCGTCCTGTGCGAGTCGCAAAACGCCGTACAAGCAGATACAGTCAACTCAGCTTCTTGATCAAGACCATGGCCATATTCAAACAGTGACAGCAGAAGTCCAATCTGCAGCACCTGTATAGAAGGGCTCGCACTTGTCTGAAGGAGCATGAATGACTGCTTCACAGCTTTGTATAGACTGTTGCAAATGCCATGGCTTTGGTGTGTGCATGGCGGCTGAGCTACCAGGCCCATGGCCAGAACCAGCATCCCATCAATAGCAGGACAGTTTGTAAGGGAGTGAGTATCAAGGAAATGTGAGAACTGATCATCGGAAACAACAGGAAACCAATCATGAACAGCTCTTCGGTACGTCTGAACAACAGACACGGTCGTCAGTCCCATTGCTTTGAATGCCATCCGAAGAAGCAAAGCGTCTTGCTCCGCATCATCAACGCCACTCAGCAGAGCAACAGATATCATTCCGACTAACTTGTAGCACGTGTCAAGAGATGCTCCAAAGATACAAGCCGTCTCACCGTCCTGGGGCGGTAACTGTGCCTCTTCTCTGTCTTCGGCAGAAACTCCGCCAGCGGAGTTGCTTGTGGATATCCGCCGGCCATAGACACAACGAGCCTTTCTCCTAAACCGAGACCTCAGTAAAGGAGACTCATGACACCGTGACGACTAGTTGGCACATACGACACACATCGGTTACAGCTGGGCAGGATCTTGTCGCAGCGGGTCTTGGATGCTCTGCACTGGCGGCAAACTCCAGCTGCTCTGCCAAAGACGGAAAATTGCGCCGGCGGAGGGGGAGTGGGATCTGATGCAGAAGCCGATGCTTGCATGGTGTTGGGTCGCTATCAGAACACAAAGGACAGGTTTGTAGCAATCAGGTAGATCCTTTTCACAAGAGGATGGCGGTACGATCCCAGAAACACATGTATGAGACTGAGGATTTGCCAAGAGCTTGAAGAAGGTGTAAGTTCGGAAGCGGGATAACAAGAGAAGGGTTGAACATGTCCAAGGCCAGCGGAATTGGGAATTATAAATCATGGACAGGGTTCGGCCGATGCATTAGCGCCACTATGTAAGTCCCTTTTGAGACTTTTGACGAGGATGTCGTCCAATCAGGAGCTGTGCCGTCCAAGAGGCGTCTGCTTGTTCGTGAACTCCATGTCGATGTGTCTGGCAAAGAAGACAAGTATCTCGGACGAGAATGGTGTTGGCCAATGGCTATATAAACTCGATATTTCCTCTTTGTCTTTCCTTGACTTACACAGCATCTTAGACACCCAGAAGCAGAGAGCATTCAGGCTTACAAAGTCTCCGGTTCAAGACCTCTTATAAAGATGTCATCCGTCATCAAAACCGTCGCAGTCCTTGGAGTAAGTCTTCCACTCTCATACATGCAATACTCACGAAACCTGTCTAAACTCTTCAGGCCAGTGGAAATGTTGGCAAAGTTGCCGTCCCAGCTCTCCTTTCCGCCGGCTTCGTCGTAACCATCATCGCACGACCGGAAAGCGCCTCAACCTACCCCTCAGGCGTCTCCATCATAAAGTCGTCCTACGATGACCTAGACACGCTCACACAAGCCCTCCAAGGACAAGACGCCCTTGTCGAGGCCTTCAATCCCGCCGCCGCCGAGCACCAAGGCGTCATCGTCCGCGCCGCTCTCGCCGCCGGCGTGAAGCGTCTCATCACGCCCGACTTCAGCACCGACTCCTTCTCGCCCCACGCCGCAGAAGTCAGGATCTTTGCGCCCAAGCACAAGGCCCAAAGAGAACTCGAAAGCCTTACCTCTTCACCTGACTGCACTCTTACCTGGACCGCTGTCGTGCTCGGCGCCTGGTTCGACTGGGGCATCGAGACGGGCTACTTCTGGATCGACAAGGACAAGCGAACCATCACGCGCTTCGGCTCGGGCAACCAAAAGGTGTCGGTGAGCCGCGTGGCTTCAGTCGGCGAGACGATTGTGGCCGTTCTCCGGAACCCGGACAAGTATCGCAATCACGTCGCTTACTTTCCAGACTACACCGTTAGCACGAACGAGCTCATCGCTATGCTTGACGAGATCTCTTCTGGTGGAGGATGGCAGATTGTCGATGTCTCGCTTGAGGGCTTCAAGAAGGAGGCGACTGCGCTGTGGGAGGAAGATACGAGGAATGGTGTGACGAACCGGCTGTTTACCAAGGCGTATTCGATGTTGGGGACTGCGGCATTGTTTGATGAAGACAATCGCTATGATGGGGATTTCTCTCACAAGCAGGAGCCTGGATCAGGTCGGCCGCTTGAGAGTCTGAAGGAAGACCTCAGGGAGCTGCTGGGCTACAATTAAGCGGCTAGGTATGAGAGCTTGACGACTTTGGATCGAGGTCATCGTGAAATAACTTGAGGACCAGCCAAAGAATCGTATTATTTGAGGTTCAACTGCTGAGATCACCATGCTCTAATATTATAAGCTTCTACTAAAGTCAATAGCCTATCCTTAATGTCACATGCTGATGCACCCTCTTCGTCAATACCACTCCTACCTCAACTCCTGTCAAACCTTTCAACAAACAGAAACGGGTAAACCTTAGAACGACAAACACGTAGCCAATGAAGCCGTTAAACATGGTAACAAAGAAGATGGCATGAGATTGAAGGTACAGAGTATCTGTTGGGGGCAAAGTGTTGTCGTCTGATACCAACATGTTGCGCGCCTCAATATCGAAAGCGAGCAGCATCGCACGTAGTCCGCAGAGTTTGAACACACTTGGCTTCTGCAACGATAGCGACAAGAAGCAGGGTGGTGATGCCAGCAACCTGTGCCGATTCCATCTAGCACAGGAATTGGACAAGGAGTCCAAGAAGCAACAAGTGCTCTTCGTCCATGTCCCTTCAGTCAGGCCATCAAAGACGGCAAACCGCCAAAGAACGAAACAAAATCCACCCGTTCCAAGTGCGCCACATTCGTGCCTCGAAGCAACAATGCGTCCAGGCCAGCATCAATGTCCATTATTCATTCAATCCATCCGACGAACCGCATCACGTTCAACACTACAACACAACCCTACACAGCCGCACAGTCAACAGTCACACAGCCAAGCACAAAAGGGCAAGAAATGTAGATCTCAGAATGAAACGGCACCGGTACGGAGGACAACCAAGTGCCGAGATTAACGAAGGATCAATCTTTCCTCTCCAAACGTCCCCAAGCCCAAAAACGGGCCTTGCCGGCATTGCGAAGCCCATTTGAAAAAAAAAGAAGCACCGCGCGGCGGACATTCGTGACTATCTGAAGAGAAAGGAAAAGAGAAGAAAAAAATCCAAAAACTGAGCGCAAAATTTCCATCAAAAACATAGCTTCGTCCACATGATGAGTCAGCAACGTTTTCCGAATAAGTAAATGCACGTGACACGCAACTCATGAGGATAAAGGCGGTGGTGGCTCTTCACGTGAGTCCCCGGAGATGATGAATTGGAGCTCCCTGATTGGCCCAGCTAAACCGAGGAACCGACCGACGCAACTTCCGTTCCGAAGCTCGTCGACGGGTAACGAGGCATTCGCTCGGAAGCCCGCCAAACCGACCGCTCAAGAAACAACCGACGAGAGCTTCTCTTTTGCGCCCGGGGCGATACAACAATCCAAGTCAACAGCTGCCTCTACTCCAGATCACTCTCTCCCCCTCCAGCAGCGGCACCATCGCAGCCATGAACGCCCACCGATTCGGCCTCGCTGCCGTGCGCAGTACGTCATGATTTTCTCTCTCTTCCTCGTTTCTCACATGCAACCCGCGAATAGCCTCACCACCAACCACCAAACTCTCCCCCAGACCACAAGCGCAAACTCCTCGTCAAATGAAACATATCAAATGATGGCAAAATTCCAGCTAATTCTTTCCCCTTCGCCAGGCGCCAAAGCACCCACCACCCCCTTCTTCACCCACGCCCTCCCCCGATCCCTCCTCGCCGCCACCCTCTCAACGACCTCCAAGCGCCCCATCACAACCCAGAAGCTCTCCCAGGAACAGGGCCAGGAGGTCCTCGCCAGCCAGCGCCTCAACCGCCCCGTCTCCCCCCATCTCGGCATCTACAAGATGGAGCAGACCTGGTTCGGCGCCTCGGCCTGGACCCGCATCACCGGCTGCACCCTCTCCGGCGCCGCCTACGTCTACTTCACCGCGTACCTCGTCTCCCCGCTGCTGGGCTTCCACGTCGAGAGCGCCGCCCTGGCCTCGGGCTTCGCGGCCCTGCCCTTCGTCGTCAAGGGCGCCATCAAGTTTGCGCTCGCCTTCCCCTTCACCTTCCACTTCATCAACGGCATCAAGCATCTCATCTACGACGTGGGCGTCGGGTTCGCCAAAAAGCACATTCTTCTGGGAGAGAAGCTTTTGTGGATTTCGAGCTTCCTTGGCGGCGGTTACCTGGCTTTTGGCGTGTAAAAACAGAATCAATGGAGGGTCAAGGGAAAGCTTGGGGCAAAGAGAGGGGGAAGGGAAACAACCGAACAAAGGAGCTGGTGGGCGGAGCATGTTTAATAAATGGCCATTAAACGGCTGTTGATTAATTTGTCCAGAAAAAAAAATGCTATCAAAACCTTTACAACCAATCTGAAAACAATGTGCCAATATCATGGGTTGAGCTTCTCTCCCGGATATCAACCAATGCCCCAACGCCATGCGCCTTTTCATGCTGCCGTGATACCTGTTACCCCATGGCTTGCTACCTCGTTACTCCAGAAACCGGGCATCGAGGATCGTCCTGATAAGATGGTGATTGCGAGAAGCGGCAATCCTCTGGCCAACAATGGGGCCGATGAATTCGTTGAGGTCAGCGAGTTCCGAGGCCGGGATGTTGCCGTTGACTCCGTTCATCTGTGCGTCAGAACCACCCTCCGCAGTTTCCTTCCTCTGTGCGAGCGAGGCGACGGCCTGTACGATGCCCTGCACGAGCATCTCGTATTCGATGGAGCCTTCTGACTTTTCTTTCAGAGGCTGGAGAATCCCAGAGTCGAAGCTCTTGAGGTTGCGCAGAACCAGGACCCGGATGGCCTCCATTCCTCCCGCCTCAAGCAGGCCGTGAATTGCACCATAGAGTACGGCAGGGGGCTTGGTGGGGTCTAAAAAGTACTTGAGACACGTCCTCGTGAGCTTTGGCCGCAGCAGCGAGTTTGAGGCCGAGTATTTGCGAGCAATGCGGCCGAGCAGTGAGGCAGCCAGTTGTCGAAGATCATACTGCTCCTTGAGGGCATCTTGCCCCTCGTCCGTGCCCAGTTTCCTCGCCATGAGGCACGTAAGCACGGGTGCCGAGAGTGAGCTGGCATACGGGTCCAGGAACAAGCTCTTGTTCTCAATCAGAGCATTCGTCAGCTCCATCATCTGCTTCAGGGTAAAAGTGTCGTCAAGCTGATGCGTGACTCTGTCCATGATGAAGTTGATAAAGTAGGGAACCAGCTGGTGCAGACCAGGGTCGTCTCGGACAGATCCAAGCGCAGCCTGGCGCAGCCTCACAACCTCCTCGTCCGGATTGTCATCAAGGATAGCGGCCTGGATCTTGTCGAAATAGAGAATCAGCTCCTTGCTCACGATGTGCTTAACAGCGGGCTGGCCCGCGCCGGTGTCGTTCCCAGCCAAGGCCGACAGCGCGGGATTAGCGCCCGGGCCCTTGGGTAACAGGTCTTGCGGTCGAAGCTCGGCCGAGGTCGGGTTCTGGGGGATCGAAGGCTGGACGCCCTCAATGGCGAGCCAGTGGGCTACGGTAGCTTGTCAGCGGCTGCGGACCACGACATGTACATAGCCAGCATGTTGGGTGAGGGAACCCAAAGAAACCTACCGGTAAAGTTCATGTCGCGCGGCACTTTCGGCAGCGGCGCGTTGATGAGTTTCTCGAAATCCACCTCTTCGTCCTCAATGTAAAACAGCGGCTGTCCCGGCCCCAAGCTTGCCTCGCCATAGCGGAGCGGCCGCGTAGAATCGTAGCCATACAGAGGCTCGGCGTCCAGGACCTTGAGGGCCAGCGACACGTCGTTGACGGTCATTGTCGTCCGGCGGGCGGCGCGCATGAGGCGGAGCGCCTCAATGATGACCTGGCCGATGCGATACTCGACGTCCTGGGTGAGGGCCTTGAGGGCCTCGTCGCTCATGGACCCGATGCCCACCGACTCGGCGACGTCTTTGACATTTTCCGTGTTCCAGAGCAGCTTGGGCGTTTCGTTCGCCATGGTGGGCGGTCGTCGGGCAGTTTGGAGCTGCCGCTGCGATTGGGGTTTATGTAGTGAGGATGCGATTATTCTCTCAATGTTATTGGGGTGATCCGCGTTGGATGGTGATGAGGCTGAGGGTTGCAGGTTGGAGTTGCGATTCGAGCCCGTTAATAAATGTGGGGAGAGAAGGCTGCAAGTTGCCTGACGAGTTGAACCTCGACTGAGACCCACACTCGCTGAAGCCGCTAGCGTCGAAGCCTCACAGCGCAAGTTTCAGCGGCTCTAGTGGGGTTTTGGTGCTGTAGCTGTAGCTGTAGCTTGTGGCATCCATTGAGAAGATGGACATTGGATTCCAGTGTTATATCAAGTGGCAGCTCTCACATTCAGATGACAATGATAGATATATATGTATTCATGAGCATTCAATCAACAGATTGCAAGGGGCATCAATTGGTATCAATCACATCTTGCTTCTATCGACAATCCAACAATGCCAATTCTCTAAGCGCCAATCGCCTTGGCAATCTCCTCGCCCAGCTGCGTAGCAGACGCCGGGTTCTGCCCCGTGATAAGCTTGCCGTCAACAACCACCTTGTTCCCAAACGCGTCCGTCTGCACAAAGTTGCCCCCGACGGCCTTGACCCGGTCCTCGACGAGGAAGGGCATCGCGCTCGTCAGCTTCACAGCCTCCTCCTCGGCGTTGGTGAAGCCCGTGACCTCCTTGCCCTTGAGCAGCGGCTCGCCGTTGGCCTGCTTGGCGTTGACCAGCGCAATGGTGCCGTGGCACACCGCGGCGACGACCTTGCCGGCGGCGGCAAACTCCTCAATCAGCTTGACGGAGTCGGCGTCGTCGACGAGGTCGTACATGGGGCCGTGGCCGCCCGGGTAGAAGATTGCGTCAAACTCCGAGGCCGCGCGCCCGACGAACTGCTTCAGCGGCTGCGTCTGCTCCCACAGGGGCTTCTGGTTCTCGAGGAAGCTGGCGGCGACGGGGTCCTGCTTGAACATTTCGACCGAGCCCGGGTCCAGGGGCGCGGCGCCGCCCTTGGGGGAGACGACGGTGAACTCGACATTCTTGTCTGAGAGGACCTTCCAGGGGTGGGCGAACTCGGGCTGTGTTGTTGTGGTGTTGTTAGAGCTTGTTGTTGGGTCATGGAGAAGAAAAGAGAAGAGGGTTTGTGATTTTGCTTACCAGGTACCAGCCTGTGGGCTTGTTGATGGCGTCAATCTTGTCGTGGGAGGTGAGAACAACGAGGACCTTCTTGGGAGCCATTGCGTATGATGTCAATGGTTTTCAGATGAGATGGTTGTGTAAATCGTAGTTGTGAGTTGTTGTCGTCGGAGTTTGTGTTGTTGTGTTGATTGTTCAAGTGCTTGTTTGCTTGTCTTCTTCTTCTTCTTCTGCTCTGAATTTGGCGATCTACACAGTCTTTATATATCCCTTTCCTAGCTATGTGCTTCTCCTTCAATCTTCCCAAGCCAGCAGTTTCTCCGAGTTTCTCTCTCGGACGGTCTTCCCTCCGTCTTTGACGCCATAATTGGGTCCTCCCCCTCCGTCCCGCAAGCGGCAAACTCCAGCGTTCATCACAGTACCATCCCATCTCCAACTCAACAAGTCCAGATGGTATGCAATACGTCAAGAACCACCAAAGTGCGTCACAGCTTCGTCGACGGAAGGTGTTCCGCAATCCTTTGGATTATGTAACCTCTTATTTGATACCCCAAGCCCATTTCATTGCCAGTCACTGCAGAGAATCAAACACAATGCAGTTAGGACAGGGGGCTTGAAGCTGAGTCAGCCTAGTGGTACCTTGCAGAGAGCGGATGATGCCGCGGGTTACAAGTACCTGGGGCGTCGCAGTGCCCTGCTGTCAACGGGATCTCCCGCATCGAGTTCTCTGCTGCTCGGATTTCCTTACCCTGAAAAGGATCTAAGATTTGCTTATCTCCGCGATGGGATACTACTAGGTAGGTAGTAGTAAGCAGAAAACACCAGGATTTATTTTTGATGATGGTGCTTCTGGCGCGGACGGGTTTGAGATTGTTTGATTTCTCTGCTGTTGTTCGTTTGTAAGCAGTCTCATTCTCGACGCCTTGTGAGCTGGGATTAGTGAACGATTGCGTAGACTTGGGTCGTTGTGTCGGCACCAACATCCGGGAGTTGCAAGTTTACAGCAGAAGGACCATACATACTACTCAGCATCATGGCTTCAACTTTCGACTACTAACTAACCCCGTACAAATGGAGTGCCGAGACGTAAGGAAGTTGCCGATAATCTCATGGTTCAAGCCGCAGTGAAATTCCATCTGCCATGGAGTTGAGGACGGGAGAATGAGATGGCACTTACCTTACCAATTCAGCCACTTACACGAACCTTTGCCTGTCATGATTCCACATGGCGCGTGCAACTTACCCCGACATGCTCTCAATGATGTTTTTCAGGGCTCGAGACACAAGGCCGTATGTATCAGAACATTGTCAACTGTTAAGGGATTCTTACAATGAGAAAGAAGATCGCATTAACAATTCTTAAAGTCGAGAATCACCACCTTCACTACCTACCTGGGTAGATGGGTAAGCGGACACATCTTACTTCTAAAGGAAACTAATGTCCATAAAGAAACATTTCAATTGCTATCTCGCAGACAATGCATCCCGCATCCCGCATCCCGCATCCCACAATCCCAAAAACATACAACAAGATACAGTCATTTTTTTTCTTTCAAATCCTCAAAAGGACGACTAGGTACATCAAGAAACAAAAAGAACAAGAAAAGGCGGGAAATGGGAAACAAATCGGTCGTCGATTGAAGCTTCTCACATAAGAGAAGAACCTGGCACAAAAATTGAAACAAAGTACATAGATAGTAAGATCAAACAGCGCTCAGAAACAAGACATAGAAAATCCCTTGGGCCATTCATTGCCCACCAGATATTAGACAGACCCTTGGCTTGGCAAAAGACAGCGTAGACTGTCGAAACGATAAAAGAAAGGCCGTATAGGCAATAGGTTTTTGTGTTGATGTTCGTGGAAAGAAAAAGAAAAAGGAAAATGGAAAAAGATCTTCCGTTGTGGCAAGCGTTCCAACCCGGGCTTGCAAAAATTGTTCGTCATGAAGTTGATGTGCCCACTAACCAGAAACCAGATCAAGTCCTGTTGTCACCCTGTCTCGTCTTTTGCAAGCAACTTGCACTCGCTGGGCGGCTCCCTGCCCTCGAGCCCGTTGACGGCTGTTGTTGATAGATTTTGTTGGTATTTTCTTGCTCACCCCCTACTCTCTGTCCGTCGTTGAGTTTCGTCATGATCGGTAATATCGCCCTTTGCCCTCTTTTCTCTCCTTCTCATTCGGCTTCCCTCTCGCCATTCCTCTCGATTCTCTTCTCTCTTCCTCACTCGGTTCTCCCATCTTCGTACATCTCGATTCAAATCAGGCCGTCTTCACGTCGCTGCTAAACTCAGTTCGTTGCCTCGATGAAGCCGGCTCCTGCTCCTCTTCCCTGTCCTCCGTCCGCCTCTTGCCCATCCTCTCACACCACTGCTCGGCGCTCACAATCGTCCCGTCCAAGACGCCCGTCACCTGCGTCACCATGTCGAGGCCCTCCTTGGCCAGCACCAGCACCTTTTGCGCACCGTCACGCATCGCCGAGTCGCCGTCCCTGTTGGCATTCTCCGACTGCCTGTCAGACATGGTCGCCAAGCGGAAGCGCTGAGGCAGGCTGGTCAGGTGGCGGCGAACCAGCACCCGTGCGTTCTCGGGAAGCGCGCCGCCGGCGTACTTGGACACATTGTTGATGACGTCTTGTAGCGTCTTGACAATGTCGCCCTTGAGGTTGTTGATTCGCGCGGCGATTTCGCTCCGTGACGGGTTGGGCTTCTGCTCCTTGTCCGCGCCGTCCACGTCCATGGCTTCAGCCGCGCCTGGGTTCTCGGTGGACGGCCCTCCTTCTGACTGTTCCTTCCTCTCTGCCTTTTCGTACTCCTCCAATGCGTGCTTCAAGTTGAGAATGGCCCTGTTCATGTGGTCGTTGGTCCATCGAAGCCAGCGCAAGCAGTACTTGAGACTGCGGAGACTCTCGGCGCTCATGGCAACGCTCAATCCGGACGTGGACATCATCAAGCGGGTCTGCCACGGCTGGCTACCCGGCGGTCTGTGAGTCGCAGGTGCGGTTTCCGAGTAGGCGGGCGATCGTAGATCATCGTATGCCGGCAGCGTGTCCACCGTGCTGGCGGTCGATAAGCGGCGAGGCGTCTTGGATGCGGCCGAGGACAACTCGTCAAGACCGTGGATGACGGGCGACCCATTGGCTTCGCGGTTGCCGCTGCTGCTGCCCTCTCCCGTCCTCCGCCTCTTGTTGGAGCCGTTGGAGTCGGGATCGGAGGTGGGTGCTGGATGGCGACGGCCTGCGCCTAGGAACCATCGAACACCGCCTTCGACGCCCGTGACCCTACCCACGGAGTTGACTGTGTTGGCGATAGGCGTCAAGTAGCCCTCGACGTACTCGGCGCCAGACTTGAACCGCGGGGAGAAGTTCTTTGCGCCACCGTACGCTGAACTGGCGCCGCCAATGGTGGAGGCGACGAGGGGATGGGCGGTCGTAAGCAGGGACAAGAGTGGCTCGGGTTTGGGCGACTTTGGCTTCGTCTGCTGCAGCTGAAAGTTGGCAATGGGCGGGCTCATGGGCGGTAGCGAGGAGGTGTCGGGCGGCGATGATACAAAGTCTGTGCAGGCAGAGATGGTCAGTGATCTAGAGTCTGGACGTAGACAGTGGTTGAGCAATGCATGCGCCATCGTCACTCACCTGCGCGTAAGTCGCCCAGCGCCTCGGCCGCAAGCCGCACGTCTGGGTCATCGAGCGTGAGGCTGCTGGGAGTCGGCGTCCCGTCGTAGATGCGATCTGGCGACGGTGACGCCGCGCTGGCAACGCTTGCAGAGCCGTCCATGTCCATGGCTGTCGCTGGGCTGCCGGCGTCGTGGAAGGGAGGCGGCGGCGGTTGTCGATACGAATTGAATGACGACGCCGCGGGACCATTGAAGGGCGACGGCCAATGGTTCGAGTGCAGCGGCGGCGGGCTGTGAATGCTTGGGAGACTGTGCAGGTGTTGCGGGTTGTGAAGATGCTGCGAGGGGCGGTGCTGGTCGTCGCCGCGCATGGCAACGTCGCCGGTGATGCTGCTCAGCGACGGCAAGGTTGTGCTGTCGCCGTCATGGTGCATCAGCGGGGGGAGCCGGTCGTTGTCGGACGGGCTGGGGAACTGGTGGTGGTTTTGCATGGACGAGGCGGCGGCGGGCGAGGGCGAGGAGAGGCGCTGCGCGTAATTGGGGGGACTGGGGAGGAGAGCCGGGGGTGATGCTGAAGATGCCGCCGCCGACGACGATGATGATGATGATGGTGTTGCTGCTGCTGCTGCTGCTAATGACGGCGCATTCAGAAGCCGCGAATCAGCGCCGCTCAAGCCTGCGACGGTGTCGATAGAGGGAGGAATCGAGGTGATTGCGCTGATGGGCGGCAGGCGAGGTCGTGGCGGCAGCGGTGGTGCAAGTGATGGTCCGAGGGGGGCCGAAGGCGGTTGACGGTTGGCGAGCGTCTGGCGATGCATGGCATGTGATTGCGGCCCATACAAGTAGTACATACGCAGATGCGCAGGAATATGCACGTATGGGAGCGGCGCAATTGGGGGGGAGCGAAGGGAAAACGGCTGATAGTCCGTTCGCACGTTGCGCGCACACACACGCACGCACGCAAGCAGGGCAGGGGTCAGTCAATGGCGGGAATAAAACGCCGGAGGCAATGCTTGTGGCTGTTCTTTGGTGCGGCTACCAGTTGGAGAAGAAGACGAGAAGGAGAGGAAGTGAGAAAAAAAGAGGGTGAGAAAGAGAGATGCTGATTGATGGTGGTAGCGAGAATAGCTTCAAAAGGGCCTCTGCCATAGGGTATAAGGTAAGTAAGGTAAGGTACTAGATAATGAGTGACTTCTGCTTTGGGCCTGGAATGAACACCCAGACGAGAATAGCCAGACAGACGCAGACACAGACACAGACACAGACACAGCAGGGTGGTCTGGGCACGTGGATGGTTGGCTGATGGTGATGACAGCAAAATGGAGGGCGATAAGACGCCGGACGGCAGTTTCACGAGCAGAAACCCGCCGACGGGAGGAGGATGACAGAGGGATATTATTAGATGCCGGTGCCAGGGACTGCCTGAGATAAATACATACAATGGGTGCCAATGAACAGTTATCTCTCTATTGAGGCAGAATGATAGCCGACCACGACGAGGGCAAACAAGGCAAGGGCTGAATCGAGGGAAATGGAGTGAAAAAAAGAGGCGGACATCCACTTGCGCCGAGTCAGTTCGGACGAAGCTGTATGTACTTTTCCCACATGCTTCCACCCCAAACAAGTCCCTGTAATAAGTCGTATTGATTTACACAACGCAGCTTCGATTCCCCTTGGTCGATTACCTACAATCGTTACTACCGGTATGGGTGATCGTCTTTCGTGTTTTCATCCGTTAGACGATCCGTTTGTTGAGATCCCCGAACCAGCGCAATGGTGTGTGTGTGTGTGTGACTGACTGCAATGTACATGGAATTACTCCGCACAGCAGCACATCTGCTGCCTCTTCAACTTGTTCACACACACACACACACCAACGCCAGAGCTGGTGCACGGCTTGCCTTGGTACCTGTACGCAGCTGGTGAGGAGCCCCGGGGCAGGTCAGGCGCCTGGCACGTCTGCAGGGTCTGGACTCTGCAGGGTCCTGGAGAGGCCTGTGATTCTGATTCATGTTCATCCATGGGCGCTGCATGTCTAGAGTACCGGTACCTCCTTCACCGATCTGGGAGCATGTGAAATAATAACATCTGTAAGTTTGTGTTTTGCCTGTTCTTGTCAAGCTGGCATATGACAGTTTACGATATGGCAGAACAAGACGCCGAAATGTTCCATTTCCCAGCGCCAGATGCCATAGTATGAGGTAGGTAGGCATGAGTACAGTTCACTGCCACCCCACTTGGACATTGGCAAGACCTCGCCCCGAATTGTTGTTGTGTTGCGTCCTGTGTGCTCTGCTGCTTCTCGTCCGTCGCCTCTCGACTGGTGGAGCAGAACAGAGACTTGCAATCCCACATGGGAAAATAGCCTGCCGACCTGGATGGACGAAATGGATGGATGGAGGGATGGATGGACGCCTGACTGATTGGAGAAAGAGAGCATTTATCGGCCAATGATCCAGACCGGACCAGCCAACCAGGCCTGTGCCATCCTTGCAGAGGGCAGCACCTCCAGCCATGATGCTGCACACCAGTCGAACCATGGAAGTCCCTGATCCATGGGCTTGGCAGTCCCGTCATCATTGTCATTATTACACTACTACTACTGCATTTTTCATGTGTGCGTTGCCTGCTGCAGTACATTCTTGTATGTAACTGCATCGGACCGGAGCCAGAGGGCGCGGTTACAAGCACCGGCTCTTTTGAGGTTATCCGGGGAGATGAGAATAGAGGAGAGGCATCATATTCTTCTCTCCATCATCGACCAGCTTCAGTTGCTATGAGCCTGTCAGTTGGACTAAAAGCATCCGGCGTCAACTCTGACTCCATCGTCACTTATCTTGATCAATAATTGCTAGATTCGGCATGTGCGTTATCATCCCCAGAACCGCCCACGTACTGCATGTCCAAGTCGCAAGCACGTGCCTGAGCGGTTGCAAACCACAATCACATGCAATGTGACGCTCGTCGCTCCCTTACTCCCTTGTTCCCTGCCCCAACTTTCTCGCTTCCCCACCCAGAGACAAGACTCTTTGCCCTCAATTGCTTTGACGCTCCAAATTCCATGTGCTATTTGGGCCTTCTCTCGGCTTAGAAAATCCTAGCGCGAGACAGCGAGACAGATGGCTTCAGCGCAACGACACATGCAAATGCGTACGTGCAGTCGATGCGGCGATAGTATTCCTGATTATTTCATCGTACTGTCTGTAACTCCAGACATCGCAGCGTGCCCTTGTCCTGATTGGAATGCCCACATCGTCCCGGTGGGGGATTAGGGGTAATTGGGGGCCGCTAACACTTGCCAGACGAGGCTCTAGCTGTTCACATGGCCACGAGAATTCTCACCAAAGGCACGCCGCCGTGTGGGGGAGGTGAGAGAAGCCAGTGAACCCGTCTTGCATCTCCGAATCGACGCTGAGAGAGGGCGACCTTGATCTCTAGCCCGGCCACCGGTCATCACCAGCCACGATCCCCAACAAAGCTTAAAGCCATGGTCGCAACGTACAAGCACAAGTTCGTCTTCCTTGCCGTAAGACGGGCATCGCAATACATAGCCTGAACGGGCTTTTGCACTTGTCTCCGAAACCTGATTCGAGATGCGGGGATCCTGGACACAGCTTTCATTTGTCCAGGTGTAATTGGAGATAGTACGAGTCATCATAGACTCTTGCGTCTGTCTCTGCCATCAGCCAAACAGATCCCGTCGCAACTCGGGTCGCCTCCCAGCTTCATCCTTCAGGAAGTCGTCAGTCTCGACACAGGAACCTCGACGTCTTCCCCAACAACGGCAACGGTTGTGTGTGTCTCAGGCGGCCAAATACCTATTCGCTGAAATGCTCCGGAGCAGCTTCCTGCCACTCGGCACAACTGCTAGCTCACAGCCATCACATGATGCACTTTTACGTCGCCCGGTTGCATTAGGCAGGCCGCACTGTAGGTCGTCAACCAAGTACGGATACTGTACTCCGTGTCGTGGCATGTGTTCCGAGTCGTCCACGGTGGTGTCAAGCTGCCCGTCTTCCGCGCAGCGACGCTACAGTAGAGCAACTATTGGCTGAGGCGTAGGAAGGGCTCGCGCGCAAGGCAAGGCCTGGGAGGCGGATGGCGGTCCCAGCAGCTTGTGTGCCTATCCCACAGAATACCACATGCACTGAACAAAGGCCGTCGTACCAGCAGGATGGCGTTGTGTTGCTCAACAGCGACATCACACGATGCATGACTTTGCCGGTCCCTCCTCCATAGCGACTCGGCCCAGTCTCGTCATGTCTCGTTCAAGTCTCGTCCGGTCTCGCCTCCAGGGACCGCTGTGAGTGAATGTGTGGCTCCTCTGACGCCGCCCAAGCAATCAAATCCTGCCAAAGCAGAAAACACATTCGGGCAGCTCTTAATGAACCGTGTAGAAACAAGTTTCCTTCTTCTCCGCACCGCCAAATCGCTAACTCATCCACGGCTCCGCAGCTGCCATGACAGAATGCCACGCGGTTGCAGGTGAAAGATGAGTTGCACTGTCTAATGGGCGCGTTGAGGAGAAGAGAAGAGAAGAGGAAGAGGAAGCGAGAGCGAATCGAGCTTCATATTGGTCCTGGATTTTTTTTTCGATAGTGGGGCTCCAGGAACAACTGAAAGCAAGCTCGGTGGCACGTGACCCATCTCACGGACTAGCCACCCACAGCCGTAGATCTGCCGGCCACACTTAGTCATCAACCACCCCTGCTGTGCCACTGCTCCAGCCTATCGCAGGCTGCGGTGAGCAACCAGCTGTCCGGTCCAAGTGGCAGCTCCTCCAGACATCGCGAACCAGCTGCAGCCTCGCGCCATCATGCCCCTGCCCTGAACCGCCGCAGCACCACCAGCCGATTCCCGACCGCTTCAGCGTATGCCAGCGCCTTCTCTGGCCCTCGCTTCTCCCTGGCCGGCGCGCCAATTCCCGGATCCGCGCCTCTGAACTGCCCCTCCTCCCCGCCATCTCTCTCCTGGTCGACTCTCCGTCCTCTTCGTCTTCTTAACAATACCGTGACACCGTCGTTGCCATGGCGTCCGCACTCTTCTTCTTAGATCTCAAGGGCAAGGTACTGTGAACTTTCGAGCATCCGCCGAGATGCTGCGTACAGCTAACACGACCGCTTCAGACCCTCCTCGCCCGAAACTATAGGGGTGACATCCCCATGTCCGCCGTCGAAAAGTTCCCCGTCCTCCTGTCAGAAGCCGAAGAAGAGTCTTCAGCCGTCCCGCCATGCTTCTCCCACGAAGGAATCAACGTCCGTAACTCCCCCTCAGGCGGCCCTCAAGCGAGCCTTGGTATAAGCCGAAAAGAAAGCCTTGTCTGACAGCGCGCGCAGTATCTGTACATCCGCCACAACAACCTATATCTCCTGGCGCTGACGAAGCGCAACACCAACGCCGCCGGGATCCTGCTCTTCCTGCACAAGGTCGTCGAGGTCTTCACAGAGTACTTCAAGGCCTTGGAAGAAGAGTCCATCCGCGACAACTTCGTCGTCATCTACGAGCTCCTCGACGAGATGATGGACTTTGGGTACCCCCAGACCACTGAATCCAAGATCCTGCAAGAGTACATCACGCAAGAGTCGCACAAGCTCGAGATCCAGGCCCGCCCGCCCATCGCCGTCACCAACGCCGTGTCGTGGCGATCCGAGGGCATCCGCTACCGCAAGAACGAAGTCTTCCTCGACGTCGTCGAGAGCCTGAACCTGCTCGTCAGCGCCAACGGAAACGTGCTGCGGAGCGAGATCCTCGGCGCCATCAAGATGAAGTGCTACCTCAGCGGCATGCCCGAGCTGCGGCTGGGGCTCAACGACAAGGTCATGTTCGAGACGACGGGCCGGTCCACGCGCGGCAAGGCCATTGAGATGGAGGACGTCAAGTTCCACCAGTGCGTGCGGCTGTCGCGCTTCGAAAACGACCGCACAATCTCCTTCATCCCCCCCGACGGCGAGTTCGAGCTCATGTCGTACCGCCTCAACACCCAGGTCAAGCCCCTGATCTGGGTCGAGTGCCTCGTCGAGTCCCACTCCGGCTCCCGCATCGAGTACATGCTCAAGGCCAAGGCCCAGTTCAAGCGACGAAGCACGGCCAACAACGTCGAGATCATCGTCCCCGTCCCTGACGATGCCGACTCCCCGCGCTTCCGCACCAACATTGGCTCCGTCCACTACGCCCCCGAGCAGAGCGCCATCGTCTGGAAGATCAAGCAATTTGGCGGCAACAAGGAGTTCCTCATGCGCGCCGAGCTGGGCCTCCCTAGCGTGAGGGGAGACGACGAGCACGGTGGCGGCATGACGGGCGGCTTTGGAGGCAGCATGGGCGGCATCGGTGGCAAGGGCGCCAAGAGGCCCATCCAGGTCAAGTTTGAGATTCCCTACTTTACGACGAGTGGCATCCAGGTCCGATACCTCAAGATTACCGAGCCCAAGGTAAGCATAAGCATGATTCGGAACGCCGCCATGTCCTTTCTCTCCGTATATGCTAACGTGTGGCTTTTTCCAGCTTCAATACCCTTCTCTCCCATGGGTCCGATACATTACGCAGTCTGGCGACATTGCTGTTCGTCTGCCTGATGTAGTCTGAGCCAATGGACTCGACCTGATATAAGGTACAAACAATAGACAAATGAGGGGCTATCGGAGAAGGTATATTAATTAAGCGGCGGGCCGTTTGTTCTGCAAACCAGCATTCGAAGATGAGTATGCAAGGGGGGTCTGGGAGCGACAATGCCGTAAATATTTTCATGTAAAGTTTTTTTTTTCTCCTTCTTTTTGATTCAATGTATAGCGATTTAACAGGCTCAGAAAGGCTGGTGCAAGAAAGGAAGAACAAGAAGCGTTACTGCATACATAAGGTAGCCAAGCTAGCACTATTTGTTGGCGAAAAGGGGGGGGAAAGGCAAGAAGAAGGAAAGGGGACTACAGTAAAAGGGCGCGGGCTTTATAAATCATAGAAGGGGAAAAGCACCTCCGCCAATATGCTGTCATCACTTGGAGAGGAAAGTAGCAGCTGGATGAATATAGGAGTGAAATGCATTGAACTTTGCTCACTATCTCCTCGAGAAGAAGATTTTCCGCCCCGCTTTCCATGAAGGTTATTGAATCACAATCATGATGACGGAGACAAGAAGCAAAGATGAAAGGGGAAACAGCAGAAGATCAACAGATGAAAGCAAGCTGCCAACATGAACAGAAGAAGAAGAGTCAAGAGGAAGAAGAAAAATCAAGAGGAAGAGGAGGATCCAGCTCCGCGGGGTACTGTTGCTATAAGCTGAAACGTATGAGGTACTGAGCATCGACAGGCTTTGGTCGACGAGGATTGTCCAACGTGATTTAGGTGAAGGGGAGGGGGAAGACAAGAACGAGAAGGACAAAAGAACACAAGAAAGGTAACGTGAATCAGCAAAATCAGAAAGCAAGACAAGCGCAAACTACTAACAAAGAAAAGCAACAAGAAATGACGAGCAAAGGGTCCCAAAATCAGCAAAAGTCCACCCTTAGAGACCAGTCTGCCGCTTGCTCTCCCGGATAATCACGCGCCTCCATTCCATGTTATAGAGGTACTCCACATTCGAATACGCCTCGTTTTCGGGATCAAAGAACACGGTGACGAGGAAGCCTCGCGGTTTTTCCAAAGCGGAACGAGCATCTGGAACGCCGGTCAGTGTCTCGAAGTATCGCAGCTAGGCAAAGTGAAGGTAGAAGAGGAGTCGAAACAGACAGACACACACACACACTATGGTACCAGCAGAAAGCAAGAATGAAGGGAGTGTGGGAGGCTACTTACATCCTCTGGGAGCTGCAGAATGATGCCACTCTCCATTGCGCCATCTGCGCCCATCTAAAAATATACGCCTTGCTGCCTCTTCTCCTTCGGACGCAGCTTCGCTGAACGCCATCAGACCAAGTATGATGGGAAGCTCTCCCGAAAGGCCACGCGATGGGCCCGGATGGTACGGATTGCGGTATGTCTCTGGCACCAGGCTCGGCATCCAGCTGGGACTTGATCCCGCGACGAACTTGCACATGGCTCCACCCTGACTCGCGAGGCTGTCCGGATGGACTGCATGCGATACCCCCTCTTGATCTCGCGGATGATGGAAGAGCAAAGGGACCCGGGCAAGCCCGCTGGCGGACAAAGGGTCTCCGATGAGGATCGCGATCGGGAGTAGGGGGTTGCAGGAAAATACTGCGAGCTGCTTGTATACGACCGCACGTTGGTAGTTTCCGTCATCGGTAAGCATGTACAAGTTGTTCAGATGGCCGGGAGGCCACGCATTGCGAGTTACGTCGAAACCGTCTCGATGCCACCGATATCCAGGAGCCTCCGTAACTTCCCCATTGTGATATCTCATAACGGTGCCGATAGTCTCGTCTGCAAAGCCTCGGGGCTCAGAAGGCGGTTCAAGGTTGTACCAATCATCTCCTTTGTTGTGGCTGTCGTCATCGCGCACAATGAGTTCGTTGATCACAAACAGAAAGCTGCTGGGGTCGTGGTTGAGCTGGTGATTGCTGCTACTCGCGCTGGCTTTGTGCTTGCCATTACCCCCCGCATGCTTATGTGAGCCTCCGGCCTATGATAGAAGACGACTAATTAGGATACTGTATGTTGAGTCGAAAAGTCCGATAGAGAACTCCGAACATCCCTGCCATGTAGGGCCAGAAGCTCAGAAGAATATAACATCGCGAAGAGCAATGATACTCACCGACATGGATAACCACTGCTGCTCTCAATAGTAGAAGCCTCCGTGGTCGTTGTTTCAACGGCTGTTGAGCTCAGAACGGTTGGCAGGTCGATAACATCGCTTGTTCGTGGGAGATGATACACGGTGCCTCGAGAGCCGGCGTAGAGTCCCATATTATCAACTCCGCGCTGCTCATGTCGACTATCTGGAGCCTCCAAAAGACGCCACAGCTATCGCTGCCCAAGGCCAGCTATCAAAGGTCTTCTTCCGCTCCCGGTCAAGTTAGGCTCAGATGCTACGTATTCAACGTTACAGCACGATGAAAGCAGTTGGCCACTAGTGATTCAGATCGGGCCAAATGAAGATGGTGTTCTGCGCGGGCAGTCGCGGACTTTGCGGCTCAAACCCTCTTTGCGTGGAGGACTGAGGACGAACGTTGACGTCGACATACATAAGTGGTAGCGTCTCGTGAACGCTCGTTGCCGAACCGGTGAGAGCAAATTCGATGCCATTGGATCGCCGAGGTCCCCCTTATGCTTCGTTTTATCAGCCATCGCTCCTCGTCCTCTGTGCTTGCAAAGAGTCCGTTGGGCTCACTCTGCGTGTCCCACGACTGGCAGAGCAGCAGCCGAACCCAACATGGCTCTCTTATTTTTATCAACCCCAGTCCCAGTCTCTCCCCAGGTTGTGAGAGGAGTACAATAGGCCGGGATAGGATGTTAAGCGTACTGCCTGTTCCTTTTGTAATCACAGGTGCCATAGGCTGGAAATCCCGCTGGCTTGTACTCCCACGCCACCCACAGGTGGTCGTCCGCGGGCTCTTGAGGTGCTCCTGTCGGAGGACATGGCCCGTTTGTCCCCGTGGGCCAATCTAAGCTTGGAATTTGTTCCAAGCAACTCGACCACCACCACTACCACCGGTGGTCGTCGTGGACCAATAGCTGGAGCCTTTTGGGGGACCGGGGCAAAGAGGACCACGGGCCTTGGGCTCGTCATCCTCGGAGCCTATCACTGCTCATTGCGCCATGTGCTGTGTGGTAATAAGACTGCGGTATGGGGGTTCCCAACCATGGCCCCCTCGGAGGGAAAATAGCGGCTGTTGTTTGATGGCATCCCATGTAAAGCACCCATCATGCACGACGTACAATCCCGGTCTCATCTCCCAAGTGTGGGGGCCTGAGGGGGAATGTATGCAATGAGAGAACCGTGTGAGAAATCTCAGTTCGAGGCAAACGCCGCATTGTCAAGGGGTGCGACAAGACGCCATGTCCCAACCAGAGTAACACCGGTAGTGCTAGCCGAGACTTGGGGCAAGTCATGTCCATTCTGTGGGAAGGAAAATAGCAGAGACAGCAGTATATCGGGAGACAACTAGGCCGTGTAACAGAATCGCCATTCGTCGGGGTCTCAGCAGCCGAACAGCCAGTTATAAGACGACAAGATCTGCGGCCCTGTACAAGTGGAGGGTCACACAAAGTCTGGACACTGGCATTAGCCTCTTGCCTGATACTGGTGGGAAAAAAATGTCGGGTAGAGCACTGTCCGTTCCCGAGGGTCCTTTTCTCACTTGTCCTCTTGAATATGAAAGCGTCAAGCGATTCACATAAGCAGGAGGGTTTCATGACATCGATGGGGTAGACGGAGCCAATCTGCCGAAACACTGGTGGAAACGTACCATTTCCCAGTCGCGCTCCGGTTGATGGCCGTACTTCGTATCCCACGCATCTTTGCAGTGATGTGAATATCTGCATTGTCGTGGGTGATTCTAAGAGCCATCCAAAGCACGGCAAGCCACAATGAATCATCGTGCGACTTGACATACAACCGCGATGCATAGACAAGTCGAATTCGCCGATCAAGCGGTGAATGAGCAGCGTAACCAAGCCTTCACTGAACTGTTAGTCAAGGGCTACAACCTTGCTGCACTTTCTGTCGGCTTACTCAAACGGTCCCAGAACCTTTCCCCCCAATGAACAACATGAGAGGGCACCGTGGCTGTCACCGGCGGCGGAATGAGATGCAAAGTATGATATCACGACTCATGTGATAGGCAGTGAACCCGATGGAGGATGTGATGCGCATTTCAACGGTCTAGCAGTGCTCGAAGACGGAGAGATTTGAAAGAGCCCATGGGCCCTTCGCGCCTATAAACAGGAGTAGGATGTTTGAGCGTGGAATATTTACGATCATAAAGACAAAGAAAGAGAGATATAAGGGGATTCTCCCGGGCAAAATCACGGACGGGTTGCCTTAATTTTGGTTGCCTTGCTAGGTACGACAAGCTGTGTGGTCCGCGAGCACTGTGGATCCAAGATGAGGCTCGTCGCTTGGTTACGCATGTGATATATGCCTTTTTTCTCTTTTGCCGCCCAAACTCCCAGTGGTGGCTCCTTTTGCTCCGGTAATGGTGTTATCCCACCTGTGGTTGCTAGGAAGACTTGATGGCGAAAGCAAAGGAGAAGGAATTGCGACGTCGCTTCAACCCGACCGACGGGCTTTCTTATGCGGCGCCGAGGAGTCATCGGTATCGGCAGCATCTGAGGCAATGCCGAGTAAGTAGGTTTTAGCCTCTTGGATCAACCGCTTTTCCCCCAGCCTCACTGTAACGGCGGCTTTATGCCGCTCGCTAATGCCGCTACCGGAAAGAATCCGTTCGTCTTCTGTGATGGAAGTTGGATATCGCGACGCAAGGGTATCAAGCGCTCTGATGAGTATGGTATGCTGGATCTCGTCGCGTTTCCGCTTGTCAGCAATACTGGATGGGTCTACCTTTCGAACGGCCTTGAGCAGCGATTTCAGCTGATCCTGGAGATCCTCTGGTATCTCGCTAAACCTAGCCGAACCAGTCAACGTGCCGTCTGAGTTAGGCTCTTCTGATTCTCGCTCCAGCACAAACGTGTCCTCGAGTTCATCCGAATCAAGATACCCTCGCTTGTCTACTGTCAGCCCGTGTCGTGGAAGAAGGGAAAGGGGCGGGGAAAGAGGCGCATAAACAAAAACTCACTGCTTTCTTAAGCTGCTCATTTGACAATCCTAGGCTAGCTACCACGGATTCCTCGACCAGACTCCATGGAAGCTCGACAACGTCGTAACGAGAGTGCTTCGACGTGACGTAGCCGTAGCGACGGAGAAGCTCCGAGTTGGGGTGCGGGCCGTAATAGTTGAAGATTTCTTCGCCAGCCCTGATGGTTCTCAATGCCGTCACAGTAAGAGCGTCATCTCCATAATTGACGTGTGCCTGTAGAATAGCGCGAGGTCAGTTGATTGCACAGCAATTGACAGGCAGACTTGTCATGGATGGCATCGCACGTTATACTCGGCATCAGCATTGAGAATGTCAGCCATTGGCACCATGCCCATCGTGGACTTGGCCTCGCGCTCCTCGACCCATTCTTCGGTGTCGTTTTCGTCTTCCTCGTCCTCGTTCTGGAAGTCGAAAGCGTAGGACATGATGGTGCTTCCCATGCGGTGAGCCAGCTGGATAAGATCCTCGTCACTGTAGGTCTGGCTAGTTGGGAAAAGATGATGGTTTGCACGGACGACTGGCAGGACTTTGTCTTGAAACATCTTCTCTGCACTCTCTTTGCCGACTTTTGACCGCGTAGCGCTGGCCTGTAGTTCATCAAGCTCCGCATCGGTCCAGAACATGGGCGTCTCGAAAGACGCAGGAAGAACGTCAATGTACGGCTTCCATTTCGACTCGCTCCCCTTGAAGTACTCGTACATCATGACAATAATCAGCGTGCTCCAGGGATCTTGCTGCGGCTTGTCGTCCACCTCCATGGCCGTATCCTGGCTGAAGAGGTCGGGAAGCTTCTCTTTCAGCTCGGACGTCTCCGAGCTGATGATGCCGGTTCTTGGTACGGTAAACAAGACCGTATCAGCAGGGATGTCCTGAAGGGCCACTACCATGCTACTGTTAGTCAATCAGAATGACATGTCGAATTATCGGCTCACGAACCTATACCGCGGCCTGCATTTCGTTCACGGAAATCAGTGATCTCGATATTCTCATGGAACGTTGACCCGGGGAGCGCCTTGAACCACTCAAGGAACGCCTTCGTTTTGCCGTCAAAATCAGTGGCAGACATTGCGAAATCCAGCTCAAATATGCACGAAATCCAAGATCAAAGGGAAAAGTGCGAAGATTAAGAATCGTTGGTGTTTCAGACTTGAAAGGTAGAACCTTTCGCGAGAGGCAAGGGCAAGGCATATCATCACAGTACGGATGTTCCACGGTAGGCGCCGTAAAATTTTGCTCGCACGGAGTACCCGAACAGCAACCTGGTCTAGCGCAGGGCCTCAGTACCTTCCGACGCCTCCTTCCTTAATGGCTGAGCACCACCATCACCAGATCTTTGTCCAACTTCTTCTCTCTTTTAAACTTCTCTTCTTATTATACCTTACCACTTCTACACAAATGCAGAGGCAATATTCAGCGGCACTGACAAAATTACAGATTCTGAGGTAGCAGCCCTCTTTATTTGCTGCTTCTTGAATGGTTACCTCAAATTGTCTGTCAATATGAGGAGTGAGTTTTTCAGATTCTATCTTGTTCTCGCGAGGCAATCCTCCTTGTTAGTTCTTCCATGATGCTTTTTTCCGTCGGTGGAAACGCGTACTCGGCAACTTGAGCCCTCTTCCGGATGGCATTCCATTGACCAATTCTGGCAAATTCTTTGCTTAGTCGTCGACCTTGACCTTCTTGTTGACTTCTCTCTTTTTGGGTCGCAGCCACTCTTCCATACCCAGGGGCCAATATACCCGATTCTGCTTCCCCCCCATTGCGCATTCCTCTGGACTGATCGCATTTACAGCGTATACTCCGTTCTCATCCGAAGGGTTGTCTTTCTCCGCCTTCTTGGCCCTTTTCGTCTCCTTCTTGGGCTCGTCGTCCCTTTCGTAGGGAACGATGTCGTTGAAGAGGTTCCATCCCGGGAGTTTGAACGTCCTCATCAGCTCGAAGACGGCCTGCTCCTTGTCCTTCGCCTCGATCATCAAGTCCATGTCTGGAGCACAAGGCGGTAAAGTCTTGACGCGCGCTGAATGCTTGCGTCGGTCCCTCGGCGTGACGGCGTCTGCCACCGGCTCGCTATAATGCATCTTCTGCTTGATCTTCTTCCTCGTCCACGTCTTAGCGATGCGGTCGTACAAGCTTATGATATCCTGAGTGCCCTCGCGCATACTGGCATCGAAGACGATGTTGTGATGGTGATAGTCCAACACCAGGGGGATATTGAGTTCCTCGCAGATGGGTAGCAAGTCATGGACACTCCAAGAGACATCGTCATTTTCCAGAACCAGTCTCTTCTTGACTCCATCTGACAGCTTGGCATAATTCTGGCGGAAGCGATCCAAAGTAGCCGCCTTGTCGCCATACACACCGCCCATGTGCAGGATCATGACGGCGTCTCGGTCTAGCTGCTCCGGCAGTTTCAACAGCGACAGCATCTCATGATGATATTCAAGGTCCCTGAAAGCTGCGTCTACAACTTCCTTGCGAGGGCTAGCAATCTGTGTATACTGACCAGGGTGTGTTGTGAGACGATGACCAAATTCAGCAGCTACCCTACCCGCTTCAGCCAATACATCGGCGGCGAAGGGGGCGAGTTTGTAGCCATGCTCCTCGTGGCTCGCAAAGGGGAACATCTCGCTGCTAAGTCGCATGAATCTGATGCCGTACTTTTCGTTCCATCGCAGCATCTTGACAATGTCTCTGGCGTTTGCGAGCCCCAGCTCCTGAACGAATTTCATACCGCGCTGGGCATCTGGCGGCTGTGTCTTATCAGGCCGGTTCTTCGTGCTATGCTCGGGCTGTGTTGGGTCTTGCAGAGGATGCCTGTGTTCGATTATCGAGGCAATCCGGCAAGTCCGAGACGAAAAGACAGGAGGGTTAGCTGCTCTGAGGTATGTGTTGAGACAAGCCTATTTGACCTCGCATTAGCTTCTGCTGCGTGTGGATTGTAGAACGTCATCTTCTCAACCAAGGGCCGTTCAATAGTTGGCAACGAGTTAGAGTTAAAGGCGTCATGACTCACATATCCCAGCCGGCCTTCCCACGGCAAAGGTAGCACGTCGCTATTCACAGGCGGTGCCCTCCTCGCACTTCGTTCGACAACTTCAGCATCTGCTTTTTCCTCGGATGCATCAGCCGCTTCCACATCGGCGTCCAGCCCCGCGTCTACGCTGGATGTTGTTACGGCTTTGGTCTCAAGCTGTTTCTCACGCTTGACCTTTGACTGTCGCAATATGGCCGGCCTTAGTTTGAAGGCCTCTTCTCGGACCTTTTCGGTGTCGCACCTGGACAGATCCGATGTTTCCACGGCCAATCGCTGAATCTTGACTGCGCTTTGAAGCTTCATCCCCATCTCCCCGAGTTCCCTCATGGTACGCTCGAATGCTTCCTGAGAAGCCCCTGGACTGACGACCGTACCCATGATCTCTTCCGCCCGGTCTCCCCGCAGGGAATCATCGTGCTGCTGGCTGGCAGCTTTATTGACCCTTCTGGAACTCCGCCTCACTTTGGTTGCAGGCTGCGGGTCGGCAACCGCAGCGTCGGCTTTCTTTCTCTTGGGTGCCATTGCATGGGAACAACGAACGAGTATGCGCGGCTGAGGTACTGCCAGTCGTGAGATGAGTGGAAGTCGTCGGAAGCCACCAAGTAGCGCCACGGTGCTGAGTTGCAAGAACAAAGGACGGAGCGGGATGTGTCAGGCACACGAAGCACCTCTCGCCGGGGCCTTTATGTCGGGAGGGCCGCTGAACATGGATAACTCGAGCGTGTGTGTGCTGATCGATGCTTGTGGCAATCAGTATGAGGACAGCGACCAATGCGATGTGCTTGTTGCGCGGATGGTTTGCGGCACAGAATGCATGACCCGCGAAGGGGGAAGTGGGTGAGACCAAAGACAAAGCGAGGACAAGACAACGGGCAGAACAGGGTGCCACAGCACTGCCTGATGCCTCGATCCGTGCCCAGACGCCAGATTCATCGATTGAAGGCGATGACCCGATGAAGTCATCAGCCACCCATTCATTCGATCGGGGATCGTGCGCGGGTGGATACGTACCAGCTCCACTGCGAATGTCAAAAAGGGCGGCGGGCGAATGGCGATGCGGCTGCTGTCTCGAATGCGGAATCTGGAATTGCAGTCTTGTCTTCTGGGGATCTTGCATCTGCTGGGGCAAAGTTCCAGGCTAGGCCGGGTTGAACGATTGCCTCTGCCGGAGTGACATGCTCAGCTTAGAAGCAGAGAGATCTCGTTCTTGTCTGGGCTTCGACAAACAGCATTACCATACAAGATGATCGAGCTTCCTCGAGCTTCTAGCGTCAACTCTACTTCTGTGGTGATGGGTTTTGCTGCACCACCGCATCACGCTGATGTAACCCTCCTAGCCTCCCCTTGCCTGTGCCTGGTGGCACGGAGCAGTGCTTCCGAATACTGTGAGCAGCGAACAATGGAATACATGTATGGACCCGGAGCTCAATATCCGCTATGACTGCCAGCAAAGCAACACCGAAAAGACACGGGAAGAGAAGAGGCGGGCCATCCAAGGCGGGTTGCATGACTTGGCCATGGCCAATGCTTTGGTCCTGTCAACTCTTATCCGCTCCTTCGACGTCCAGTCTCTCGACAGACGGGCACAAGAGATTGCTTCGCACGGCCACCACATGATATTGTATGGTACGCTGGACAAGGGAGGCTTCGGTACCGGTTGCCTTACCCTAAAGTTACACCGCATCAGCACTATCAAGCAGTGGTCCAGGTTCCCCGGAATCGCGAAAGGCGTACAAGAACGGCTCGGTTTCGCTGCATTGCCTAGTGGGCGCTTGAGGTTTGTTGACATATGAGCTGTGGTTGAACGAACAGTACGAGTGTTACCGCAGGCGCCGTTCTGCATCCGTACTGTAGCCCTGATGGAATCAGACGTGGATAGGGAGGTTCATCACCAGTTGTCATTCACCATCTGTGGTCCATCTAGGCTGGCACTGGGAGCACAAGCGCAGATCTTTGCCGTGGTAGTGATGGGTTTAGCATGGCGACTAGCCGTAGCTCGGTCGGAGAAGGTGAATCCAGTTGTGTGGAGTTGTAGGGGACGTCGGGGTGCTTATGTAGGCTGAATGATGCGGTGGTACGACAGCTTACTAGGACCGTATGCATTGGGGATACCACAGCCCATGTGAGTGAGTTTTTCGTTCTTCCACTGACCTGATGTCATTGTTGGCTTCCAATATTGACGTCGAGGTTCTCGTCCAGGTCGGCCTTGATCGTTTCAACTGGCGGCTGAAAGATCCCTTGCGTTCCCTCTTTGAGCTCTGGCCAGCCTTGAGACGCTCCTTGGGTGCTTGTGCGAAGAATCACATGCCCCGTTTCTCGTTCTCCGTACTTGCACATGCAGACCTCACCTCATCTCGGCCGCCCACGTAATAGTCGCTACTAGGCTAATCAGGCAATGATAGGTCATCGCAGGGTCCTGGATGGGGAGAATAGTAGTAGTAGTAGTAGACGAGGGTTGTCGTGATCCCTCCCCCTTGTCACCTGTCAGATATCAGTCAACGGAAGCCATGCCATCTGCGCGTTGTAAGTAGCAAGCTCGGTACTTGCATGTACCAGAACCGGCTGACAGGCCCCGATTCTACCTCATCGATGCCCTGAGAAACACGTGGAGCGGGCTTTTGGGAGCAGTATTACCGAGTACCTAGGCATCGTACTGCCAGTACGGAGTACTAGTACTACTAATTGAAGTGTAAGACATTGATCCCAGGCTCGGCATGTGAAGGAATAGTGGATAGTATGGGATGTGACGATTGATTCTCCCTGCAGCTGCGAGAGTCCATCGGGTTGCTTTGCTGGCAAGCCGTAATTTCATGTGTGAACTCGTAAATCGACCTATAATACACATAGCCTCTTTGGCCATAGTTGGCGCTTCATGACCTGTAGGTAATCGTGCATTCACGACGCAGGGCGAGGCTGAGCTGACCAAATCGTACACCAACTTGTAGTTGTAGGCGGACAATGACAAATGGAGACGAGGCCATGCAGCCAGCCAGCTGCATACATACAAGGGTGATGATGGACAGTATCGGAGTGTGATTTGAAATAGTAGAGCTGTCGCCAACTGCGCCAAAAGAGTCTATTTGCTCGCCAAAAAGGCAATCAGTCACTTCCGCTGCGCGAATCGAAATCGAGGCAAAATGAACATGGGTGGTGTGAGCTACCCACGGAAGAGCAACTCCGCGTGTTCCGTTATCGCCTGGGGTCCCTTTGCTGATGCAGAGCATGTGGAATTTGGTCCCGTTCTCTGGTGAGGTCAGAACTGTGCGTTGATAATGAGCTGTGTATCGTCTAGGACCTACGAAAAGGAGTTGCGGAGAGTATTAGTGGTTGCTGGACTAGGATGAAGGCTTCATCAGAAAGGGCTGACATCTCTGTATGTTATACTAGTACTTCGCATTTCGAACCTGGAGATCTCAACAGAGCAGTCCTGTAGTTCAGGTTTGTATGCAAAAGGTTGATTATAGTGAGACGGAGAACGGGAAGGATCTCGCCAATTTGTTCCCATCACAGGTCGATCCTCGTTACTAGCAGCACGGGGTGCAGCAACGCATCTGCAATCCGTGGGGAGACCAGATTCCCCTGCGCAGAACAGAAGCCCAAAAGAAAAGAGGCGACGTCTATGTTTTGTCTGGCACCAGACTTCAAATCACGGTATTGCGGCGAGAACATTCAGCTGCAACGATGTGTATGGGGGCAGCCACCAGGTTCGTGTCTTGGTCCGCCGCCACTGGCACTTACCTTAGGTATCTCATGACTTCTGCTCCTTTTGTACAAGTACTGATACTACTCCGTATTTGAGCCTCAAAATAGACAAGACGGGGGGCAATTCTCTTCGGAGCTTCGTTCCGGCACCAAGAAAACCTGGACGAAAGAACCAAAAGTGAGACACAGATAGGCGCAGATGTTAGAACTAATGTGCACGTCAAATGTGAGCAGTGGGAGCTATAGGCTGAGGCGGGGTGCGTGAGTCTGGGCACATGCAGGCAGCTGAGACAAGACGAACAAAAAACCAGTTCTGGAGCCAAAGAATGTCGCAGTTTCCTTTCGCCTCTTTGGTTGGTCTTCTGTCTTCTGACTGTTGTCTCTCTGTGTCTATACGAGATATATCTCGGCGATGTCTTGGTGAGTTGCGAAGCACCGGCACTTGGGGCGTCGGTGTCCCAAGCACAAGGACGATGGACGGCATATGTGCAGGAGGGCGGAGGCTGGGGGGCTGTGAGACGGAGCACAGGTGCATGGCATTGACGGCTGCGTGCGAATGGAGAGGTAATTGTATGTGATATCTCCAACATTTGAAGGTTGGGATCACAGGCAATGTGACGGGATATGTGCATGTACCAGGTAGTCTATCTCATTCGGTGTTAGTATTCTGGCCCCAGGCCTCGACCTTGACGCCTCTTCTCCACATCCAACAGACTTCAAGGTTGGAGCTGCGTGTCTCATCCCTACATACTACATACGATACATACGATCCTACGTGGACTTGCTTGGTCAAACCCAGCCGGACGGCATGTACTGATACGCACCGGGAAAAAAGCACGGCTGGGAGAGGAGAGAAGATGCAAGTCTAGATGCTCGCTCTTGTGACGGGAGCCCAAGTGGGCAACGGGGCGGCGCCTCAACCAGCCTCTGGAGCGGCGACAGATCGACTTCCAACGCGGCCACGACCAGGGCCTGCAGCCACCACGTTTTCGGACCATGGCCGGGCCTCTCGAAGCGTGGAACCCGGCGTCGCAGTGCATTCCAGCGTGCTCCCGGATCATCCGCCCACCCTGCTCTGTACAGTATGTGTAGGGACCGGGTCGACGGCTGCTCGCTGGACGAAGTATTCGCAGTCATGGCTGCCCGCTTCAGCCTTACGAGTGTCTAGATACAGGCACTCGTACCAAGTCTGCCGCTCGATGCGCGTCCGTCCTAGTTGAGAAGAGGAAGGCGTCTTGGATCCGTATGCACGTCTGCTCGAAGCATGGTGAATGTTGATGGTGTTTAACCAAAAAAAGCTGCCGTTCCCTAGCGGCGCCGGCACACCTCTCTGCACATGCTATCCTGGAACCAACAGCATCTTGACAGTGCAGATTGGTGCAGGCGTGAGCACTCCCGCACCAAGCTTCCCGTATCAAGCTCAGTCCAGGCCCAAGCTCCCCGACGTGCGACGCCCTAGCGATCTTGTTTCGTTTGATTGACGGGTCTGAGCATGTTCGACGAGATGAGACGAGAGAGCGCAGGCGACCGCTCTCGACTTGGCTAGAGCTTCCGCGCCCGTTTACCCACCTCATCTCTTGCCTGGGCCACGTTTTTGGCGCATCTGCTCGTCCACGGGCTTTCCCCCTTGTCCGCCTCTCCGAGCCTGGCTGGATCCCGCTCGCTCGGTCGAGGAAAGCGCAGAAACGAGGAGAGAAAAAAGAGTCCAGCGGCAGCGCGACATCTTATCGACGCCCTCGATTCACCTGCCGATGCTAGTCCGCATTGTCCCGCGTCCCGGGACCCTTGACGGCACAGGTCACATCAGGTCCAAGCCTCTTCGAGCCGCCTCACCTCGCGCAGGCCCAGTCCCGTCTCAGAGGGCTCTTATACCAGCACCAGCGCCAGCTTGGCCTCATCTGGCCCAGGCCTTGGCTCCAAAAAGGATCCCCTGGCGGCGGGATCCTAGTCTGGCAGTTGCGTGCTAGAGGCTGGCCAAACAGAGGCGACGGCGACCCTCCTCGAGTGTCCAGTTTGTGATTGAATGTTGGTCAGCCCTGGTCGAGGACGCACAGTAGGCCCGGCAGCATCTCCACTGCTTCACCCCACAGCTGAGAGTCTCGACGATGGAATGTCCGTGGGCTTTTCGCGACGACGAGTGCAGAGGCCATTGAAGGCGACGGCTCTTGTAGTTCTTCGCAGCTCTGCGGCGACGACTTGAAGCCATTCCAAGCGTGGGTACATGGAGGTACGGTGGTAGAGTCAACATGAAGGTCAGCAACTCCGAATCGTCTTGCTCCTTGCAGATGCAGTCCAGGCTGTCTGCACGAGCTGAGCACGCTTGCCAAGTGCAAGTATCGGTACCTCCATCTCCCGGCGCCATTGCAACCCCCCGCAGCCGCCCTACAGCGCCCAGCAGCAGCGCTAAAAGCTAGCGGCCTAGCGCCCCAAAGGCACCGGGCCGCCAAATGCAGTAAACAGTGCAGGCCTCGCAGCGGCGTGTGGCGCCTAGCTTGCTTGCTCAGCGGACGGCTCCTGGCTCGGCCCAGAGCCGGCGTTAATGCGCGGCCGACGGTGCTGGGGCCCTATTCCTTCTCGCAGATAACATGGTCGCCTCGCGAGTTGGCCGCTTACCGCCGACATCTTCGTTTCTCCCTCCATTGACGGACGCTGTCTCTCTCATTGATCGATTGTCGGCTGCAATATTGGCATCATCGCGCGCAGGACAGACAGACGCTGTGCTCGCAGACGAACCAGAACAAACAGCCGTCAATCGCTGAAGCCGGCAAAGACCCAACGCCTCGACTGGCCCAGCTGCGCTCCCGAGGCTGGATTTGACTTGTCCGCAAGCCGCAAGCCAGCGGACTCGTGGCATCAGTGTGTCTCTGCGTCTGTGTCTTGTCTATCTGGCGTGTGTCCCCGAGGCTGTGTCTAAGCTGGGGGCCAGCACCTGCTCTGCGCGGCTGAACATCTCTGTCCCAGTCGCCTGGTTTCAGCCTTGGAGGCGGCCATATCTCATCCCTTTCTACAATCCTCTCTCTCTTTCCGCACCAGATACACGTCGCCAGCGATCCTCTGATCCAGCATCTTAGACAAAGCGCGGTGCACGCCCTGCCGCCTGCCGTCTGAAGGAAGCAGGCATTCTTCGTCTTGTCTTCCCCCTCTCATTGTTCCGCCCGCTCGGTCTCGGGGCCGAAACTCCTTCTCGAAACGAAAGCGAGACATCATCGTCGCCCTGTTGCACCGGCGAGGAGTGCCAGATTCGCCCTCTCCTTGCCATTGTCTTGTCTGCGCGTGCCCGGTGTGAAAGCAGAGCATGCCCCATATGCGCGAGGTCAAGACGTGTGACCGCTGTCGCCATTTCAAGCGGCGCTGCGACCTCCTCAAGCCGTCCTGCTCGCGATGCATTCAGGCGGGAGTGCGCTGTAGCTTCGACGTCAACGGGGTCGCCGTGCCCGGAGCAGCGGCTGCCACTGCCAATGGCGCTGCGTCTGCCTCGCCCAACGCATCATCGCGACAGGCGAGGACCGGGCCCTTGACGTCGTCGTCTCCTGCCACCAATGGCGACCCTGCATCGGGCCAGAACGGACTCATCTCGCCCACGGCGTCCACCGAGAGCCCCGAGCCTCATGCCGGTGCCGGCGCCGTCGATGCCAATGGCATGCCGATCGAGGGCAGCTCCGCTTCCGGGTCGGCGACCAACCAGCTGCGCGTGGTCCGCAAGCGCAAGCGCAACTGCCTGAGCTGCCTGCGCTGCCACCGCCTCAAGGTCAAGTGTGACAAGGAGCTGCCGTGCGGCCGTTGCAAGTCGAGCGGCAACGGCAGGGAGTGCTATTATAGCTACAACAAGGGGCCCAACGGTGGAAAGTTCCCTTGTCCCACCGCCCCATCGAGCAACGAGGAGACGAAGACGGTTCTTGCTACCTGGCAGGTCCAGCACAAGGTGCGAGGATCCAGCCATTGGCGGGACCTCATGACCAAGGTAAGCTGAGCACTCACACATGAGGATAGGTATGGATGGTGCTGGCTATAGGTTGCTGACTGCTGGGATAGATTGGCACTTTGACAACCCTAGAGTCTGCGCCCCTGGCTGCCGCTCTTGAAGACGTGGCTACCAATGCCTGCTTGGCCAACTTTACGCTGCCGGGCAACTTCCCCTTTGGCACACCCGGTGCAACCAAGTACTATGCCCGCGATGCCGTCACCCGACTGCTGGCCAGCGAGAGGGCAAACTGCGACAAGTACCTTCAGCGATACCTGGATCTACTCGACGTGGTCAATCCCATCGTGGACGTTCACATCTTCACGCGCGAAATAGAGCGATACTGGATAGACCCCAACGCCTCGGATCTGTGCTGGCTGGCGCAGTTCCTCATGGTCATGGGCCTGGGCAGCTTTGCCTCTCCTGAAGGGGAACCCCCCGTCGCCACGGAGCTCATGATGGCCGCCGAGGCGTGTCTCATGCAGACGCCGTTTTCCTTCCGGCCGACTCTCTTGGCCCTCAAGACGCTGGCCCTCATGGTTGTCGCCAAGCAGGTCTGCAACCCCACCTGCTGGTCGGTCGATTCATGCTGGTCCCTGCTCGGAATGCTCGTACGCACGGCCTTCATCTACGGGCTGCCCCAAGACGGGTCCAGCCAGGAGGAGGCGGGGCGCAACCAGGACGAAAAGGACGCCCGGCGAAAGCTGTGGCTCACGATCCTGTACCTCGACATCAAGGTAGCCATGTGCACCGGAATGCCGCCCCTTACCCGGCCGGACGAACTCGGCACCCTGGAGAAGATTCCCGAATGGGGCCCGCCGGACAGCCTCCAGATGGTGCTGTACCAGTCGCTGCCGACCGTGCTGGCGGTCATGGCGCAGATCAATTCCAACAAGGAGCAGATCTCATACCCCGACGTGCTGCGATACAACGCCCAGCTGCGGGAGCTTATGAGCCACGCCCAGCGGGTCTGTACCGGACAGCTGCAGCGGGTTACGGTCGACATCTTCCTGCGGCGGTGCCTCATGGTGCTGCATCGCCCCTTTGCCCTGCACCCCGAGGGCCCCGTCATGTTTCCCGAGTCGTACTGGTCGTCGCTCGAGTGCTGTCTGGCGCTGCTGGTGCACTACCGCGAGATGTGGTGCAGCGACCCGGATCTGCGCCTGGACCTGGTTGGACGGGCCTTTGTCCTCGACTTCTTCTCCGCCACCTTGACGACTTATATCCACGTCCTCCGCGCAGACGCTCCTTTGACGGGCGCTGCTGCCATGGGATGCGCCATTCCACCGCGACAGATCATCCTCGACACGCTGCGAAGCTGCGTGGAGATCTGGAGCTCGGAAAAGGACAAGAGCGTGTGCTACCGCACCGGGTACAACCTGCTTGTCGCAGTACTGAATATGGTGCCCAAGAACAAGATCTGAGTGTAACCGAGTCGAACACTGAACCATGTTTGACGGCTGCCATGTTGCTGGGCCTGGGCGACCTTGAGGTTACCCCCCCCCCCCCCATGCATGATGGTCCATGCATTACGAGCTATGCCGGAGTGCTGTGTTTACGTACCTATCCGCTTTGATCCATCATCGTAAGTACTTAGGTGGTGGACATTTCGAACTGTTTATACCTTGTGCCTCTTGACGGGGTTTGCCGTATCTCATCTTGTCCATCTTCTTTGTTTGATAATACGAGGTCCATCGTTTGAAAGGCAATTCTTGTACGCCTCTCTTCACAGCGGTCGATTCCACCCACTTTTGCGAAATTTCCTTTCTTTTCTTGGCATAGCATGGTTGAGATTCCCAGTGGTGTTCTGTCCGCTGAATCGGTGCATTCATCCCCTCTCGTTTGATTTGTTTCTCATCTTGTTGTTTATATCGGAGGATCACATCAGATTGGCGGGCTGGTCAATGGCATTGAGAATGAAGCAAATGATTGTCAAGCATTTGGGGCGGTTTTTGTGTGAGATACTACCAGCACATGTGTCTGGTTACACCTACATCCATGTTTGATGCCAATCGGATATTATTCCCGAATTATATGCATCTGCCCATCTGCCTGCAATAGTGCCTATGGACGCAAGACCCCTTTGGCTCACTGGGCAGCAAGTTGTCGGCGATCTCGACCTCGCATCGCTGCCCAAGTCACCAAATCAAACATGAGATCATCGGCCTGTTTCGCCTTCTCATGACCCGGGTAAAGAGACAGATCAAATGATGGTTAAGTGCTAAAGAGTCGTCGAGGCTTGTGATCAACCAATCCCTGGAACCGGGGGCGTGACGACATGCCACCACTGCGTCATCTGGCAGCGGCCAGCAGCCACTAGAGAGCGCTGGAGTCTGCCAGGTTCTAGGCTTCTAAGGCGACCACAGAAGGTTCCCCGCTCCCCACCAGCCAGGAAAAAGAGCTCCAGCTGGGTAGCATTCGATCCATCACCTTGTTTCCTCCCCACCAGGACAGACGACAGGCAAAGACAATGGAAGGCAACCTGGCAAAAGCACGCACGCACGCACTTTAACTGAAGCTCACAGTCACGAAGCAGTACAAGTACTCGTACTTTTGTTACGAGCTTTGCCCCAGCAACGCAAGGCCCGCTAACTCCCTCGAGTTCTACCGCTATAACTACCTTGCCTTACCTACTGGGCCTTACTTCTGTGTCAGGCCCCCCTCCTCTGCTAGCAACGTGATTCAACTTTTCCCTCAGCCTCTCAACTTTCCGCTCGCATCTCACACGACCTGCATCACCTGCAAGCTACTACAGCCGCTACTCTCCCACAACAGCCTCACACGGCTTCAGCCTTTCCGCTTTGATTCTCTCCAGCTAGTCACGCCCGTAAGGCGGAAACAGAGTCGCCCAGGATGACTTCGGTCGAGCACTCTCCGCCCGCGCATAGCCCGCCTGGGCCAGATGCCAAACGGCCTCGGGGTAAGTTGTCGGCTGCTCTAGCCATGGAAATCTCTCTGGACATGTACAAAGCCAAGGGCTCGTCTCGCTGACGCTTGGGTTCGCAGGCATCCTCAAAAACCCTTCCTACAACACCCCGCCCTCTCCCCTACAGCTGCGCGAACGCTCCTCGTCAAGCAAAGAAGTGACGCTCGCCAACACGCAGCTCAACGCCGGCCGCCGCCGATCGTCGTCCGGAGCAGGCTCCCGCCGCCACTCGTCCACCAGCGTCACGGACCCCTCGGAGCCGGGCCAGCGCCTCAAGTGGGATGAGGCGAACCTCTACCTGACGGAGCAGGAGCGCACGTCGACTATGAAAATCACCGAACCAAAGACTCCCTATGCGAAGCATTACGACCCGGCGGAAGACCCCTCCGACGACGAAGTCGACGGGGACGAAGGCGAGGGCGGCCTGGGCGGCTCTGCTTCTGCTCGCAAGGCTCACCGTCGTGGTGCTGAAGACGACATTCCGGGCCTATCGCTGGGCGAGCCGGAGGAAGAGATCCCGGAGAGGCCGCCGCCGGCGTCGCGCAGCTCCAGCGAGAAGACGGTCCATGTGGACAAGGGCAGCGTCACCCCCTCGGCGGAGGAGGAGATCGTCGGCCTCTCGGCGGAAGAAAGGGAGAAGCACCGCAAGTTCGAGGAGATGAGGAAGAAGCATTATGAGATGAAGAGCGTGGCGCACATTCTGGGACATCCCGAGGCGATACCGGATGACGAGGACGAGGACGAGGAGGATGAGGATGACGAAGGGAGTGGGGAGAATGGGGTTCCGCCTATGCCACCCTTGCCTGCGCATCTTGTCAATGGGTCAGCATAGCTGGAAGAGCGTTTGATATGCTATGCAGCCATTCGTTTCTACTCCTTTAATCCTTCTTTGCTCAGGAATGGAGGGGTTTGCATCGTTCTTTCTTGGAGTTGGGGTTATAACATGAGGCGTTGTTTGGCGCGGGAACTTACGGAATCGAGGAGCGGCATGCGCAAGTCGAGGATGGGAGTGAGGTGTGGAATGGACTTTGTGTCCGCTTAGGAGCAGGATTAGGAGAGAAGAAGGCGGTGACGGTGGTGGTTCTAGTAGGTATCCGGAACCTTGTGATTGGAACAGGCAGCATGTTTACCTTTTTTTCACTGTTATACAAAGTGAGCTTGGAGTTGGTGCCCTGAAAGGGACAGCTTTTCTCATTTTCCAGGCTCTTTTCCCAATCATCCTCTTGGAAGCCGTACATTCGGTGTAGATTGGATGTCCATATTCATGAGTCTATCGCTGCATTGTAATGTATCGTAACATATCACATTGGATCGCATCGCATCGCTCTCCTTGTTGTACACGTACACCCTCTTTCAAGGCAAAACCATATAAGCCTCCCCCTTCCTCGGTTTAAAGCAAACCCTTGCGCGCAAGCTCAATCTTCCGCGCCGTCTCGCCCGGCCTGAAGCCGCCCTTGGAGACGCACGTGCGCTTCCCCTCGGCGAGCTCGAACTTGTCGTCGTTGGCGTCCCACGGGCAGGGGCAGTGGTGCGGGAAGTGGACGCAGGCGAGGGTGTCGGGGCAGAGGTACCTGTCGCAGGCGGCTGTTTTCGTTTGGACCCATCGTCAGCTTTTTGAAGCCGTTCTCTATATCTTGAACTAACCAGTAATACAAAAATCTGTGGATGGCTTTCGAGGGAAGGGATGCAGTGTTTCGGGGACTTACAATGGGTGTATTGTTGCTGATAGTGGCGGGCGTCACTGGGATTGTTCTGCGCTTGCTGCTGTTGGTGATGCCCGCCGCCGCCGCCGCCGCCAAACATTTGGTCGAAGAAGCCGAATTGGGCGCTGGCGAGGGCAAAGAACGACAGGAAAGCTATCAAGAGGCGCATCTTGACGAACAATGTGGCTTGTGGTGTATATGGAGTCAGAGTTCGGAGTGAAAGAGAGAGCTGGTCGTTGTGATGACGCTCTTCTGGCTGGATGGGTTGAGCTGGCCACTACAAGCTGCGCAATGCCTTATCGATAAGGAATGTTACTGTAATGACTAAGCGGCAAGACCGCCCAGAAATCGGCGGTTCGATTTGGGCCAAGGATTGTTGCAAGCGTGTGGTGGTGGGATTGGAATTTTGAACGTCAAACCCCTCGCCGGCCGAAAAAAAAGCAGCACCCCCCCAACGTCAACCGAGGGGAGAAACGACCAGCAATGGCCATGCGGTTCCTCTCAATACAGCGGCCTTTGCTGGCTGCTGCTGCGGCCGCCGGCATTTCCAGGCCGAGCGTTGCGAGCAGTCTCGTTGCTCCGATTGGGGCGCAATTGGCCAATGCCCTGGTCGAGGGTCGAAGGAACGCCTCCGTGAAGGCGCAGGGAGCGTACAAGAAGAAGAGCAAGAGGGGAATCCCCAATAAGCTGGGAGCTAAGCGGACTGGAGGTGCGTTCTTTACGTGACAATTGGGAGGGGAGCAAATTGGGTTGGGGAAGCTTTGAGTTATGTTGCTGACTTTTTTGGCGGAAAATGAAAACAGACCAGTTCGTCATCCCGGGCAACATCCTCTACAAGCAGCGCGGAACGCACTGGTGGCCGGGCGAGAACTGCATCATGGGGCGCGACCACACGATCCACGCCATGGCGACGGGCTACGTCAAGTACTACCGCGACCCGGCGCGGCACCCGGACCGCAAGTACATTGGCGTCGTCTTCAACAAGGAGGACACGCTGCCGTACCCGCAGCACGCGGAGCGCAAGCGCAAGCTCAACAAGACGGTGCACGCGATGCGCGCGGAGGCGCAGCCGGAGGGAGTGTCGCCGTCGGGGATCCCGTTCGAGGTGACGCGCGTGGAGGCCGGCGAGCCGGATCGGCTGCTGAGGCTGCGGGCGGACTACAGCTACCGGGAGGACAACTGGCGGATCGGACGGCTGGTGAAGACGACGGGGCTCAAGACCAAGGCGTTCCGCACGCGCAAGCAGTGGTTCCGGCATAGGCGGTGGAGGAGGGAGAGGGAGATTGCCGGGCAGAAGGAGGCGGCGAGGAAGAGGGCGGAGAGCGGGGGCGGCGGCAAGGTTGTCAAGGCGATTAGCAAGAAGGCTGCGAAGAAGGCTGCGAAGAAGGCTGGCAAGAAGGCGAAATGAGGGAGGAGAGAGAGTTGGTGAGGTGACTGATGTTGGGATGCTGTCCCAGTGTATAGTACTTTGTTTACATGACGAATCGATTTGACAAGATCAGCCTTGGAGCGTGTGAACGAATGGATATGGGAAGAACCAGCATTGGAGGCGTGGGCTCGCCTTTTGAGGTCAAGAGGAGAATGGCTCTCGACATAGAAGACGGAGAAGCCTTCATGTGTTTTCTACACAGACTTCTCCGGCATCTGCTCAGATATTGATAGCTTCTATAAGCATCGAAAGGAAAATCTGAACAAGATAGGCAGAACGGGAAGCGGAATATGTGGTGACGCTTCTTACTCCCCTTGGGTGCCCTACATGTGGCTATCATTACCATCAGCACTGTCACAAAGCTCTCATAATAATTCACAGCAAATTGAGATAACATCAAACAAGCTATGCCGTGCTCTTCAGTTCCCTCCGTCTCTACGCGCCCGCGTGTCTCCGGGTTCTGTCCCGTTGATGGCACAGGGAAGCTGTTAGCCAGGACAGCCTTACGCTGTTGTGCCCCTCGCCCGGGCACCGTCACTGCGGAAGCTCCACTGTAGCCGTAGCCTTTCGCGGTGATAGCACGGCACTTCGTCCTAACATCTCGACTGTCAACATTCACCTCCACCCTCAACTCGCGGTCGGCCGGCGCGAAGCAGGGAAAAGAGAGCTGGAGTGCTTTATCTCTTGCTTCAATAATTTTGACTATTCTGACTGCTCTCTTACAACAAGAGTTTGCCTCTGCTTCAATCATCGGATTACCCTCTTTCATCAAGGCACAATAGACACGAACCTTGAAATTCGTACACCGGCGGGCATCGTGGCAGCGGCACCTCATTCTTCGCGTCATGCAACTCTCCCCCGACCATGGCTTCCACGGCAGATAGCGCCAAGTCGGCGCATAAGGTGAAACGGTCTGGCAAGTCTTTATACCAAAGGAACAGCCTCGGAGTGGCCGCGCAGCCGTCGACGGGAATCAGGCCGCCGGGCCAGACCGCAGCTCAGGGCCGCCCAGACGAGGCGCGGCCGCCTCTGGTCGTCAGCGACATTCTTCCGCCAGCTGCCCGCCATCCGCATGTGCCTGTCGAGACGCCTGTTCCTCTGCCCGCGACTCTGCCCATGTCCATGCGCAAGAGTGCCGCATTTCTCCCGCGCAACACGTCCCCTACGACTACCACGACCAAGTCGCCCGGGCTGGCGGTGCTGCGAGAAGCGCTGGCGGCCGACGAGCGCATTCTGAAGGCGCAGAAGGATTGGGAGAGACAGCAGCAGGCGTTTATGGAGACTCAAGGTGAGCAGTGCTGTTCGTTGCTCTGAAGCTGTTTGCGCGTGTTGGGCGCACAGGGCATGTAAACACAGAGCTGGGACGAAAGTGAACCAATGGTCAGCTGGCAGAGAATCCATATCTGCCAGAACAGCCGGCCACTCGCTTTTCAAGCGTCAATTGAGCACCGTCTTTGTTCGTCGGCCTGCGGCTAACCATTTCTGTCTCTGCAGTTCCCATACCTGAGCCGTCGAGAGGCACGCCCGAACCATTCAGACCTCTACCGCCATCGCCACCAGTTCGCGCGGGCCTGGCACATACTTCGGCACGAGCTGAGTCGCCAGAGACGTCTCCAGTTTCAGAGGAGCCATCGGCTGCAGCCACGGACGAAATGACCAGACCGAAGGGTCCACCAATGCTGAACAAGCCTGCAACTACCGACGCCAAAGTACAAGAGCAAGAGCAGAGAGCTCGGCCAGCTTCCAGTTCCACATCGGCATCATTCACAGCTGCGTCTGCCGCTTCATCTGCATCTCCGTCCGCATCTGCATCAATAGTCTCTGATCCTGGAAATGTCATTGAGACTGAAGATGGCGGAACCATCCTAGTCGGCCTCCAGACTAACGCGGAAGGTCGATCGTATTATACTTATATAGGTGAGTGGCGACCGAATCCTGTCTCACACGATGCTTGTGAGAGTGCCATGCCGAGCTGACGCGCTTGCTTTCTCTCCAGACGATGATGGAAACGAACAAAACACGCTCAACGCACCGTTCCCACCTGGCAAGGAACGGTATGAAGACGGCGAGAAGCGGCCGTTTATCTGCCCAGTTCGAGATTGCAGGGTCCTTTCTGAGGTTTTGTTGTCGAATCACTTCCATGGGAAACACAACCGCGGGTTGTTCAACGACAATGGTGATGGAACATTCTCCAAGATTGGCAGCTACGAAAATGAGGGGGTGAGCTCGCCTGGTATTATCGTGTCTCGCGAAGCTCTACCGCCCGGAGCGCCGCCGCCTGCAGAGCCCAATTGGAAATCCCGAGGGAAATCTTCCAGCAAGAAGAGTCCTCCTACGCCAAGGACAAGCGTACCATCAACCGAGTCTCCAGGCGTAACTGAAAGCGTTCCCATAAGTGCTTTCCAAAGCGCTCCCCAAAGCGCCCCGCCCCCGGAGACTTCTAAGCGATCTTTGCGCAGCGACACAAGCAATGGTGTCATTGACGATCGAGCAGCGAAGCGCCCCAAGACGGCGACACCCGTTCCGCTCCCTACACAGATCCCCCCCGTTCTGCCGTCAACGCGACAAGCGCCGCCACCAACGGCACCGCCTGCTCAGCTTCTGCGGCCACCGATAACGGACGTCCTTCGGTATTTGCACAGTCATCTCTCGCCCGCTCAGCAGGTGCCTTCCCGGCCAGACGTCTTAGCACTGTCAAAGTACAAACAGGCTCGTAACGTACCGGGCCTATGGTGGGAGCATCATCAAGGTAAGACGCTTGATCCTCTCAGCTACGCCTGTATCCTAGCATATCTCGTGGGCAGAGCGGAGGAGATCAACCCTTGCCGCCGATGGAAGGGCATATCGCGGCTGGCCGAGCCGTGTGTGGCTTTGCCTTCAGATTTACCAACCGAGGCCAAAGCTGCCTTTAGCAAAACGGAGACTTGCGTTGCATGCCAATACCAGCTCTCTTGTTATCGACTCAAGAACGAGTGCGAATGGGGCAACAGGGATGATGAGGGCCTTGATTCCACTACCGAAGGGGTAGAACCACAGCAAAACCACGAACCAGCCACTACAAACGGTTACAGCGACCAAATGGACTTGGATGATGGCAGCGCAGGCAACGGCATGGCTCCCAAGTTGGACGATTATGCGTCACAGACGACTGGGCAAACCAACGGTTTCCAGTCTTCGACAACGCAGCCTGAGCAGGACGCCGCTGAGAGTCATCACAAGCCGGATCCACAACTCGCAGCGACTGCTCCGAAAACATCCACATATTCTCGCAACCTCTCCTCGGCTGAGGTCGAAGATATAGAAAAGATGGAAAACTGGGAGATGGCACCGGGTACGACAAAGGATGAAGAGACAAACAGAAGTGAGTATTTTTTTGTCCTAACTGCGACTACCATACTGTGAAGGGAAATTGGACCTAACTGATTTATCCAGATACCATCTTTTCTAATGCCTACGTGGCCAGCCAAAGCCCCATTACGATATCACCGCGTTATGGCCTCAACGTACTCACGTTGAAGCCAGGGCACAGCCATCACTGGCCTGTAGAGGCGAGCAAAGCGCGCTCCTGCTTTGTCCATTCCGGGAAGATCAGCGTCAAGATTGGGGCGGGCGAGCCCGTCAAGCTGGGCCCTCTTGGCGCAATTCTCATCTGGCCAGGGCAGAGTTGCGTAATATCGAATCCCTTCTACTTGGACGCCATAATCTGTTGCACAACGATTGATGAGGACCTATAGGCGAAGCAAGGATTGCAGGTGGGAGAAAAGCACGGAAATTTTGAAGCGCTTTACCAAGACGTGTTGCTAGTTAGTTACCTGTCATGTCAAGCTGATACCCTTCAAGGTGGGCGTTTGGGATGCTGTTTCTGTTCTTTTACGTTTTGCGTATATTTTGACGACATACAAAGTACAGCTGCCACGTAAAAGGGCCGGTTTCTGGTCACCGTGGACCTGGAAGTCACGGAGCATATAGCATATCATCGGGTTATTTTCAGGAGCTTACAATGCTGGCTCCGGCCTTTCATCTGATCCCATCTCCATGCTGACAAGGTGAAGCCTGCGTCGGATATCTGCCGACATGGAACTAGATGACGAATGCCGAGCCTAGGGATGGCAGACGGAATCATGTGCAGCTCATCTATACGGGACGACGGGGAGCAGACCTTCTTAATGACGAGCGTTGTTACTTGATGAGATTTCGAATCTTGTGAATCTGGCTTTTTCCGAGTCGGATTCTCAGTCATGTCAACCTGATGGGCGCTGTGCTCTGCTTTTGAAGGCTCATGTGCCGCGGTCACGGTGGCGCAAGTCCCATGTGAGGGAAAGGGGGGGTCACCTGTTAAAGCCCCTTGTAAGCTCGCTGAGGGACGGGAGTGATGCCTCTTTTTCTGCGCTCATTCATTCCTGGGCTTGAGGAGGCTTTTGTCACGAGCAGAGGAAATGATTTCATGTACGAGGTGAAGGCAAGTCAGGAAACGGACAAGTGGAGATATGGCTTGGGGCATTTGATGTCGCTGTGTGAGAAAGCTGCGGGCGAAGGTCTCTGATTATTTTACTGCTTCCTTTGGTGTGAGTGAGTACATGTAAGTAAGGAGGGCGTGATTCTGGGGTTGCGATGCTAACGGCAGCCTTTGTCTTTGATTCTTTTGTTCTCGGGGTCTCGGATCTTATGCTGGCAGATGGGGGCAGGGCGTTCCGTTTCGTATCGATCGGGTGTCTGTAATGCATCTGCCTTGGAGGCCTATTTTTTCTCGTCTTTTTTTGCCTTCTTTCTTGCGTGTGGCTGCGGAGGTATTCTTTTCTTTGGGGAGCAGGTGATTTCTTTCCGAGCTTGGGAGGTTTCGATCTTTGTTGCATCTTTCACGTCAAGTGTAAGTCGGGAGTGCCCATGATTCGGGCCTGTGGAGACGCAGAGAAATGCGGCGTGTTCTTTCTTTGTGATGTGATGGAATTTGACTTTTCTTTCTGTTTCCAGGTCGTTTGTTCTATTTCATCATCTATTTTTATGCGCGGATATTCTGGCTTTTGCGTGCTATATATACGACGTCTTGCGGGAGAAATCCGCGGTGTTGAATGTTCATGTTGGCTCTTGTACCTGAACTAAGTTGTACTGGTTCGCTCGCTGTGGAACTTCAGTTGACCAACACAGCACCGGAGAGCGCTGTAACTACAGCGAGGCACCGCTATGGCTCCAGGCGGCAGAGCCCCGTTACGGAGACCTCGACTTGGAGGACATGGAGCCTCGCCCAACCGCACCCAGAGCCTGACCGTCCCCCGTCCGACCACGCCCTATCGCAGCAAGTCCGCGAGGACGTTTCCGCCCGGTACCTTGTCCGACACCGACGAGACGGAGCTGAAGCCCGAGGATGGCAGCGAAGAGCGCGAGAAGCCGCAGGACGGCGCCGTGGAGCACCTGCGCTTCACGCTGGATCCCGCCGGCCGGCGGACGCACGACCAGACGGGCGTCGACATCGTCACCGTGCCGTGCCCCGGCGCGGACGCGCTGCGCAGCTGGAACCGCGACGGCCTCATGGGGCGCTACTTTGGCAACCTGTCGATGAGGGACGTCGAGGTGCGCAACGAGGCGGACCGGCGCAGCCCGTCGTGGGTGCGCGAGGGCATCCGCCGGGAGGCGAGCAGGGCGCGGATCCTGCTGTACGAGCACCCGGGCGTGCGGGAGGGCACGACGCTCAACTCGCTGGCGATGGCGCTGCTCGAGGAGCTGCGCGCGCTGCGGACGGCGGAGAAGAGGGGGGACAGGCCGCTGCTGTTCATCGCGCATAGCATTGGCGGGCTGGTGGTGAAGATGGCGCTGGTCAAGGCGCATACGGATGCGCGGTACAGCGACATCTTACACGAGTGCTACGGAGTGGCCTTTTTCGGTGAGTTTTGGACTGTCGATTCAAAAGGATGGATTCAGCATTTGCTAACCGCATCTCTGGCTTCCAGGAACTCCGCATCAGGGGTCGAGCTACTTTGCCATGCAGGCCCTGGCGGGGAGCATCCAGCACTTGCTTCAGCTGTCGGCCCCCTTGCCTGCTTCTCTGACGGACCAGCTGCGTATGGGAAACCCTCTCCTCCTCCATGTCGATGAGGACTTTAAGCTTGTGTCCGACGACCTTCGCGTGTGGACGCTGTTCGAAACCATCGACTCTCGCCTGTCTGCCAACTCAGGGGACCTTTACTACACTGCGCCCCTCACGTCCCCAAAGTCAGCCATCCTCGGAATGCGCCAGGAGCGCATCTTCCCCCTGCAGAGCGACCATGCCAACGTCGCCTCGTTTGGGAGGCACAACGCGCGCAGCCTGAACGACTTTCTGAAGCAACTGGTCAAGATCATCGACAAGGCGGATTCCAGCGCCAAGGACGATTCCAACGGATGCAAATGGACGCTTCACTTGGACCAGAAGGTGGCGGTCGAGGTCCATGGCTTTTTCGACGAAGCTGGGACGCTGGACGGAGCCGTGAGGGCGTGGTCGACGCGGTTGCCGCTCAAGGACTTTCTGGACAAAGGGCCGGAAGCTTGTCTGAGTGAGCGGCTGAACGAGGCGGAGATCCCGCCAGAGGAGGGCAGGTTCCTGGCCGTGAGGGGGAGGACGGGCCTGGTCGACATGGAGGGACCTCCGACTGACGTTTCGTTTCCCCCCGACCCCATGACGGTCAAGAACGCCTTGGGGATCAACCAAGGTGAGCAGGTACCTCACCAACAGCCTGCTCTGCCTCGCAACCCGTTTGACGAGCCGCCGTCTTCAATGACGCCAGTGCCTCCGTCGCCACTCATCCTCCCCGTCGACTCTCCTCGAGCCAGACCGAGGAGGAGCACGGAGTCCGCACCTATGTCATTGGTCTTACAGCGTGATGCTGTGCCCTTGGCATCTTCGCCTCCTTCCCGACCCATCTCGCTTCCCCCTAGACAGTCGACGCCTTTCAGCAAGCCATCTCCTCTCTTGCGTGCAAGCCTAGAACAGGAACTCGCCATAGACCGCCTGTCGCCTCCCGTGAGGGTACGGCTGAGGCCAAACTCCTTCAGCCGCAACTCCTTCACTCGGTCAATGAGTCTCGACAGCCAGGCGGGTGGTGCAACGCCTCCTCGTCCTCGCGAATACCCGCCCATCTCACAGCGGAGCCGCAGCACATTTCACAAAGCGTCTCATGATGAAGATGGGGATGAGAGTGATGACGACGAGGGGCTTGATACGACTCCTAAGCTGCCCGAAAGCATTGTCGAAGTCCGAAAATTGGCAAAGGAAAGGAAGCACAGAGGCAGCGGGAGCGCCACTGTGGACGAGAGTGCTGTTGTGGACGAGAGCGACGCTGCGGACGAAGTGGTTCATGGCGCCTTGACGAGGCCACAGGCCAAGGCGCGCAAGTTTGTTTGGATTCATCTGCCGTACAACAATCCCACCTGGGTGACTGTAAGTGGCTCCCTTGTCGACTGTCAAAGAGGTCGTTGTAGCTAACAGAGCATCAACTATCTAGGACATTCTCAAAGCGTTGCAAGTCTCCTACAAGGCAGACTTTTCCGATCTGTCGAATCACGACTTTTGGGTCAGGAGTCATACGCGGGGCCGACACTCGCAGCATTATGCGCATTACGCAAAGCCGGGGTGCTACTTTACGCCTCCAAGAACTAGTAAGTGCTTCTTGATTTCATTGATTGGTACAAATCGTCTCTGACATCGATTAGCTTCTCCGCGAGCCCATTCCTTGGCGAGCAGCCCTATTCCCTTGCTTGGCGAAGACGACCAGATGGCCATATGCCTCTTTCTTCCGTACCTGCACTTTGACTCGTACAAGAGGCTCATTCGCCGACGCGAACTGATTTCAAAGCGCCTGGCTCATGGAAGGGCCAGGCCTATTCCTGAATCCGTGGCCAAGTCGGACTCCCTGGAGTTGCAAGTCATTTGGGAGTTTCTAGGACATGACCCGCCCATTAACTGCCGGCGCACGCTGGACCAGTTTGGGTACCCGTCACTGAGGGATACACGCTCACGAGATGATGACCAGATGCTGTACAAGCTGACAAAGGAGCGGTATCGCGACCCGTCAGAGTATCAGGGGCTATTCAACCAGTCTACTAGCGACGTCGGATCCGGGGGGAGCAGCAATAAGAGCGGCAGTGGAAGCGGAAGTGGCAGCGGAGGCAGGAGTGGTGCCAGTCACGCAAGCTGGCGGGACAAGCTGACCAAGGAAGCCGAGGAGAATGGCGAGGAGGAGACGGAGAAGGATGTGCTGAATGGAAACGTGCTGATGGTGGACCAGCTATGGCTCTGGACGATTTCCACCCGTGAGTTGAAGCCTGTTCTCGTGGATATGGTTGGCTCATGCTAATGTCTGGCAGATACGCTGCTCTCCTTCTTCCCCAAGCGAGAGAGCGATCCCCTCGAGGGGCCGCTGTATCAACAAGCAGATCTCCGTGACAGCATCTTCAACGACGTCAATGTGGATCTAACTCGGATTTGCGATAACGCTCTGGACCTTGCGGCATTGGCGGCCTTCCATGCGGTGAGCGTGCTTCTTGACCGGTCGTCTCATCCCGATTTGGAGGTTTTCCGCATCTTCGAAGAAGCCATAAGCGTCTTGGTGAGTCAAGTCGTGCCCTTGCGCGCACCTGTCGAACATGTTACTGACATGGTTACTACCTAGACTGAAAAACTCACGACATCGCTGAAGGAGTTCCGCTCAGAGGGGTTCCGCGACAAGGCTTTTGACTACGAGCCAGTGGAGAACAAGGCTCGCTCGATCCGACAACGGCATCAAGAGGAAGGACGACGGGCCGAGCGGGAGAACAGAGACAATACGTCGGCACTACTGGAACTTCGGGACATTGAAGATGAGCTGGCAACGCTGCTGAGTCTTTTCGAGAGACAGACCAGAGTCATCTCGTCGATGCACGGCATCTACAACCGTCCAGAGATGCAAGCGCACACGGTCCATGGGAGGAAGTTCCTCCACGAGGCGCTGAAGCGGCTGGCCGAGTATAGCCATACGACGGAGGAAATGGTGAAGAGAGTGCGGAACACGCGGGACGAGTACGACAAGCTGCTGCAGATGATGCAGCGCCAGGCGCAGGTCGACGAGGTGCGGCTGAGCAGGCTGCATGCGGATCTCGCCAGCGCGCAGAGCCGAAGCGTGCTCATCTTCACCACGTTTACCGTCATCTTCCTGCCGCTGCAGTTCTTCACGGGCATCTTTGGCATGAACACGCGCGAGTGGGGAGGGGGCGACAACCTGCCACTGCGGACGATTGGCGTAATTGGCATCCCGGCGAGCGTGGTCCTGATCATCGTAACGCTCGTAATCGCTTGGAGCACGACTGCGCGACGTTTCTTCAAGTGGATCGGCAGGAACTACAGCTACGCAATGTTCTGGCTGTACCAGACGCTGGGAAAGCCCGTGGCGAAGAAGGCGATGAAGCTGGCGGCGAAGATTGCACCGGTGAGAAGGCAGGGGACCGCGAGGAGCGAGGAGCGAGACGCGAGGCGCCGGCTGAGCACGGAGATGAGCGACTTCTGGGAGAGGCATAGGCTTGAGAGGGAGAGGGGGTATCGGATTCCCGAGGTGAATCGGGTGCCTGGGCAGAGCGCCAGAGCAGGAGAGAGGGCGAGGTTGAGGAAGACTCTGGGGAGGTGATTGATTGTGTTGTGGTGAATGTTTGGTGGGATGGTTTGCTGTGTGTGTGTGTGTGTTTGAGGATGGGGTTTATCATATGGACGCGAAGGCGTCGGTATAAGAAGGATTAATGGGTTTGGTTTATACCGCTTGCCGTTTCGTTTCTTTTTCATTCTAGCATTTCTTTACTTGTCACGTTTGAAGATGCTGTCCGGGCCACGGCGCCAGAGGTATGGGGGAGTTTCTGTGTGTGAAAGGCGTTTGAACAGGGTTTGGTAACTGCCAGATGGTTGATGGATATACCCATATTAACTAGGAACCGAGGTCTATAGTTCATATACGTGAAACGACTTGAATACCTCCTGTTAACGATGAGATGATCATGTTGCTTGTTCTCTTATACCTTCCTTGTATGTGGGTGTAATCGGGGCAAGGGGGGACGTGGTGTAAGTGGAATGAAGGGGCTTGTCCTGACTGCGGCGAAGCCAGATGGAATGGACAGCCAGGACTCAGGCTCAAACTTGTAGCTGTGAGAATGATGGCTGCAATGTTCCGTAAACTCGATAACCTTGAATTTCCTTTCCTCTTGCAACTACTCGTGGTATGACAGTACCTGTATCACCACCTTCGACCAGCCTCAGCTCCATAAGGTACCCTAGAATAAGACTGAACAACCCCCATGCTCCAGCATTTTCCCCATGGAAACACAAGACGCCTCCACGTCAACAGCTTACAAATCCCACTCTCATTCCCGTTTCCTACCTATGCTACGAGGTCCCAATCTGTAGTCATGAGACGTTTCTCCCCACGTGCCCCGGCCCGTACACCACAATCAATGGGTGTGCCGCCCACCACCACGATTCGCTGCGCCACGAGCACACTGAAAGGCTGCAGATGGCCCTGAAATGCGACGCTGAGTGAGTGCTTCTTTGGGTTCAGCTGCTGCAGCTAATAAGGGTGAGAAGTGGCCGTGTTCGAGCTTGAATGATTACTATAGGCACATAAGGTAGGTAGCTTTCCTGTTGCTGCTGTTAGTGGGAGCGTTAGTGCGGTGGTGTTTGGTGTCTCACTTTGAGCTCGGCTCACTCTCATGATGTTTTCATCAACCTCGTCTTCTTCACCCCATTCTTCTTATACCAAACACCACAGCGAGCCATGCCGGCTCTTATTTCTCTCATACAATATAATATTGCATCCTACTAGAACCAGACACAACAGCCACAATTCCAACAAACCCCCTCCCAAAATGCCATCCCTCCAACCCCCCAAATGGCTCACCTCCCCCCCCATCCGCACCGCTCCCCTCAACATCCTCCTCCTCCCGCCGCTGCTCCTCGCCATGGCCACCGTCGCCGCGCTCTTCGTCCACTCCGACGTCGACATCGCCCTCCTCTGGTCGCAGTGCCACGCGCGCTCCCAGATGCCCGTCCTCAGCCGCGTGCCCCTGCTCGGCACCCCCAGCTGCTTCCTCGTCAGCTTCTTCCGCGCCGCGCTCGACTCGCTGCGCTCGCGCGCCGTCATGGGCGTCGTCCTGGCGTACGTCGGCGCGCTGGCCACGGTGTGCACCGTGGAGGCGGCGCGGCGGTGCAACCAGCCCAGCGGCTTCATCGCCAGGCCGACCGTCTGGTGGCTGCTGTTCAACTTGCTCGGGGGAGCGGTGGTGTGGCAGCTGGTGATTGTGCCGGCGTTCCTGCACCGGGCCAAGGCGCTGGTAGCGGCGGAGGGGGAACAGCAGGGAAACGACGACGGCGATGGCTGTTGGACGGCGGAGGAGAAGCTTGAGGAGCGGACGCTGTCGGATTCCGAGGCCGTGGCCATCCCCATCGCCGTCGCGGTTGGCTATTTCCTGCCGTCGGCGCTCATGCTGGCGTTCCACTCGCCGGCCACCATCGGCGTCTGGCTGTTCTTCCCCGTCTACATCTCCGTCGTGCGCCAGGCCGTGCGCCATCTGATCGAGAGGATCCGAAGCGTCAGCCCCGCGAGCATCCACCACGAGTCGCACTGGCAGTGCGTCGTCCTCGTCCACGCCCTGCCCGTCGCGCTGTCCGTCGCGGCGCACGTCTTTGTGCTGTGGAACCTGGCCCGGCGCGACGACGACCGCAAGGAGATGACGAGGCTGACGGTGAGCTTCATCGAGATCGACTTTCAGTTCATCGTCTGGACGGTCCTGTACTGGGTGTTTGTGGAGGCCGGGTGGAGGGTGCCGCTGGGCATGGTTGCGGTCTCGGTGGTTGCTGGGCCCGGGGCCGGCGTCTGTCTGGGGTGGTTGCTGAGGGAGAGGTTGCTGGTGAAGCATGGGTTTGCGGGATGGAGGGCTCGTGGTGATGATGAGGAGGAGGAGGATGGGCGTGTGGGTGAGGAGAGGCCGTTGTTGGGGTGAGAGTGTGAGAGAGGGTAGCGGAGATGTGAAGTTGGATATGGAGATGGAGCTGCGCAGCGTTTAAGCGATGCTCTTGATGAGATACCCCCTAATAATGTTCACAGCGATGCCCGCATCTAGCCGCCATGAGTTTGCAATGATTAAGCGGCTTTATACACCATGCCTCATCCAAAGCAAAAGATGGCAAACTCTCATGTGTATGGTACAATGAACCAAGAGCCGAGCCAGGTCCATTTCATATTTCATGCCCTCTAGATTTCAAAACACGTTTAGCTTCGTCTCCTCATAAATAGTACAAGGTATGATTACACAACGCCGCTGCCGCCGCCGCCGCCGCCGTCCATTTCTGTTTTCGTCGTATGTCTTCCCTCTTCTTACAACCTCAGACGTCCCTTTTCCTCCCCTCTCTTCCTGGTGTATGTCTATCCTCAGTTGTCCCTGGGGACCTGCGCCAATATCCTCTCCCTCACCACCTGCGCCGCCACGGCAGCTCCGTGCTGCAGCGTGATGGCGCCGACAATGGCCATCAGGGCCGAGCTGAGGACGACTTCCACGCCAGAGGACTCGAGCCGTTGGGGCTGTAACAATCAGTCATATTAGCCGCCCCCCCCTCACATCAACCATCCGGAGCAAGGGAACGAAGGTGAAAAACATACCAATCGAGGCTTCCACCGCACCACTTCCAGCAATCCCACCTTGTTGGCCAGCTGGTAGAGCTTGTCCTTGCCAATGACGTCGCGCGGCCCCATGACGTTGAGGTTGTCCACGGCCAGCAGCTGCGCGTCGGCGAGCGGCTGTCTGTCGAACTGGTCGGACACTATTGATCCCGCGAGCGGCTCCTTGCTGACGATTTCCTTTGTCGCTTCCATCACCATGGTCAACCGGCCTACAACCAAAGCAAAGTAAAAACAAGAAGTCAGCTTTTTCGCAAACCCCCCAAAAGCCAATACGAAAAGGGCAATCATGAATATCAGCTGTGCGAGACAAAATCGTAACGTACCCAGCAGCGCCAACCTGTCATTGAACCCTCTCCGCCCCTGATCGAAGCTCTTGTGCGTCACGGCCAGCCACTTGAGCTCCTCCGGCAGCATCTTGCTCCCTCCCGGCCCCAGCAGGCGGTTATACACGTCGTCCAGCCGCGTGGGGTCGTTGTTGACGGCCCAGACCTTGTTGCGCGGGCTCTTTGCAAAGTCCAGCTGCAGCGGCGCCTTCATGCCCTCGGGCGTCTGGGCCCATCGCGGCTTCGGCTTCGTCGTCGTCGTCGTCGTCGTGCTGCTGCGCGAGGCTGTGGTCGTCGTCGGTTCGGAGGCTACAGTCCCCGCGGGGACCTTGAAGGACTCTGGTGTGGAGGGCGGCGAGGAAGACTCGGTGGCGAAGGCGCGCGCGCAGGAGCTGAGGATGCGGGAGGCGTGGCGGCAGCGGGTTAGGCTGGGGCGACAGGGTTGGAGAGACATGGCTGAGGGGGAAGGAAGGTCAATTGCGTCCCGCGGAGGGGAGAACGAATGGGGGGATCTGGTGATGTCGTTTTGATGGTGTTGAAGGGCCTTGTATCGATGGGCTTGGGAGCATTTTTGGACGTCACGTGTTTGGTGGCATTGGTTTTCTTATCTTATCGCTTATCGATTGCGGGATGGTTGAGGGTGTGCTCGTCCCTGAGACTGCTGCGCCAGTGGACTGGGTTCATCACTTAAAACTATCAATTGTGGTGAAAAAGCAGCTCATTCTTGTCTTGTTTATTCGTTGGGTATAACTACAGACCTTTCAATCAAAAGGAGGCAGATGCAGAAAAGTGCGAGGGTGTGCCATAGCATTCACATTGAGATGTAAGAGGGCGGGCGGTACTTGATTCATCGCCTGCCACCATGAATCGTCACGCATTCAGTCCTCTCGCGGGTGTTTATTTCGTGAAGTAAATGGGTCAAAGAGCTCGGAATAAACCAAAGGAAGGCTTAAGTACTTATCTGCACAACATGCCATAATCATGTACATACCTTACCTTGGTCACGATTGAAGTTGCGGCGGTCCATCGCCGTCTGTTCGGCCAAGGTACATACATGTATTGGATCAGCGCGGCCGGTACCTGATCGGTTCACCCTAGCCTCAGATTCCATGTACGAAATCAGCCCTGTCTCGCCTGTGCTGCTCGCTATTGGCGCTCGCTAGAAACCCCCGGGCTTCAGTGGATCTCCTGCGCTAACGCAGCTGTAGCTACAGCGGAGCTACTGCTGCATTCAATCTGCGCGCCTGAGCCTCGTCGCGACTTGGTTCTCGATTCAAGGGAGGTGCCAAACCTTGGTTCACGTCTGCCCGTCACCTTTCGCTTTTCGCCTTTTCCCTTTTTTCTTACGGGAATTTGGCAGTATCTTGAGCTCCGAATCTTGCTTTCAACGACTAGATGGCTTCTGCAGACCCCTCCGACGGTCTGCGCGGCCGCCTGGCTGCTGTGCTTCCCAAGGACTATAAATTCGGCATCCACCACGTCTCGACGCCTCCCACCAAGGTCGACGCGCTCTACTCTGCGCCTCCTGGCGAACGGCCCGAACGAACCTACTGCGAGAAGCACTTCCTCAGCGTCTCTATTGACGTGGCAGACACAGTAGATACTGCTTCACCGAGTGAGAACACGACGGACCAGGCGCAGCGCAAGCGAGTCCTCGTTCTCGGCATCGAAATCTTCGTCTACACCACCGCCCGGTCCACCACCTTGTTCGTATCCAAGGCGGATTCGACGGGATTTCTAGACAAGCTACGGCTGCCAAAGGGCGCCCCCAGTCCGATTCGGCAGATCTCCGCGACCTTCATTCGATACTTGGTGGATAAGCGACGGCGCAAGGACGTGCAGTTCGTAGTGAGCCTGTTTGCGCGCGCGCAAGACCAGTATCTGTTCCCCGGCAGCATCGAATACCCGGGGAAGCATGTCCTGGACGATCGCGGCCTCGTCAAGTGGTGGTGCCGAGTGCTGGATCCGATTGTCGAGTCACCACCGAGCGGCAACCTCTCGCCATGGCGCAACACGAAGGGCTATCTGCTCGTTCCCGGCCTCGACACCTACGAGACCCGCGCGTTCATCCCGCGCCGCGCCGGTGCTGCGTCGTGCTGGTCCTTGAGCCACCCGCTGGAGCGCATCTCGCACTACTGCCGAGAGTTTGACTGGGTGCCGCCGCGGTGCCTCATCCCCCGGTTCCCAGACGACCCGAAGTCCCGGTTCCGCGACGAGCTGGATGAGGAGATTGCAAAGACCAAGGCGATGAAGACTACGGGGAGCTGGAAAACTGTCAAGACGCTAGATATGTTCTGGGAGATGATGGCCTTTCGACAGGAGTGCTCGAGCGGGAGGATGACGGGCTTCATATGGGTGGTGTTTGATGACTTGGAGGACGAGCCAAAGCAAAGCGGTAGTGACTCTGTATCGGTATCTAGTGCCTCAGTCGTGACCACCAGTGCAGCGGGCGCCCCGCCAGAGACGCCCAGGAAGCAGAGAGCCGTGCCCAACGTGACGCCGACCACCACGCCCAGGAGACTCTTCCCGCTCAAGACGGACCGGAGCGAGGGCGCGTCCACTCAGTCAAAACGTGACCCCGAGCATGAGGACCGGAAGACCAAGAAGAAGAAGAAGAAATCGGCAAAGGTCAAGAGCAAGCTCAGAGGCCCCATTAAGCCCCGCCAACCGCGCATCAAGACCAAGCAGCGCAACTACCTCCTCGACCGGCCGGTCTCGACGGCGTACTACTACTGGCCGCCGCAGGGCCGGGGCGAGAGGATCATGGACGAGGCCGACTACAAGCGCATGCACGAGCTCCTCCTGCGCTTGGACTTTGCCACGCTGGAAAAGGCCACGGGGAGCACGCGTCGCTGGCTGAGCGAAGTCGGCCTCGGGAGCCGGTGGGGGTTCGACGTTACGGGGACGCGGGAGATGGCTGCAGCTGCAGACGAACCGGGCCAGGGAGCTGCGCCGGTCAATAATCTATCCGGATTCGTCAAGCGGAAGAGGGCCGATACGACGGGAGAGGAGGCAGCATCGCCTGGGGAGACGGCGGGCGCCGGTGGAGTTGTCAATGTGCTGGGCGATGGGCTGGTTAGGAAACGGCCCAAGCAAGAAGAGCAGGAGAAGAAGGACGATGCTGAGGGCGACAAGGGGAGTGGTGGTGCTCCTCCGGTCAACGTGCTGGGCGCGGGTCTTGTGAGGAAGAAGCAGAAGGCTTGAGTGACCCCTTTGCATGGCAGTTGGCTCGGACTGGATGTCGTCCTTTGAAATTGGTGACGAAGAGACGAGCTTTTAATGTTAATGTTTATGATACCGAAGTTGTGCAGTAGTAATGACTATATGTCCTCACTCAATACGTCTTTTCCGTATCGTCAAACGGACAAACACCTGAGCGAAAGCTACGTACGCAAGAACCAAGATCTTCTACATGGGATGATGCTTGACCACTGAGGCTGCAGAGCATTCATGCGGCAGGTTGCACTGCAGCCTTTTTGCAACTGATTCGCATGGCAAGAGTTGCATCGGAGTCAAGACGGAGGGGGATGACGGGATAAGGGCAAAACCTTTTGGGATGTGTGGCACCTTGCTGGTTTATTTGCGGTTGTCTCTCTCTGTTAGGCCGAGGGAGTGATGGGGATCATGTCCGTGGAGAGGAAGAAGGATTCGAGAAGAAGAGGAAGTAAAAGAACATATGGGCTGAAGTGGAGGCTGAGATGTGATCGCAAGCACGAACCCTTTTCGAACATGTGACTGCGATGGCATCAAAGGGGACGTGATTTCGCCGTGATATCGGGTTTGAAGCTCTTCTTTCAGGCTTGAGCGTTTTCTTTAGTGAAAGGAAAGGCTATAGATGCGCTGGTGTGGTTACATGGAGGGTCTGTCCTTTTGGATTCGTGCGTCTTCTTTCTGGGAGCCTGATGGAGTCGAGCGCAAGCCTGGTACGGGGACGGAAGATATTTCTAGAGCGATGAGCATGTATACTCATACCACGTGGTGGCGAGGTGGGAGGGCTGGTAATGATGCTCATGCTTGTAGGTGTAAGCAGGGGGGGCGGAGGATGGGATGCTGTGGATTACATGTGTGTTTGAAGCCTCGCTGTAACCATGGACCTACGACCAACAGTTTGGAGAGAAGTACTTGGGCTAACCGGAACGACATGCCTCTCAAGGCAACAGATCAGCTTCCCATTTTCACAACAACCTCCCAGCATTCACCGGTGCTATTTCTGATGCATATACGGACACCAACAGCAGTCCTAGTAGGCCGACACGGCATACAGGAGGAAGCCCGCGATAAAAGCAGAACAAAGACTTTGACTACATGTACATGTCAAAGGTAGGTATGTATACACACACACTCGGAGTACACGGTCGCAAAGTTGCAGTTTGCTTGGGATTTGCGTTTTAAAGACGGCCCTTTTTGTCTGATGTCGACCTTGTGTTTTTGGCAGCTGGTCCTTAAGGTGAAGCACTAAAAGGGGCCGTGTGTTCTGTGTGGTTTGTTAATGGTTCATACGGGGTTGGCGGGGGTTCTCTTTTTCTTTTTCTTTTTTCTTTTTCTTTTTCGGGCGAAGTGTATTTGTCTGTGCGTAAAAATTGTGCTGAGATGGGAATCAGATTGTCTCTGCGGATTGTTATAAGGCTGTAGGGGGAAAAGAGGGTTGATGACTGAGTGGACGGATGTTGGATTTACATGTACGAAGACTTGTCGAATAATGATTTGGAGAGTCGGAGGTAGCAGACATATACTACCTAAGGTACCTAAGGCAAGGGTAGGTACGCTGATACAGGCACCGAATTGGTAAATCATCATCACCGCATCAGAAAAATAAAAAAAGGTCCATGGCTTCATAGGGACACTGGATGGGGGCAGAAGCAGAGCGTTACATCGCCCACCGACCTATTCTGGTAGCAGCGAGTGCTTATTTTGTCCTGAGAAACAGAAATGCTTGGTGTCAGGCAAGACAAAGAAGAGACGAAAGAGAAGTAGAAGCAAAGAGGGCAAAATTGACGAGCCCCAAATCGGAAACCAGGAGCCAAACCATAAGCATGGCTCGAGATATACACAAAGAGCAAGACTGATGACGGAACCACACGAAACCCTTGACAGCGAATGCCGACTGCCGAGCTTTCCACATGGCTTCTGAGCACTGGAACACATTTTGTCCACCAGTCTGAGCTTCATCCGGTCCCCTCCCATCTCCATCTTCCATGTTACTACTATCGCCACCAGGCGATCCTCCTGGCTATATGCAGTCTGTGTGCCAACCCTTGCCAGCTCCCGTCTATGCCCCCAGGCAAAAACCCCCCACAAGGGAGCCACACAATGACAGACAGGCAAACAGAGCGAACGAACAAAACGTGCCAAGGTGGAACTTGTCTCCAGAAGCTTGCCCAGAACAGAAGATGCAAGGCCCATGATGTGCCTCCAGCAGCCATATCAGTTGTCCCTTGCTGCCACAAAGCCCCGAGTCCATGTGCCATCAGAAAGAAGTAGGTTGGAACTCGTCAAGGCATAGCCCGGCTGGTCTTGTCATGTCTTACATGCAAACCCAGGCGCACGGGCATGTTTGATGTCTGGTCTTCAGGGGAGGATGGGCCTTTTACAAGGGCCCCGGCCGGATTCAACGGCGTGGGCGGGCGTGTGGCATCTTCTGTCTCTCTTCGTCCTTTGTGTGACCACGGAGCATGACACGAGGGGATCTACTGAAATGTATGTGCTTTTTCTGTTTCGCCCAACCTTGGCCGCAGACTCAAACTGGAGTGTGAGAAGGGAAGTTTTGCACATGTATATACCTGGCCGTTTCTTGTGCATCAACACAGGTTACATTTCGATGCTTGGTTGCTTCTGCCGAGGGACCTTGTTCGGAAGCGGACATCAACTCTTTTACTCTCTCTCGCTTTGAGCTCCTTTTCTTTTTATTTCATAACTGCCTACTCCCTAGTGCTAATTCCTTTCTTGCCACTCGTTGCTATTATTTCTTTCTGTTCTTTTATGACGAAATAAAGAACCAGACAACAAGGTGATGAGAACAACATGTGCACTCAGTGTCCGCCGTGAGAACTCAGGAGTCCTCGTCAGCACCGCAACAGCACCATTGCCACTCACCCAAAGGGAAGCGAAGAAAACAAAGAACGAATAAGAAAAAAAACTCAAATCAGACAATTGCAGAATTATGAGGATATCGCACTGGGCTGGGCTACTGCTCGCCGCACCGCCGGCTTACGGCTGGGCATTCGACATGGAATCGACATCTCTCTCCCCTCGATCCACCAACATCACATCCATAGCTCCCAGGGACGACGTCAACCCTGTAGATCACCAAGGGTTCCTGAAGATTATGGCCATGATCCCGACATGTGCGGTATGTTACTCGGGAAGACGACAGGGATACTCGATAAACTGACGACTGGGCTTCAATGCTCTCTTCATCTAGGTCGAGTGTCTGATAACGTCGGTCCAAGGGACAGTATGCAAGTTTGGGGATCTGAGTTGCATGTGCCGAGACGAGCAGTATCAAGACGCGGCCACGACATGTGTGAAAGCAGCCTGCAAAATGTCGGATGCCTTAGGTATTTGTTCTCTCTCTCTCTCCTGAAGAACTGCAGGCTGCTACCGACGAAAGTGGCTGACATGTTGGACCCGCGGGTTATAAAGCGACCAAGAACCTGACGCAAGTATCCTGCGGCCTGCCCATGAGAGACATTTCCGCGCAGTACACGTCCATGAACATCGCCTCGGGCGTCTTCGCCGTCCTCATCGTCATCGCCCGCCTGGTGTTCCGACGCTTCTTCAGCGGCAGCGGCCGGCTGGGCGTCGACGACTGGATCATCCTCGCCGCCATCCTCATCGCCGTTCCCGCCACCGTGCTCAACCAGATCGGACTCGTCGACCACGGCATCGGAATGGACATCTGGACGCTGCACCCGAGCGAGCTGCCCACCTTTGCAAAGTTCTTCTTCCTCATGGAGCTCATCTACATCGTACAGATGTCGCTGGTGAAGCTGAGCCTGTCCGTCTTTTATCTCTACGTGTTCCCCGGACAGAAGATTCGGCGGCTGTTGATTGGGACGGCCGTCTTTAACGTCATCTTTGGTGTTGTCTTCGTGGTGGCTGCCTTGACGCAGTGTATACCGCTGCACTACTACTGGGCCCAGTACTTCGATGACCCTCCGCAGGGAAGATGCTTCGACTTGAACAAGTTTGCTTGGGCCAACGCAGGGCTGGGTCTCGCGGTGGACGTCTGGATGATTATCCTGCCCATGTCGCAGGTCAGGAAGCTGAAGCTGCACTGGAAGAAGAAGATTGGCGTCGTCATCATGTTTACGCTCGGTGCCTTGTGAGTATCCCTCCATCTAAAGGTCGCCAACAAGTTTGCCTTTTGGAACTGCCCTCGACTGACTCTGACCCAGCGTATCCCTGATCTCTCTCATCCGCCTCAAGTCGGTCACCTTCTTTGCCAACCTCATCAACCCGACCTGGGACCAGTGGAACGTCGCCTGGTGGTCGACCATGGAGGTCAACATTGGCATCATCTGCACGTGCCTCCCGACCATGCGCCTCATCCTCAAGCGCATCTTCCCCAAGCTCCTCGCCACCGACGAGCGCACCACTCTCACGTCCCGGACGGCGGTTGCCTCCTCCTCCTCCGTCTCCAGGAAGGACTCCAAGGGGCCGGGCGGCTTTGCGATGGAAATGTCGACGACGACGCTCGTGGCCGAGGCGCCGAGTGCGTATAAGCGTCTGGACGACCGCGGGGGCTTGGTGGAGGAGCCGACGACGCTGACGAAGATTGAGGGGGGCGTGCATGCGAAGGAGGTGCCGTCTGCTTTTAAGCGATCTGTATCACTCAAGCGATCTGTGTCACTCAAGAAATCCTCTCCAAAAGGCGGGCCGACGCCTCCTTTCAAGGCGTTTGACGGGAGCACACTTGTGAAGGAGACGCTGCCGGCTTATAGGCGGGTTGGAGACAGAGGCGCCCGTTCAGTCGACGCGCCGATGTCTCCTTTTGCCGGACTGGAGGCGAATGCCATTGTCATGGAGCAAACGTTTTCCGTTTCTGTTACTAAAAAGCGTCCAGATGAGGACTACGACAACAACAACATGATCTAGTTACAGCTCATAACAAGAATGATGGATGTTTACTGGGGAAGATATTATTGGGACGGCCTCGTGTTTTGTTTGTTTTATTGCGGGAGGTTCTGGCTTGTTTGGCTTATTAGAATATCCATTGCCATGAGCACGTCTGTGAGGGAAGAGAACGACAGCTAGATGGGGAAAGAGACGAAGAGAAAGGGGAAGACAAAGAACGATATGAGCAACGATTGGAACAATGCCTTGAGCATTCGATGTATATTATCCAAAATCTTGTTTAATTTGTTGATAGAAGTAAGAGGTTGGAGACTCGGAATAGAATCAGTCAGGTATGCATCCTTGGCTATTCCATTGCGGAAGAGGATGTCAACAAGTCTGAACGGTGCCTCTTGGCCTATTACGAGAATCATCCGAGAACGCCATCAAATAAAGGGAAACCTCGTGAAGCAACTGTCGGGTCTGGTTGTGGTACTGAAAGACACATGCACTGCGCCCCAACTGTTCCTCATGATGGTCGATATCGAAATGGCGCGTCAAGATTAGCATGTCCAAAAATGACGAAGAGAAAAAAAGACAATGACCGAGTCAAAACAGACCATAATTCCATCTTCTGCTCTCGAGATAGGGAAGGAAGAGGAAAAGAGACGAAACATCACATGTCAGAGATGCTTTGATGAAACTGGCGAGCATGAAAGAGGACGCGAATGCTTTAGCCGCCAGAATGATCCTAGTACCTAAGAGGAGGATCGCATCAACGGAAAGAAAAACCCCACGAAGGTCTCATGACTTTCTCCAGAGGCCCGATCTGCCGGCCCGTTTCCCATCTGGGCATCAAGCATGCATCGTTTTTGACAGGAAAAGCGGTTGGTTTGCGGGGTATTTGAACAGCCGAGCTGGGGAAAGGGATTACGAGTACACAGAATGCATGGAAGCGCGGGATGGAAGAGGAGAAGAAGAGCGGGCTTGTTGCTCTTTTCAACTTTCATGCGGAGGAGCTGCGAGTTTGTGCATGAAGCTACAGCAGAGAGGAGCCACAATGACGCCGTACAACTCTCCGGTCTCATATTCGAAACTCTTTTCTATACCGTTTTTGCTTGAGCTAAACCACAGCTGATGAGCAGAGCTGAGGCGGACTGTTTTCTCTCTACTACTTCCCTCCGGCTAACCCGTAGGTAGTTCAACTCCGACCTTGAGGGTGTCCACGGCCCGCCAATGCCGTCTAAGCGCACACAGCCTTTTCGGCTTCTTCCTTGGCTTGTGTCTGGCCTCTTTGGCTCGTGATGCCGAGAATAACGTTTGTGTTCCTTAATTTGAGAGTGAGGAGGGCCTTGAATACGATAGGCTTTTCGTGTTTGAGCGTGTGTCTATGCGCTGGCCAATCAACCATAGCGAGCCATGTGGCCATCATGAATCCTAGTAGTTCTGAAGTGGACAGGCCGACAAGGGGGATCGCCGCTTCAGAACTGTCAGTGCCCGAATTCAAGAGGTTTTATCTACTCACTAACGAGTCATTCCAGAACGATCAGGAACCAATGCGAATACAGAGACAGAAAGTCGACTCTATCACCATTTCCATAAGCGCCACTTCCTTAGAGCCAACAAAAGGCATACGAGCCTGACAGAGGAACTTTCCCCCCCTCAACCCCAGATTAAATGCTCCGTTCTGCATAGTAGTCAGTCACACGCATTGGCTTCTGCGGTCCCGCATCTGGCACCGTCTCACTGGCGGGACCAGCGAAGCGCCGCATCGCAAAGGGGAAGAAAGGACGGGCACTCCAGTCCGGATCTGGAAGGTTGTCCTTGTAAGGTGGAGGTTGTGACCCGAGATGGTGTTGCAGGATGAGCGTTGACTCGTCAATGGTCAGGCTTGAGGGGCCGAGAAGGGGGATACAGATCTGTTTTGTCTGCTGAAGAAGTGATTTACGTATCGTGGAGAAGGCATGTGCTGCGGAGGAGCATTCTGTCTAGGGAAACTTGGCGAGTATATAAAGCAGTTCAGAACTGCCCTCGACTTCTATAAGGTGTCTCATATAATTCATTCTCTGGTGTTTTCGTACAAGGAGCCTCGGCCTCTCATTCCCTCCCCTCATACGCCCTGTCCACTTTCAAGATGCGGTCTCTATCCATCCTCACCACCCTCCTCGCAGGCCATGCCCTTGCGTACCCAAAGCCAGCCCCGCAGTCACTCAACCGCCGAGACTGGCCCTCAATCAATGAATTCCTCACGGAGCTGGAACAGATCATGCCCCTTAACGACACCGTCACAGCGGCCTGCGACTTGATCGGCGATGGTGAAGACGCCGCTGCCTCCATCTTTGGGATCCCCGAGACGGAGAATGATGCTTGCGGTGACGTGACTGTCTTGTTCGCTCGAGGAACTTGCGATCCCGGAAACGTCGGCGTGCTTGTCGGGCCTTGGTTCTTTAGGTCGCTGCAGAGTGACCTTGGAAGCAGGACCTTGGGTGTTCAGGGCGTTCCGTATCCTGCGAGCGTGCAGGGATTCTTGTCGGGAGCGGTTCAGCCTGGCATTGACATGTAAGTTGTTCCCACACTGACAACTACATCATGATCGAATACTGACTGTTGATGTAAAGGGCCAACCAGATCAAGTCCGTCATCCAAAGCTGCCCCAACACCAAGCTCGTCCTCGGAGGCTACTCCCAGGGAAGCATGGTCGTCCACAACGCAGCGAGCAACCTCGACGCCGCGACAATGTCCAAGGTCAGCGCCGTGGTGCTCTTTGGCGACCCCTATGACGGCCAGCCCGTGGCCAACTTTGATGCGGCCAAGACGCTGGTTGTGTGCCATGACGGAGACAACATCTGCCAGGGTGGTGACATTATCTTGTTGCCGCACTTGACGTATGCTGAGGATGCGGACACGGCTGCTGCTTTTGTGTTGTCTCTTGTTTCTTGAGCGGCTGGCTTCCGCTGGATGCCATGAGAGGCGTGACGAGTGTGTTTAGGGATGAGGTATGAGTGTACAAAAGTGATCAGGGAATGTATATAGCCAAAGCCCTTGATGGTAACATATTGTATATAAGCAAGTGCTGTGGAATACATAACATCGAAGTCGTATCTGGAAGCGATTGCCTACAAGTCCTCAATTATGAACAGTCGTATAGGCAACAGTCGAATCAATTAATCGCTAATCTATTCCAAGCATACAAAGTCCTTGTCCATGATTCCAAACACCAACTATCCTCTATCCTGCTTCCGATGTCGTAGTTGCACTCTGTAGATGATGGAAGCTTACTTGCGACCAATAAGCTCAAGATAGTGCTCAACAACCGAGACAGTCAGCTCTTCAAACGACTTGAACTTGAAGCCAAGCTCCTTCTCAGCCTTTGTTGAGTCAACATGCACCGGAACCGAGACGGGCCGGGGAACAGACTCAAACTTGAAGACGCCATCAGCATAAGCCTCGGGGAAGCGCCTCTTCACAATCTCAAAAGACTCTGCCCAGTCAATGGGCTCGTTAGGGTGAGCACAGGCGAGGTAGTCCTCATTGCCCTTGACATGGGGCGCCAAAGCAAGGACGTGCATTTTTGCAACATCGTCGACGTGGACGGCGATGCCGAGGAGAGGCTGGTCGCGGGGCTGGCCCAGGAGAGGGCCCATGAGGAGGCCATTGGTGCCCTTGGCGATGTTGGCGGGGTCGGTGACGGTGTCGTCGCGGCCGATGACGAAGACGGGCATGATGTTGACGACGGAGAAGGCCGGCTTCTTCTCGGCGATGAGCTTTTCCGTTGCCTGGTAGGCGAGGGCCTTGGAGGCTGCGTAGGCGAAGATGCTGGACGCAAAGGGGCCCTCGGTGCTGGTGGCACGGGTTTTCTCTGCGCAGAGTTGGTAGGTTAGCATCGATTTTCTATAGGGGGAAGATAGGCTGGAAGGACGACATACCGTTGATCTTGGTTCCCGTGGCCAAGGCCTGGAACGAGGCAATGGACAGGACAGACGCGGTGATGACAATTTTTTCAATGCCAGACGCCTTGTTTGCCGACTCCAGAATGCCAACCGTGCCCTGGATGGCGGGCTGGATGGTTTCAGTCTGGAATGCCTCTTCGGTATCAGCCGTCGTGGAGGCTAGGGGCGAAGCAACGTGGACGACATATTTGACGCCCTTGACGGCCTCGTCATAGGCACCGGGGACAGTGATGTCGGGAACAATGACGCTGTCGACCTGTGAGAGATAGGGGGCAAGCGGCTTGAGGCTTGAGATGCGCTCGAAGCCGGCTTGATTTCGGACAGCTGCGCGGACCGTGTAGCCAGCCTTGACGAGTTCGATGAGAGTCTTGAAACCGATCATGCCAGTGGCACCGGTAAGCTACATTGGGGAGAAGTTGTTAGCTGGGGATGAACAGGTGGGGAATATGCGAACAAGGCCGCATGGGATGGGTCGAGGCTTGGGACGTACGAGAACGAGATCGCCAGCCATTGTGATTGTTTGTGCTGTGGGTTGTTTGTGATAATTGTATGCTTCTTCTGGTTGCCTTTTGGCTTGTTATATGCTTGTTGATGGTTGCCTTGTTGTAGTGGAAGCTGAGTCGAGCATGGAGATGGAGACGAGAGGCTCAACAAGGTCGGTTGTTGCCATCCTTATATCTCCATCAGAGCCATCGTTGACTGGACGTTTCTCAGATTCCATATAGCTTCCGTCTCTTGCCATCATGAGTTCCTTCTGGAATTGCATTTATAAGCTTCGGCTGGATTATAGAACCCATGTAGCATGTGGTGTTGAAGAGTACATGTAGCTGGGCAACAATACGCGCGGTGTTAGAGAAAGGCCGAAGAGCCGCAACGGATATAGACTAGTCGGATATACTAGGCGATAGTCGTGGCTGATGCAACGCAGGGAATCAGAGAGTTCTAGCCGGATGTGGTGTCCAGATATTGAGAATTCTTCTTCGTTGTTAAGCGATGTAGTAATAGAGCTGGAGTTAACAACTATCATCTTCTCGAAAGAGCTATTATTTGCAGACACCACGTCTTTAATGACTTTCCCATCATGAAAGCCGTCGTGAATCACATTTCTAAACCCTGTCCATCTCCCCTGACTAACACCATATGCCAGCCTGGTCTTGAAGCGAAAGCTGCGCAGATCCTGGCTGCGGCCTTATCGAAACACCGAAACACCGCAGCGGGCTTTCAGCCCTCAATCTGCTGCCTTATTTCGTCATCAAAGTACCTTCAAATTGATCACAAGAAACACAAATAGCGCGCCGAGGTACGGTCCCACCGAGAAGACGAAATACACGAGTCGTAGCTGAAAGCTGAACTTACGAAGGAGAGTGATTATCTGATTACTCTTCAAGGACCTTTTTGTGATTAGTCGTGGCGCTGTGCTTTGACTCTGGCAATGTATTATTAATGGGCTGGAATGCGAAGAAGACTTTTCGAAGGGCTACTACTACCCATTCCCGGCTTAATCTCGATATCTCGGGGTAGAAAGAAACAAAGAGTGGCGGGACGGAGCGCCACGGCTGGGCTTAGATCGGGTAGAGATTGTTCAATGAGCGTGGTCTGAGGACGCCCGTCAGATGGTAATTTGCCCGGGGCGGCACAATAGCTGCACCGCAAATTAGTAACGAACGATATCTGTCTTTGAAGCTTTTATTTGGTATGATGTTCAACTGGAGTTGGTTGCGTCGGTGGCTGTTGATCGAATTGACCAAATGCTGTGTTATAGCCTCATATAAGCAGTAGTACTCGGAAGTGAACGATGTTTATTGTTCACGGGCAGTAAGAGTCAGGCAAGGTTAGTATATGAGTTAAGAGAAAGTCAGGAAGCGAAAGGAGTGATTCGGATAAAAGACATGACGACACTAGACGACGAATAGTCCTCGTGTTCAGTTGAGAAGTTGAATCAGCCAGTCTTGCTCTGCAACTTTAGGACTAAAGATGACTTTACCTGTTGAGCCGAGAGATAGAATTCCATGTCACAGAGCCGAAGAGGATCCAAATTCATCTATGCTCAGCTAGCCTTGGCAAGCAGCTACACTTCAGTTTCATCATGCTAAGAAACCTCGATGATGAAGAGCAACTAGATTGGTAGCTGTGTTTTAGGGAAGTCATTCTGACAACATCCGCACTTCCACATACCACGAGAATGATGAAAATGACGAAATCAAGTAAGATACCCAATCTACCTCGATATATGTGCAACTCATGTCCGTCTGGTAATTGGCGGAAGTTTCGTCCCCGCTGTCTTACAAACCGAGCTGATATAGTCCGTCGCAGGGGAGCGTCTTCATAAAGATGGATCTGACGGCAGTCCAGATCTAAACTAGCTTCAAGTTCAATAGTTTCCCTGTCTATCTGAACGCCAATCACATGCACGCAAGCAGTCACTGCTATGCCAAAACTCGGCAGCAGATCCTGTCCTGATGTAACTGAAATTCCATCCATCAACTCATCAACTCCGGCAGAAACCCTCCACGCTTCTATTTCACGTACATGTTCTTCAGCGGATGCAGCCAGGCGACTCGTCCAACAAACGGCTCTTCCGCGTCCAAAAAGTCAAAGGCCAACCGTTTTCTCCAGACGGGCGCCTGCACCCAGTTAGCAATGATATAGTCCACAAAGCTCGGAACTGTCAAATAGCGGCCCAAGACGTAGTACCACCAGCTGGCCCAGGCCTGTATCCGCGTCGCATGCGCAGATACAGAGGCATCGATTGCCAGGTCATCCCATCTCTGAGCTCGATAGCTCGTATACATGGCTTCCAACTCAGCGACGCTGGGATTCCTCGAGGCCCCCGGAGACGCAAGCAACTGTCGTAAGTTGTTGACCAACGACACAACATCTTGAATTCCGCTTTGATACCCCAAGCCCGCGTTGGGACAAACTTTGTGGATGGCATCGCCCACAAGTGCGATCCGGCCCCAGCCCCAGTTGTTGCAGATGCCCTCCTGCAGATCCGACATGCCGCTTGTCATTCTATCGGCGAGGACATGCTTCACTCTGAGGCTGTCCGTGATGGGGTAGTCGGCAAACCTGTCCGCCATCGCCTCAATGTCTTTTTCGCTGTAGGACGTTCGTGCTGTTGTTGGCTTTGGAAGCTTTTCGTACAGGAATATCCATCCACGCTCCTTACCGGTCACAAACATGACGGACCTGTCCTTGCCCTGCGTCTCAAATGCTGCTCCTGGCTCGATTGGTCTCTTGAAGCTCGCCCACAGGCATCTATACGACGATGTGAATGGCGTTTCTGAATCCCATTGGACATGGCAATCGGCTTCTAACGCGAGCAATCTCATGATCTGTCGTGTTCTGCTGTGCACGCCGTCTGCGCCAATCACCATGCTCCCCTCATATTGACTGCCGTCACTGCATAAGACTTTGACGTCGTTTTCTGTCGACTGGATATCGGTGACCTTTTTGCCTAGTAGAACCCGGGACTTGATCTCTGCGGGTAGCTGGTCGTAGAGAGACTGCACAAGCTCTGCTCGGTGAAAGACGAGCGGACGGGTGCCGAAGCTGTAAAGTGTTGTTCGCAATAAGTCTAAAGGTCTACGAAAGGGCAAAGCAGTGAGAGGTGCCTACTTCTTTTTGCATTCGTCAAACGCCTTGCAGGCCTTGAATTTGTAACCGTCCTGTGTGAAGGAATATCGAAGAACTAGTTCTGAGCCAAGGCCTCGCAGCCTGTTTAACAGGCCAACTTGGTGAAGAACTCGCAAGCTGGGCGGCGCTATAACCAAGCTGGCTCCGACATCCCTGGCGACTGTGCTGCTGCGTTCAAGGACGACGAAAGGTATGCCTGCCTTGTGCAGAGCGTGCGCGGCGGTTATTCCTATAGGGCCTTTTGCAGCGAATTAGTCGATTGCCATGAGTGTGCAGGGACGCTGGGCTTGCTAACCGCCGCCAACTATGATTACTTTGAACTCAGTGGCTATCATTATATGAGGACTCGATTCGTCTCCGACGGACATTGACGACCAGTATATGACGCAGGATTATGGGTATGGCCAGTAAGTCTCAAATGGCAGTCTGCAGTGAATCTATATATATGCAAAGGTGTAATGACAATGCGTTATTCAAGAGGAACCCCGCTGCTCACGATGAATAGGTCTCCTTAGGTACTTTGTGGAACGAGGTCAAAGTTTTCCTAGTACATCCGGGGGGGCACAATACATGCGAAATCCGAGACGACATGGAGTCACCCCGAGTTCTGGGCCACTGGCAGGGTCCTCCTATCCACATAAAGCTACGTTTCATCGAGTCCTGGTTGTTCAAACTTTTCTATGGAGGCAATTATGCAGAGTTGCCTTGTATGCCAGGAGCAACGAGGAAGTCGTGCGCTACTTTATCTCCGCTACCATGCAGAAGTCGGATGGCCGGTGTTATAGTACTTTTGTATTGTTGATCTTGGTCATGTAGTGTATCATTGCTACTTCATCACTACTTGGAAGAAGGAGAGGTGAATCGATATAGCAAGGAACCCCCTCTGGGGCTACATGTTCTTATGAACTGCTCATCTACCAATGTCAACATCACATCAACATGTAAGAAATTCTGTGAGCTTCTCTGCCTCATGCCATGCATTAGCGGATCGATCTTACACATCCACTGGGCAATACTACACTATTCTCGGGCCCTTTAAGCAACCCGTTCCGAAGCACTGAAAGGGCACTCAAACACACACGGACAAGTTCGCAGCTCTGCGGAGACAAATTGAACGACCATACCATGCCGAAAACCCTGATTTATGATGATGAAAACACTTAGCTCCGTTATATAAGCGGTGATAGAAATAGAAATAGGAAGTTGCAAAGGAGTACGATTCTCCGTACGGAGTATTTTAGACTATATGTACGGTCTGACGGAGATTTCAGTTGTCAGACGCACGGGGAATTTCTCGCGAAGCCGTGCAGCAAGAGCTGAAGATCCTGCAGTACTATCGGCCGACGCCGGCTGCTCATTCGGAAAACTTGCCGAGTAAGGCAAAAGAAGCTTATCTGGACCCTGGGTCTTGCGGTGATTTCTGAGCTAGACTTTTAGACAAAATAAAAAGGAGAGAGAAAAACTTGAGTCCTTGTCGGTGCGAAAGGTCAGGCATAATTCGCCGATGAACTGAGCAGAAAGAAGACAGCCAGTCCTTCTATAAGGGCTTCGAGGGTAGACCAAGCCTTGTCGCTTCCTGAAGAAGATCTAAACATCTACTTCAGCTTAAGCCGCATAGCTGTACCGACAGCACCGCGTATATCTCGCAGTAGCTTGGAGGAGAGTGGAGGAGTGCTTCAAGGACTGGCAGAAGAGTGTTAATATCATTAAGCAAAGTCGCCGAAAGCAATAATCCCTAGCCTCGAATGCTGCGCATATTGACTGTCCAAGCGGCTCCATTTTATCTCTTACAAACGAGAAATATACGGAGCACCTCGAACAGACTTATAGGTCGAAAGATATCTGTCTTGCATGATCCTGGAAGGCTGTTGGAGTAGCATTGGTGGGAAGTTAGGTACCTAGGTAGCATTGGCTTAAAACACAGTCCGAAAGCTTGTACATGGAATGAGATTTCTCAAGAGAGAAATAAAAGAGTGTCCTTAAGTCATATAGTACCTATACTGTGATGAAGAAAGAACAGCCCTCCAAATGCTAGTTCAGTGTATCAGACTCAGATGGGCATGTGTCCAATCGAGGGTCATGCAACTGACATTCCAGATCAAATAAGGGATGTATTTCGTTGAGTATATATACAGAGGGAGCATCGAATTGATAAAGCAATGATGTCCTCCATTGGGATATAGTTGCAATGGGAGATCTCCCACGTACTCGCTGCCGCTTAGCCTCGCCAGCGCTGGTCAGCTATAGACCATAGGTTTGTCAAATGAGACGCGAGGGAGAAGCAATACCGGAAAAAGTAAAAGGCTATTTACGCGTCGTGCCATCAGCGCTCGTTTGGCTACTTGCATTGGCACTCCCTGTCCTCCGATGCCGTGTAAGTGAACCCCGCGGAATTGCATGTCTCGCCGCACACAATTCCCGGACAGCTTCCTCCCGATGTTCCCGCACTATATGCATCTTGTCATGTGGTTTTCAGGAGACAAACCAGCGACAAGGCAATAAAGAAGGCAGAAATTCAATCTCCACTTCAACTACAACCATTGCCGATCGATCGATTAGCTCAACTCGCGGCGTCTGGCGAGACATACAGATATACAAGCATCGCGAAGCGAGAGCTACCCAAGACCGTGTACGGTAGTGTCGACGTAAATGACTTTCGTCATGCTGATTCGATGTGAATATCAAATTAATGAGACCCCTCAATTGCATGACGAGCCATTGGCCTCTTTGGAATGACAATGGCTTGGCAGTATCATAGTGACTGGCGAGCACTATTTTGAACTGCCTCATGTCATGATCATGCCATGAAGTGACTTTTGAGGACTACCAACCGAATCACCACGAGAACTGCACCGTGTATGGGGTATAAGGTATCATTTCTATGTAACTTTAACGACAGACGTAGAGCAGGGTGTGCTGTGGTATCAAAAACGACCGAATCTATCCATTACCTCATTATCCATTATCCATTGCCTCCCATTCCGCTCACAACCTCATTAGTCATGGGAGTCCATCCTTTATCAATCCCCCTTCTCACTCTCCTTCGCATTGGTATCTCAATCGTAAAACATGGTCATTCGTTGCCGAATCTTGGTATTATCGGTTTTGCCATTGGTGCTGTAGATGGGTTGATGCAAGCGTGGGGATCCGGGACTCGCAAACTCTCTCAGTAGCTTGGCGTAGATCTATCGTTCCTTAGACAGAGTTGTCAGAGGGGCGGCCGGCAGAAATCTCCTTGTTGTGGGTGGCGGCAACGGGGGTAGCGTACTCGGCGCGGAGAAGAAGCATCTCGACCAAGGTGTTGCAGAGCAGGAAGAAGCTGTAAAGAAGCAATGTTAGTGACTGGTTTGCCTTTTCCTCGGATCAAGTGTCGAGAGCACTTACAATGCGATAAAGTTGAAGGCGTCAATGGCCTTCTTGCGGGAGCAGTGGCCCTCGCCAGGCTGGCCGAAGCTGCACTTCCCGCTGCTCCAGTCCTGAGACGAGAAGATGAAGGAGGTGAGCCAGAGGTAGGAGAAGATGAGGTTGAGAGGAGCCAGGTGGCCGCGGTATCTGCCGATAAGGGGCAAGAAGGCACCGATGAGCCAGAAGCCCAGGGTAATCGTGGCCTAGTTGCCGACATGTTAGTGTGTGGCCGGGCTGGGGGTATGGGCGTGTGTAAGTGGATGTGAGAGACATACAATGCACTCCTGGTAGACAATGTTCACGCCGCGGTAGTCGTACTTGTGGAGGAACCAGGACACGAGGCCGGTGACGATGGCTGATGAGGCCAGGATCATCAGGTGGTTGAAGAAGGCGATGAATCGCAGGGTAGCGTGCGTCAAGTTGGCGAACATCTTGGCGGTGTTGTTATTCGCAAGCGGGTATTATTGTAAGTTGATGGTGTTTTGCGTATTAAGCAAGGTATTAATGGTGTATGTGTATCGTAGATTATGGGTATCAATGAGATGCTTCTAATCCAAGCCGATGCCTGTCTGTTGAGCTGATGCTTTGAAGCTGAGCAACATCGACAACGCTGTGAGGCAACAACCTCATTTATATCCTTCTCATGACCATCACCCATCGCGATGCTTCGCGCCGTTCCTCGGATATCATGTCATCTGATGATTTCGCTTTCTCCCGCATGAAGAAAAACGTCGAACAACTTAGAAAATCACGATAATGCTGCAGCGACGTCATAGCAGGCCACTTCTTCCAATAACCGACGATTCACAAAGTGACCAAAACGTGCATGCATGGGTGATGGGACCATCTGCCGGCTTCCCGGGAGCTCCGGCAGTCGAAATGCATCTCCACCCGGACCAAATGCCCCCACCGTCTCTCTGCCTCTTCTGGGCCATTGAGCAACCTCTTTCTCGAGATTCGCTTCTTGGGCTGCATTTTGGGCTGCGAAGAGCTTTCTTGGGCTTCACATCAAGCACGCGCATGTTAGCCGAGGGCACGCGGGTGCGTTGAAGGGCTTGGATGGGTGAATTGGCTGGGGGGGAAGGCTGAGTTGATGGAGAGAAGAATCTCGAATCGGCTGTGTTGTGAGCAGAGAGACAACACACATGCATGTTCCATTGGCTCGGCACGTTTCGGAATTGAGTGATGTCTTTTCACGAAGGCACTCGCGAGCTGGAGATCGCAAGATCCTCAAACCGGCGTTGAGCTCCCATGAATCAGCTCAGCCTGTATTGGCATCTTTGACTTCGCTTTGCCCGGAACTACGGAGTAGCTCAAGGCTGACTTACAAGAAAACCACTCACCAGCATTTCCATGCCTCTTCTTTGGGGAAAAAGAAGCAATTCCTGAATCGGAACTCGCCGCCCGATTTGTAGCGAGAGTTGCCGACTCCACTGTTCGCGTATTCCCGTATATCGGCCGCAATTGCCGGGGCCGGAATCGTTCCATCTCTTTTTTTTTTTCTTACGACGATGTTCGGTGATGGCTCGGATATGCCAACATCTCACTTCTCATTGCCGGAATATCGGCCACCATGACAGACCTGTCTCGAGCACACTCATTTGAGATGGTCCGTTTGCTGAATTCATTGTGTTTATCCGTTGCTCACTGTATCAAGTTGTTTCTCATGGCCGCAAAGATAGTCAAAACGGCACCCTTTCGCAGTTTCCTCTCCCCAGAGGACGCCCCTCGACATACTGTAGTGTCCCCAGTTTGTAAGTGGTGATTGAAGCTCGGCTATCGTGGACCCTGGTTGGCTGCAAGGATTGCTGCATGAGTTCACTCACGACGATCATCCATACCCAGTGGCAACGGCTCTCGGTTTTCTTTCCATCGGCTTCCCGCACCAGTGACATACTCCAAGAGACTGAAATCACGAGTCATTAATCAGCTCTTTTTTTGCCTCTGATGGGTTGCATCTCAATTCTCGCAGATTATCCTGCATGTGATGGAGGAAAAAGTGATTCCGCAGGTTCCGGTGGAATCTCGATTGCAGTTTGCACCGTGGAGGCATAGGACAAACAGCCAACTGACTTGAGTCCTTTGACCCAAATACCGCATAACATGTTCCTTAACCATGAAATCATCGACTTTCCATCAGCGAGAGCAATAAAGGTTTCGATAGCCGCTGCTTGAAGCTGTGACTCGCATGGCTTGGGAAACTCATATGCACCGTCAAAACGTACAAGCGCAGTTCTTACTGCGAATGGCCCCATGAGGATCGGAGACAGCGAATCGTTTCGTCTTATTCACTTGAGTTGATGAGTCAACGCAGATGAAGTGAAAGCTCATATGAGACCTGATCGACGACGGTCATTTTAAGCATAAGACGGGAGGCTGGTGCCACAAAGTCAAATCATCGCCACCGACATCACAAAGGCTTGCGATTACTGAGGGACAGTCATACGGAAATCTGGATAAACATTTGAACACAACCACTCAACATGGCCGAGGTGCCATTAAGCCTGTGATATGATGAGAAAGAGGACGTCTCTCGGTAGCTCATCAACGCCAGCGCTCAATCACACCAAGCGCCGGTACCTCGCCCCTCCCCCGGATATATGACAAACCGTAAGGCCCAAGGACCTAGTCTTGCTAGTATTACACGTATAAGAAAGCAGAGAAACCCCCGCATCCTGGTCTTCCTGATCAGGTGTGATGCTGGAGAGCTGCATCTCCGGTCCACCCAGGAGGAGTCACTGTCCAATTCGGAGGGTCAAGGAGACCCATCGCAGCCGACCTTTACGATCTACAAAAGGAAAAATTCTCAAGTCAATAGGCACGACGGGCTGCTCCTCCTGTTATTTAGTTCTCCAGGTTGCAAATGCCTCGCTACCGTTGACAGGGCCGCTCCAGATCCAGACAGAGGAGGGCTCGGCCTTGCGTGTAATACTCGCTTGGCTGGGGATATGAACCCTGGAACCATGTACGGATAAAGCTCTCAAGACCCCTCTCAACCGTTCAGAGGGCGCATCCTTCACGCTGTCAATCTAAATGCATGGGCAGATGTGTTAAGGTTGAGGATGCCGTTTGGACCACAAGTTTCCGCGGGATCGGCGATACGGGCATACTGAGAGTACCTAGATGTGTCTCTATTATCGAGAATAGAAGCTCGGTAAATCTTGACGCAGAGTTCAGGCCTAGCAACAAGTCTCGAAAGGAATATCATGTGGTAATCTCAGCCCTTTGTACCATGGATCGAGACAGGAGCTACAGAATAGAAATGTTGTTAAGATGGGGTTGCTGTTTGCGTGGTTGTGAAAAGATGTTGCAATCATCAACCAGGAGTCATTCAATTGTACATCATTGTGCCATTAGGGTGTCTATCTCGCCGAAGCCTGGAGATCCGAGGCTATAAGGTCGTTGTTGAAAGAGCTGATTATTAATTACATCGCAGCAAGCAGCAGTTCTATCACGCAAAAGGCAGATAGGCCGCAATAAGACCACCCCAGCCACCCTTGTTGTCGGCACTGAGCGCAGCCGCCTTGCCACCAACCGTCACCATGTTTTTGACCAAGTGGGTGCCGAGGTTATAGATCTTCAATCGTTTGGGCTGGCCCTCAATGGAGACAATGTTGTCTTGAGCATACGGGCCTGAAACGCCGTCGAGGCCGTTGAAGAACTGTCAAAGGTCCTGTCAGCACCAAGAATTTCCAGGGCTACCGTGGAAAGTGAGCGAATGTGGTATGCATGTAGGTACTTACTTGCCAAAAGCCCAAGCCGTAAAAAGTCATGTCGCTTCCGCCAACGACGCGGAGAGACCAGCCCATGAAGCACTGGATTGAGCTTCCATCGCAGTTGGAGTAGTCCGGATCCGAATAGCGCGCGTCAGGCCTAGATAACAGCGTTAACTACCTTACTATACCTATATCCAAGAGAGAGGTAAAACCCAATATAATGATCGGAATACTCACGTCCAAGGCGCAGGAGCCGCGGGAGCAGGCTGCCAGTACACAGTCTCCGTCTGCGCCATCAAAGTGTGAACATTCTGTGCACCGACAAACTGATACTGGTACAGCACGAAATGCTCAAACGCAGTGCCAACCAACCATGTTCCACGCTTGGATTCAACAAGGAGGCCTCGTCCTACAGCAACAGACTGGCTGGTTCCGTTGGTGGCACCGCTCAACCCGTCCAGGTCGCGGTTCACCGACCAGCCCCAGACGCTCTCCATGTACGTCTGGCTGTTGGCCTTGAGATGCATAAACAGGAAGGCGGCTTTGCACTGGTCGATGGGCGATTGAGGATACGAGCGGCACTTTGTCTCGACGGCGGAACCAATGGTGCCGCCGGCACGGAAGTGTGAGTCCCAGAGGCCGACGTCGCCGGCCTTGAAGCCGGAAGCATTGTTTTCGACGAGGATGGCGCCGGGGAGGACGTCGGCCACGTCGAATGCGATGTCGGTCACTTCGATGATGCCGCGGGAGCCGGTCTCGCCCATCTTGAAGACCACTTGGGGGTTCTTCTCATCCTCGAATGTCTTTCCGTATGCTATCGGTGGAAATATAGATCAGTCTGATGTGCCATTTTGGTCGGGGACTTGTGAGTGCCAACTTACCACTAATGGTAGACCAGACCTCGCCGACGATTCGCGAACCAACCGGGACGTGGATAGTGCCGCTGACACGGTAGTTTCCAGCAGGGAAATACGTGATTCGGCGGTTCGCATTCGCCTTGAGAGCGGCGTTGATGGCCTTTGTGGCATCCGTCTTGCCGTCGCCCTTGGCACCAAAGTCGTGAACGCTGGAAAAGCAGCCGGAGCTGTACTGCTCATACTGAGGACGCGATTTTGTCCAGTAAGCACCGCTGGAGTCGACCAGAGCCTGGGGCCGTGAAAGCGAGCCGCTGGTTTCGAGGTACTTGCCGGTCGTCTCGTCCTTGTACACGGTGCCCTGGATGTAGGATTTGATCGTGGTGGAGCGGGTCGAGCCCGCAAGAAGGGAAGCGCCCTGGGTGTCGGCAACGACGTGGCCAACGCGGTTGACCTTGAGGTTCTCGATGATGAGAGAGCCGTCGGCATTCTTTGTGTGTTGCGAAACGACGACCTTGTCGGTGGAGGTGGCTTCGGAGTCGATGAGGATGACGGATCCGACGGAGTTGTTGGGCGGAGCGGTGAAGTTGACTCCGACGTTGACATTGTTGAACTTGATGCCCTGGAGGGACAGCGTGAAGATGTGATCGATCTGGATTCCCGTCTTGACGTTGTTGAATGTAAGAGCACGCATCGCGTACTGCTGGTTGTTCAGCCGAATCTATGCATACCGGTTGAGTTAGCTGCCAGCCGACGGTACAGGTTTGTTCAGTTACAGCGACGACTTACACCGATATTTCCTCCGGTAAACTCAAGGTCTCCCATGAAAGTAGCAGAGCCGCCGCCACCACCAGTAGTTCCGTTGAAAACAACGCCCTGGTGCAGACTGTTCTCGGCCATCTTCATATGATTGAAGCTCAGCGTCACGGCCTGAGCGGACGGCCAGTTGACGCAAGCCACGGACGACTTGACATCTACGCTAGTGGTGTCGAACACGAAGTTGCGGACTTGGTAGTACAGATTGATGGTTGTGGGGAACGGTGAAGTGGTCGGAGAGGGAAAAGTGTCAAGGAGATATAGGCCGGAGAAGTTCTTGTCGGCTTTGAGGACAGGCCTGTCCAGCGGGTTGCCGACAAGCTGGGTGTAGATGTAGCTGTTGAGAGTGCGCGAGATCTTGTAAGTGCCGGAGGGGAAGTAGACGAGGGCGGGTTTGAGCGTCTTTGCTGGAGGATCTCCAGGGCCGCAGCCCCATAGGCAACGTCCACCAGCTGATGGCATATTGTTAGCCACAAGCTTCTTTTGCGCCATGTACCGCATGTGAATGGGGAACGTACCGTCAATAGCAGCTTGAATCGCGGCGGTATCGTCGGTCTTGCCATCGCCCTTTGCGCCAAAGTCTTTCACATTGCGGTAAACGGCATATGAGGAGTCGTTTAGGAATGGAGAAATGCCCGTATGCTTGATCGTCTCCATCCAAAAGTCCTGTTTGCGAAGGACAGGATGGCATTCGCCGAAAGTGAGACTGAGGTCGACAGACACATCCAGACCGCGATCAACGAGACTGTAGACTTGATCAGCATCTTCCGCATTGTTCGTTTTTCTTCTGCATTGTGAAGTGTCGGAACAAACTCACGTCTCTGGAGCAAGCTCAATGGCAGCGGCATTCACTGCCGACGCGACTCCAGCGAGCCATGTCAGCAATTGGGTCACTCGAACCATGATTCCGCCGTTGCCACACTCTGAGAATGGTAGAGCAGAAGAGACCTGGAATCGCTCTCAACAAACCGCAACCAAAACCCCCTGGGAGATGCGGAGAACCTATCCGATTTATACGAGTAGTATTACCATGCACAGGGCAACGAATTAACCTTGATTCGAAATCCGGGGCAAGATCCGCAAAACAAATCCGTCATGTTACATCTCCTATGATGCCTTCTCCGAGATTCTCGACTTTCCCCAGTGTCTGGACAGCCAATCGGGATGCCCTCCGACGAACGCTCAAGTCCAGCTTTAGCAGCTCTGGTTGGTGGAAGATCTAGAATCTGGGGTACCGGCGGTATTGGGAGCCGGCCCGAATGGACTTGGACAAACGATGACGATCGAGGCATCGGGTGAAAGCTTGTATGAAGCAGCAAGGGACAGTTGCGCTGTGATTCGTGTGATTTTTGCCAGAGCTGCGGGGAGAGCTGTCATGGTTCCATAGCTTAGACCTGGGGTAAGAGAATGATGCAAATTCGCTTGTAATGAGGTTGAGCTGTAGTTGCTGAAGCTGCATACAATTGCATTGGCTGGTTACATATCAAAGCAGGTCAATGAAGGAGCCCCGAGATGAACCACTTCAAAGGACTCATCGTGAATACTAGAGTTCATACTAGATGCACCGTTAACAGGCCGCTTTTGAGGAGAAATCGTAGTTGGGAAGGATGCTTGCTCATAATTGACCCCCACTGAGCAGATCGAGAAACTTTGCCATGCCTAACTTGATGACGGGGAAGACAATGCATAAACATTACACAGCTCGAAGTTGTGTTTAGTTCAAAGTAGCTTCATACAGGAGTCCAGAGGATGAAGACCAGTGATCCTTGGTATCGTTACCTGAACACTTTTGGGGTACTCTGCGGTCATCTTACGCAAAGTGGCCGCTTCCTAGAGATGGCCGCAGACCAGGTCGTCCGACTTACTTGGCGTACGAATAGCAAACTTCCGGTATTACTAATGATTCTCTATCGTCATGCCAGACAAAACTAACCCCTGTAACTCAGTCAGAATTGCTTGAACAAAGTACCATGAAGGCCAGTCGCGAACCAACATCACCAAATGCAAGATGATGGAGCACTTGGTCGTTCACTTGCTAGAAGAGGCAGGTAACTGTGGAAGACATCATGCATGGCTACCCTATGTCCACTAACAGGCAAGGATGAAGAGGAAAAATAAACACGCAGAAGGGTTCTCTCCTCAGCTGAAACGGAATCCAAAAAGAGGCAAAAAAAATGAACCGACTGAATCTCAATCGATGGATTATAGGAAAAGCCCGATGCGGGGGTCGAACCCGCAACCTTGAGATTGCATCAGAACGTGTGCTCTTTAAGAGTCTCACGCTCTACCGATTGAGCTAACCGGGCGCTCGGTGATGTTGGTCATTGACCAATCACAGACCACCGATTGAGCCCCAGTCGGCTTGTTGGTAGGGGAGTTGCAAAGATCTCTTATGATCTATTGGTCGGGAGTCTCACGCTCTACCGATCGAGCTATCGCAACCGCAATGTACTCCCTTCCTGGTGTAAGCCACACCTGCAAAGGCTAGGTGCCTATGTAGGGCATTGAATCCGGTGATCTTGAACAAATATCTCAGAATTACGCAGCATAGGAAGAAGAAGAACCCTTGGCTTGCGAAAGATGTATTCTTGGGGGCAAGTCGTCGTGTCGTTTAATGTTTCCAGCAGCCTCCAAAGACTTGGCTAATGATATGCACTCACATATCCTCCTACTTTACTCCGTTGACGACGAACGATATCCATTTCTTCAAAAAGCTATCGAAGGATCATGGCTAATGATAGCAGTATCACTAGAACTGATGGGTAGTAATAAACGTGATAAGTAGCCTTGTCCATCTCAACCGAATTCGACGCCGATATTCTGTACGCAAGCACGCACGATAAAATTTGTTGCAGCACGCATATCGGTGCCACCAAGCTGTCTCGAGCCATCTTTGCACCTCCAGCCAGCAATATCCCGAGCCAAACGCAATGATAAACATTGATGTGCCGGCTCGCAATGTCTTTAAGCCCTTGTCGGAGAGCAACATCGGGAGAGTCTTTCTGTCGCTCTTTCGGTCTCCCTCGACGTCATAGAACTCTTGGATGTGCATAGTTGCCATGAGCCAGATGAAGACAGCAAACCCGATGCATAAACTGCTGTTTTGGTTTGAGGGTCCCCTTGCAACCAGAACTTGGTTGAGAAGTCGGGAGAGAATGAAGTAGGACACGGATGCAAAGTAGTTGCGCATGAACCAAGAAAACCATCGTGGCCATACATAACACACCAAAATCAGCATCTGAAAATGAAGGAGATGCAGCGCGGCCCAGAGTCCAAAACATGAGTAAATCATGATGGGTCCCAGTGTCCATGTCAAGATCCATCGGAAAATGGCCTGATTGACACTGATCAAACCCGCTGGAATAGGTCGAGAAGGCTTATTGACGTAGTCTTCTAGCGGAGAAGAAGCCTGGTTCGCAATGTCGAAGACGTAGTTGCAGAGAACGCCCACACAGGCAGCTTTAAACGTTGAGGAAGCGGCTTCTGCCATCGACGTTGGCGAGAGGATGACTCTGGTTAGGATCCCGCCCATGGCAATGAAGGCAAAACCCACAGCATTGGATCTTAGTAGACGGATAGTCACGTCTATCTCATGCTGAATGTTGGATAGCACCAATAATAACAGAGCGTTCAGGGGGGCTATATGCTTTGAGGGCAGTTTGCTCTTCCCTTGAAGAGAACCGGTTGTATCACGACGCCTGAAGATATAGAGTGCCATTGTGAGTTTAAAAGACGAAGTTTTCAAATTGATGCTTCTATGGAGGAGCTGCTCTTGTCAACAGACAAAAGAGCAGAACATAAGAGCTTAAATAGAACTGTCCTTTCTCATTATGAAGGCTCAGATAGCTCACAGCAAGGCACACAAACCGACTCCAAACCCTCAAGGTCGGTCACATTGCCAAATTCTCCAAAACGCCAGCATCATCCCAGTTGCACTTCAAAATCCCTCAACCCTTCATAGCGAGTATTTACAGATTGAACCTTGCTTCTCCACCATCCAGGCATCACTAAGGTGGGATTTCGGTGATGATATGGAGGCTACAACTCTGTGAAAAGACCGATCGTGGCTGGCTGTGTTGGTTCGCTGACAGTCATTGGTCAGACGGAGTATTCAAGAAAAGATAAGCGAGTTGTTTACAAAGTCGTTAATAATGTTCTACATTGCACTGCAGACATCGCCAGAGGTTTCGTATCTTCTCGGCGGAATTAGAGAGCTTGAAAGATGCCTCGGCCATACCGCGACAAGGCAGCGAGACACGGATTTAAATGGTATATCATGCTACGCATACTCCGTAAAACCCCAGCACTCTGACAAAAAGATCGGTGGCTCCTGATTTGGCAGTTTTCGGCTACACGGCATTCAGAGAATAACTTTTTGTGATGTTCAATGCTACAGTATGACGTTTGTCCAACCCTCCGGATCAGTGTACAGCTCTCGCGCGCCTTCATCAGAGTGGCTGTCAATATGCCTCGCCCTGCCATCAACTTCAGTTCTTGGATCTAAAAGTGTGTATAAGACTTCCCTTTCGGAGGCTTCTGGTAATGCCCACGTAGAAAGGTCTTGGCACTTCCAGGCCAAAGGTATGGTTTACACGAGCTGGGCTTGACTCTGGAATGACAAACGATCGAGTGAATTGGGTTATTACTCTACTGGATAAGCATTGTTTTGTTTTCTGTAATGCCGGTGGCGAAGAATGAATCTGCAACTGTTATAAACCACCTCAATAGTAGACTATAAGCATCAGGTCCATAACCAATCAATCCCCTATTCTCAGACAAGTAACCAAAGGTGTCAGTAGCAGTTCTACCAGCTATCTGCAAATCAAAAATGAATTAAAGAACCGAATGTGTGAGGCCGAAAGGCGTCCGAGCGGGCTTGCGTCATCCAGGCCGATTGTTGGTTGGAATGTTTGCACATTTGGAATCACGCAAGTCGAAAATTTCCCAGGACGCAAATCCTCAACCTAGCGCGCTTTACAATAACACAAACCTGTCTCACGCAAGTTGCCTAGATAATGGAGATCATAGATTCTTTCGAAGTCATGAAAAAGGTTGATGGCAAGTTCCAGATATACGTCAAAGTGATAGTCAGGCAGGACGATGACTACTACATTGGCAAATGGAGAGACCGAAGACAACTGCCCGACAAGTTTTCTCAGCTAGAAGACGCCAAGATGATCCCGACAAAGGATAGAGGTCCGGTGATGAATCCCCAATGGACGACTGCACCACAGACGGGCGACTTTTACGTGAAGAAGCCCGACCTCCAGGATTATGTGGACCCTAAGCTGGAAGAACGAGTCGAGCACGAAGTCAAGATGTGCGAACTGATCAAGCGACAAACCCATCCTAATTTGGCGTCTTACTACGGTTGTTTGAGCGATCAGGGAAGAGTGGTTGGCATATGCTTCAAGAAGTACCAGAAAACACTTTTGGAGTCGGTCAATCCAGGGCGACTCTCCAAGCGACATTTCATGGAGAGCGGCCGGCCACTCGTCGAGGACCACATGAAAGACTGGATCACGTCCATACGCAGCGCTGTGGACCATTTACACACCTTGGGACTTGTCCACAACGATATTACGCCGGCGAACGTTATGATAGACGAACATGGGTCTCCTATTCTCATCGACTTTGGCGGACTGTGTCGGGTAGGAGAATCGCTGAGGACAGTCAAGAGGACTTACGGATGGTATGATGAGGCGGTGACAGAAGCAAATAAGCAGGGTGATATAGATGCACTCGCGGAGATTGAGGCTTGGTTATTTGATGCGCCGGAGGACCTGAGATTCTCAGAGTGGTGATGGGCATGGCCTGGTTCCTGGCGTGTCAAGGTCGGTCGAGATGCAGGCATACCAATGGGTTCGGATTCTCACTGGATGGATGTTCGTTTAGGCATCGGCGCGCTGGTTTCCTAGGCCTTAATGGTCTATATTGGTGCATCTTTGGCAACAGCAAGCCAAGTTCGGCGGTCTTCTCCACTCAAAATGACTTCTAGATTGATGAGTTTTGCAACCTGCGTGTCAAACTGTGAGTTTTCTTGGTGTATGAAAGAATCTGTTTGGCAACCTGGCTTGTTCAGGCTGCCATCGACCACTGTTGATGTAATCTGGGTATCCGACTTGGTCTTCGAGTACACTGACCTCCTATAGTTCGCCACATCTCCTCCTTATGATTTCGTCTCATTGCTAACCCTGATCTCACATAAGCTAGAACCTGCCGATACACTCGATTTCTCGACCAACGCCAACCATTGATATCCTCATCCAGTATCATGACTAGTTGTCCATGCCTCTTGACTACCCGGCAAGTTGATTACCCGCCGGGTAGCCGATCTAAGCAATTTCATTTAAAACGGGCGTTGATAATGCGCAGACCTCGTCAGCATCGGGATTTTTGACTATCAAAAGACCGGACTGCGGGGTGCCCCGGCAATCCCGGATTGTATTCCGAGATCCGTCGAGGCTAAAATGGCTTCCCCTTCGATCATTATATGTCTCTCACTAGGAAGTAGTTGTGGTGATCCCGACTCAGCTCCGAGGCTAGAATCTCATGTCTGAGACTGTATTTGGACTTCAGTCAGAAAGGCGACACGGACAACTACCCAATATGGTTCCTATTCACACCATATCATTTTGCGTATTTTTCATCTCCTCGGCATCCAGGTCCTGGTACACTTACTATCGACGATATGTCATCTCGATTCCTATCTCCTCGGCGTCATGTCTCGGCAGACTCGCTGTCCAAGCATCTCCGCCGTCCTGCGGCATGGCACCATCCTTTGTTCTCGAGTAACAGTAACCTGCTGGATTACCTGCTCACGGTGTATGGCCAAGATGGTTTCCTGAAATAGACTACAGACCTGAAGAATAAGTTGTAATCATATGCAGGATTGAGACCGTGGAAACTATAAAGCTTGATGATCATTCAGCAGACTCACTCTTGCTATTATGTCTGCTCATACTCATCGAAGGCTCTTCAGGCAATATTAGTTCAGGTTCTACTTTCTGAAATTCCACCCAACAGCCTGCATAATATACAATGCCTTCCCGCGAGTCGTCCGCTTTCTCTGTCAGCAGGTTTCTGGATGACCTTCAACATGTCTGCAAAGTCTGTCAAGCGCCTTACTCGGAAGAAATGACGAGAAAGGTCCTGGACACCTATGCCACCAGCTTCCAACGCTCTGCAATACAACTCCGCATCACAGACCGGCCCGGAGATCCTGTCAACTACCGCTTTTACGAACGCAAGGCAGTTCAAAGCATCAATCTCGCCATTTCATCCAAACTTCTGAGTCCGCAGAACCCAATGATTGGCATCTTCAAATCTTGGAGCCAGCTCTACGGAGGAGCACCAATTCAACTCTGCGATTTCGACGCAGAGAAGGGGCTTGCAAAGGCCTGGCTGTATCTTTCTGGCTTGAGGCCGCTGGACGATATTCTGGATGCTCCGGGAATCCCGAGTACCATTGGACTCTACCAAGATGCTTTCCGCAGCCTTCAGCTTACTCAAGTGCGCTTCGTTGCGGTGGACTTCAAGTCTCATACCATCAATCTCTACTTCCACGCCCCTGGACCGCTTACGCCCGAGCAGGCCGCTCAATACACGACCCTCGCGGGATCACCGCCTCCCTCGGCAGCACAATTTGCTGAGATGACCAAGTTCCTCAACCCATCGAACTTTACCTTTGGCTTGACGATCGATCCTGCTACTGGTTCTATCAAGAGAGTAGCCATCTATGCCGTGAGCCTCCCGGCTGGTGAATGTCCTACTGTCGGCAAACGTATATCGACGTTTTTGAAGGAGGTGCCGTCGTATGATCAGAAGGATGTGAATATTGTTTCGTGGTCCTTTGGGAAAGGAGGGGAAACGTACATGAAAGCGGAGAGGAGTTACTGCGGGGAGTTGGCAGAAGTTCTCAATAGCTGGCGAGGCGACGTGAGCCCTCAATTTCGAGATTGGTTTTTGAGATAGCTTTAACTCCACTCCGGATTTTTTCTTTGGATCTTGTTACTTAGTATTGAGTATATTGAGTCTACTTCATGTTGAGCTATTTCGTTTCCAAGGCACAACTCCGAAGCCTCGGATCTATATTGATAGCCGATTCTAGAAGCAATATTCTGACTACATGTATGGTCTCATCTTGCAGACCTGGCAAATCTCAAATGAGAAAGCTCCCTACTGCAACAAATGTCCCCATTACGCTGCTGATCAGAATTTCCCAAGGCAGCAATTTCGTCGTCATCGCAGAACCTGTCGGGATGGTTGGGATCGTTCGGCTCAACAACTATTGCCCATGCGTATTAGTTATAAATCCCCTGATGGTCTCGGTCGTACATCCTTGGTGTTCAACGTCAACGTACCTTGTCAATAGTATGCACCACTCCATTCTCAATGACCGAGTCGCCTCCCAGGATCCGCGCGCCGTTCAGGTAGGCAACATTGTCTTTTACCACCACGGTGATGTTGGTTCCGCCGAGAGTACGGAAAACCTGGCCGTTTTCCAGCCAAGGCGAGTAGACCGGCAAGCCCGAGCTCACGATAACATGCTCCTTAATCACCTGAGCAAGCTGCGCCTGGGTAAGTGTGCTGGCGAGATTGAACACTGAGTCGCTTGGCGCCAGGACGGTGATAGACGCCGTGTTCTGAAGAGCCGAGACTAAGTCTGCCTTTTGCAGTGCCGCTCCGAATTTGGACTCGCCCAAGGACTGAAGAGTAGCTGATAGATTCCTTGGTAGGGTGAGGAGACCATCAATTGGCCGGACAACGCCATGGTCAAAGGTAATATCATCTCCCGTGACCCTTACATACTTGCCCAGTCCCGTGAAGACAAACGGCAGCGAGGCAGAGGGGACATTCCTTTGCACTAGTGTCTGATTATGGCCAGAGCCAAGACGCACCGATGAGTCGTGATACAGCGTCTCGTAGACAGCGCCCAGATCCGTCTCTCGCTTCCCAACCACGCTGAACAACGAGTTGTTTCCCGAGGAAACGTGTGTCGGGTAAGTCACCTCTCCGAAGTTGTAATTGGCATGAATTCTGCTCTGGATGGCATCATCGTCCGCACGACGAGCGACCGTAAAGTTTCCAGAGGAAGAGACTGTATCAAAAGCATTGTTGCTTGGGGCATACACAACAATGCCCGGCCGAAGGTTGACTGGCTCGCTGGCTTGAAGCCGCTGGGCAAACTCTGTGAAGCCGTTTGCCTGGAGGACTGACAAGAGCGATTGTGATGGTGACTGTGAGAGAACCACTGAAGCGGCAATGAGACAGAAATCAAAGAAAATGTATTGTTTGCGCATGGTTACAGCTGGATGGATTGGGAGGGGGATGTGTGTGAAGATGGTGATTTGTTACGTGCACATGGAGCGTCCTGATGGTTCGTAGTCTTTATCTATTAAACCCAGTATTGACACCTAAAAGCTTGAGTCAAATAATTAAAAGATCAAGATAAACAATTGCATTATAGAGAATCGCAAAACAAACAATGGGAAGCCTACAGTCAGTCCTCCAGAGGCGTCGCGGGAATAATCGACTGCATCCTTAGTTGGTCCGTTGTACAAGGGTCTATGCGGCTGACTGCGGTGCGGCTGAAAGACGGTTTAAGCCATAGCCTGCATGCTTCATGCACATATCTGCCTATCACCGCAATGTTCGGTGACGATTTGCTTAGCGAGCAGTCGTGGAATAAGGTTATTCGGCGTGCCTTGCCTTCATCACATGCAGCTCTTCGCAGCCTCATGCGGAGGCCCACCCACAGGCTTTGCCGGGCATAAAGGAATTATTAACCGAGAAGCGTCGAAGACTTAGACCATATGTAGGTAGTCATGTTGTTGTGTTTCGTGCGTCAAAGCCTACATGTTCAACTGGGACGGGGCAGGTGCATATGCGTCTCTAATTGGAGAGCCTGATTTTCATTAGAGCTCCTTCTGTATAGTTGCATGGCTTGGCCAACATCACTGCCAGTCAGGTATCTATCAGACATCCCATGGATTCGGCTTTTGGGCAGTTATGGATGGAGAATCCAACAGCTCAACGGTCATCAGGGCATGGTTTGTCACATTAGCCAAGGGAACCTTAAAGAATATGGCAATATGGCGCTACAGTAGGTCTAAGAGAGGAAAAGTACAAACATAAACCTCTCTAGCAATATCATATCTCAGCTTCTGAGCACACATCCTAGTAAGGCAACCACTCGATAACGGGGCCATTGTGATAGAGAGAGGATAAAGGCAAGTAGGGAGGGGAAAATCGGGGGTCAGACATCAACCACCGAGGCACCGTCTGCTACGTGTTCCCAACCGACTGGCGAGCAAGAACACACACCTGCGTAGAAGTGCATCCTTCACGAGTGGGAAGCGTTCAGCTCAAAGCTCCTTGGAGGATTGTCACGTAAACTTCCGCAATCAGCAGAAATCACACTCATCTGCATATTGGCAGCGGCCCTTCTGCATCCAATGAGCACAAGCTCATATAGCTATTCAATGGTGTGTACTAGCTCGCTGCCTGAAGCTGCAGACTCCTCCATCACTAGGCAGACTTTGAAAGTTCGGTCTATGAGCCATAAGGGGCGAATTGCATTAAGCCAAGTGGAAAATTTGATTGTAAAGACGCATCACACGGATTCGAATGGCATGATATCTTCCTTGTGGCTGTTGTATTATGGTGAGCAGAAGTCGTAGCCTTAGTTCCTGAACGGTAGCTCAATTGTGTACTCTATGGCTGTTAGTAGCCTCAGCGCATGATTCCTTTACAACATGGATAGGTTTTTGGGTATTTAAGGATGTTATCAGGAACGCATTATCGCCTGGAGAAAAGGAGAACAACACGACAGTAAGCCCATCTAGCATTCAGTTCAAGCCCTCAAGATGGCCGATGTCTATACGACACTGGTGGACGGATCCTATCTGCTCCACCGTCCCTTTTACCTGCCCACTAAAGATGGCCCGGTCTGGGCGATTGCCTTTACCACCAATGGAGGCACCCTGCTCACAGCGGCTATCTCGGTGGTCCTTACCTTGATCTTCATGTCCCTTTGGAACCTCATATGCTTCATCGCCGTCTTGTTCCCTGGGTCAAAACTTCGGCGTCGGCACCTTGCTCTGGTAACGCTCTGGAACTCCAACGACTCTTGGTTCGCGTTCAAAGAGCTGGCGAGCTACGCCTACCACTTCTGGGGATCAAAGTCTGACTTTGCCTACGGTCTCTTGTTAGCCGTTTTGGCTCTGATGGTCTTCGGAGGCAGTATGACGTTGGGCATTATCGGACCCTCGCTGGTGCAAATCGGCACCGTGGCGCCTGTTCGACCGAGCTCAGTCTATTATCCGTATCTTGGTACCGACAACACCAGCGTACTTGCATACTACGGCGTCCTTGCCCCAGCAAATTTACGTGCGCTCGGCAGCATAGAAGCTTCCAAAGTGACGAAAAGAAAAGATGTGAATCTGCCTGACTCAGACGACCCCATTGGTCAAACAGAGAGTGGCGAGAACATCTATCAGTATTTGTACGACTATACCCTCACTGGAGTTGACTTTGGCCTGCAACAAGGTTCTCCTCTTTCGGTAACGGTTAACGGCTCATGCACGACCGAGTATGGATGGTACGTGAATGATACGGATCCAGCAGCTGACAACGACGTTTACAACCCATGGAAAATCGGTCCACACGTTTCAGTTCCGATCGGTTTCAATGATATACAATATGCCCCTAAAGCAAGCTTCGTACCTCATCCAGATGCAGATCAGCAATTCTCGGACAGCGGCAACAGATCTTTTGCCATTTTTGTCTGGGCGGCCAGGAGAGCAAGCATCAAACAGGGGGATGATCCGTGGTACAAAACGGAGCCTCGTCCTCCAACTAAACTCCCGGCTCCCTTCAACGCCCAGTTCTGGATGAAGCGTGGGCGACCGGCTCTGTCCTGTTGGCAAAAGGACACCTGGCGCTACGGCCCTCATGAAGTCAAGAATGTGTTCCATCTCCCAGATATTCCTGGCATAAAGGTGAAGCCCGCATTGCTCTCGCTGTTGGCAGAAGCCTTGGCAGAGCCAGTGCTCAAAAGAATCGGCAACGCCAGCGGTGACTCGGCGCTCAAGTCCACTACCACAAGTGCCAACGGCGTCATCAATGCAGAGGCGTCAAAGATTTCGTACGACCTAGAGCGTCTGGTTTTGGCGAGCTACGTGTTTACTCGCAATGTTCTCCTGGACAGTACCATGTTCTCGAGGCCCGATGGACTGGACAACATGATGGAGGACGGGACTGGTCAACCAGCTGACGGCGCTGGCGACTTCGTGCTCTCAAGCCCCGACTTCCAGACATTCTCCATGGTCGGTCTAATCGTCCTTTTTGTCATGCTGGTCACTCTCTTGATCACGCAAACGATTCTGGACACCGTTGTTCGGCGTCACACTGCTCAGCACAATAACGGCGACAAGGAAGACAGGCTGAAGCTGTTTAAAGCATTGCCTGCGGCTCAGCTCTTCCGCCGCATGTACGAGCCAACGGAGACAACGGATTCGCACTGGCAATGTGATTCGCAATTTCCTTCAGACAAGGATCCAACTGTGTTTGAGTGGGTCGAATGCGGAGAGAAGCACAGTCATTGCAACGGGCATATTAATCGCATTCCAGCGAGCGGCCCCGAGCTAAACACCGACAGAGTAGGCAACAGTGATAATTCGTTGGCAAGAAATGGAGGCAACAAGTTCGAGGAATCCTAGATCTCAGCGAGGAGCTCTTAGCGGCCTCTTGTAGCTCTCCTTTGTTGTTTTGGGCGCGACGGAACTACATGTACGCAGATGGGGGTGGGAACGGAGGATTGGTGAGGCCGGGTACCAGACGTTTGGCACGTTATATGTATCGGGTGTCGAAACTGAATTCGAACACCAACACATTAGGGCTTGGCTCCGCGGCACCTCACATCCGTATCGGCGGCACCTCAAAAGGTACATTTTTATATGTAAGGTACGAGATAAGGCACACTTTCTACAGTACTTTAGCTTATCGCACCTACTGTATAAGCAGGTCTCTACCTGACTTTACTACTGCAAGATCGCAACTCTGCTATAGTAGCTAACATGCCACACCTTATAGCTGTAAAAGTCTGTTATTACAGCACTGACATAGCTGCTATAAAGGGTTGCAATCCTACAGCTATGCATGCGGCATCCCAGCTACTATAGAAGAGCTGCTTTTACAGCAGTGTGGTGTTCTAGCCACTATAGTAGAGCTGCTTTTGCAGCAGTGTGGTGTTCTAGCCACTATAGTAGAGTTGCAATCTTATAGCTATGCGATATTGCTGCTGTGTAAAGGGAAGTCTTACAGGTGTAGTGTGTGTAGGAGTTTCTACGCTGGAAAGAGTACTTTATCGCACAGTCAATACAGTGTATTGAGGTGCTGCGGAACCGGATGTGAGGTGCCGCGGAGCCAAGCCCACACATTAGTGTACATGTAGTTGACAGACACTCTTCTAAATTTGTATCTGCCGCTCTTGGTTGCAATTGGTCCCTGGTATCTAGTTGAAGTACGCACCTACAATAGCCGCGAATTAATGGTACTGCAATTGACCACGTGATTGAAGTGAGAGCATCACCAAGGAGAACTTCCAATCGTCATGTGAATAGACTGCTGGGTGAACGTAATATTCTGGCCTTCAGCCCTTAAGGGAGAAATCCTTCCTCGTGACTTCTCCTGTAATCCTGGTTCTGGTTGTGTGCTTCTGCTAGCGGTAGAACAGTAATGTAGCCCTACGTGTCGTTTCCCGCACATGAATACCAAGCATAAGGCAGGGTAGTTCAACGCCCCTGGGTGCCTCTTCAAGTTGTATGAGCAATTAAGGTAGGCGCCCTCCCCAGTTATAGCCGTTTCTCCCGCTGATTAAACCCACAAGATCACCGTGTCTAATAGCATTCCGGACTAGCCCTGGGCCTGGGCCACAACGTCTTGGATGTTCTCCCGCGATCCAATGAAGTCGGATTATCGAGGTAGCGCATCGACCACGTGGGTCGCTACGCTTAGCGCATCGGATCGCTCGCTAGTGCCTTTACACCCCTGTAAGGCCCCTGTAGCCACCTTCCGCAGATATAAATACAGCGCTCGCTCCCTCCCCAAACATCAACACCTCGCGCCTTCCCTCGCCGCAAGAACAACTCGGGGCCATAGGTATATAGAGTCAATTATTCCTCTCTTCTTTCGCGGGGCAGTCGGGCGGGATATCACGGCTCCTGAGAAGAGGGCCCCTTCGAGGAGGGAGCACGTTCGGCCCCCCGGCTGTCTCGCTTTTCTTTTTCTTTTTTGCCATCTTGAATCTGCGCGGAACAATTTGCTTGATATTGACAGAATCATTTCTGCTTATCTTTGTGAGATATAATTGAGTTTGTGAGCCTGTAGATGCTCTGTTGTTCATTCCGAGGTCCGATTCGATGATGCTGCGGACCTGCCATTTTGTGCCACTGGAGCCTCAGTCACGGTGCACACGAGTTATTCGTGCTTTTGGCGCAGGATCAAACTTAGTATGTGAGTTCAAGAGCCGTGGGCTGAGAAACTTCTCACGCAAGAGAGAGAGCGATAGATACATATATGGACAGCTATCTGAATAGTCTACTTGGGGCCAAAGGAACCGTTCAAGACGCGACAGTTGCCGCAGCGCCGATGCTGACAGTTTATCTCTGTGCATTGTAATTCAACCTCGAAGAGGAGACCGCTCAAGCCACATTTACACTAAATAAACCAATGAGCTTCAATACACCATTGAAACTGCAAACGGTCATACGTACACAAATCCAAGTAGTGGTTTGCGGTGGCTTTATAGCATCCCATATCGATTTACCAGGACGTAGAGTGGCGGCCACCGCCGGCACCTCTGGTTCTCTCCCTGGGAAGTCAAAACGTTAAACTGATGTTTCTTCTCATCGCACTGAAAGGACTAATACTGGAATGTATCTTACGGTTTTGTTGTGTTATCAGCGGATCACTATCCTTCGTCGCAGGAAAGAACTTGTCGGTTGAACGATTGGCTACTGTGTTTGTCAGTGTACCGCTCTCTTTCCCATTGTCAACATCCATCCTGTCCGTTGGAATGGATGTTATCAAAGAGTCCGAAGCAACAACAAACTCGTTGCCAGATACTCCAATCTGGTCAGTCGAAGTTACTTGCGGCAAGACCATGACCGCGAGGCGCTCCTGATGCATTGCAATGTGCTCCTTGAAGTCGTAAAAGGGAACCATAGTCTCCGAATTATGGCCATCTTCCCGCTCTCTTGACCTTGACGCCCAGATTTCTGGAAATCTATCGCAGAATGGACAGTCTCTGGCATCAAAGGCAACTGGTGTCTCTCGACTCCCTTGTCGCAAAAACTCTAGCTGGGATTCGGAGAAGTTGCCGTGATGTTCCGCAATATGAGATATCACGCTCTGAAACGAGAAGCCTCCTTGTTTGCAGAGAGTACATCTGTATTGGCTCCTATGCTTTCGTAGCTCGTGTTCAAACCATGTGTCACGGTGGTCAAACAGTTCGTCACAATCTGGTCCACCTATGGTGCATATGTAGGGTTGGAGATAGCAAGATGTGTGTTTTCTACGTACCACATCGTCAGTCCCAACGGTGAGAGGTATGTGCTAGGGATATGACGCCGGGTTCTCTTACTTCCACGTTCGTTCATCCTGGATAGACAATGGGTTGAAACATATCGGGCATTCGAATGGCTCGTTGGTCATGTTTGATATGTCAACAATTGGCGATAACTTCAAGACTGAATGGTCTTTCGCCCGTGACGAAGCGCTTGTGGTGGAAACACGGTCGGCTCCCTCTTTAGGTCTCTCGCTTGATGGTGATTCCCTAGCTCTGCTTGGCACCCGACCTCCATCACTTTGTCTGTCTGCTTGTCAGGAGCTGAGCCAACAAGAACAAATGAATTCGAATTGGGGACTCGCCGTAGTCTATTGTCGCTAAAATATTTGAAGAGACGCCTTCTTTTGGCAATTGCACTACTCAGTCTGCCTGCAAGCTGACTGTTGCCAAGTTTTTGGTATTCTCGCGCAACGTATTCGGCATCAAGTGATTCGTAGGATACCAAAGTCAAGCCGCGACATGCCTGCTGGAAACGATCGAGAGGCGACTGCGGATCTTTTCTGATAAGTGTGCCCAAACGGAACAGTGACGTGATGCATTTGGAGATGACCTGCAGAAGCATGTCCACCTCTTCTAGAGCCGAATCGTGAATCTCGACGTTTGCATCCAGTCCAAAAAATGATACTAGATCGGCTCTGATATCTGGAGGAACAGCAGTGTTTCTCATCGGAGACTTGCGGAGAATTATCGTGGTCACTAGCCTCCCACGTTAGAGGTGGATGCGAGGCTTCTGGTTAAGACTAACAGTCTTGGATGGCCGTTATGATCTCTCTCATCTGCTGAATTACATCTTTCCGGAGATTCTGCGCTGAAGAGAGTCTAAGATCGAGCGGTGCTGGTGACAACACCAAGGTTTGAAACGCGCCCATATTGCCAGCCCACAAAGAGAACCTGTCCAAGCAGTTTTCAACTGCTGAAGGAAGAAGACTAAAGGAACTGTCAGCGGGCTCCTGGTTGACGACAGCAATAAAGTCAAGGAAATGCCGCCGGACTTGGGCGGCCGTGGATGAGACGATGCTTCGATCGTGCCAATTACCCGCTTCCCCAGCCATGGAAAGAGAAGTCGGAAATCTGGATAATTGTTGAGATGGAATAGCCTCTTGAAAGCAGAGGAATTCACTCATACAGATTAACTGAAGCCTCAGAAGTGCTCCCTACCCCGCCCGACAGACGCATCACATGCGGGCAGGAAATGCGATTGGTCGAGGCAAGTTGCGTGTGCGTGTCGTGATTTCCAGTGCCCAACCTGCGAATATCTCTCAATGCGCCTCCGACACCGTCTCCCTATAAAGTCCTTATTCCTGTTGTACAACATCAGTACTTCTTCGTCGTGACCATGTCTGGCTTCGAGATCGCCGGAATTGTGCTGGGTGCTTTCCCTATTGCCATCAGTGCTCTCGAGAAATATCGCGATATTGCGGACCGATTAGATCTATTCTACAAGATCAGGGAGCAATACCAGGATTGGAACACTGACCTTAAGTTCCACAACCTCGCGTTTACGCGAAATTTGGAACAGCTTCTGCTTCCCCTGGTGGCAGATGATGCAAAGATCGAAGAGCTTCTGCGAGAACCGGGCGGCGACTCTTGGAAGGAGGAGCCGGTCGCCAAACTGTTCGAGGAGCGCCTTCAAGGGTCTTACGGGCTGTACATGCAGTACATTGAGCGCATGGAGCGGGTGATGCGCGAAATCAACACGGTTCTTGCCATAGATTCGAAATGGACACAGAAGCTGCTTGATGGCTCGGTAAGCAGCAGCCAGTCAACGTATGACGATAATGAGAGTGGAAATAATTGACTCGATATAACAGGTCACCTCGAACAGACTACTAAGATTTAAAGAACTCTTTTCCAAAGAAGGCCTCGCAATTCAGGTTTACAAATTCAAGCTGTGCAACAGTGATGCTGTTCGCAAGCGCCTTTTCGACGAAGTCAATGAATGCAACAACAAGCTGGAGAAACTTCTAAGATTCAGTGATGAGGAAGTACGCTTGGCAGACATCAGAGAGACAAAGAAGCGTCCAGACAAGATTGACACGACGCTGTGCCATTTCTGGGAGAGGGCGAAGAGCGTCTTCCATGCAATGGCCAATGCCTGGGCTTGCCAGTGTCAGCAGCATGGAGCGAAGTTACTACTGCGACATCGGACAACAAAAGATACTCACTTTGACATTCTACTAACAGGCTTTGCCCCATCTTCGCGGGGCTTTCGAGCTATCAGAATTGGTGATAATGGCGATGTGGTAGCAGCAGATCGTACAAAAAGTACCATCCTTCGCAAGCAGGGTTACCATAATCGGTCTTTGCTTAGCGCTATTGGCAACACGGCACAAGGTAGCCTGTCCAGCAGGTGCGTATCTGCTTAGGAAGAACACCTCATATGTATATCAGAATAGCTGACGTTACTAGACTCTCTCAGAAGGCTACGTCGGTCTCGATTCTGAATCCTGTCTCATTGGTCAGCAATGATCGTGAGATCTTGAGTCTTTGCACTTTGTTTGAGAGTCCAGAGGCATCGTGCTATGGCTACCTCATTAACAACGAACATCGCCACTATGTGTACGGCATCTCTCAGGAGAGTGCCAAAGCAATGCCCTCTGTGACTCTTGACCATATACTCCGAGGCGAAACAAACTTGCTGTTCACGCGGCTGCAAAGATATACTTTATCTCTTGTGATAGCCTCAACGTACCTTCAGTTATTAGGCTCTCCCTGGCTGCCAGCATCTCCCAACAGAGCCAACATTGTTTTTACGACTACCGATGAGGATGTGGCTTCCGTCAAGCTAGATGAGCCTCACTTGAGTCAAGCTTTCAGGCCTTCACCAAAACATCAGACCTTTCCCAATTCAAGAGGTCTTTACCGCTTTATGGACGCATTAGATTATCTAGGCATCATGCTCTTAGAGCTTTGCTTTGGGCAGAAGCTAGAGGAACATCCATGGAGGAAAGGACCGGTGGAGAAGGACCAGACGGAGACAGGAGGATGTGACGTTTGGGCAGCCCGAGAATGGCTATGCCATGTCAATAACGAAGCAGGCTCCGATTACGCCGATGCCGTGTCGTGGTGCCTCAAGGAAAAACGCTTTGCGCCACCGGATCAATGGAGGCAAGATATGCTGCGCAACGTGATACAGCCTCTGCAGCGCAGCCGCGATTATCTGGTGACCGGGAGGGTAGAGAAGAAAACGTTTCGGTTAACCTGACTTTCTTATAGCAGCTGAAGGAAAAAGGGAAAAAACAAGAGAAAATGATCTACAAGATTAAAGCAACTGCAACCCAAGACGATCAAAATGCGCTTCGCATCCGAATACCAATGTCATGTATGTAAGGAGTACTTGAAGGGGACTTCCGTCATCGGTATACCAAACATTCTCAGAAGTCAATTACGGGAATCTCAACAGATGTAGCCCTGTGAAAGCTCTGATAATGTTCCTAATATAACTGATCTAGCAAAGGTTCGGTGAGGAAGAGAAAAGAAAGTTAATTGCTACTCGGTAGATTAAATAGCATAAGGAGGGCATCGCAATACCCACCTCACTGACAAGAGAGTAAAGTAGAGGGCCAGTACGTCTTCTTGAGTACCTCAGCTCTATGCCGACCGCAAGTACCACTCCAAATGTCCATACTCTAGTCTGAAGCATGGGGATGAAGGCGGGCGCTAAATTCAGGCATTAGCTCAAGATTTCCTCCGAGATGCCGCTCTGAAGCTGAATTTGACCAAACCAAAGCCTGGAGTACAGAGAAGGGGACAATATAATCCTTATGAACGGATACCTGGAATGAGGAGAAGTCAGCCAACTTTCATAAGTCCGGGTAATAGGTTGACCAATCGCCACGGACCTCCGTCACGATCCGAGATCAAGCTGGTTCAACGGGGGTAGGTTGACGATGTGATCAAGAGGCCATCTTAGCTGCTCAAGACCAGTCGCTATGCGAAATCATGGGGTCCCTGAGACCTACATAAAGGTCTAGATTCATCGATTTAGTCGCTGGCTCTTCTTTTATCTATCTTACAAGAGGCACTGCGCTATGAGTGAGCCAAGATAGTCGAAAGATCTGGTGAACGCGATGCCTCCAAAGCTACCCATCATGTGACGTGAACTTTGGGGATCAACCACATGGACGGTCGTATTTCCTCTATTAAAGCATTTTCCACAATATAAACGGTGAGATGAATAAGAGACGGAGCTAAATGGACGGCCGGGTGGCTATTGGAAGGTCTGGGCACTTCGGCCAACGGGTTACACGCAAGACACCGTTGAAGGAAGTGGAACAATCCGTCATTCATTCCTGCCACATTGCTTGTATCAAAGAGGTCTATCTTCCTCAGCTTGTAACCAAAAGCTTAGACTCTTACACATCTCGAATACACACATACAACACCATTTCTCTCTTCTACGTTCAAAAGACACGACACTTGCCGCAGTGCCTATGCTGACAACAACTCTCTGGGCATTGTGCATCCGCTTGGACGATAAGACCGGCCATGCCACATCGACACTAAAAAGCCAATAAGTTTTAATACACGACGAGAATCGCAAGAGGTCATACGTACACATGCCCAAGTATGAACCACCTCTACAGGCTGCTTGAATTTACTAGATCGCGAAGTGATGGAAACCGTCGGCATCTTTGGTTCTTGTCCTGACGAAGTATCAGAATGATCTTCTTGATGAATCTCCTATTATGTATGAGCATTCAATTGACACCACTTACTTTTCGGACGTGATGCGGGAGAAACCTGTCCCTTGTTCGTTTCAAGGGCTTGATCGATAGTAGCCTCGGTGGCATTGTTATCGCCCGACACGCCGCCGGTAGGGTTATCTGACTTTTGCAATGAATCATTTCCCACCTTGGCCTTCATATTTTGAATATGATTCATGTCGGGTTCCCGGGCTATCTCTATGTCCTCCTCAAGGAGATTTAACAACTCAAGTCTGTATCAGATTCAGAATGAGCCAGAAGCTTCCTGTGAATAGAGGAGATATGGCAATGTATGTATATTGGAAATGGTTATGACTCTTGGCCCATCCGTATGAAATCGAGGAGGTAGGACCTCTTATATAGACATCCAAGAAGCACACGAACTGATGCTGTTGAATTGGCCTGTGGTAACCCCGTAGTCCAACACTTCATACCTCTAGATCTGGATGCATCGAGGTCTAAGAAATTCCGACTACCCCGCTCGGCCGACATATTGGGGACATGTTTCATATATATAAGTATTTGAAGTGCGATTGGTTGAGATATGTCATGATTATGGTGCTCAGCCTCACGTCCAAGGGCATCACTCGAATCCTTCATGAGTCACAGGCCGGCTTATCCTACAGACAACTTATCACTCAGATCAAACCATATCAGAGTGTGAAATTGCCGGTATTGTTCTAGGTGCCATCTAATTGTTATCAGTGCTCTCGAGGCATATCGCGTCATCGCCTAACGACTCGGCCTCTCTCATAAGGTTGGGTTGAAGTATAAGAAATGGCGAGACGATCTGGGTTGCACAGAATTACATTTATAAGGAACTCGAGACAGCCCCCGCTTCTTCTCGCAGCAGATGACGAAAAGTCTGGGAACTCCTGCTGGAACCAGGAGGAGTTTGCGGCGATAGACTAACGATATCTACCAGACTAAAAGAAACAGTGAGAATTGGCAACAATTGAAAAGGCCTGACAATTGGGTTTTGGATATATTTGACCGAATATGCTAGCTATATGCATGTGTGTGTATACGTGAGCACGACTCGAGGTGAAATCGAAAGCTGTAGCAGCGAGTTGATGCGATGGCACATATCTATACATATATCATATCAAATCATAGTTGGTCCCTCTTATCTGAATGTAGAAACCAAGATTAATACGAATTTCAACACCAAAAAGGCCCTTCTCACAATATATGACAGACTTCTTATCACCTTCCTCTCACACCTTGTCCCACGGCGCGCTGTTGGCAAGCGGCTGATCATTCTCTTCATCGAAAATGTCAAATCCCAGGTGACGACTCGGGTCAAGGAACCGAACAGGGCCGCGCTCAGCAGCCAGCTGGTCTACGACGCGGAAGTCCTCGTCCGATAGCCTCGTCAGTTCGAGGTTTTGCTTCATGTGGACACTTTGCACGGATTTCGGAACCGCTGGAATTCCCTTTTGCACTGCCCAGGATAAGCAAACCTAGATATTACCAAGTGATCAACTTCATGATGCAATTTTCGTGTACTCAATCATGCTACTGTACCTGTGCCGGCGAAATCCCGCATCTGATTGCAATTTCGTTTATCTGCGATTCATATTAACGCTCCGTTCTAACGAAAGTTTCTGGTCTTTTGAAGCAACAAACCTTCTCATCCGCCGTCGGGAATGGCTTGCCGGAGCCTAGAACCGCCCTGACCGGACGACCACCAAGCGGCTGATGAGCCATGAGAAGAATGCCATGTTTAGACGAAAGCTCAAACAGCTCTTGCTGCGGAAAATACCTAAACCGTCTCATGATTAACGACAAGGGGCCACAGGAGATGTAGAAGATGAGCTAAGTAAAAGTATCTTACGGATGAATCTCAACTTGGTTCACTGCGGGGATAATTCTGGCCATGGTGAGGATCCTCCTTGTTTTGAGAATATTGAAGTTGGAGAGACCTGTGTTCATAAAAGTCAGGATCTGCCGCATTATAAAGATTCTCAACAGCGGACGAACCGATTGAGCGCGCAAGTCCCAAGTCCACGAGCTTCTCCATAGCCTGCCAGGTTTCTGGATATCTTCTAGACAGATCGTAGTCTATGACAGGCTAAGTCGTGTAAGCTCATTGCGCGCAGTCACATTCTTTCGGGTGATCACTTACCTTTCCATTACCGCTATGATGCCTAATTGTATTATTTTGTTCGCCGGCCTTGTAAGCATGAGGAACTTCCAAATATCAGCATTTTACCCGACGACGGATCTAGTATTGGGAGGCATACAGTGCATCAAGTATAAATCGACTACCACATCACTTGTCAGCCGAACTCATCTCCTTGTTGATGAAGGCGTTGGGATTACCGAAATCCAACTGCAGATCTTTCAACGTTGCTTCAAGAGCTCTTTGCACGTCCAAAGGCTCGTGCCATGTTTGTGCGCTGTGGACTTGTGAGCAAAGTATACAACAGTCGACAGTGTGGGAGGCTGCAACATACAGTTTGGAAGTAACAAAGATCTCATCTCTGGGAATTCCGCTCTCCTTGATGGCCTCTCCAATCTCCTTTTCGTTTCCATACGCACTGGCACCATCGATGTGCCTATATCCAAGTCGTAGCGCCGTCCGTACTGCCTCTTTTACCTTTGAGTTGCCTTCGTCTCCGTGAAATGTGCCGAGTCCAATGGCAGGGACACTGTAGCCATTGTTGAGAAGAAAGGCCTTTGGCAGATCCATTGAAGAAGAGCTACGGAGATTGTTGGGTGAGTTCTGGGGGTCAAGGCATCAACTGATTCATATCAAAAAAGGCTCCTCGGGCGCAAAGAGGGGGGGAGGTAACCTTGCACTACATAGTCTTTAAATGAGGAGAAAACATACGAGCTTTGGCCAGTACTCGGCCCAGATTGAAGGGGTACCTTGAATTCGACCAATGATCACAAATCCCGGTCTCGGCCTATTTGATGCAGTTGATCGAGTCGAGCTTGGTAGCAGTGGGATGCGATTGGCTACGAGGTCAGGAGGGCATTTGAGCTGCTCGTAAACATCCGTTGTACAGGGTCAAAGACCTTCTTTAAGAATCGTATAAAGCTCTGTGCAACGCACAGCTTGGAGGTAATGACAAAGAAATCGGTTATAGATATGCCAATCTGCTTGGTAGCCTCTCCGATCTCCTTTCTATTTCCATGTGCGCTGGCACAATCTATTTATTTATACCTAAGTTGCAGCTCCGCCTTCACAGATTCTTTTACCTTCAAGTTGCTGTGTCTCCCTGGAACGTGTCGAGTCCAAAAGCATCAAAATAGTGACATCGTTGTAAGAGAACAATTTGAGTAGATCCATGATGTTCCAGCGAACTTGCCGACTATGTTGTCTCTGAGGCTAAAGGTTCAGCCGAGTTTAGTCACACCAGGCCCCTGGACAATAGAGAGGAGATGAATGTAATCTTAGGTTAAATGGGACCATGGAATGAGGGGAGTTCAGCAAGCTTTGACCAATATCAAATAATCAGTTGATCAATCGTCACGGATCTCAGTCGCTATCCAAGTTGATCGAGCCGATTAAACCGGGGTTGGTTAACGATGTGGTCAGCAGGCCATCTCCGCTGCTCGGAACCAGTCGCTATACACTATCATGGGGTCTCTGAGGATCATATAAAGCTCCCGATTCTCTACTTGGTTCTTGGCACCTGCTTCAACTACGTTGTTCATCTGCCTTACTGGAGGAATCGCACTAGGAGAGAGGCAGTATGATCGAAGAATCGGATAAACACGATGCCGCTCAAGATCTGAAGACTGTAGATCCTCAGGTGTTCTCAGGTATGTAAGCCTCATCATCAGACATCATCATGCTTCAGTTGCGAAGCTAACGAAACTGGTCGGCAATCGATACAGTCTTGCCAGACGCTGCGGAGGTGCTGGAGGCGACATTCTGTACCGAGTCGTCCTGGGCCAAGGGCTATCGTGTCAGAGTGCGCCAAACAGATGCCAGTGAGGAGCTCTACTTTATGAAAGTTCGTATAACACGAAGGAAAATCTCTCACGTGTGCATTGCGCACGTAGCAACATGCAGCCTTTGCTGAGCGGCGTTAGGTGTCAACCAACCATCATGGCAAACTGGCTGTGATGAGCGAATTCGAATCGACGTCGACCATCCACGCAATCACACCGGACTTCTGCCCCAAGCCAATCGGATGCGGTACGTTTGAGGCAGATGCAAACCTGCATTTTTACGTCTGCAAGTTCTACAATTTTGCGGAGGGCGTGCCCGAGCCCACTTCCTTCTGTGAGAAGCTGGCCCGACTCCATTCAAGCAGCTCATCGCCAGAAGGGAAATTCGGCTACCACTGCGCAACATACAACGGTGACCTTCCTCAGGATAACACCTGGTGCAACAGCTGGGAAGAGTTCTTTGCCAATGGGCTGCGCCACGTTCTCAAAGTCCGAGAAGAACGGGCTGGGCGTAATACTGAGCTTGAGGAGCTTTTGCCTGCGCTCTTCGACAAAGTCATACCCAGGCTTCTGAGACCTCTCGAGAGTAAAGGACGGACGATAAAGCCTTCGCTTGTACATGGAGACTTGTGGTGCGGAAACGCCGGCGTCATTGACAATGAGACAGGGGACGGTATAGTTTTCGACCCATCTGCCTTTTGGGCGCATAACGAGTGTATGTTCTCACCGACTCTGACACCGTCAAGCTCATTCTCAGGTCTCTGACGTTTCCTTCTCCAGATGAACTTGGGAACTGGCGCCCTGAGCGGAATAAATTCACCAGTCGCTATTTCGAAGCATATCATTCCATCATACCCAAATCCGAGCCTGTAGAGGATTACGACGACCGCAACGCCCTCTATTCTACGTAAGAGAATATAATAATTGGGAGTAACTGGAGAGCTCATTTTGTGATTTTAGGAAGTTCGATTTGCAAGCTGTGACAGTCCACCCGGACCAAAAATGGTATCTCCGCACGTAGGTTCATCCCACGCACCCCTTGTGAGAGCCGTTTGCTAAGGAGTCGGGTGATAGGGCAATAGACGAGATTCGACGACTGGTCGAGGCGTATCCTGAAGGACATACAGATAGCGGCTAAACGGTATCACTTGAAAGTCCAGGAGGCAATGATTCGGCAGAGCGGCAAACGAAGATATCGAGCCCAAGCGGACGTCAGTATGGCTGTTGGCTACTACTTGCATTTTGAGCAATAAAGAGGTATCTCGAAATACTCTGCTTGAGCAAATGCTACGTAATATCCAGCCATCTATGGATTACTTAAACCCTCTGCTTTCGTGTTGTAATATTAATCTCTCGATGACCAACAGATTCACGGTGAGCGCTTGGTGTAACCTCCCGTCTTTCAGGTGACGACTCAAGGCAAACTGGTAAAAGAGATGCTCTACCTCCTTGGTCACAAGGGCACTTTGTGGGATCAAACTTATGGTGCAAACATCTGGACAAAGCGCTTTGTTGACGAGACCCTCAAGTTGTCACTTGAAAGACAGCCTCTCCGGGACTTTAACGGTCTATAAGAACGTGCCATATACCACAAACTCAATAAAAAGGATACTTACCGAGTTCTTGCAAAGAGTGCGACGTCGAGTGATCTTTACGATCCAATTCGTTCCCCCGAGCCTGTCCCGTCATAAACGGGTCTTAAAGCTCACGGATTGAGGCCATGGATGCTGTCAGGGAAGATCTGACAGAACTTCGCCTCAAGTATACCGGGTTGCTACAGTCTATAGAGATACCCAAGGAGGAAATTGACCTTGCCCAGTCGATATGGACCTGGATCATCTTGGCTCGTCGCTCACTGACCCTCAAAGAGCTGCGCAGCGCTGTCGAGCTTGACCTAGGAAACGAGCTTGACCTAGGAACGAAACACCTGAGCCTGCGAAAAGCAATCCCCAGATTCTGCAAAGACCTCGTCACCATTGACAACAATCGGGTCAATGTAGTACATGAGGAGATTCGCCACATTCTTCTCGAGCCACAGACGAGCCTCGACTTCGCAGTTAATTGGGCACAGGGCCACACGCGGATTTCAATTGCGCTGCTCAAGCTGCTTTCGGGCGACTGTCTTCGCCAGCTTCCTATCAATAGTTCAGCCGAAGCGGCATCTGCATCTGCTTCCAACTCATCGCTGTTAGGCTACGCAGCAAAACGCTTCTCGACACACATCTCTCGCTGCTCATCAGAAGAAAATAGCGTCATGAAAGAATTGTGTGCATTTCTGGAATCCAACGGCCTCCTATGGATCGAACACGTTGCGAGACGTGGCGGTCTACGCGTCATCTCGCGGACTGCACGGAATCTGAGCTATTATTCGACTCTTCGAGAGATAGCCAATCCAACTGATGGTTCAATCACTATCGTCAAACAATGGGCGACCGAGCTTCGTCAAGTCGAAAAGGAGTTTTCATCCCAACTACGCGCGACGCTGGGCTCAATCCGACGGCTGATCCCTGCTTTATGTCCGCCAGAGTCTATGATCTTCAACTCTTCTACCAAACATTTCGGGCTCAGACCTCACGGTCTGTTTGAGACAAATTGGGAGGATTACATGGTGCGACTTGATCTTTCCGGGAGCTCTGCGACTGCAGTCGGTTCCGGAGATGTTTTCTATGCTGTTGGTACTTCTACTGGCAGTGTAATGCTCTACAGTTCCGAATCTGGTGAACGATGTTTGACCGTGGCTCATCCTGGGAGAGTTGAGCTCCTACAGTTCAGCCCTGGCGATGAGCACCTTGCGTCTTGCAGCGCCGACGCCATGATCATATGGAACACAGAGTCTGGCGCCCCGCTATGCGAGATAGCCTTGACGTCTTTCCTTCTCGGCGTCACATTTGTCGACAGAGATGAAGTCGTTGCCGCATACTCAGATGGGCAAGTCTTAAGATGGTATATGCTTTTGCCTGCGAACGGTTCTTAGGTTCACATGCTGATAGGTTACAGGAACATCACAATCCCCCAACCGAGCTCACTATACAGACATACAAAAGTACGCGTATCACTCATAGAGTATTCCCCCCGGTGGCAGTCTCCGACCTGCGTGGCCTTCTTGGTCACTCGCGACGCTACCCTGGTGGCTTTGGGAGATCGGATGAATTCAGTTCTCATCTGGAACATTCGAGAGCAGAATGAGTTGGGTCAATGCAATATCCGGTCAAACAATGGCATCAATGACATGGTATTCAACCCCAATCCAGACATCCCTTCCTTGGCGGCAGCGTGCACCGACGGTAGACTATGCCTCTTCGACTATTCGACCACGGCGTTGAAGCTCACCGTAGACGACATGGACGCGCAAACCCTTGCCTGGTCGAGCGACGGGTATACTCTGTTTACGGGTAGTAGCCGGGGCGTTGTCAAGGTGTTTGGCTACGGGTACGATCAAGACGGTAACACCCGCCTGATACCCATCTATCAGGTCGATGGGCCAGAGGACTCAATCCGCGGTATTGCCTTCAGCTCTCATGGGCTGCGAATCCTTGGTCTTGGCTCACAAGATTGTCACGTCTGGGATCATGCAGCCTTGGTGCGGAAGCAACATGAGCACGAGCGCAGTTGCGATGCTCGGCTGTGCCGGCGGATGATGCCGCCCGCGTGTTAGTCGGCAAGCCCCAGATTCTGGAATCACCGATGGAACGGTAACATGACTGCGGAACTAGTCGCGTGAACCGAGGGTGACCTGGAATGCGCGCTGGTGGGCGGTATGTATGCGGTATCAGGAGCCAGTTCGCACAACTAGCATCATACAGTTTTTTCCCCCCATATATGTCTATCGTGTCGTAGGTGTTAGTATAGTAGGCCACCCTGGACGGCGCCGCACGAAGGCATTGTATAGTAGATGGATAGTATTTGGGGGACCTTGGATACTGGTGAGCTAAGTGTGTCGTGAATTACTGCTTAAACATTTGTAAACATTTGTCTGTCCATCAGAAGCTGTGCTTCGCCGTGAGTCGTGTATTGGCAAGGACTTTCATCCAACGTATAGTGCTGTCTGCTTGTGGTCGATGTGCTCACCGCTGAGGAGATGTCTCGCTTCCGGAAAGAATCCATTGTAACTGCAGACATAGGATATATGCATCATTACTCATCTTGAACTGTCAGCCGGTTTATTCCCTGTTGGAGATCCGGTCTTCCGTTCCCCCTCCCTTTTATCCCACAGGCTAAAATGAGCTACCAAAGCCTCCATCACCGAAATCTCACCAGATGCAGGTTGTGATGCATACATACTTTACTCCGCACAAATTGCAGAATTCGCACACCGATAATCGCGTATAGTCTCTCTAACAATGAGGATTTTTGATTGCTCTTATAATCGGTTTTGGTACCCAAGTTGTCGTCCAGAGATGGAATTTGTGTGTCATCGCAAGCAACAGTTTATGATATGATGCCTCAACAAATATCGCCAACAGATCCTTTCTGCCGGGTGTTGGATCGATATCCCTGCCAACGAAATGCCGTTGAGCATACTCAAATGCGGAGTAAGAGACACGATACTTCCATTGGCTAGAATTGACGAATACCCCGGAAAGCCATGCAGTTGTGTAGTACTCCATGCACAAGCTGTTCATCGTGAACGTCAATGACAATATTAGGCTATTTACACTGCAACGGGCTTCACAGAGCATGGCATTATACATATCATAATGAACAGCATGGTGAACTACTATAAAGGTTCCTATCTCTATCATTGCTTCTACAGACTCCTATAATGGTCAAGCTCTCTGGGCATCGCTGCGAAGGCATAGAATCACAATGCGGTCCATCCCAGTAATCTCAAGCTTCGTGACAGTACTAAACGCTTTCTCCATACACCGCAAACCCCATGCCGACTTCAAGTACCTCGTCACCTTTGGAGACAGCTACACCGACAACGGCCGCCTAGGCTACTACAGCTCTCATGATGCCCACGGACCGCCCCCGGGCGTAATGCCCCCCGAGGCCAACGTCACGGCCAGCGGAGGCCTGCAGTGGCCTCAATACGTCGAAGCCAGCACGGGCGCGACTCTCTACGACTATGCCATCGCCGGCGCAACGTGCGACAACAACAATGTGGAGAGATGGGCCGCATTCATGAACGCATATTACCCATCCATCATCACCGATGAGCTCCCCTCGTTCAAGGCCGATCGCAAGACGAAGCTGTACAGGGGCGTCACTTCGGAAAACACGGTGTATGCGCTGTGGATAGGGACAAACGACCTGAGCTACACGGGCATCCTCAGCGACTCACAAGTGGCGGGAACAAACATCACCACGTACATCGACTGCCTCTGGAATGTCTTTGACGCGATTCACGCAGCTGGCGGCCGCCGCTTCGTCATCCTCAACAACAACGCTTTGCAGCTTACGGCGCTGTACCGCCCGCTGTCAGACGGAGGCGCGGGCGACAACCAGTTCTGGGCCAATAAGACGCTCTACAACCAGACTGAGTACGCGCAGAAGATGCTCGAGTACACGGTTTCGGCAAACACGATGATTGACTACGGCGTTCCGTTCCACCTGCTCGTCAAGAATCGCTGGCCGGGGTCCAAGATTGCAGTGTATGACATACACAGCCTCATCATGGACATTTACAACGATCCCAGCCGCTATTTGGAGCCGCCGCATAATATCGTAGGCTACTATAAACATTGCGATGTGAACGGCACGAACTGTTTGTATGGGCCGGGACAAATCAATTCCTATCTTTGGTGAGACTTTCACTCTCTGTTGTCAAGCGACTAGAAACTGACGCGGTGATAGGTATGATGAGTTGCATCCTTCGAATATAACAGGTAAATCTCCCTATTGTGATATGATGTTCAGTTCTAATATCGGGATAATAGCCACTTATATCGCGCGCGAGTTTGAAAATGTCGTCGCTGGCCGTTCCAAGTACGGCACATATTGGGAGCATTGGTAGATGTAGATGTAGATGAGAACACGTATAACGAGAATATGACTTTTATTTGACCAAAAGATGAACCTTCCCTAACAAGCCGTTTACTTGCTCTCTAGGATCCCACTGCTCGCCGTTTCTGTTCCGCTTTCGTTGTCTTCACTCACTCTTCTGATTCCTCTCAGTCCGCGATACACCAGCAGGATTTGTTTCCGCCCGTCAATGATGGGATAGAACCCAGCAATCAACATTGTGCACCAGACCCAAATGATGGCGACGACGATCCAAGCGACAAAGAAACCCTTGGAAAAGACGTAGTGAGAAGCGTACATTGGAAGCGGCCTGCCAGGCAAGTGTGTTAGTCAGATGCTGCTACAAACGACAATCAACTCTTTTGTTGTCGACTTACCAGAGTACCCAATGGCCCAAGAATGTGGCCGCTGCCCAAAAGGCAGCAATCTTTCCCCATTTACGAAACCTGGCCGCATCCTCCAAGTAGCCCGATTCTGTCACCGCAGGCTCCTTGGTATCAGCAGCAGCCTGGGGTTCCGAAGAGCTCGGGCTGTTTGTCCTGCTAAACGCCAGCCGCTCCTTTCGGAAGTCTGCCCAGTCATAATTGGCCGGCCTAATGAGCGAGATGACGATGGAATAAAGCCCAGGGCTTAGCGCTGATGCGACAGTTCCGTAGACACAGGGCACGGTCTGTCCGGTCGAAGCCACAGTGACCTCGCCATACAGCGTATGTGCCGTGCCGAGCCAGACAGAGATGCCAGTGGCCATGCCCAGAAGGGGGGAGATGACGGCGGCAGCCCGAGACTGTCGCTTCCAGAGAATGGTGAAGACGGTGGGGAAGATGCCGGGGCATGTCAAGACGCCGAGCATGTACAGCGTCCAGCCGAGGTTCACGTTTCCGTAGAAGAGAGCCGTTGAGAAGGCCGCGGAGAACAGTCCGAAGAAGACGACGCCGATGTGGCTCCATCGAATGGCATCTCTGTCCGTTGCGGCCTTGTTGAAGTACTGTCGGTAAATGTCAAAGCTGATGATGGAAGAGACGGATATGACCTGGGCGCTGATGGTTGACGTGACAGCCATGAACGTGATCAACAGAACCGCGACGGCTCCTCCTTTTCCAGCAATGGCAAAAGCAGCATACGGCATGACCAGCCCGTTGGACACTTCATCGGCAGTCATTCTTCGGGGGAAAGTGGGAAAGCGTGGTGTGCTTTCTAGGCCAAGAGCTGAGAAGCTCATCAGAGTACCGAGACACCAGGGGATTGCAAAGTAGGCAATGCCGCCGACGATGTATCCGGGGACGACCGCTTGAGGGGCAGCACTGAAGGCCTTTGCGAAGAAGCCAGTGTCCATGATGACGAGGCCAAAGTTGGCTAGGATGTGGATGATGCCAAAGAGGATGGCCTATCTCAATACTTATTGTTAATTTAGGAACCAAAACAGGATGATGGCACAGAAGGTACTGACGTTCTTGCTGGTCATTGTCACATAGGAGCCATCATGGTTCCCAGGCACGGGATGGACCTGGCCAGCCTTGACAACGAGATCGTAAAGGCCTCCCGGAGAGCCAATCTCGGGAACAGTAAAAGTCTTGATCGTGAAGAAGCAGATGATGACTGTGATGACAAAAGTGTGGAAGTAGTCGGTCAAAAAGGTTGCCTTGATGCCGCCGACGAAGGTATAGAGAATGACGCCGACAGGGAGCAGAAAGGTTGCCGCAATCTCATGCATGCCGGTGCTGATCGAAAACCAAGTCAACAGGGGATCCTATGTGGGTTGGTAATGAATGACTTACAGCGCTGATATGGCTGCACTCGCCCCGAGGAGCATGTTGGCAATGGCAATGATGTTGTTGATCAAGCACAGGGCAATCCACACAATGTGTCCCGCAGTGCCATACCGTACTCTCACAATCTCGAGCAATGTGTGAGCTTCAGGTACCCGCAACTTGCACGCAATGCCCAGCAGTGCAAAAAAGACAATCATGGGCGAGCATCTAACAAACAGTGCCGTGTCAGTTTCCCCCTAGCATCCAGCTGAGTGAAGCTCCAACTGCCACAGTAACTTACCCAGCAGCAAACCAAAACGGTCCCGCAACTCCAAAGTTGTATCCTACCAGCGTGCTTCCCAACATGGCCGTGCTCCAGAGCCACGATGATACCACGGCTGAAGCCGTCAGCCCCGTTCCGACAGAGCGGTTCGCCGTCATGAACATCTCCGTCGTCCTGTTGTCTTCGCCAACCGTCTTCTTGAGCAAGTGGGTCGTGAACATCATGATGAAGGCAATCAGGAAGCCGATTGCAATCACCACAACGTAGCCTGCCACCTGCGGTAGAGGCGGACTGACGGTAGCACCGCCATTGGCTGCTGCTCTCTCCAGGTGAAGCATGGTGTAAGTCAGACTGCTGAAGTTGTCTTCAACCACTCAACCGTACTCAGCAATTATCGAGCCCATCTCTTGAGTCTTCATCATCTGGTTTATAAGTTCACTCTTCTTTTAACTTTCATCAACTATATTGAACCTTTTATCCCGATAAGTCAGCCCTAAGCTGCCGAACCCCGTCAGTTTCAGTGATGCATCATTTAGCTCCGATGACGCGAGAGCTCAGTTACCAGGATCTTCAACTCTAGTCCACCACGGCAGTCTCCCGAGGCCGCATTTAATTCGCGACTCCGCATCTTGGAGATTTTGACAGCGCGAGATCGGACATGTCGATATCGTCTCACATGCTTATTCCCAGCTGCAGTTCAAGTGAGCTGATTGTGATGTGCGTCGGTTCGTCGTCTCTTAGTGTGAATAAAGACATCCTCGTCACCTTTAGAATGTCACTACCGAAATTGCGCCATTCTAGCGATGCTTGACGTCGTCCTATGGCTAAAGTGCGCAGGTCCTAACCCAGCCAATGATAATGGTATGTGAAACGATATAAAGCAAGTGTGATTTGGTTATCATATGCAAGTCACCGCTCCGTGTGCTTGGGTCCTTTTCGGTCAGCAGCTTCCACAGCATCTTGACATAGATCCAATCCATCATAGCTTAATTCCCCAAGATGGCGTCTACCAGTACCCAAGAGAATGGTGCCCCCAAGAAGAAGCTTATTCTCAATGCCTTTGTTGAGTCCTGCAGTGGCCACCAATCCCCAGGCCTCTGGAGGCACCCGCAAGATCGTTCAGCCAACTTCAACAGCATTCACCATTGGGTGGAGCTGGCTCAGTTGCTAGAGAAAGCTCACTTCCATGGCATCTTTATTGCCGATGTTTTGGTAGGATGAACGACGAGCCTTGAGAAAATCAGACTAATGCTGTTATCAGGGCCCTTATGATGTTTACAAAGGACCTCGTAACCCAGACCCAGCCATCATCTCAGGAGCACAGATACCTGTAAACGAACCACTGGTACTTGTTCCGGCAATGGCCGCAGCCACCAAGAGTATCGGCTTCGGTGTCACCATTGCTACGACATATGAGCAGCCCTACCACCTTGCCCGTCGTCTTAGCACAGTCGATCATCTGTCTGGTGGTAGAGTTGGCTGGAACATCGTGACCGGCTATCTCGACTCCGCGGCAAGAAACTTGGGTCTCACAGAGCAGCCCCCTCATGATGAGCGGTATGCCATTGCCGATGAATACGTCGATGCCATCTACAAGCTTTGGTAAGTACAGAGCATCTATTCCACGCAATGGACGTCGGGTGGCTGACTGTATCCATAGGCAAGGATCATGGAGAGACGATGCCGTGAAGCTCGATGCCGAAAAGGGCATCTTCACAGACCCCTCTCTAGTCAGGCCCATCAACCACAAGGGCAAATACTACACCGTTCCAGGGCCGCATATCTGCCAACCATCTCCCCAACGCACTCCAGTCATCATGCAAGCCGGAACTTCAAAAGCGGGCAAAGCTTTCTCGGCCAAGAACGCAGAAGCAATCTTCGTAGCCGGGCACAGCCCCTCCGTCATAGCCAAGAACATTGCCGATATTCGAGCCGCGGCACGAGACGAGTACCATCGAGACCCCAGCACCATCAAGTTCTTGGCCATGCTCTGTCCTATCATTGGGAAGACTCAGGAAGAGGCTGAGAAAAAGTATGAGGATTACATCCAATACGGTTCCGAAGATGGTGCTTTGGCGCTGTTCGGAGGCTGGACTGGCATTGATCTCGCCCAGTACGATGACGACCAAGAGCTCCGCCACGTCGAGTCCAACGCCATTCGCTCCGCCGTGGAAGCTTGGTCCAAGGCCTCGCCCTCAGTTCCCAAATGGACGAAGCGTGCTGTCGCAAAGCACATCCAGATCGGTGGCCTCGGAGCTACGGTGATTGGGACGCCGGAGAAGGTGGCTGATGAGATGGAGCGGTGGGTTAGGGAAGCCGACGTGGACGGGTTCAACATTGCGTATGCTCTTATGCCTCAGACGTTTCAGGATGTAATCGATCTGCTTCTTCCGGTGTTGAGGGAACGGGGGCTATTTTGGGATGGATATACTGTTGATGGGGGAACATACCGGGAGAATCTCTACGGGAAGAAAGGACTTGCGCGGCCGCCGGCGGACCATCCGGCTGCCAAGTACCATTGGAAGGCGGATTCGAATTAGAGGTTGTGCATAATCAGCAATAAAAGTACTCCCCCTTAAGAAACTGTGCAGAGGCAATACGATATGGCGCACGGCTGTGAAATCGATATATGCAGGGCTTTTGTCCCAGTCGAGATTTAACAGCGCACGAGGAAGGGGTTCTACAATATTTCTCCAATGCAACAAATGGATGACTATCCTCGCACGCTGTGTGAATCATATGATCATAATATCCCCCATGGGCGATTCGAGTTCTTATGAGTGCCTCGCCACCCCAGTGACAATGTACGGTTATCAAAGCTCGGTGAGGTAGTACCGCTCGCGTCTCACAGCATGCATGTGACAACCCTATCCATCAATCATCTTCAACAACCCAGCATATAGTCTACCGAGGAATTACTTCCAGGATCTGAAGACACATCAGGCTTAGCAGGCTGATGTTCAAGCTGGGGTAGGCTGATGTGCCTGACTTGTACCTTGCTTCATGCAGGTTCCTAAGGTATTCAACAAGCATCTGGGCGCCAAGGTCATATGTAGATTCATCGGAAATTCTACCAAAGTTCTAGCCATTGATTACCGTTTCTATAAGTAAGATCTAATCAGCCCCCATGTGTAGATTCATCTACACAGCCTTGAAGAGCAGTGTCGCGACATTGGGCGGCATTGAAGGCAGTATTCAATCTTTCACGTGTTTCATGATAAGCACACAATACACACAACATATAGACACAGCTGGCGATCACAGCAGTTATTCTGGCGACATGAGATAAGCGGCGAGCGTATTGTGGCTTGCCGTCAGAGAGCGGTACGGAAGTGGGATACCGTCACTTAGAGATGTAGACAGCATCTGTCAGTGTTTGATAAGCACCATCGAAACTCTTCTTCGTCCTCGCCATATGTGAGTGGTAGCACTGATAAGGTGGCGACATACATCAACCCGCCAAACCTCCCGTACAAGTAGCAACTCCGCGATAACGCGTTTTATGCAGCTATTTGCCAATACAACAAAAGCTGACATACATCGCCTGCATCGTGCCATCACCCAAGTCGATCACGACATCCCCATCGCACGTGATGATTACATCCCTTCTCCCAAGCCATGATGATTATCCCGTTCTCTGAATCTCCCAAACCCCTCATTGCAGTCCCTTTCTCAATGAGCTATACTAGTAGTCTATGATACTTGAGGCACCGGAAAAGATGGGCGGAGGAAATAAAATCAAGTCGGTTGCCGTCATTGGCGCGGGAGCTGCAGGTAATCAATCAACCAGCGGATATAAGCCGTGAGCATGGAGACGGACGACAATTACTAATGCGGGCGTCTAGGAGCGGTAACGGCGGCGGCGCTGAAAGCCGAGGAAGTGTTCGACTATATCCGCGTTTTCGAGAGGCGCGAATCTGCAGGAGGAACATGGTAAGACTGACTTGGAGCCATGACCACGGAGCATATGAAGATGTTTATGAATGCTCATTGTCCGCGTCATCCATCTCAGGATATACGATCCCGCAGTTCAGCCCAACATCCTCGTCCGGCCGGGGGCGTTGCCGGCCGAAACCGACCCTCCTCTCGAGATTCCCCAGAGTCTTCCTGCAGTCACTCGGCACAATGAGCAGGAGAGATTCTCCAAGACGCCCATCTACAGCTCACTAACGTACGTTTCCCAGCAAGTCATACAAGTTGTAGGTCAACTATAAGCTGACAACATCCTTGCAAACAAGTACAAACGTGCCCGAGATTGCCATGTCCTTTTCAGACGTTCGCTTTCCATACGGCCCGTTTGCACCTCACCACATTCCACGTCAATACATCGAAAACTACTTTGCGCTGCACAAGACGGATTCATTCTTGGTTCTCAACACAACTGTCGAGGAAGTTCTCAAGATTAACCACCCCTCCAATGATGGCTCAACGCAGTGGAAGTTGACCCTCAGAAAATACGACGCCCTCCGAAACGTCGACATCTGGTGGGAGGAAACATTTGACGCCCTCATTCTGGCAAACGGCCACTACTCTGTGCCAACTGTACGTTTTATTCATTTCCAACAGCTCAGCAAACTGCCTACTCACAAAGTCAGATACCGCATGTCAAGGGACTGGAGGAATACATCCAAAAGTATCCCGGGCGCATAGTCCACTCCAAAACATACAGATCGCCCAGTATCTACAAGGACAAACGAGTGCTCGTGATTGGCAACTCGGCATCAGGAACAGACATCAGCCGCGAGCTTGTCTCAACAGCTCAGCTCCCCATCTATCAGTCAAGGAGATCCAAGATCTGGTGGGAGGGGGATGAACCTCCAGCAGGCATCAAATGGAAGCCGGTGATCTCAGAGTACCTTCCCAGTGGCAGAATCGTCTTTGAAGATGGCACATACCTGGACGATATCGACACAGTCATCTATTGTACCGGATACAAGCCATCATATCCGTTTTGGAACGCAAAGAAGAACGGCCAGCCCCTCTGGCATGACAGAAAAGGACAGCTAGTAAAAAGCTACTGGCACACATTCTTCCAGGACTACCCGAACCTCGGAATAGTCGGCTTGCCTCGCGTTTTGACTTTCCGCAGCTTCGAATACCAGGCCATTGCCCTCGCCCGCCTGTTTGCCAACCGCAATCCAGTCCCTCTCCCTCCAGTATCGGAGCAACAAGCCTGGGCAGACGCAAGAGAAGAACTCACACGAAGGGAGCATCGCAAATTCCACGACATTTCATGGGACGATGGCGAAACGCACGAATGGCTGCAGGGCTTCCTTAAGCTGTCTGGGCTGGGGACATTGACAGGCGAAGGAAGGATTCCACCGCCGCTGACAAAGGAAATGATATGGGCTATTGAGAACCTCAAGAAATACAGGCCAGGAGGGGATGATGGCAAGAAGGACTCGGACGGTCGACGAGCAGAAAGCCATGACTGGGTCGTGGTAGACGGCAGAAAACGTGATGTTCTCGGTTTCATATAAAAGGCACTAGGCATGCTCTTGATGGCCATTAGGATCTTTATTGTTGGCTTCTACTCTGATCTAAAGTCAACCCCCTTTATCATGAAGCATCCTATTGTACATCGTGGCTAACTGCCGCAACATACTCAGCCATCGGCGTAGCAAATGCCGTCCCAAGTCTCAGAGATTTCGGGATTGCCAGAGTCCTCCAGAACAAGCAGATGGACGCGTCGCGCAATCTCCTTCTTGACCAACTCGTCCTGAATATGGTAACTTTCAAATCCCTGATTATACACCCAGCTCTCCACCACATTCATATCCGGTACCGCGAAATAAGTCGCCAATGCCCGAACGACGGACCTCCTCATGTAGCTGCTCGGTTTCGGAAAGGGTTGCTCATGGTAGTACCGGGCCCAAACATGTCGCCAGTTCGCGCGTCCCAGGTCTTTGATGCGCACGAGGGCTATGAGGAAGTGGAACCAGAGAAACTTTGTGGCAGGCCGGTTCTCGCCCAAGAAGGTCAGTTCCTTGCCGTCAATCTGTTCGCTGTATGTCCCTCCCCTGAACTCGTGAGTCAGAAATCCGGGTTTATCCTCGTCGGGGGCGATGATGTCCAGCCTCCATCGCGTAATCATTCCTTCGTAACAATTCGCCGGTACAATGACAAACTTGTACTCCTTCAGCCAGCAGTAGAAAGCCGGCCTCAGCAGCAGTGCGTTGGCAGGCGAGTATACCGATGCGGCGATGGACCCAAAGACCAGCTCCGCCAGTTTGTTCGCATCCATGTGAAAGGGGACAATGGCCGTCGGCTTAATGGGGTTGTGATACCACGTTCCGGTGATGTGGCACCATCCTTCATCCTTGCTCCTCCCGTGATCCACCGGGTTGGCAGAGTAGTACTCGATGGCATCGGCATGCCAGTTGACGGGCTGCTTTCGACTCTCCAGGCCGTCGTCTTCCTTATACAGCCCCACCAACTTCCGCCTGATGCCTATAGGTTCCGCAGAGTGCCTCAGCGATGCTGCAGAGGGGTCCTCAATCTGCAGCTTTTCCTTCAAGTTGCGCCAGAGATCGCCTCCGCTCAACGCAAAACGCCAGATCTGCGAAGACAGGATTGACTCCATCTTCTTTTGTGAGACCAGGCCGACAGCCTTTTCACGTTGGAGGAGCTGGCGCTCCAGCAAAATCTCCTCCTGTCGGTTCTTCGCCAGCTCGATGCTAAGCGTCGTCTGCAGATACCTCCACTGCAAACCTGAGGCTTCGTCTTCAACGAGTGTGCCATCGCCGTCCTCGTTGCCGTCCACTTTCAGAAATGACAGCTGTTCCAGTTGATACTCGAGGCCGCTTATGATTATGCGGACTCGTTTCATTCGCTCAACCAAGGCATCCTGGGAAGCGCCCGGGTGGCGATCGCGTCGTGAGTAGGCGACCGGCGGTCTTGCTGGGGAGTTTTGCGCCTCCATGTCCTCAGTCGCGGCCATCGCCTCTATGTGGATGGAGAATGTTCCGGCTGGTGGCGGCCCAGCCTGCTCTCCTTCTCTGTGAGCCATGGCAAACGGTTCGGATGGAAAAGGCTTATTGGGGCCTCGGCGTGCAAGAGTTGGTGTTGGGTCTGCTTGTCACGTCGGGGACATCAAGAAGAGTGTATGAGTTGGGCTGGGAAGAAAAAGAGCTGGAAGGAGGGTATTCGGCTACATTTATAGCAAAAAGTAGTATGCCTAGATACGTCTAGCCACAAAGAGTGCCGTAAAACCGGATTCCATAGCAAGATAAGAGGCACTGTTCAGGCCACTTGATACGGCCTAGAGTAAACTCATTTGAAACGCCTCTCAGCTTGGAGTCTACTTCTTTGAGACTGGCGACCACATTGCTTGAATCATCCTTGATAGAGAGGAAACTATCAACGCCATTGTGGACATAGAGAGGGGGAGAGGCTTGGTTATTGGAAGAGAATGAAGCCATCGTTAAAAGTTAAGAAGTACGGCTGGTAGACAGCATGGAACTTTAAGGCTCGAAATTGTTGGGATCAGAAGAGGAAACTTTATCGAGGAGGCTTAGCAGACTACCATCCCAATGAAGCCATCGTGGCGTCCCCAAATTCCACCAGCTCTTATTTTGACTCTTCCTCATTTTTTTGAAAGAGTAGCTTCGCTTTCCATAGGAGCACCAGCGTAGTAGCGTCTCCGGGAGTCAGAGAATGGACGGGAGTCTCCGGCTTAAGGAATATGATGCTTGCCCGAATCCATCCACCAGCTCATAGATGAGCAATGATAACTGGCCGGGGCTATTCGGATGGCGGTGAGGGATACCAAACTAGGCCACAAAGTCTCCAGTACAGACATAGAGTCTTGGATCAACGGATAGCTGCACGCAATTCTTCTGTCTCGAGCCCAGGCGGAGTTTCAGTCTATCTCATGGTCAAGCTCAACCCAACTATCGTCTAGCGCGGGTTCCTGCTCGCCTGCTTCTTAAGCTCATCTACAGGCAAGTGTCCATATGCCATTGCAAATTACACGGTACCTTTCGGATAACTGAGAATTTACGTAAATTTGATCCATGATGAACAAGGCTTCTTGCCTCTGACTTCTAAGCTGGAAACTGAGGAAGCCGAAAACGAGGTTCTCGCCGAATTTTACTTCGAGTACTCAATCTAGGGCAGACCTCTGTTCGTCTTGCTCTAGCAAACACATTCCTGCATTTTCAATATATTCTTACCATTACTATGGTCAGTTCTTCGCTGGGTAGGTATTTGAACTTCTATGATTATTCATTTTCAGGATTTGGACGGCACCTGAGAGCCAAGGCAAGGCTCACTCCTCTTTCCACATAAAGCTCCCGAAGTCAAATATTGAGGGCTGGAGAACCTCAACCATCAATTTGTTTCTCTATTGTATACTTATTTCACCTTTCGCTGTTTAAATACTTAGGTACTCTTCTCATCTTTTGAGATCGTTAATTGATACGCGGAACGACATTGTGCAGTTGCCGCATGCCAGCTCTTTCCATTTTGAGCCGTGTGCTTACACACAACCCACACGGCCCACTAACCTCCAAAGTCGGGCATCTCCATCACTCAACTCCCCTTCATTACCCGACTTTTCCAGCGCCCTCCATCACCAACGCGTCGTTCCTCTTCCCCTCTCTCTCATCTCATACTTTGTCGCGCTTCGATTCTTTAGGAACGCGCCATCTCCCAACGTCCCTCGCGTTTCCGTCAATCCTTCACAATGAGACGCTCAGCATGTCTCTCCATCATCATTTCAGCACTCGCGGCCCAATGCGCACGCATAGTCCAATCAAACGACGACGGCTGGGCCGAATCCTACATCCGATCATTCAACGACGCGTTAATCGCCGCCGGCCATGAAGTCGTCCTCTCTGCCCCAGCAGAAGACCAGTCAGGAACCGGTAAGCCCTCCAATCTCATTCAAGCACACATCCCTGCATACCCCTGATACCGTTCATTGACACCCGAGATATGTCAGGCTCAAGTGACGCATCGCCAACTCCCCGAAATGATCCCTGCCAATACAACTCCTGCCTCCCCAACGGCAGCCCGACAGGCTACAACGCCACCCGCCCCGACCTCAACTGGGTCAACTCCTTCCCCGTCACCTCCATGAAGTACGGCATCACCACCTTCGGCCCCCAGCTATGGAACGGCTCGGGCCCGGACCTCGCCGTGTCCGGAATCAATGTCGGCACAAACGTCTTCGTCCAGCTCCCCTTCTCAGGAACTGTCAACGCAGCGACATTCGCCGCCCGCGCCGGCATCCCTTCCATCGCCTTTTCCGCAGCATCTGTCGGTCGAGCGCCCTTCGACATGGACCCGACGCCTCTCCGTAGCATCCTTTACGGCCAACTCGCCACTCAATTGACCAACAAGATCATCTCATCCGGAACACCGTACCTCCCTTCAGACGTCTTCCTAAACGTCAATTTTCCAAAAGTCGAGGGCAACTGCACCGACCTCTCCAGCTTCAAATGGGTTCTCAGCCGTATCAACCCGGGCATCATCTCGCCACCAGATGTCGACCTCTGTGGCGGGAATCGCCTGCCTACCGAGCTGACCGTCATCACACACGGCGGATGCTTCATCTCCGTCAGTGTCGGCAACGCTCAGGACAAGACTACTGCGCCCAACAGCAAGCAGGCCGTGGTGCTTGAAAAGCTGCGTGATATGCTGAATTGTCTACCTAACTGAATGTACCCCATGTCAACGATACCTGTACAGTGGCATCGCTCGTATCGAACACTATCATGAGAGGAAACGTATAAACATGTGTCACATTATTGTAACATTTGGTCTTGGGGTGCGGGATAGAAATATAATAGAAGTTCTTAGCAGATCTGCTACTGAAAATCTCGGCTGTCATGGCGAACAACACTTCCTTTGTTGAGCATTAACTCACCAGTTGCCATGGTCTTAGTATGCTTGGAACAACAGCATATACCGCTCTCGCCATCCTATCCCATTAGCCTAGCAACAGCGCTTCCGTTACTCGAAAGGACCCAGTGCAGCTTGTTACGATCGTCTCTCCCTTTACATACATGCTCTGGCTCATCTGAAACCATCTCGTGATCACGCAGCCAAGGGGGCACCGATTTCAAACCGCACTTGCTACAACGACGCACTCTGGAGAGCAGGGAGTCCCTCAAAGACAGAAAAGTACCACTAGTAGCCCACGGACGCGGCGCGGCACCTTGGGAACTCGGCAGGTCGACTTTGGCACCGTTCGCCAACAGCAGCCTCACTATAGCTTTGCGTCCCATCCCGGCAGCCCACGACAGCGCCGTGCTGCCGGAATGATCGACGAAGTCGACCTCGGTGTAACTCCAGGGATGAAGTTCTTCCCAAATGATTATGCGCCTGATGCAGGAAGCACGGTGCTGTCGCAGGTTGCTCAAATGAGCCTTGCGGTGCTCATTAAACCTCCTGAGTAACAACTTCACTACAGCCTCGTGCCCATTTTGAGCAGCCCACGAAAGGGAGGTGCGTCCAGAAGCGTCCACGTGATTGATACGCGCCCGGGCTGATAGTAACGTGTTAACTGCAACAGCAAAGCCACCTCGAGCAGCGGCCAGTAAGATTTCACTAGGTCTTTGCCTCGGATCAGCCTGTCTAGGATCTAAAGCAGCTAGGCTAGTCGTCAAGGGATCAACGGGGTAATGTAAACGATATTCCCTCAAAAGGGGAACGAGATGTTGCATGTTGGTCCTCCTCAGAACGTCATCCCAACAGTCATCAATGTGACATTGCATATAGCAGAGCGCATAGGATGCCAGAGGCCTTGTGTCCAGGTACTGCGCTTGGTAGTCATAAAACTCCAGAAGCCCGCGTGGTGTATTGGAGAAAGTTCTCTTGGACGCGCCGGCTGCACAGATCGTAAGGTATCGGATGCAAGTTAGGGCCAGGCAGAGACTTGCATGTGCCTTTTCGATTCGAAACTCGGATTTAGCTGCAACCCCGGTAGCGTCGAGAAAGAACTCGCGGACAGTCTGGTGTATGATTTGAACCGTCCTTTTGTCTAGAGACTATCAATTATAATGTTGGCGAGTAAAAGGGATGAGTTCATACCATTGTGCTGCTTAATCTCCAGAAAATTACCCCCACAAGAGATGATCAATCTCTCAGACGTTGGGACTCGTTTCTCAAATGAGTCATCAGAGAGGTCCAGTGCCGGATCGATATCCAAACTATCGGGAACACCCAAGCTATGAAGCACTTCGTCCACCGTAAGAGGTCGCCTTGCGAAGATCACAAACTGAAGCATCCTCAAGCCATGCGACAGACACAACTTGTTGGCTTTCATTTTATCGAGCATTCGCGCATAGACGTCCTTGAGCTCGGTAGGAATTTGCTTCAACATTTCGAACATTTCCTGTTCAGAGTATCCATCCTCGTGGAATCTTATCAGCTCTTCTCCGACCAGTTTAACCCAAAGAAACACTCCGTGGGCATTTCTGAGTATGTAGTCGATCATTTGCGCAAGGAGATGGGTCAGGTCAAGACCCTGGAGTAAAGAATCTGCAAACTTGGCGATATCTGACGATATCTCATCTTGTAGTCTGATGAAGTCGAGAGCTTTGTCCCTGCGGGCTTCTAACTGTGCGACTGGTCGGCTTGCAATGAATATCTTGACGACACAGTACTTCATTTTGGAACATATGTCGTAAAGTAGGCTCAAGACATTCCGTCTGTCTACTTCCTCGGATTCGTCCGCTGCATCAATAACAAGGTAGAATCTCTTTGATGTGGGATAGTCCTGTAATGATCTTAGTATTTTCTTCAGCGACTCGTAGTCCCAGATTATGTCAGGGCCGCATTGCCGCTGAAGGCGATACTCGAATTGGCATCGATGATAGAAGAAGGCCTCGTCCTGATACACGATGTCATGAAGGAGAGCGAGGAGCATATTGAAGTGGCTCCTTTGAAGTTCGCCGTCTCGAAAGCTATAAAAGAACTTTGCCACGACAGCTCCCTTGGCGGCTGGCTCCTTGGTTTGGAGGTTGCGATCAAAGTACTTTGTCAGAGTACTTTTGCCACTGCCAGGTTTTCCTTGGATATAGAGAAGTCGTGAAGTTTCCGGAGCGGACCAGCTTTCATACTGGCTATGTGCCCAAATCCACTCGAAGGAGCCGCAGTGTTGTTTTGAGATCTTGCCATAACGTGTGTTCTCAAAGTAGAGACTAGCTAAACACTCTACATCCATTCTTGTCAGTATAATCTAAGACGAGACCCAGGCCAGATTACAAACAGACCATTTCGTTCTTTATCGTGCTCGATCTGCAAAACCCGCGGAAAGTATTTCTCAACACTCAATGGCGCTTGACCTGTAAGTAATACTTTGGTATTCGTGTTCCGTCGGTGAAGGTCGTTCAGAAGTATGCTGACATGGCGAAAAATTGAATCCGACTCAGTTCCTGCGTCGATTCCGTCGAGCACAATCATGGAAGGTCGTTGCTCTAAACCATCCAGAATTATTCTAAAAGCGTCCAAAAGGTCCTCTGCCGACACATTGCGCAGGAGTTCCTGCAGTCCTTTGAAGGATCCCTTCCTGTGAAAACCATCGTTGAGCCATTTTTGGATACTTTCATTCTGAAAGATTTTCTGCAGTAGCTCATTAAAAAACGTGCGGATGATGAGTATTTTCTTGCAGATGGGCGAAAAGTGCACAATCTGCTTCAAGAATGTGTAAATGAGGGCGGCTGAGAGGCTGATGTCCCCATACGCAAATGACTGGCTAGTGACATGAGCGCTTCTGACGATGTTTGGGCATGAGAAGGATAAAACAAGGCGATTAGACTTTTTTTGCTGTTCCACAACGCAGGATGAGGCTCGGGATATTTGGAGACCTGGAGGAGCCAAAAGACAAAGGACAGGCGGGCCATCGGCAGACATCCAAGACCGGTAGTCCATGTTGCTGAACACCCAGGCAAATAAAGGGTCGTCTGGGTCAAGTTTTGGTACTTCAGGTAAGCGTTGTTCTTGCCCCAGTGCCGGCAGAAGCTGAAGCAATTGTTCCAGCTCCATTCCATCAACAGTCGACCGAATCGTATCCTGCGCGCATATACTCGTCAGCAAATTTGTCTGGATATTCTCTCCTTTACCTCCTGTTCGCGATACACATACATATAAAGCAGAGGGGTTCAGGTCGGACGGGATAGCTACTTCAGCAGCAGGAATAACCGACAGAATCTCCTTGGCGTATGAAGCAGCTGTTACCGCCGCATAGGGTTGCCACTTCTTGTTTTTGTGTGAGTCGGCATAATCGCAAATGCCCCGAATCACAAGGCATGGGAGGCTGTCCATAAGTCCTGCGGCCTCCATTTCAAAGCAGAGGATGCCCTTTTCTTCCCGGAGCCTGTCTCGGGTTAAGCCATGCCTCATGACCTGATTTGCCGAGCCGATGAGGCCATAATGGATAACGGGGTCTTTGTCCTGACGAGGCCGTCGACTCAATAGAGCTCCCCTATCGCAGCACTCGCATGTTGATTCGCCTTCAATGTGTTTGTATTCGGCTCGAAATAGCTGATCTTGCTCCAGGCCAGGGTGATCGAAACGCCCACGCATCATTCCATTGAACCGTAGCATGGTATCGATATGTGTCGGGATTTGGCTTCCTTCCCTCTGATGGCGTGCTCGCAGTGTCGATACGCTGGTTCTCACTGCCAGTGACGCTTTGTTCAGCGAACCAGTCTGGACGAATTTGCCTTGGCTCATGGTTTTGCCAAAGTCGTATTGTAGAACACCGCCTGCGACGTCAGCCACAATCCAGAACAAAGAAATCAGATACTCCCTTACCAGAATCAACAGTAGGGCAGCTAACCACCACATCGCCAAGCCGAATATCCTCTCGCGGGTCATCGCTAGGCATTCCCGGAGCTCCCCCTCCAATGCCCACCATCAAGCCAAAGCGGACGTTCGGAAAACTGCGCATCATGTTGGTCGCTGCCGCCGCTGCAGCATTCGTACCTGTCGTTCCTGCTGGGAGGCATGCCATCACGACGTTATGTTCACCCATACGCCCCAAGGTGTAGGTGTTGGGATCGCCATAAATCTGTGATGAAGTCGGAAGTTCTTCATCCAGCATAGCTACGGATGCAGCCAACTCGATCTCCAAAGCGCATATCCATCCCACGGTGAAAGCATCCTTCGTCAGATTGCAGGGCCGAAAGTTTGCTCCAAACGTTGCATCTGCGGCTTGATCCTCTAATGAGCCGCCAAGGCGAATGCGCTTTGTAGTTGACTGTCCGATTGCTGTTGCCGAACGTTTCCGCTCGCTCATTGTTGAGGTGGGGAAGTTCAATGGTGAGTGACGTCGTGGAGATCAGTCAGAGCAAGGTATCTTGCGATGAGATTCAAGTATGTAGTAGCGTTAGAGGCCAACTGAGAAGAGAATCCCGAAGAATGTGCACAGAAAGCGACCACAAATGCTCACCTTGTAGTGCATTTAGCACAAGCAGTAGATGAAGCACCGTGCAATCACTTATCGAAGGTTAGGCTCTCAAGGCATGATTCCCGTGATGAGGCTGTGAGCCCCTCCTGCAACAAACTGCCCCAATGATTGGACATCGCTCAATCAGCCGCAAGACTGACGCGGTTCCTTGGTCATCCAATTGGCCACTCACAAACACAACAAGCAGCGCATAGCAGGTTGGTTTTTGTGTAACCTGGGTGCCTGAACTCCCCGGTCGATCGTCCCTTGGTCAAATACTTCGGCTGACTTCGCCTCATTTTCATTCACTATATGCTCTCCTATTTAGGGCCAGTCTTACCGGTGGGAATGCTGAAGAGGACGACTCTTGGTCCCTTCAATCCAGCCTCGCCCTCTGCCCAGTCGTTCATGCCCTTGTCCACTCTGTAGAATCCTCTTCGCTCGAGCTGGATAATGTCGTCCTTCTTCAGCTCACCAACGCCGGCCTCACAGACGGCATCCTCCATGCTGGCAGTGTTGGGGTTCAGGAAGTCCTCGAAGTTGTCCTCCTCCTCGAGCTTGTCCTTGGTAATGAGGTAATCAAACTCCCACAGCTCAGCGGGGACCAGCTTGAAGCCCTCGGCAGACAGCCAAGTGATCTTCTTTTCGGTCTTCTTGAAGTCTCCCTTCAAGTTGAGCTCAAGCTTGAAGCTGGTGACGGGGTCATCCGATGTAGAAATTTCCCGAACAAAGGCGTTGCCCCAGCCCATCAAAGTGATTTCCTCGTCCGCCTTGAAGCTCTTGGCATCGGCCTGGTCAATGAGAAGACTAGGCGAGAAGATGACCTTCTTCGTACCAACGCTCGCGTTCTTCGGGTGCTTGGGTCGCTCCTCAGTGGAAACGGCGGCGGGAGCCTCCGCTCCGGTCACGGCAGCCTTGGCCAGGTCCTTGCTCAGAAGAGCTGTGAATCGGGGAGCGATAGGATCAATGACCTTCTTGTTGTTGGCCCAGAATGTGGTCCAGTCCATGTTGACCACGTTGCGGCTGGGGCCTTGCCTGATGATGAAGTCCCGCAGCGCTTCAATGGTCATTCCACGTCGTCGAATACCACGGATAGTGGGCATTCGGGGGTCGTCCCAGCCCCACACCAATCCAGCATCAACCAGCTTCGCCAGCTTACGCTTGGACAGGAAAGTCCTGACAAAGTTGATTCTAGAGAAATCCCACATGTGGACCTGGCGCAGTTTGAGGGTGTCAATGAACCATTGGTATTGAGGGTTTCGGTCGGTGTACTCGGTGGATCTCAAAGCATGGGTGACTCCCTCGTAGCTGTCAACCACGGGGCATGCAAAGTCGTACATGGGGTACATCTTCCATTTGGTGCCGGTGCGGTGGTGAGTGTTTTCGACGTTGCATCGGTAGATGACGGGATCGCGCATGGCCTTGTTGGGGTTGTCGAAAGAGATCTTGGCACGAATGCAGTGTGCCAGACCTTCCTCAGATGCCTTCTTCATCTCCTCGAAGATCCGCAGGTTCTCCTCGACGGTTCGGTCACGGCGCTTGGAAGGGATGCCGTCCATTCTCTGGCTACGCATCGTCTCCTGGTCGGTATCGTCGGCATATGCCTGGCCCATGGAGATTAACTTCTTGCACATATCATACAAGTAGTCGAAGTAGTCGGAGGTGTAAGTCAAGCTGTCGGGCTTGATGCCCATAAGGGCGAGGTCCTCGACAATGGCATCCTGGAACTCTTCCTTCTCCTTGGCCGGGTTGGTGTCGTCGAGTCGCAGGCGCATCTGGCCTTTGTAGGCAACATGGCCAAAGTAGTCGCTGAGCAGGGCAGCTTTGGCGTGTCCGATGTGAAGGTAGCCACTGGACAAGTGTTAGAAGTGATGAACAAGGAAAGATCTGTGAGTTAAAGGGGTGTTTGTCATACGAAGGCTCGGGTAGGAATCGAGTAACGACGCCCTTGTCGGTGTCCTGGAGGGCGAGGTTATAGTTGGCACCACCCTTGGTAGCCTTGACAGCAGCATCGGCCTTGGGGGCCTCCTGGATCTCGGGATGCGACTGCTCGATGAAGGTGAACCATCGGGTCAGGTTCGGCAGTCCATTCTTGCGGATGAAGCCAATGGCGACCTTGTTGGCCCGCAGAGTCTGCCAGATCTTGGTCTCGAGCTCCCCAAGAGTGTAGCCCTCAAGGTACGACCGCAGCGTCAGGTGCTTGTCCAGGTCCCTCAGAAAGGGCTCAATGGTGCGGAAGTCGCCGGCCAGCTTGCCGGAGATGGCTTCGAGCTCCTCGTGCTTCATTTTGCTTGGCTGATTATGACACAAATGGCGATGAAGACAGAAGAAGCAAGACAAGCTCCTCTCGTGACTCGGACAATGATTTTTGGGCGCTTTGGTGGGGGGGAATGGAGGGGCTTTGGTCTAAGCACGACGAGGGGCCAGTCGTGCCATATATTTCGTTATCGATAAGCCGCTGCTGATTTTTTAGCCTAATTTCCGAGGCACGAGGCAGCAGAATATTGGCGAGCGTCGAGTCGAGGTTCTGGCGCAAACCCGATATCACATCTTTGGGCTATTCCGAGGTCGACAGCCGGCAGCGAAGATGGCACCAATTGACCGGTGTCTGGCCTCCGTGGCCAGGCTGACACTCTCACAACCTTCAATACGGCCGGCGGCGCCGCTGATACCCCGATTCCTGGCGCCGGCGCTGATACAGTCTCGACAAGCCTCCGTGGTGCGGACAAAGAAGACGAAGAAGAAGGCTGTTCCAAAAGACTTCAAGCGACCAAACTTGGAGAAGAGGGGATTTCCACAGTTCACGCTCTGCGATGCTATGCGGTATGATCTGCCAAAGCTGCGACAAGGAAACCAATGCTAGAGTTGCTAACCGATTACATAGAGTGCTACGGGCCGTGGAAGTCGGCCAGCCTCCCGCCTCGATCAAGTACGAAATCCACATCAATCTCAAGACTGCGCGAAACGGCCCCGTCATAAAGAACAGCATCCGGCTGCCGCATCCCGTACAGAGCGACTGGCAAATCGCCGTGATATGTCCCGAGGGCAGCGACATCGCGACTGCTGCCACCGCCGCGGGCGCCGTGGCTGTCGGAGAGGAGACCCTGTTCGAGGCTATCCGCCAGGAAAAGATTGATTTTGATCGTCTGATCTGCCACGAGAACAGCGAGAAGGCGCTAAACAAGGCTGGCCTGGGAAAGATCTTGGGACCCAAGGGCCTCATGCCGAGCAAGAGGATGAAGACGATTGTAAGCGATGTAGTCAAGTCCATTCGCGACTCGGCAGGCGCTGCGGACTATCGAGAGAGGCAGGGTGTCATCCGAATGGCCATTGGACAGCTTGGCCACACGCCTGACCAGCTCAAGGCCAACATTCAGGCGCTGTTGAAGAAGGTCAAGTCGGAATGCGCTGAGATTTCCGAAGAGGTTTCCAAGGAAGTGCACGAGGTCATTCTGAGCACGACCAATGGTCCGGCGTTGAGTCTGAACGGCAGGCTGAATGATCCAGAGAGCGGAGTCACGGTCGAGGCATTGTCAGGTGTCATGTAAGTCAATAACGACATGTATAAAGTGTACAATATCCAAAACATTGCATAAAATAGAACGCTCGATATCAAGTTTTTGTTATGGGTATCATTATTCGGTTTGTCTCGTTACGTATTTAGCGATCATCTTCCTCGAAGAGCCTTGACGGCGTCGCTCTGTGCATCGAGAACTCGGTAGACGCCGAGATAGCCCAAAACTCGGCCTTGACCAGCCGTTCCCGCAGCTCGCGCTTCCTTGAGGGCGTTGTTCAAGTCAAGTAAAAGTGTATTCCGGCATTTGGTCAGTCGCGCTGTCAGCTTGGCAACGAATGCATGGCTTTCATCCAGCTTGCTGATCAAGGCCCCAACCTGACTACACTCGCGAGCCGAAGCCAGCAGTTTTGAGGGGGGGCTCCCTATCAAGCCTTCTACAGCCTCTGCTTCAATGTCTTCATCGTCCTCGCTGTCGTCCTCCCACTCGGCAGCTTCCTTCTTTGGTAGGCTGTCCAACGCCAGCGTCTCCTCTAGAGTAGATAGCCGTTCCGAGAGTTCCAGCATCGTCCGTCCCTGCTCAATCTCCGAACGCACGTCTCGCAACTCATTCGTAAGCGATTCTGCGTCTCTTCTGCGGTCGGCAACCTTTTCCTTTACTTCTTGGACGGCTCTACGGAACCCAAGAAGGGAAACCTTGACATCTTCTACCTTTTCGTCGCCTCCCCGCAGCTCCGACCCCAATGATAGGAAGGCTGTGTAATTTGAGTTGACGAGCTCCAGCAGCTCGTTGCTGATGGTCGCCGTTCGCTCGCGCAGGTCTGACCGCAGATCCTCTAGGGTCTGGTGACGATGGGGGAGGGCTGAGAGATATTCGGCCGGCTGAAACTCGGGTGCTAAGAAGTCGGATCGTGGAAGGGCTGCTGGAAATGGTAGGGGAGCGTCGTCCTCGGTGTCTGAAGAGTCGGAGGGGAGGTTGAAGGCTGATCCGCCCTGTCGGCTAGAGCGCAGCGGCAGAGAGAGGGGAAGAGCAGCCATGGAAAGGGTTGTGATGGGAATTGGTAGGTAACGCGGTTTTAATTCAGAGAGACGCAACAAGTACTTGACCGAGGCGTGTCGACAGCTGCGCTACCGTCCTCAGCAATCGTGGGCTACCTAATCTGAGATGGAGTTGGACATGTTGCGGATGGAGCTCGTTGACGACAGGGTCCCAGATATCGCATTTTTGAATAGCCCCACTATATGCATACTGAGCTCACAGCTCATCCAAGGTAATTGGCCTACGATGAACCCTCCATTAAGCAACGGCGTTATTACAATTCTTAGTCAAAGCAACTCGAACGTGCTCAATATCAACATTGAAGTTCATGCCCTAGATCTTCTGCAACCAGCGATGTCGGTCGGGTCCAGTATTTATGATGCTGCCTTGCTCGGAGGTCGAGCTGCTCCGCCTAAGAGCTCGGCAAGCGACAGGAAACGGATAGCCATTGATCTTCACCAATCGCTCCATCAGGGCAAGAGAGTGGATGCAGATCTGTCGAGCGACGTGCAGCAGGATTTCTTTTGATGCTGGCTGTGACCCGAATACGAAGATACATACCTAAGCGAGCGTGAGTCTTCTCGTCGCCTTACTCTTCTAGTATAACGAGGGCGGACAAGATGTTGTTACCCTGCTGTATCTTGTACTTTTCAAGCACTTCATGTGCAGCACCGGCACTGTAGCAAACCAGACTAATGTGAGGTAGGCGCAACCATGGCTATCGATAGTCACGAACCCTGAATTCACATTGAGACCAGACTTGGATCACAAGTAGCACAAATACCGCAAGAATCCCACGCTTTCTCCCTCCAAGAGCTGCCAAGATGGAGAAAGCGATGACTCGTGGTGGAACCGTCGCAGGCTGGATCCACATGATTGGCCAGCCTGGAACAAGTGGGGAGCGCCGAGTTTGGATGGCGCGTCAAATTTTTATCAATCAAATCTTATCAATCGATCAAGCCCACCCGCAGTCTCCTGGAATCGGACCATGGGCTCGTTATAAGAAGCAGTCCGGGTACGCTCGGGTCACGAAAAGAGACTTTGCAACCCCCTCTGCCCCCGCTTCCATCTCATTTTCCTGCATCTTGCAATCTCATCATTTCCATCTATACGAGTACAAAGCAGCCCTGCAGAAGGCAGAGCCTCGAATCCCTATCTGCTGCTCTGACCTTCACTAGCTGGTCTGCTCGGTGTAAAGCCAACGAGTCCTCGAGAGCATTCCACATTCCGCCGCTTGCAGGCTGCACAAGTTCACCGGCCTCGGTCACCACATACCGGGAATTTTGCCTTATTACTTCCGCTCTGCATTTCGGGAAATTTTATCCCACTGCAACTGCTTCCTCGCACCAGGGGAAGCTCAGCGACAGACGGCAAACAGCGACTAAAAGGCAGTGAGTGAACTTGCGGTGCATAAGGCGCCCCAGTTTTCCCTTCTCGGGCTTCCGAGCTGCCGCCGACAGCGAATCATCGATCGTCCCACGTCCGAACCCACCTGGAACTCGCACCACCATGGCGAGCCTTTCGCCAACGTCACCTCCTCATCTCTCCAGATCCCCAGAAGCCTCATCGGCCGGCAGCAGCAAATCACACCGCGCCGTCAAAACCGAACATTCACCATCCGAGGCTCCTCCCGCCGCTCCCAAACGAGCGCCTCTTCCCTCCCAGCCAAAATCGGCGGCCGCGCCACAGGCCCCATTTGTGCGCATCTCACTGCCGCCCGTCAACAAAATGTCCATGACGGCCGTCATCAGCCCGAGCCCGCCCACGGAGCAGCCGCAGCCAAAGATGTCCATGACATCCAAGGAATGGGTGATTCCGCCGCGGCCCAAGCCGGGGAGGAAGCCGGCCACTGACACTCCGCCAACAAAGCGCAAGGCGCAGAACCGAGCAGCCCAGAGGGCGTTCCGCGAGAGGCGGGCGGCGCGGGTTGGCGAGCTTGAGGAGATGCTGGATGAGCACAAGAAAGCACAAGACACGCGGGAGAAGGAGCTAACGGACCAAATCCGCAACCTGGAGCTGGACGTGCAGTCGTTTAGGTCCAGATGCCTGCTGCTGGAGAGCATGCTGGAGCGGGAGCGCCAGGAACGCATCCGTGCCGAGATGCAGGCAGAGACGCTCAGCCGCAGATATGAGCAGGCCAACCTCCGGTCAGAGAGCCTGGGCTCGCTTCCGCCGCCCTACGGTCGGCAGCAGCAGCAACACCAGCACCACCCCCAGCAAAGGCACAGTCTGTCGGACAGTCGAATGGCTCAGCAGCAGAACACGACGCGGCACTTCTCCATCTCCCAGATCGTCACGCCGCCTGAGATGGTAGACATGCAGTCTCCTCACGACATATCCGAACCACATCTTACCTGCGGTAGCTGCTCGCCAGATGGACGCTGTGCCTGCGCCGAGGAAGTCCTCGCATCCGTAGTCAGTGGATGCGGCAAGTGTGGATTCGGAACAGCCTGCCAGTGCCTGGACGACAGCGTCAAGGTGACGGGCCAAGGCCCCGAGTTGAAGCGCCCTTTGTCGCCATCGGGAGGAGCATCTCAAGAAAAGCGCCAGCGGCCAATGGCAGCAGCCAGCACCGAAACAGACTTCACCTCCCTATTCTCGCGGACGACGCAGCAGCCGTCGCTACCTCAGCCGAGCTCCATCATCTCGCAGCTCCCATCAGCAGACTCCCTCCCATTCAGAGATAGTTGCGGGTTCTGCAAGGACGGAACGTATTGCGTATGTGCCGACGCCGCCATGGCCACTCCCGCCATGACACCGGCGGACTCCTCACCTCCAGTGACGAGACAAACCAGGACACCCCCTCCCCTGGAGTCTGACGTCGTCACGCCATTGCCGCCCATGGCCATGGAGATGACGGCTGACGGAGCAGTCAAGCTTCCGCGCCGCAAGCCAGCGCGCTCCCAACCGCAGCCGCAGGCAGACAGCACGGCCGCCCGTGGGAGCTGCGGCCCCAATGGGCCGGGCACATGCGCCCAGTGCCAGGCAGACCCCAAGTCGGGCCTCTTCTGCAGACTCATGGTGGCCAGCTTCAACCGCGAGCAGGGCGGCGCCAGCGCAGGCGGGGGTTGCTGCGGCGGCAAGGGCCCCGGCGGCGGCTGTTGCAAGTCGAAGCCCAGCCAGGAGAAGATTACGCTGCCCAGCCTGCCCAGCCTCGGCTTGAGCTGCGCCGACGCGTACCAGACGCTGTCCAGTCACAGCAACTTTGAGCAGGCGGCCGACGAGATTGGGTCCTGGCTGCCGAAGCTCAAGGCCCATCCGACGAGCGACCCGCGAGCAGCGCAGGCGGGCAGGATACCGATTGAGGTGGAGGCGGCGAGCATCATGAGCGTGCTGAAGGAGTTTGATGTCCGCTTTGGGAGGGAGTGCTAAAAATGGCTTATTCTGATTCGAGTTTTGCTAGAGGAGTCAATTGCTCAGTGTAATATATCACCTCCTCCTTGGCAAGGTTACAGCTTCGTCTTTGTGTTATGCATGTAGCATCATGTGTCGTAGGAAACATTTTGAAAGGAGACCTGATTTTCATCAAACCATGTGTCATCCTCCCTTGCTCGTAGAGTACTCAGTCGAACAAGAGTGTTCAGGGTAGCCTGTGTCACTCACGATTCCAGCAAGAGCATCACCCTGCATCTATGCCAAAGATTCAATATAAGCAGACAAATAACAAGTTCAACACGCGCAAGCATTCACTTGTAAATACCGTAAGCACGCGGAAAAATGAGTCTTCAGCCCATTATGAGTTGCCCAAGGCCATCTGTGAAAAGAATGAATAAAGAGACTAAGCATCACCACCCCCTCTCTTCTTCCACCTCTTCACCGAAAACACACGCAATCCAACCCGCCTACAGTGACATCTATAACTTCACACATCCTCTCTGCTTATACTAAAGTTCACGCAAACTTCTCCCCATGGTGGGAATACAGCAGAGGAGCTGACGTGGAGTAAAATGCATGGCTGACCTCAGGTAGAAACCAGGTCTTTCTGTCTTAGTACCACCTCGTCTCACTTCTTCTCTCTCTCTGCCGTTCATAGCCCAGCCTCGCCTGACACGAAAGAAACGATCGTTAGCGTGAGAGCCTGGTCAGTATGTACAAAACATTGGGATTGGCTGTATATTGGGAAGCCATGCATATTTGCTTCACACGAGTTACAGGCCCGAGATGGGATGACGCCGAGTGCTGATTCACCAGCGACAAAGCAGTGAATGAGGAGAAGCGAGCAAAGCAACCCACCAGTGCGTTTGTCGCCGGCATCCTGCGTGGTAAGCCATTGGTGTTTTTTGTCTGCTTCTGCCTTGTTTGCTTGTCCTGCTTTGTTTGCCCAATCAGATATACTACCTACGCATCTGGTTGGTCGTACGTACCCCTAGAAGATTCACTCGTTAGGCTGACTTCTGCATATCGATCTGGACAGAACGCACCGGGGCCGAGTGAATACGCCTGTCGATAGCTGTTCCCAATGGTAGGCCGCCCAAGGGGAAAAGGTAGGCCGCCCAATGCCTAAACATGTCGCATTTCCCTGCTTTTTCTTGCTCTTCCTTCTTTCGTCTTCATAAGTGCTCACCCCCGAGGGCCCACGCTGCAAGTGTGAAACCCCATGCTCATGCTTTCTGACGGATCTTTCCTGTATGGAGACCTGCTTGCTGCATGTCGATGAAAGCCCACGACAATGTCATCAGAACCCGAACCCTCCACAGACACACCGAGCGTGCCTAGCTCGCTGGCAAGGGCCACGAGATTATGCCCAGATGCGAGCGGACAGTCAGGCCGCGTCCTGAAGGCGTATCTGCTCCAGAATGCCCCAGAGTACCGGGTGCTCGACGCCCTCAGGCAAAAGGTACGTCTATGTTCTGCTTACTTGCACCAGAGTGCTGCTCCCAACAACCAGCGGCTCGGTTGCCGGACAGGGGAGGTATCACAGGAGGTGCACTGCCTGTAATATACACGGAATATGAAGTATTATACCTAATGATAACCTTGCTCACTGTCCATGTCCGCGTTAGGGTTGGGAGAACAAAGCCGGAGACACCTTCTTCGCGAAACAGAGACAGCAAGCGGACCACGCAGATGAGAAAACGGTTCGCTTCTTCTATAACATGATGAAAGGCATTGCCAGCGAAATAAACCGAGCCACTGGCGCGCTCCGGGTTCACGTAAAATGGCCCGGCAGGGCGCGGATTCTAGACTTTTGCGCGGCGCCGGGCGGGTTCCTCGAAACGGCCATGGGCATGAATCGTGGAGCCGAAGCAACGGGCTTTAGTCTGCCACCCACCCACGGAGGACATGAGATCATCATGCCGCTGGGCCCAGCCGTGACGTTCCAATACGCGGACGTCACCATGTTTGCGGCAGATATGGGCTTCACGGACATTCCTCAAGACAACCCGGAGGCTGAGAGCTTCGAGCTGGTGCCGCACATCCAAGACGGGCAGCGCTTCCATCTCGTCTTCTGCGACGGGCAGGTCTTGAGAACCCATGTTCGGGCTGCCTACCGGGAGCACTGGGAGGCGCGGCGTCTGGCAGCTACACAGCTCGCCATTGGGCTCGAACACGTCTCGCTGGGCGGCACCATGGTGGTCCTATTACACAAGCTGGATGCCGCCGACACCGTGGGCCTAATCTACACGTTTAGCAGGTTCTCTACCATCCAGCTCTTCAAGCCCACGAGAGCACATGCCAAGAGGTCTTCCTTCTATATGGTCGCCACCAACATCCAAAGCAACTCGCCGCTCGCACGGGAAGCCGTAGAGTCCTGGAAGCAGATGTGGCGGGTCATGACTTTTGGTTCTGATGAAGAACGCAAGAACAAGGTAGCGGAGGATCACATGGACGAACAGATGCTGGTGGAGCAGTTTGGGCCACAGCTCGTAAGGCTCGGAAGGGAAATATGGGATATTCAGGCCAGAGCTCTCGAGAAGGCGCCGTTCATGCAAGCCGGGCAGAATGGACATCGAACGACCGGCTGAGGGACCGCTCGGTTGGCGATGGTTGTATGTACAGGAATCCGAAGTAGGTAGTAGTGATAGCAGCAGCAGCAGCAGCAGCAGCAGCAGCAGCGCAAAGTACCCCGTCGTACGAAAATGTACCTGCAATACTAAGCCGCAGAGAAGCAAACGGGCATCATGGCAGCTTGGCCGTCTCGTCAGTTCCAGCACGCGGCAATGGCGCAAGGTAGCATCAGCGGCTTTGTGGCGTTCCGCGAGGAAGCAAAAGCCATTCTTCTTCCCGTCCTCCGTCGTACGCTAGCAGCGTTGAATAGGCCAAGCCACGTCCCGATCCAGTTCGTCAAGTCCGTGAAGCCTCCTGGAATGGGGATGGAAGTCGCCGAGACTGGTATAGATTCGCCTGCGGTGAGTTGTCAAAAACGCCCCCATCGCTCTGACCAGAGCCTCGGAAGCCTTTGGCAGCCGCTAGTTACACCGCTTGAGCAGCTGGACAGTTGAGCGATCGAGCGACCGTCATTGGAGGAGCGCCGGCCGCGAGGGATCGGAAAGGAGGTCAGGGAAGAGGTGGATTTGTTCGGTTCTGATGGAGGAGATGCTGCAAGCAAAGGATCCCGGGAAGATGCAGAAGAGCTGCCTGAGGTGCAGGTGATGAATCATGTGATGCGCGAGCTGCTGAAGAATCGGAAGCAGACAGAGCCGGCAAGGTACTACCTACCTACATGTACGGAGTACGGAGGACATGGACTCCCCCGGGGGTCATGCACAAGCAACGTGTATGTACCATCTACATGCCTTACCTGATAGGTTCCTGCTGGGAACTAACCGTACGAAGCTGCCTTGAAGATATTTCATCTCGTGCTCGATTAGAGTTTCGCAGCACGGAAGCAGCAAATCAATAATGACAGATGACATTCGATTACGATATCACGAAGCACATTCGCAGCCAAAGGTTGAAGCAAAGATGCAGAAGCTGTGGAGCATCTGGCTGCAGAAATGCCCTCTATCAGAAGGTTAGGCGAGGCCCGCCGGAACGTCCCACCATTCAAGCTCGAAATGCTTCGCCTCGCTGACGGGGACGGGCCTCCATAGGGCACGGCAGAGGCAGGCAGAGGCAAGGCAGGGTAAGGTATTATTCACGACACACTCACGGCGGTTGCATGTCAGGCGACGCGGCGCATGACGGAAGAGATGCCCAGCGAACGAACTGCTTGCAGACTGACGGCATCTGGCCATTGGCTGACCCGCCGGGACGTGCTTATGAAGCAGGACGGAAGAAGCAAGACGACGACGACGACGACGGAGAAGAGGAAGAAGGAGAAGCAGCAGCAGAAGTCGAAGCAGAAGTGGAAGCGGAAGCGGAAGCGGAAAGCAAGAGGACAAGGCAAAAGGGAAACGCGTCCGATGGCGATTGCAGAGAGGCGGTTGGACAGAGCGGCAAGCCTACAGACAGACAAGGGCCAGACGACGGGACATGCTTTTGGTGCTACTGCTGGTGCCGGTGCTTTGCTGGGAGGCAAAGGGGAGCCTTTGGGACGCATGGTGGTGTCGGGCGCGGCGCCTGATTGGGCCCTTGTGCGTGAGCTGGCATCCATCTTCTGCTGCCGCATGGCGTGGACGACGCAGATTGGGCGAGGGCTGGGGCCGTTTCGTGGTGGACATGGATTGGCCGGTGGATGCGATTGCGTCCGGATGGGGTTGAGCAGATGCCAATGCAATGCACTGCCAACTCATCGAGCCTCCGACCACTGGCGACGGGGAGGCGACCAGACAACCGCGCGGGCTCAGACGCACCAGGACGCACCGGGACGCACCAGGCGGGCACCCTCGTCGGCTCCCTGGCCTCGTTCCCTCTCTGCTCGCTTCTTCGTGTGCTTCGCCGAGTCACTTGCGCGCACAGTCTGGCTCCCACGCTTCCCGTACGGCTGCATGCCATGTATGTACGCATGTACGCATGCGTGTGTCTGTGCAGCGCGGGAAGCGTGAGGGTGAGGACGAGCGTGAGCGTGTGGCCCAACTCGAGGCCTTTCCTGCTGTTGACGAGAGAAGGGAGGAGAGGAGCTGTTTATTGTTGTAGCACCGCGAGTGCTCTGGATACATGTATCCTGTCCTGCTTGGCCACTTGCCTCTGCCTCTACCTGTCATGACAGTCATACGAGCGCGTGTGTGCGACCTCGCCGCATGTATTGCCCCATAGCGCTTCAGGCAGTCATGTACGGGGAGGCAAGGTAGTATGATGTTGATGCCATGCGCCATACAACTACCTACCTAATGTAAGCCCGCCGGTGTGAGAGAGTAAGTATATCATGCCTCCACGCTGTTTGTGTAATTCGTATCGCATCTCGAAGCCACCGCCACTCCTCCCTCCTCTCTGCTAGGAGCGAAAAAGTATCTCTCGCGCTGCCTACCTACTCGTACACTGCCGTGTCT